GCATGTATGTTATATTAATAATAATCCTATTTTAGGGATAACTATAATAACATATAGCAAAAACATATATAAATATTTATTTTTGATATAAATTTTTGCCTAATATTGCCATTTTAGATGTTTTTACCACCCAAACAGTTAGAAAATCATGTGCAACTTAAGTTATGTTGAATCGAAAGAGCATTTCTGCCTCTACCACTGATGTAAAGTTGCTGGGTCAACTTTGTAATACGTACTTGGTCTCACTCACAGCGCGTCTGTTACTAAGTTAGACAGCACGAGCACATCTACAAAGACTGTCACTCCGACAAAATAAATAAATAAATAAATAAGATTTAGGCCGTCATACAAGAAATTAAAATCTCAATTGTGGTTTGCCTTGACAACTTATGCAAAATGACTCACGTTAGCCCTTGTGCGCAAACAGCTATGAAACAACTGTGCTGCATGATTCAGTCTTTTTTTTTTCTCAAAGAAAAGCTGCCATTTTTGTGAATCTGTCAAGATTTCAGTGAGTTAAGAGTATTTTTGATCATGCAAATTACTCACCTCCTGTCAGCTACCATAGCACATACCAGAATGGTATACTGGAGTAAGATGGCCGCCGTGTAGGGACACCAGTGACGCCGCCTCGAGTCATCTAGGCTTTCTATATATATCTATGGAGACAGCTGCTTCAATCTTAATGCAAAAATAAAACAAAATTCAGAGAAAAATAAATGTTATGTTCAAGAGAAAGAGAGATGCAGCAGATGATGATGATACTGTGGCATCAGAGTCGGCACCTTGTTAAACTCGGGTGTGCTCCTCTTGCACAAGCTTACGGGTACAGTACCTGCAAGAACCTTATCCTACTTTCACCCCTGGTAACAACACTTTGAGTGTGAGTGTGAGGGATGATGTGTAGCAAAGGATCAGGGTCAGAGGTCATATTAGCAACCACAGCAACAAAGACTAATGCTGAGGTCAGACTGAACAATCTGTCCAGAGAGAGCTACACAATCATTCCCAGAGTTAACCAACAGTTATGACAGACTTCACAACCAGTCACTCTTGACCAACATTGAGCTGTTGAAAGGAAGACATACTGGGATGGACAACAACTGGAAATGCTCAGGACAGATGCTAAAGTAAGTCTGCTAACTTCTCCTTATTTCAGTCTTTGTCAACTTGTAAAAACATGAATGTGATTTAGATGCATTTTATGTCAATATTTCTAAAGAAACCTTTTCTGCAATTCATATGTGATCATTTTCAGCAATAATGCCAACTGAACAAGGTGAGGACAACCTTCAGTGGTGCCTCCCCCCTCCGTGGTCCTCACCATCTCTTAGCCTCACAGTAAGCTGCAGAAAAGAATTTCTCCGAGGGTAAAAGCTTGAGACTGAAGTTCTACCCCTTGGAGAAACTCTGGTATTTACCACAACAAAACAAGAGTTTTGCTGGAAATGTGCTCTGCTGTACATAACATAGAGGATTTCAGCAGAGGAGGATGGAGACTGGAGGGACAGATGGCTTCAGACGGAGGAGAAAAAGAAGGGGGGGGGTGTTACAGTATGTCATCGATTCATTTGAACTGCAGCCTGAATCCCAAATGATGCTCCTGTAAGATTTCAAAGATGCAGCAACAGATTGAACACCGAGCCTGTGAGGAAATCCAGCATTGAGGGTTTAATTGGGAGCACAGACATGTAAATCCACAGCGGCTTCAAAGGTGGCTTCAATTACTACAAACTGTCTCCTCAGGCTGTGGATGGTATACCTCTGCAGAAGTTCCTCAACATTTTGCAGGAGAAGTTTATATGAATCATTGCAGCAAACATCAAGGCTACAATCGGTGGTGGATACAGCTAAAAAATGAAAAATTAAAGGTATATTTGAACTTTACACGTGTTTACTTTCATGATTAAACAAATCCTTGGTTAAGAAATAGAGTTTTTGACCCCATGTCAGCTCACCCACCTTTTCACTTAACACAGTAACATCTTGATTTGCCATGATGCAGAGGATTGGCTGTTATATTTCCACTTCTAATATTACATATGTTTTTCGAACCCCGTTTGGCTGTTTTATAAAGGCGTAAATGTCCCAAAAGTTAACTTTGTGAAAAGTTTTCACTCTTCTATGTTCCTCAGTTTCATTCATGGTTTGTTTGTGAATTGCTGTTTGTGATTTGAAGATGTCACTGTCTGAATGATTGAAAAAGGAAAAATCTTAATGCCCTTATTTTGTAAAAATCTTTACAAATACTTTTTTTTCCCTCATTGCCAACAGTGTGATGTTTCATCAGTTAACAAGCGTCTGATGAAAAAGGAAGAAATGTCAGGTTTCTGCCTTTGAAAGTTCACAGGCTGTTTGCTCCAAGGGGACTTTCTCTGTCGTGATTACACACTGTGAGATCTGAGCTGACAGAAAACACACATATACTCTGTATCAATTACACTGCACTGTATATAAAGTTAAAGTAAACCCAGCCAGGCTTGTCGTTGTCGTTGTTTTCTTCCACTTATCCGAGTCCGAGTCGTGGGGGCAGCAGCTTCAGGAGGGAAGCCCAGACGGCCCTCACCCCAGCCACTTCCACCAGCTCAACCAGGGGGATTCCCAGGCGCTACCAGGCCAGGTGAGAGATATAATCTCTCCACCTGGTCCTGGGCCGGCCACGAGGTCTCCTCCCGGTGGGACACGTCCCAAACACCTCTAAGGGGAGGCGTCCAGAAGGCATCCTAACCAGATGCCCAAGCCACCTCAGCTGACTCCTCTCAATGTGGAGGAGCAGTGGCTCTACACTGAAGGCCTCCCGAGTGTCCAAGCTCCGCGATCTTGTTCTGTCGGTCATTACCCAAAGTTCATGACCGTAGGTGAGGGTAGGCACGTAGATTGACCGGTAAATCGACAGGATTCCCCTGGGGACACGGTCGTAGGCTTTCTCCAAGTCCACAAAACACATGTGGACTGGTTGGGCAAACTCAAATCTCCCCTCAAGAGCCCAAGCAAGGGTAAAGTCTTGATCCGTAGTTCTGCAACCGGGACGAAAACCACATTGTTCCTCATCGATCCGAGGTTCAACTGTCGATCTGACCCTCTTTTCCAGCACCCTGGTGGCTGGTGACTCCTCCTTGAACCGTCATCAGCCCGGCTTTTAAAAATTAAAAATGTGAGCAAAAGTTTCTGGTGCATTCCAGGCAGTTTGGAGATCTAAATGCTCATTGGCTGAGCAGATATCAGTCAATGACCAAAGTGATCTCATGTCCTGTCCATCTGCTGTCCCTCTGCGGCTGTTTCAGCATCATCACTCTGCAGCTCTGTCACTTTCAACACTTTGTATTCTGACCGGGAGTCCGAAAGAGGAGCGTGGAGGTGACTCCCAGACCCCCCTCTGCTCTGCTGTTCGACCACATCAATCCAAACTTTGACACGAGTCCGTCCACTGAGGATTGAGTGTCAGAGTCCTGTCCTGAAGGAAGCTTCTGGAAAGAAATGATTGCTGTTAAAATGCACTGGCTGTAAAATTGATCTTAATGTGGCGATGTGAAAGAATCAGGGAAGAAGCAGAAGAACATGGAATCAACCATTAAACAAGTGAATCACCAACGGCGAAAACTTTGATTCATCACCCTAAAGGAGTTTTTCAGCTGCTTTGGTTGGACTTTTTAGACTCAAAGCAAGACAGAAAATTCACCCGTAGGAACGTCTATTCCTCATATTTTAGTGATGCATCTACCTCTAGATCTGTTTTTGTTTTACTTGACCAGAAGCCGTCACCGCTCCTGCCAGCTGCTCTTCCTCCCAGCTCAGCTCGCGACTCCTGCCTCATCCATTATGAGAGGAGGACACATCATGAATGACGATCAGCTGTCGCCTCTGTAAACCTCAGGAGGGCAGACCAATATTAAATCATTAACTTTGTTGACCTTCTGACAGGTTTCCTCAAGGTGTGGCTCAGATTTCACCCCAGAGAGCGGATCAACTCGTGGATGAGAATTTAAACGAGACGGTTCATGACGCTTTAATGATGGAGACATGAGACTACCTTGGATAAAGAGCTCACATGATGCTATCTGTTACTGGTGATTGAGAGTAAAATCTCCCCCATTTTTACACCAGTTCTTAATGAAAACACAATATTTAAAGAGTGAAACATTAGGACAATAGTTACATTAAACATAACTGTCATTTCAACATTGGTACAAAGAAGTCAAATTCTCAGATAGTGGCTTCGCAAAGCATTTCGCAGACATACTCCCTCAAAGGTTAACACTGAAAAAATGAAAAATGGAAGTTTGAAAAAACATTATTCCTTTCACAGAGTGACTGTTTACGTTTGTCTAGAGGACAATCCCCCCCTGACAGCCAACCACAGAGAGAAAATACCAGCAGCAAGTCTGATGACGGCCGCCCTGTCCCCGAGTGTTTGCTTTCTCTGATCTCCTAACCGCAGAGGCCCCAGTGAATTCTGGGTACATACAGGCGGACAGAGTCAGTGTCGACTCAGAGCTCTGCAAACAGTCCACACTGAATAGATGACAGCTGCAGGACCTCGGAGAGAAAACACAAGCAGCTCCTGAAGCCTGTGTTTCGCTTGGAGTTACAGGGATGGTTACACCACAGTCCTGTCACAAATGTAAAAGATGACGATACAAAACTGTACCTGTCACCACACACCAAGCGCAAGTAAAATCATTTGCACTAATGATTACGTTAAGACAATTCAAAGACGCAATTAGATGCTCCTACTACTCTGACGGTGCGAATGATGGGAATTGGGCGTAAGCTGGAAATGTCAACTTGAGCGTATTTTCGCGGCACGATAACTATTCAGCATGAAGGTTGTTGGGTGACGTATGAAAACAGATGGTTGTTCACTGATATCTAAAATGGAGGACAAACTGTGCCTCAAATTATATGATACCTTTTCTTTCAATTTCGCAAACCGGAATAAGAAGAAGCTTGCTTGGAAGCCTGGAACCTGGTAAGTTTTTAAAAAAAACCTTTGTCTATCACTTGATCTCGCCGGTTGAATTGGGATTACCAATTGCAAAGGGATTACAGTTGCAATTACCATTGAATGAAGCAAGTAAATACTTTTCATTCATGCATCTAAATTGCGCAAGTAGATGATTTTACTCTCGCTTGGTGTGTGAGCGCCCCATAAGTCTGTTCTCCTTTTACATTGGACTCCTTGAATGTTTGAAAGGTGTCAAAATATGGCTTTGTAAACGTAAAGCATCACTCAGCTGTGCAGCTTTCCAGTAGTTCTACATGCATCACCTCGCACTCATCACAGGTCCAGAGCGTGTAGAGTCTTGCAGCCTGCTATAAGCAACAGGATGGAGTCATGTGCAAGCAGCCGGTGCAATGGCTGGATGACAGAGAGCCACGAGGCATGGCGGCACGCCGTGTGTCATGGGCTGAATCTGTTAACCAGACAGGTGTCAGGGTCTCCAGCTCCAGTAAAAAGGTTTCTCAGTGAAGCGGCGAGCAGGAGACAGCAGTCAGACGCTCGCTGACCCGGCAGCTGTAATGGAGAGCTGAGCTCAACGACAATCTTTTTTTTCTGTCTGCAGAGTCAAATGTCTGTCCTCACGCTGATATAAATAACCTCTAAAGTAGGATTTCTAGTGTTTAAGGACACTTTGTTGGACATTTGTCGTGCTCATTTGGCTCCTGAGCTCGGATGACTCGTGGAGGGTTCAAACATATAATGATGCATGAATTAGGATTAGACAAATATGGCTTTTTAGAGGCTGAAAGTGATGCTAAAGTGAAGGTATTTAACATTAACATTCCTCCCTCTGCCAAAAAAGTAAAAGGCTGCAGAGATTAGTGTTTCCCTCAGGACGGAAAAGCCTTTAAAGCAGCATTTAGACCATCATGTGGCGCTGGGAAACAAAGGCCATTTTTAGGTAGATGAGTGTCTCCTGAAGGGATTTAAAAGAATCAGCACTAATCAGACAATGAGGACGACATGTAATGAGAGATAAAACTATCAGCAGGAGGTATCTGCTGGCTGGAGGAGTGGGAAGTGTTGATTGATGAACGGCTGTAAACGTGAACACCTCCTGAATGTAAACAGCATGTAAGCAGCTCATCTACATGTTCGGTGTAATGGTGATAAATCTTTCTCTGACACTCTTACCAAGACATGACACCTGCAGAATATTTAACTACGGCTCCTGTCGATACGTCCGACAGGAAGAGGAGAAGAAAGAGTAAAATTTCGCAAAGAATGCCAGATGTAGAGGAGAGAAAAACTATGTAAGGCCCCGGTAATATATAGCCAGTTATTTTTAAAAACAGAGAACTTGCCCATTAAAATGATGCTTTTTAAAAACTCTGGCCAAAGTGGAGATTTTGGAAAACTCCATCTGCACATTTACATGTTCATGGAGAAAAGGGAGGTAAACAGAGATTTGGGTAGATTGCGCGCAGTACAGAAGGAAGGGATGTTGTTGTTGCTGCTATGCGGGATTCTGATTGGCTAACATGGGCTTCTCGCTACACTGCCACCTACATGTTTGATATGCTCTTGACGGCATATAGTATATATGAGTAAGTGTAAACAAAAACTTCTCTGAAAACATAGTGGTGTGAAATGTCCGTTTATGAAAATAGCCGGGTACGTGTAAATGTAGTCTAAAACTCAGAAAAGACAACATCTGAAGAGTTTCAGGGCCCTAAAATGGAGTTAACCTCAGAATTTACCAATCATTTGAAACTTAACTGAGCAGGGAGAGCTCAGCCACCTAATATAACCTCCCCCAGCCTCAGCTGATTCACGTCAGCTGAAGCGCAACGCCACAGGTGTTCCCAATAGCTCCTGATTTACAAGTTAACTTCATGTCCAGTGATTCTTGGATAATGCAGTAGCACTTCAGTTCCAGTTTGGTCGTTTTCTTCATGCACCACTTGTTGCCCATGACAGTAAAACATGTTAACCTAAAGACATCCTTCAGATGAGAGCCACAGGTCTGTGTTTTTTTGCACACTCCAGCTCAAACTTAAAGCACTTGAGTATAAGGTGACCTTTCGTCCTCTTTTACCCAGACATGTCCTCTTTTGGGGGGGCTGTCCGGCCTTGTCCAGCTTTATCCGGGGAAGTTTATAAAATCCTTCAAATGTCCGGGGTTTTGTATGAAAGTTTCAAGTTTGTGTCACGTGGACTTACTGAGTTAGAAACGCGTAAAAGACACTGGATCTGACCTGAAAAACTCTCAAAATTAACTCAAACGACTCCATGACTCCGCCCCCACGTAGTAGTGCCCTCTTTTTGGGGATTCAAAATAAAGCCACCCTAGTGATTCAGTACTTCTGTTTGACACAGAGTGAATGTCAGTTTTAGTTGTCTTTAGAGGTTTTAAGGAGGAATCTGCAATTAAAAAGAGCAGTTGAATTATTTCCACCACAACCACAGGAGGTTAACCATCACTGATTAAAAGCAGCGCTCCCAAACTTTGTTTCTCATTGATCGGAGCTGCTTATGATGTAAAAGTAAAAGTGAGAGCGGTTTGAGAGAGGGTACATGTCATTCGATGTGAGCAGGGTGGCACAAAAACTGTTCAGTCTTGATTATCATATTTTTATGATAGTGGGAGCCAAAATCATAATCAATATTAAAATCAGGTTAATTGCACAGATCTAATCACCTCTAATAGTCTCAAGAAGGTCTCATTTTGGACTACAGATTTTATAATGACACAGACAGACGACGTCCACTCCATGTTTCTTCAGATATGAAAACATCAGCGTCAAAACATCTTCAGATTTGTGTTTGGTGCTGTTTGTCATAAAAAAGGGGCAGAAAAACACATGATGTAAACAAGTTTGTGAGTTAGTTTTGCAGCTTAATTGCATTATAATGAACACATGCAAACATATCGACCGCCATCAGAGAAAGTCTTTGAGAAAACAACCATCTTTTTTTGTGTGAATTGCCAATAAACCTGATGCAATGACCTCCTGTGTGTCCTTACAGTTTGATATCCAGACAGTTGAGTAAATGCTCTCCTATCACCTCTGAGACAGACGTCCACCCCTGTCCTGAGTGTCCATCAGCCTGTCAGAGTCTCTCAGTCAGGGTTTGGCCACCATCCCTAAAATACTCTGACCCTAATCTCTCCCCAAGACGTCTCCTAAGCCCTGTTTGTGCTAATGAACCTCGCAGCACTGCGGCAGAAAAAAAAAAAAGAGGTCATTAAAAAAAAGTGAAGCATCTGTCTGGAATTAAAAGAAAGCCATCTGTCAGTACAAGATGAGCCTACACCTGGCTGCTAATGAGATCCAAATGTGCTAAAAACCTCGGGCACAGAAATATGAAATGTGAATGATGCTGGAAGTGAACAAAGGCAGTTGGCAGATGACGTAGATCCCAACTTTTAATGCCTCTTTTCCACCTCACTCATTCTTCGGGGTACTTAGAGACACTGCCAGTAAACAAGCCCCCGGCGCTGCTTAAATAAAGGCAGTCACGTCTTATCTTGTAGCTGCTGTGTTTACTGCTGCTGCCTGAAATGACTCCCATCACTGAGGCTGAGCCAAGGTGAACGCAAGCCCTCAGACAGGACGGCAGACAGGGAAACACTGACCTGCTAATGAGCGCTGAAACAAGGCGCCGTGTACGCTTTCCTTTGCACTGACTCCACTCTGCAGCAACTCACAGTGTCCTGCCTCTGCTGACACTTAATAAGGCCAGTGATAGAGTCATAATCGGCCTCACCGCTGGGGCTCACCTGTGGGGGGACAGCAGGTCTCAGAGAAGCACCTGAAGCAGCCAGAGTAAATAAATGGAGTAATAAAGCTGCAGCAGTCAGTGTGTGTGTGTTACTGTCTCCTCACAAGGACAAACATGGAGTCCTCCTCTGATCATCTCGCTGACTTTACAGACTCGGCGAGGGGACAGCAGCAGAGGGAAACAAACACTCAGACTTTTTAGAGGGAAACTTACAGTACAGCAGCAGCAAACTGACAGCAGAAACAGAAAATCAAAGAAAAAAAGAGACAGAGGTGTCTGCTTTCATGATGCCGTGACCTTTTTCTCTAAAAGTTTACAATCTCAGCTGAAAGTCAGGTGTTTTTCTTCGCTAATCTGAAGATTAGAGTTACCGACCAATCAGGATCGAGTCAACACAGCCGTGTAAATCAAAGATATCAACATTATAAGCTTTGTTCAGCATCCTCCTTATATCTCAGTAAAGCTGCAGGTGAATGAAATCAACCTCTTGCAAAAACAAACAAATGTTCCTTTAAGGTTGAATAAATCCATCCGGCACAGAGTTTCCTTGTTGAGTGTCAGAATTTTTGATGACAGCAGAACAAGAGAAAAGCCTCCTCCTCCTCCTCCTCTTCCCTCCTTCTGAGTGACGGATCATCTGGCTGCTTTCCAATCTGCTTGTTTTCAAAAACACATCCAGCTCTTCCCTCCTGGTGCCAATAAAAATAAAAGAGTCTCTCCTGGGAAATGAAAGCATGAATCAGCGCGGCTTTGCTGTTACTCCAGTCATCACACGCTTTGGTATTCAGCCATACTCCTACACTATTTTACAGCCTCAAAGTCGGCACTATTTGTACCTGCTCTCCAGGTAATTGGCATCTTTTTTTTTATGCTAACACCTCCGTTCACCTCAATCTTTCCTGACGCACCTGAGTGGTTTTTTATTGACATACCAGATCTGTGTTTTTATGATCAAACCAAAGCTCCCCCTCTGAATTTCAATCTGCAGGCTGCTCGGCTGTAATTGAATTTACCCTCTGCCCTTTTTATGGCTGTGGGGTGTGCCGGTGTGTTTGGGCGTGGAGTTGTAATTGGAAATGCAAACTTGGTGCTGCTTAATGAATTCACCGTGTGTTTAATTGCTGCTCGGTTTCTGCAATGCAGAGAGCAGGTGCTGCCTGATGTTTGTTTGCGGATATTTGATCTCCTGCTGAGAAACCTGGAGATTCAAAAAAAAAAAACTCATGTATTTAAGAAATGCAATCAAGCAGATGTGCTTTTCTCTTCAATGAAGCACGAACTGGATCAGATTATCTGCAGAATTAAACTCTCAGCAATGAGCTGATCTTGATTGAATTTGTCCAATATGCACAAATATGAAAACAAAAATCTTAACAGATGAGGCCTTCAGTCCATGATTTGCATTTTGCACATTTTCTGAAAGCTCAAAGATATGGACCTAATGCTGTAGAACCACTAGGAATCTTAAGCAGTGAGGCCAAAATTACAAGACCAGTAAAACCCAGCAAAGAAGAATAACCCTTGACACCAGGAAGCGCAAGATCTGATGCTTAAAGTGAAGAAGTCATTAATAAGTAAAGGAAAAACATGAATTTATAGCTAAATTTGAGTTGAGAGTGAAGCAACTAGAAGCTGGCTTATACCACAGAGGAGGAGCGCTGGGTCCAGGTGCTCTACATGGAAGTTAATATGGCCAATCAGCACTCCCTGAACTGCAAAGAAAACATACACACATATTAGCTGGGTCACCAGAACAAACAGGATGGAACAAGGGTCAAATAACATTAAGCTTTAGCTTTCTATAGGAAGCTTTAAGTGACGCAAAAACAACTTTCAACATTGTCGCTTATATCGCTATTGGTTTACTTTTGTAATGACAGGAAATTTAAGAGATGCGCTGATCTGCTCTGCTGCTGTTACATGGATTGCAGGACAGGATGTTGCTCAATTTTTCCACTTTTTTTGCCCAACACAGCTAGATAAAACTCAAAATTAGTGAACATTAGCCTTTTACTCAAACTTTACAGAATCACTTGGCAAATGTAAAAATATCATAAATCATCAAAATATCAATCATAGAGCCAAAAGACAAGAGCCTGAAAACGACACATGGACAGTTTATTAAAGCTACAGTAAGGAGTTTTTCGCAAACTTTAAAACCAACTACACAATCTTTAAGAATGTTATGTTCCTTTTTTTGATTGATTATTGATGCCTGAAACTGGAGGTGGGTGTAACAGCGAGTGACTATATGTTGTCAAAGTATTTTTTGTTTTTGTTTCCTGCTGTAAAAATAAATAAATAAGTCTTAATGGGTGTACTTTGTACAGTTTTAACACCACAGGAACACCAACAGAAGCTTTAATGTTTATCTGCCCGAAATATAAACATTACGGTTTCATAGCAACTCATTTTTTTTCCCCACCATACACCCACTAACAAAAAAATGTTAATTGTAGAAGGCAACAGCTTAACAAAAATTAACTGTATGGCTAGTCTTATTTCATAGCATGTCTATTTCTCAACTCAAACTATGGATATCAGTGAAGTGGAATGCTTCAGAGCTGACATAAGTTGTACGAGCCCCCATATGTCACTGAAATCTTTTTTTTCTTTGCCAAAAACTGAAAGAATGCTCCAAAGCATAATAAAGCTTCATCTGCCCACCCTGACAAAAAACATAACATCCTCCCAAGATTGGGCAGCCCACTCCTCCTTCATCCAGATCCTCTGATCTGCCGCCAGTACGTGTTAAAAATGATTGGTATGGTTGTAAAGATGTCCAAGGTTTTGGGAAAAGCTAATTTCCCTTTGAATAACTGAGATTTGTGAGTTTTAGATGAACATAAAGCTTTTATTTTTTCTTTGTAATTCATAAAAATCAAACAGAACATCAATTAAAGCATAAACACCCAATTAAACGATTGAGAATCACAGGCTGGCAAAATCACTGTAAACAAATACCAGAAACAAGGAGAAGAAATGAAAAGATTAAACGACACAGAAATACAGTAAACATGAAAACAACAGAAAAAATAATAGAAACAAAGACGACGAGCAAAGAAAAATAAGGAATATGAAGCGTTTGAGGTTCACGCGCAGATTGTCAGTTGAATAAAAATGGCTTACATGCAGATGATTTCTGGCAAACTGTTTTTAAAAATGAAAAGAAACAGCAGAGTCCATAAGTCCAGGGCAAGAAAATCACCCTGTACAATAGTAAAGGCACATTTCAAAAGTCCAAACAAGGGTCATTTGTCATTTGAACCACTTTCAGCAGAATTCACATCTTCTCACTCACTCACACAGACACATAAACACACACAGTCACATCTTTGTTTTTATTTTACATTACAAATATCTACTCCATGTGATTAAGTGCGTACCTTTGTTAAAATGTTCCCTTTGAGTCAGAAACACCAGAAAATGTGTGAGAATGAGAAATAGACGGCACAGAAGTGGGAATGTAAACATGTTCAAACACATAAAAATGCTTGTGTATGCGGGTCTGCATGCACAGGCTGCTGCAGGTTTCACAGTAACACCAAACAGGGATTTCTAGAGACGAGAGCTGAAGCAGATGTAGAAGTCCCAAAAACTGCAGTTCCCCAAATCGCCACTGGAGCTGGCCCCCGAAAGTGAGCTAATCCCCATACAGCCCCATGTTACTATTCTGAACTTTACAGCAGGAATAAACATGACTCCAGACTGGTACAAAATGGTTTGTTGAAAACTATACAAGAGGTTATTTGTGTCCATTTCAACTTACTTTTTATTACATGTTAAGGTTGAAACCTATGCATAATAAGGGGATTGGTTTGCTGCCTATTTCTGCCTTTAATCTAGAAGTTAAACTTGACTTCGCATTGCTATTTATGCTTTTTGAATAGTAACTTATGCTGAAATGAGTAAAACGCTTTTAAGTCTGTTCACATCTGTTATTTTTCACATTTGTTATATATACTTTTTTTCCCAATGTTAGCACTTACAAGCAGGTAAAAGTGTTTGGCACATTATACCTGGGCTTTTTGTTTGTTTATCCTTCTTATTCAAGAGCAATATTTCGGATAATTAATAGCCAACAAAGAAGTGCCAAAAGTTGCAGTTCCCCAAATTACCACTGGAGGCTGGATCCAAAAGTGAGCCAATCTGCATAGAGCCCCATGTTAAAAATCTGAAAATTACAGCAGTAATAAACATGACTACATACAGGTGTAAAAAACATGTTTGTTAAAAACTGTACACGGGTTTATCTTTTATCCAACTGACTTATTCTTTATTTTTATAAATGCTTAAACTTGTGCAAAAAAGAGACTGTTGCTGCTTATTGTTGTCTCTAGTTGAGTTATTTAACTCTCAATCCACATTGTGTTGTTTGGGCCTTCAGAAGATGATTTCATGCAAAACTTTGAACTCCCAAAAACTGCAGTTCCCCAACTTGCCACTGAAGGCTGGCTCCAAAAGTGAGCACATCCTCATAGAGCCCCATCTCAAAATGTGATGTAGCAGAAATAAACATGACTACAGACTGGGACGACAGACAATGGACTTTTTTGCTCTAAAAAAAGTAACCTGATGGGGACTGTGTAGCTTCTACCATGCTCCATGTAGCCCCCAAACACAAGAGATCAACAACCACAGTTCCCTGAAATGGGTTGTCCATAGACTTTGGGACACATCACTTCTGCTACATTTAGTTCTAGTTCACAGGCCCTGGTTTGCAACCGGCCAAGCAAGAAAAAAAGTCAACAACCACATACTGACCAGAGCAACAACATGGCCTTTAGCATCCTATAAATGCTGAAATTATGGATGAATTTGACCCATTGAGAGCAGGAAAGTTTATATCTGCACAGAGGGAAACACTGGAAATCTAATGCGACCAAACACAAGCTTTAGTTTTCATTGACATGGTCAGACAGGCAGTTATTGGAGTGATTAATGAAGACGTTGTGAGTGGTGGTGTACCAGAGTGTGCTGTATTGAACAATGTTCCTTATGTTTTTTCTACTTCTTTAACAAACATGACACATTCCGAAATAGCACTCAGGTGTTCATAATGTTATTGCTGGTCCCTGAAGTAAAGTAAAAACTCATGTTGTGGTTTGATAAAACAAACAGAACAAAGCAGACAACAAAACATACCCTTCCATGATGCTACAACACATCTACAACAGAAGTCCTACAGTCCCAGTGCCTTTAAAACACCCGAGTCACAGCACATTACCTTTCAGTCCAAGCTCTACTCCAGCAGCTGATGAAACCACTGCACAGCCTCTCTAACAGCTCCACAACCCACTGAACTGCCGCTCACCCTGATACAGGCTTTGCATCGTAATTAACCACAACAGCAGCAGCATTTAAAACAAATTCGTGACAACCTGTCCTGTCGTGTCCCTTTGACCACAGCGAGTGAACCCTACAGCTCTCACCGGTGACAACAGCATTTATTTGAATTTTTTTCAGGCAGGACTGGCCGACGAAGGAGACATATATAGAATATATCTCACTTAAACAAGGATGGAGTCAGACTGCTACCAAGGCTTTGTGTTCACAAAATGATCTTATGGTATGGCTGTGTCTCTAAAAAGCATCATAAGTCAAAAAAAGAAAAGCTCAGATATGTTGTTTCATTTCACCACAATTCAGCCATAAAGGCAATAAAAGGACCTCAACGTTGTAATGATTGTGATTTAAGTTAACTGCTTTCGATAGAGAAATAAAGAAAATAGACTGTGCTTATGGGAAATTACACTCACGTAGGAGAAGTGTAAATGCTTTGCAGGGCTACATCTCTTCCCCTGACTTAGTCTTTCCTATATCTAGATACTTATTGGTATTATTGCACTTGTAATATTTAAACATACTTTATCCCATTTGTTTTGCAACGTAAAGCAGAGGTATTGCTGTAGTTGTTTGCTTACTCTCTACTTTCCCCCCTTGGAAAGTTGGAATTTCTGACAACTCTAAATATAGTTCGAAATTCATAAGAGTTTGAAGAAAGTAAATCAACTCAAAAAAAACCAGAAAACAAATTCATACAGGACCACGCATTTGATTAAAACCTTAGACTTAAGTCTTGTTGAAGCTATCTGCTAATCAGGAACATGTGCATTTGTGGCCATACTGTGCGTGACTACATTATCAACATCAGGATTCCCTGCAGGTTTGTTGTCGTTATACCTTTAAAACAAAACCTAAATATTACTCATATATATCTCCCAACTCAACAGCTATAAACTTGTTTCAACAGGTCCAACTTTCAGACGTCCATTCCCGAGATATAAGTCGATCTATTTTGAAGTTAAAATTTCTTGTGCTGCTTTGAGGCACCAATGTTTCTTACCAGAGACAATGGCTTTGTTGATCTTAAAAGTCCAGAAACTGCATAATAATCAGGAAAATCAAGTCCCCTAGACACCAGTCCAGTCTCAGTGCCACAAACCAACCATTCACTATTTATGTCCCAGTGTATTTTGGGTCAGCCTAAAGGAGCTAAAAAAAAAACCACACACACAAAGACAAACTGAAACAGGCAAAGGATGGAGGTGTGTGGGCGATGATACAGTCCATTAACAAGAGGCACAACTCATGAAAGGAGCTGCCACATGTTGGAGAAATCCGCATCACTATGTTAAAGTAGAGGTGTGGTAGTGTATGAAGCTCCTTCGTCACAATCGGCTCCCTATACTTCACTTCAGTCCACTGATGCCTGAGCAGATCCGGAGCGGAGGCTCTGTAGATCACTATTATCCTGTCAGGTCAGGTGTCGGCCCGTGTGATAGATACAGTGTGAGGCTGACAGAGTCATGAGCGGGTGCTGAGCAGTAAAAATGCGAGACATGCCTTGCGTGTGGACTACAGATGCGGTATGCCCGGTGATAAACAGAGATGGAGTTCTTCCTCAAGGCCTATCCGTCAGAGGATCTGTCACGCCGGAGCTTCATTGTTCGCAAGCGGGACGAGGAGATCAGAGGCAGACGGTGCTGAGGGATGTGTACTCATCAGCCAGAAAGAGTGATCATCCCTGATTCTTTGCTTTCCTTCTCCTGTTGGGTTTGTTTCAAATCACATCACCAATTATTTTCATAACAAAGAACAAGGCTTGGCATGAACGACTCGGCTCTTGTGATCATTTTAACACGTTTCCGCTGCAACATCGGGCCCTAAAGGTCTGATGTATCTCTTGAAGTCTTAACACCCTACCTTTGCAGAAGTTTGGGATTTAAATGAGACAAGCTAAAAGTAAAGACCTACACACATAAAGTGCTGCTAGTTTTACACCTTAGACTGCATAGAAGAAGTGGATGTAGCTTTACAGTGAACTCCAGATGAACCATTCTGGTCAAAGTGGTGCCGACTGAAGCTAAAAACACAGCCTGCTACAAACACCAGTCCAAATACAGTCACTTCTGGATCTGAAAAAGTGAACGGCAATGACACCAAGTTCATCTCATGGCTTTTAAAAAAGAAAACGTCCAAGTGACTTTGTCTTCATGTCTCCATGTCTTTTACGCAGTCTGAACACTCTACCTTCTCAAGAGTTGTGGATTTTAATAAGACACACCAAAAACAGAGAACTTCACTACAGAAAACCTTCAAGTGTCAACCTGCTTCAAAGTGATTATTATTTTAGTGAGCCACGTCTAACGCTTCCCACCATGAACCTTTACAAGTCAGGGGGTTTGTGTCCAAACTTTGTCCAACTCTTCGAAACCAAGAACTTGACAAGCAATCAAGCTGACCATTTGGTATGCAGCTTCTCTTCTGAAGCAAACTGACACTCAAGATATATTTTAATATTGCCATGTAAGTGCAAAACCTTCAAACCCCCAACTGTGGACTGCTGACTGACAAAACATCCTTTCACAAAATCACCCATTTGATTTCCCCTACATTGTTTCAATGCACAGTTCCAGCTATCTTAATTGAACAAAAACACGCAGCATTTGGTCCCTTTTAACAGAATTTGATAAATTACTCTTAATTACATTTAATTTATGCAACAAATGTCCCATAAAAAGGCACACTGTCCAACCAGCAGCAAGTAAGGCCTCGTGTCAGAGAACGAAGAAACTGGCCAAACAGAGATTTCTTTCAAGAGTTTTTTGGGTCTGTGGATTCTCATTTCTTAGTATCAGTCAGGATGATGTTGGCTGTGACAAACATGATGCAGGAGACGGCCCACAGCCAAACAAACCACACCCAACATGAGTGGCGGAAAGGAGACCGGTGCTTGTTAACTGCATCCCTGCCCATCACGGGCTCAAGATGGCGTCGAGAGAAAAAGACGAGACAAGCTGGGACGACGTACTGGATCCCTGTGCCGGCGTACGCTCCTGTGATGCCCACCAGGGACTCCAGGTTGTGGGTGCAGAAAGCCACCACAATCGGAGGAACTAGAGTGATGAGCGGGAACACAACTCGGTCTACAACCCAAGGGTAGGTGCCTCCATCCCGGTGAAAAAGGGTCTTCCAGTTGTTGCGAAGAGTGACGGCGATGATCGGGAAGTTGGTGCTGATGGTGAAGACGGGGAAGAGACCCAGGAAGTAGCGCAGGAATGGGATATTTAACACGTCACAGTTGTCTGTAAAATTGAGGGTGTACATATCATACAGCAGGGAGCTGTCAAAGCAGAAGATGGCGGTGAACGACAGGAGCACGTAAAATCCCAGGATCAGCACGTAGTCTGCGAACACCAGCTTTCCGACATGCTTTTTGTCTGAGATGGGCGTCACCAGGGAGGGCAGGGAGTGCTGACACATGAAGGAGTAGACACACACCCCGAACAGGTTGGGCGCCCCAGAGAGGGAGGCGGCTGGTGGGTGACCCTCGCCCGTGCCTTTACCGATACGAATCAGAGCCAAGATGATCATCATGGTGAAGGCTGCAGAAGAAAGACAAGAAAGGAGACATATTAGGACCAATAAAGACACATTTAGATGGCTGTGAACCTGCTGTACATCCAGCTTAGTTAGATTCAACATGAAGGGTGATGTAATTGATATGAGGGTATTTTTTAGTCCTTTAAATGACAATAGGAATAAAAAAAATAGACTGGTAGAAAGTCACAAAAAACAAACTTAAACACCTGAGCTTTCTTCAAGTATTTTGAAGTGTTGAAACAGACAAACGAATAGCTATCTGCAATGTCTTTGTAAGACGCACATGATGAAACACTCCTGTTAGTTATAGAGGACAGAAGGAGGACAGACTTTCCTAATATTACAGGACTTGCTTTTAATCTGCTTGGCAAGAGCTGTGCTCTGCAGTCATTCTGGTGTTATAGAGCGGGACTTAAACTAAGTTCCAGCATTAATTTCTTGTCAAAAATGAATAAAACTCAAACAACTTTTATAAATTCAGGATTAAGCGTCTTGTGTTTTGGGCTGCATGTGGTTAAATCTTGAGTTTACATTATCAACCTATCCTTCAATGCTCTATGGAACCCACTGTGCAGTTGAGCCACTGTGTAAAAAGCTGGTAAAAACAGATTGTGGTGGTTTGCAAATTATTCAAATTCTATATCTGATTGGAATTAGTGTAAGGGCTACAAAACAAATGTTAAAACGGAAAACTGTACAGTTTCATGGAAAATAAATGCTCATGCAAGCCATTTAAAGCACAGTTGAAAAGCCAGCATCCCTCATAGTATGGGGATTATTTTTCAGGGAGGACTGCTGCTTAACTGGTCTGCCTGCAGTCCTGACTTGTCAACCATTGAAAACATTTGAAGCATCATGACACAAAAACAGGACAAAGGAGACTCTGAGCAACAGAAATCCTCTATCAGACAAGAATGGGACAACATTTCACTTTCCAAACTCTAGAAACTGGTCTCCTGGGTTCACTGACAGAGTGTTGGGAAAAGAGTGGCTGATGACACACAATGATAAACACGGTGCTATCCAAACTGTTGCTTGCAAACAAACTGCTTGCATCAAATTTAAAATGTACTTGTACTATTTTAATCAACCATCTGTTTAATCAATTTGCAATAAAATCACACCTGAATGGAATCAGGGTTTGATTTTATTTCTTTATTTTCAAATATTTATGTCTTTGTTAAGTTTTGTTCCTTGGATTTTTGCTCTTAAATGTTTACTATTGTCCATGTTATTGATGCTTTGTGTTCTGCTTGCAGTGTGGATTGCCTAAATTTGTGGATAAATAAGCCATTCCTTTTTTTAAATCACTTTTATTGCTATATAAAAACACTGCATCTGCTTTAAAAGAGGAAAGCGAAACACAAAATGTGGAAAGCTTTATTCTCCCTGCGTACAGCTGCCATTAAGGGCAGTTTGTCCCAGAAACATCAGGTGTAACAAAACCAAGCAGGGAAAATTTCACAGCCCAGCATGATGTCATTGGAGGCAGGTGAAGGTAGAAAAGCTGCCCCTGTGTGTCTCCACCTCCTGCTGTTCAGTTCCATCTCCATTTGATTAAAGACGTGCCTCTTTGGAAACGAGCATGAGCGTGTCTAAAGGAGACCTATGAGCATGGCATGTGGTGTGGTTACTGGCTAACAGTCATGTGACCAGGTAAGCTATCTCACCTCCACACACTCAATCAGGCCGTGACACCAGGAGTTAGTCATAGCCCTGTGATGGCGAGCAGCCAGCTCCTCAAACTTTCATCATCTGACTGTCCTTTAAACACAGGGTGACATTTAGGAAGTCTGTCATTCGTCACACGTGCAGAAAATGCTTCTTGCCACGGACCTCGGTGAGACTTGGGTGTTGTGAATAAATGAACGAAAGAGACACCTGCTGCTTTTAATGAAGAAATTTAAAAGGGTAAGTGCAGCAGGTTTCCGAGCGATGACGTTTCTGTTTCCAGCAGAGGTTGTGCTGCTTGATGGAGGAGAAGTAAAATAGAGGAAGGTGGGAAGTAAAAGTTTCAAACAGGCTCCATTAATCAGCTACGGTGCTCTCACAGTGACACTTTAATGTACATCAGGAGGACAAAACTCGTTCTAATTACCAGGGACGGACAGAAAAAGCAACTATCAGCAGAGGTGTTAGGGAGGTGGGTGGGAAAAAAAACTACAAGATGAAGGAGTCCTTGGGAGATTTTTTAAATAAATTTATCAGGAAGAACTGGAAAGTATTTGACCTAGACATTACCAAGAGACAAAAAAAAACAGGAATTTTGAGCATCCAAATGTGTGAAAAGACAAACAAATTAAGTTGAATAGAAATATTTCTGTTCTGATCAATGCATAGACAGGGAGTTGTAAATGATCTCGTCTACACTGTTCATCCATGTTTCACAGTTTTCTCTCATATCTTTAAGCGTAGATGTTCGAGCCCTCCCACATAACTGTTGCCAGTGTAAACCTGTCCCTGTAGGTGGTCAATATTTGATGCTTTTTTGGCTTTCATCCAATGTAATCTCAGGCTCTGGGAAAAGCTCTGGGAGGTGCAGTCCTCCCCCGTCCTGACTTCAACCCCTCCGTACATACAGAGGTTAAACAGCCGGGCAGCCGACCAACTCACAAGGACACGACACATGGATGCAGACCTGCAACTACCTCGTGATTTCTTTACACTTATACTCGCTTAAATTGGTGTAATTTATCAGAATATTTGACAAGCAAAAAAAAAAGTATCAAACTCTCACTTTAGAGAGGCAAGAACAAAGAGCTATCAGGCATTTTGGCTCAACACATGACTGAAAAGATAAATCAGCCAAAACAGCTTTCTGCTCCTACAAATCTAAAAAATGTCAGGAGAAAAGTAACCCCACAAGCTATCTATCACTTTTATATGGGGGTCTTTTCAGGTCATAAAACCATCTCCCATTGTCTGCTCTTCTGCAGACACGCTGATTGTTTTCTGCATGACTCTCTACTTCTCTCCTCCATAAAAAAAAGCATCTCTTATGTGTGAAAGAGCCATCACTACTACCCATCTGTCTGCTCCCTCTGCTCCTTCTGTCTTTTTTCTCCTTCAAACTCTCATCTTCATTCCACCTCTCTGTCTGTACTGCTCACAATGTGTGAACGACCGAGCACAGCCACCTGTCTCCCTGCTGTACACCAGAGAGGAAAAGGTGGCGGACGGGAGAAAGAGCTTCTCTCCTCTGTGACACCGACGCTCACAGGAAGGAAACTAGCGTGGGGCTTTTAATTAAGAGTGCCTCAGGGTAGTTGTGCACTAATACACTACCTAAAGCACCTTTTTGCAGGATCAGCCAAGATTAAAATGCTGCAGGAGAGGCTGTGAGAAAGGACACTGGATGGTAGTACTGGGAAGCTCCCAGATAAAGGGTAATTCCAGTGTTTTGTTAAACCCAGGCCTAGATTTGACATTACTGTAAGATATAACAGATTGAAGTCCATTGTGAACTTAATGAGCACATGAGGAAGAGTGATAAGAGTGATTGACAATGCAATAATATGATTCTATGTATTATGTATGGCAATGGTATTGTATCATGGGGCCAAAGGTGATTCCATACCGAACGGGGAAGGCGTAGACCTAGAACTCTTCTTTATCAAGGTTTATCAAAAAAATAAATAATAATAAAAAATAAAAAACAGACTTCCTTTAAAAAAGGCCAATAAGGGTTAAAAAGAGAATAATATCCAGAACTCTTTCAAATTGCAGATTCAAAAGCATAACACCTCTTTTTTTCTGCTCACACATAATTCACAGAGATTTATGCTAATGAGAGGAAGAGAACTCATTCATCTTACTTAAGACACAGGAACTAATGCCTTAGTTTTCAAAGAAATTGAAAGTCAATCAGATGGTGGAAGGGAGCTGAACACCAAGAACAAAGCTGCCAGAATGAAGCTTTTCATAATGTGCTCATTTGTCACCGACTCTCTGCTGTATGCTGCTACACGAGGAGGGCGAGTCACGTCTGCCTGTGACAATTTTATCGCACTCATTGCACCTACAGCTTGGAATCTCAATGCCTGTGGAATAAAAACACATTATGTCTGATCACCTTGACAGCTTTGAAGGAGCAAGGAAACAGAATGTGGTGTTTAGATTCATTATGGCCTCCACACTCTCTGGATTGATGAAAATCAGCGCCCATAATTAAAGCTTAGTTAGCAGGTATGGATTTTTTTCTTATCCTGTCATAATTTACGTCATTTTAATATGCTTTAAATAATTTGCAAACCAGCATATTATGTTCTTTTTAACATTCTATGCTACATTCCAGTTACCTCGGAAGTCGGATGTCGGAGCTGGTAATGATGCTACACCCGAGTTGACGGCGTTCCAGTTAACAAGTCAGAAAACCAAGATGGATGCAGACAGTTAACTGTTGTTTACAATTGTCAGCTGTCTTTATCTGTTGTCAGTTGTTGTTAGCCATTGTCAGCTGTTGTTAGCTAAACCAGTTGTAAACAACACATAACTCAGTATTTTACTCTTACACACACCATAGCACTGTGTTCACAGTTAGACGTTGGGCAGTACTACATATACCACTTATTTAATTTCATAGAAACAAAACAGAAGTATTAATAAATTATACATTGCAAGAGCTTTCACTGTTACTCTTCACTGTTGGTGCACTGCACTGCCATCTTGGATTACGACGTTGTGGTCAAGTCGGGATTGGTGATGATCGTCCGACTTTCCAAATCAGAAATCTGACTTCAGGGGGCGTTCCGGATGAATTTCTGACTCGGAGCTTGGAAATTGCGACTTCCGAGTACAACTAGAACGCAACACTAATGTGTCTCAGCTCTTATTGAACAGCGGTTTAACAACACTGAGAGAACTCAGCAGATGCATACATGCAGTACGTCAGATATCGTGATTACCTGCACTTTCAAATTGGCATGCCGATACTCTCTCACTGCACTTGACACGACTACATGAACTAAGTGAATTGAGAGGGTGTCACCCAGCCACATATCACCTCCACATAACCAGCGCCCGTCCATCTCGCAGTCGGTGATTTATATTACCTCAGTGGAGATGGCAGTGACCTTGTGAGGAGTGCTTCAGCTTAACAACCCTCCAGAGAAAGCTCTTACAGATGTATTCTCACCAGTGGCAAACAAAGCTGTTGCTGTTAAGCGGAAGCTGGCACACACTGCTAAAGCTCCAAGGAGTCATTGACCGCGCACAGAGAAGGATTCTTCAGGAGAGATGGGATTCCCGGACTCAATTAATGAGTGGAAAATGGAGGAAGGTGAGAGGGGGTGATCAATCTTGTGTGTGATGGAGCACGGGAAAGCTGCAATCTGGGGGGTCTCGTTTCTCTGAGAGGTGGACACTTAAGTGCAAGCAATTCTCATTGATGACTGTGTAAAGGTCAAGGACTTCCCAGCTGTGCTTGAGATGAGTGGTCCTGCTGTGACAGCATTTCAGACACTGAGGAAACACACTGCGCTGCATGCGATGCAACGGTCTGGTCGTGCAGCGCTTCTCCTCCCTCATCGTGCCTGCAAATCCAAACATGTCCCCCCTCAAGTGGTTTCAGAGTACAGCAATCATCCCATCGTTAATTAAGTGAAGCACTCTTGGATTATCTCTTAGGTAATTAGCGGAAGCCTTGGCTCTTTGCCGAGTTCTCACCAAGGTCTCTGGATTTCTAGCTGTGGTGGAGCTGAAACACTTCAAACATATCAGTAGAGCAGCTGGCATGCTGCATCTGAACGGGGTTGGAGGCTGAGTGATAAGTGGCAACAAGTAGTACGATCTCAGATACAGCTATCAGGAAGCTCTGCACAGAGCAGCACAGCAGTCAGCCCTCTGTTAAGCGCTCCATGCTGCTGCAGCTTAGGTGCACAGGGATGAGACAGCCAGACTCCATGACAGTATCTAACAGCTTCATGAAAACATTAATTAGCCCGCTCGCTCTGATACAGCTCTGAATATCTACACACTGAAGCCAGATAACAAGCTAATGCATCTGTCTCTGTAACCTGCGAGAAAGAGAACCATTCAATTAGGTTTGGAGATGTTGAGAAAATTGGCTGAAATGGCTCAGGGTGATGAGAGAGTAAATCCTACGATGAGACTTTGGTTCTGAGGTGCTCTCTACTCTGTAAGAGACTGTAGTGGTCATGGTGCTGTCTGGGTGAAGTAACTGAATATGATCAGGGAGAGCTCTGTGTCGAAATAAAATATTCTAACAGATAAAGGTACAATACATGCTGATACATGATGAACCTCGCCCCGTCCTTGCTTGTGAGGATGATCACAAAAACAAGATAATCAAGAATAAATGATACTTGTCATCTTACACTCTCTTTCTTCACAGCAGATTATGTAAACTACAGCATGCTCTTATTGTAAGCTCAAATCAATTTGCAAGAAAGTTTGGGAGTGTGGAGAAACAAGGTGCGTTCGAGTTACCCTGGAAGTCAGATGTCGGAGCTGAAAATGACGTCACACCCGAGTTCCTAGCATTTCAGTTACCAAGTCAGAAAAAAGCAGGCCTGAAAGAAGATGGCTACATCTACGAAAGTCATTTTAGCACTTACCTTATATTTGGACAAGGCAAGCACTAAAATAACTTTCGTAGATGTAGCCATCTAGTTTCCGCCTCCGATTTGTTTTTTTTCTGACTTGGTAACTGAAACACTGGTAACTCAGGTGCAACATCATTTTCAGCTTGGACTTCCAAGGTAACTCGAACGCAGCAACTGTAAGTATCTATCTGAAGGAGGATTGTGTGTGTTGGTAAAGCAGAGGGACAAAGGGAGCATTTAGAGAAAGCACATTTGTCTTTTAAGTTTAAAAAGTGAGTGATATCTAAATGTCAGACAGGAAGGCTTTGGCTAACAAAACACAGGAAATCATTTCTATACTGTACTTTTTTTTTGTGTGTTTTAGTTCAATAAATTCATGTTAGGCAGAAGTTGTCAAACAGCAGTTTTGACTCAGTCAACTATAAATCAGTTTAATCTACGACAGAATTACTGCAGAATTTTGTTCAAGCCTCTAAATATTCACACAATTCGAGCAACACCAACAAGCACCAAGCAAAAGTCTCCTTTTTTTAATGTATCAGCAGCTTCAGCTTTAATTCTTCCCTTCACATAACTCTTGCTGAGGAAACTTCGAGGTAAACAACAGCTGGAGGTCAGCACCCATAATTAAAGCTTAGTTAGCAGGTATGGATCTAATTGATCACGTCCCCCAACCAAAGCAGACATCCGAAAAACATTCCCCTAATCACCCAGAAACTCATCTCAGCAGGAAGTTCAACCTCTGATTACCCAAACAAACATCAATACTGAGCAGAGATGAGACCAGGAGCTCTGAGAACCTTTAAGGTGGCTGTGATCATGTTGGTATTTAGCTGCACTCAAAAAAAAAAAAAAAAAAGAAAAAGGCTAATATTTCAGTCCTTGTCTGACAACAAGATTGTGATAAACAGACAGGAATAGAGTGATTTTTTCTAATCTAGCCTTAAATGTAATTTTTCTGGACCTCTGAACTGTGGGCTTGCTGTACGCTTCATTAAAAACCGCTCATGTTTCAGCGGTTCCCCTGTGCGCCGCCTGTCCATGACAAGCCTAACTTTCCACTCAAGCAGCCACCAGAGTCCCCCTGACCTTCAAAAACGATATCTCCATCCCTCAGCCATTTACAACTGCACAGGGCAGCTGTGAAAACCCCTGCGGGTGTTTCCTGTGCTCCATACACCATGTTGAAGTAAACTAAAGGCAGAAGATGGATGGTGAGACCAATGGATCAGTGAAGCTTGGGCTTATTATCGTTTCTGTCCAGAGGAAAACGATGCAGGGTGACTACATTCAGATAATCATATTTGGCAAGATTACTTTCAGCAGATTTTAATGTAGAATTTCATTTTATGATTGATTTTTGTAGAAACATTTCCAAAAGATCAGAACTGCCCTTCGGGAAATAACCATACCTTTCTGTATTTTTTATAAGTTTTAATTAAACACAACTTGTTTAGTGATTTCTGCACAAATAAGACTAATCAAAAGAGAAGATCTTCTGACAGAAAATTCAGTCACTAAACCAGCTTCAACTTCACACAAACTTAAACCTCAGCGGGGTAAGGGGCTTTTATTTTTAGACTTTAATATGGAAAACAAAAACTGAATCCTTGAAACAGAGGTTAAAACCATTTATGATGGCTTCAACACAGGGGCATGAACAATCTTCTGTTGTGTTTTCATGTACAGTATCATGTTTTTTATATGCAGCACTCGATATGTTAAATGTTGAGATCTAAATTCAAATCAAATCAAATCAAATTTTACTTATACAGTGCCAATTCACAACAGTCATTATCCCAAAACACTTTCCAAAGAAAAAGAGGTCTAGACCACGCTCATTGTTTGATGAGTTATCAAGACCCAACCTTAAGATGGGACAGATTTGACCCATCTCATCTAACACGAGTGGCAATGGCAAGGAAAAACTTCCTTTTAACGGGCAGAAACCTGGGTTGAGGAGGAATACAGAGAGATAGGGAGGGAGAGAGAGAGAATTCAAGTTATATGTTATGTTTTTTATAGCAGTGGGAATCCGTCTATGAATACTTGGGTTCAGTATGGGAACACAATAACACGACCAAGCAGCAATCAACCAAGTCCCGACAGTACTGAAGGTTTACTGCATATAAATAAAAGCCTTACTTGCATCTCATCCACTAAACTTTGCAAAGTGAATTTGTAAGACAACTCAACCTCACTTAACTTTCAAACTGCATTTTTCTTTTTGTTAAGATGTTTCGGAAACTAAAACCTGCACTCAGGACTCTCTTTGATGAAGGACCACTGTGCGTCTTTAGTCTTGCTCTGAAATCAAAGCAACAGTTGCTCTTGGGAAACCCACAATCCATATGTCACTGCTTGCACAGTTAATAAAGACAGTAACTCCCCTGAGGCTCCAGGCAGCTTTCCATCCGTCCATCCCAGGAGAGACGGACAGAATTGATTGATACTGGTTTGCAGATTGAGGAGGCGGTTAACAAACCCTCTCCCCTCATCACACTCTGTATCAATTAGAGAGGCTCTAAGTGTGTTTCTCACTGTGAAGATGATCATTTTGCAGTTTCATCCTTTATTAGGGGTTAATAAAATACTAGAACTCCAACTACCAGCACTCTCAGTAAATCTACGAAATGCTAAAACAGACCGCTAATATTTTTGTGCAACTTAGTTGGAGATAACATCCAGAAGCAGAATCTTATGGTTACATTTATATTCCTAAATGTCACTCGCAGGTAAAGTTGTTTGAAAAAGGTTAACATGATGTACTGCAGGCGGCGTTCATGCATGCTGTATGAGACTCCATTCACAGCTGAACTCTTTCAGATCTCAGCTGGTTATTACAGAGAGACGAAGAGAAAAGAATAAAGGTTAACGAGCTCTTGAACTTTACAAAAGAAATGGATGCTGACTCTTAGGGGTGGATGGTTTTTGAGTCTCTCATGGTCTAAAATATACATGTTAGACACAGACAGTGTTTTAGGAAAGGAGAAGAACATTTGGAGGAAACCTGTTGGGAAAACTTTGCACATTAAAGGTCAAGTTTGTAATATTTGGGAAAATAAAAGCAAGACTTCTTACTTTTCTTAAACAGCTGCTGACCACAACCTTAGATCTAGAAAGTGACAGGATCAGGCCATTGCACAGACTCCTGCTGAAAATGGTCGGATAGCTGAGAGCATCATGCTCTTTGGCAAAAATGAAGCACTTACGATGTACTTGGAATGACCAACCATAATGTGCACAGATGGCCTGAGCCCAAACTCTGCCCTTTGCTCCTCTTTCTATTAAATTAATGAACAATTAAGTAACATGGCAGGAGGGAAAAAGCGATTAAATCTCTGCAGTCCTCTCTAGGTGGAAAAAGGTGTCACACTGTCCTGGGCTAATGGCTACTCCCCTGAAAAATCACAGCATGTCACTTTCACAGGAAGTCACACCATCACTCATGTTTGATACAAAAAAAGAAAAAGCAGGACTCAGTGGACGGGAAGGTTACTACAGCTGAGTGGCAACGATGCTGACAAGGCCAGAGCCGAGGGCGGGAGGCAGGGCCCTGACACAGCAGCCAGCTGTGAACCCTGACATTAAACACACCCCGTAACCTCGCAGGGTGGCACAGGTGAGTGCAGGTGCAGCCAGAGAGAGGTGAGTGATGGTCGGGAGAGGAAGGGAGGTCTCATGTCTGCAGACCCTGAAACCCAAGGATGTTAAAATAACCAAACTAAGGTGTCTACATGTAGCGTAATTTTAAAAAAGCTAAATTATTTACAGAAAAATCTGCTGCAGCTCCTGTTAAAAAAAAAGCTTTCACTCTTGGTGCCAAACTGCCAAAATTCTCATGGGAAGTACTTAGTCCACTGTTCAGTCTTTTCTGGATTAGAATGATCTAGATAGAGCTACACATCTGCATAAAAACGGCACATTTCTGAACTGGATGAAGGTCTTAATGTGAGAGGACCCATCAAACTGGGCTCCATCTGAGCACTGGAGTAATTTCTATTCTATATTTTACTGTCCATGGACAAACAGGACAGAAAAATGCCCTGAGATAAAGTTGGAAAAGTTTGTGCTGTGTTGGTGGTTTTGTGTTGCTGTGTAATAACAGTCAATTCAGCTATTTTATTATGGTGCTAATGTGTTCTGGGTATACTTTCCACATGATCCACTCACTAGTTTTTACTGAACCCTCACAGCTGATTCGTTCTTGATTTACGCTTATATTTTTAAAATCTTGACCCTTAATTAAACTCACCCAAACTAGCTCCAGTTTAAAGGGATATTCTGGCATAAAATAAAGTTAGGGTCAAACACACTTAAACACTGAGTTAGACACCCCATCAAGAGATGAATGTTGCAGACCGCTTGCTTCTCTATTTATACCAACTTTAGTAACGACACAGTGGTCTATGGATCCACGCGCACACCTCAAACAAAACGCCACTCTATAGCCAGAAAAAATATTCAGAACAGCACCTAACTTCATCAGCAGTACATACAGGGTCCCAGCCATAGTACTAGCCACCAAACATCTTTTTAACTTTGCCTAATTTCTTTAGCAAAGAGACTAAACACAACTCACCTACTCTCTTCCAGCAGCCGCTTGTTTGTAGGTAGAGCTCGGACGTGTCCATCACCGACTGCAATGGGGTGACGCAGCTCAAGGAAGAACATTTATGATCATTTCTTCATGGAAATGCAATCAGACCGAGACACTAAGGCAGAAGAACTACCGCGTCTGCAGTGCAAAGTGATTATTATGGTAACTATTACTTCAAGGAAATGATAAAGAAATGATCATAAATATTCTTCCTTGAGCTGTGTCACCCCGCTGCAGTCTACCTTAATTTTAAGCCAGAATATCCCTTTAATGTATGACTGCTGTTTTCAATACACTTGCATATCAACCTTTTAAGCCATCTCTCAAGATACTTCTTGTGTTGGTTACTGTCAGTGGTCATCAGATCCAAACTAAACCGACATCTATCAGTTTAAACACTGACTTACAGCATTAGACTCCAATGTTTTTATTTCCTGCTTTCATTAAAATTGGCATTTATTCTGACAATTTTCCTGGTTTAGAAGAAAACCTATTTGGATCTGTTGGCTCTCGAGGTGTCTACACATAGAAAACATGGAGCCTCCACTGGAGTCATTTTAAATCATTAGCCAGTGTTGTAGAGAGCCCTGCAAACACGACAGCAGTGATCAAACAGAGAACATGTGAGGAGAGAGAGGAGATAAAGAAGAGTGAAAGGTGCAGCTGAAACTCTCTTGTGTTTTTGGGTGGACGGTGTTTGTGTGTGTGTGTGTGTTTTTTTTATGCGGGTTAGCGCGCGGCTGTGCGGGGGATGGCTGGAGCGCCATGATTCAGTGGTGTTGTGATTTTAACAGCGGGCACAGGACGGGCGGTTTATTTTCGCCCGTCGCCCTGTGAGTGACGGTCCAATCAAGCTTGGGACGGGCTGTCAGGCCTGTCAGGCTGAGGAATGAGAGGAGATGGGAATCAAAGACACAGAGCAGGACCGAACCATGATGGACGGACCTGAGCGGAGCCGCACAGGCGAGGGAGAGGAGGAGGGAGGGATGAAAGAAATGTGGGGAGACACAGAGTAAATGGAAATGTGTGTCTGTAAAAAAAAGAAGAGGCAGAAAGAGAAGGCTAGAGGAAACTACACAGAACTGAAAACAGGGAGAGTGATGACATCCAGAGAAAAATCCAAGAGAAATATAGTAAAATGTTCAGTGCAGTGTTGAAGTAACAACAGGAGGAAGTACTGACTATTTATGCTGCAATTAAATGCAGCTCCTTTAAATATTTTGAGGGTGCAATAAGACTTAACATTTCAATCTCGTATTTATTTTCATCTCGTAAGGTTGAGTTTGTGTTTAAGAGTTTAGTTTTTCAAGAGTTTTTGATACTTTTTAAGACCTAAAAAATATAAACATTACTTCTCAGACAGGTAAATGCAATGTGACAGGCATTTCTTTACAACAGAAAATGAATGGTGTAATAAAACTGATTTTTTTTAACCGCATTTGGTTCACCTTCAACTTAAGTCTCCTGTTCCTCTGCTGTCTGCATGCCCAGCTGTGCAAACATAATGTCAACGCAGCTGTAAACCGATGCATGCACTCGACTTAACATAAGCCACAATGCATTGCTAGTTACTGTTAGAGACATAAGCGACCCTGCTGCAAACTGTATCACAAGAGGTTTGATTCAGATGTTTTCCTCTCAGGCACAAAGCATAATGAGCGAAGTCAAGTTTTTGTGTGGTAAAAAAATGAAAAATGTAGATAATCAAGATGGGTTTAATTCGAGCAAAGAAAAACTAACAACTAAACAGAGCTGTATTTTCTTTTAAATGCAGAGTGAATATATGATTAAGTCTTTAGAGGTGCCATTGAAAGACCCCTCACAAGTGAAAAAAAAAGACTTTTAAGGACTTGAATTTATAAAATAAAAATTAAGACTTTTGAAGGACCCGCAAGAACTCTAATTATGTTGCCTATTTTACACTAAAAACTAGGGGTGGGAGGAAAAAATCGATACAGCACAGTATTGTAGTATTTTGTCTGGTGATATATCGTATCATCTCATTTACCAGGTGTCAAATTTTAAAAATAATTTACATATTAAGTGGAATCTGGGATAATGGAAAAATAAAATCAACTGTTAGTCCAGTGAGGTTGGCAGAGGTGACACCATAGAGCAGGAGAAAGTTGGTGCAACAAATATATAAGGTTTGCAAGATGTGCTACATGATTAAATAAAATAGCGTAAATAAGACAAACATAAATAAATCTTAAATTAGCTAAACAGTTGAAAAATTGTAGAAATCACAATATATTAAATGGTGATACGATGTTGTGGTGATTCCCACCACTACTAAAAACCACTGAATCAATGGACATCAGTTTATTCTTACCCAGCCAGCGCATAAGTGAGGTGAGAATCTGGAGATATTTGGTCTTCTGGGCGTTGAAGAAGGTGAAAGGCCCCAACAGGACGGTGAAGATGCTCTGCAGGAGGGAGCACAGATAAAAGCATTTGTTAATGGTCCATAAAAAACCATTACATATGTGACAGAAAAGGACGACAGGAATCAAACCCTGTCTTGTAAAATTAAGCTTTAAGCGAGAGACTCCTTTTACCATCCAATAACCACAAACTGAGGCAATAACATTAAGATGTCAGCCAACATGAATGATGTTGTAAATGTCAGAGCTCGTCAGTCAGTAAAAATGATTTACACAGGAGGAGCATGATGAACATCTGCTCACTCAAACCTGATTTTCCCCTTTCTCTGAGAAATGTGTGTCTAAAATGTGGAAATCCTTGAGGTCGGATTTTTGTGCTTCACAAACCTTCAGACAGTTTAATAATGAGGTCTCTGACTCAGGGGAAACTACCTGACTGGCATCATAATAATCACAGACGTTTGTATTCAACAGAAATTTCAAGCATTCCATATTTTTAGAGAGATTTCTGGTATTTTTAACCCTACTTTTGCACATTTGAAGATCTGACTAATGGGTAGAAAAATGTTGTAATTAATGGCAAAAGAGGCTGCAATGGCTACTATGATTCAACTATTTCCATTAAAAGTTAAGATGTTGCACAAGTTGTTAAAAAAAACTATTTATTCCGCAAGTCCTACTGCATGGAAGAAACAGGAGGGGATGTTGGAGGAAGGCTATGGGGCCGCTGGGGAAGCTGACCAATGACCAAGCAGTCCAGTATGGCATAGGTCTGGCTCAGACTCAGAAGCATAAAACCAAGCTCAACGGGGTGTAAAATCCCACTCACTCTAAAATAGGAGCATGTAAGTGCCTATAAATGATTTAGACCCCCATGAATGTAAAACAAACTGAGGTTAAAAATACAAGAAATACCATTCATGTTTTATAAGAATATAAATGTGATGGCAATCTAGATATGTAGATAAAATAAAGATGTCTGTATCTTTTAGACATCTCTATCTGTTCAATCTTCTTGTCTTATCGAGTGTAAGATTACACTGAGGCACGGTGGGTCAAGCTTTAGCCTCAGTGCCAGCTCAACATAGCCGTACTGAAAGCAAGTGATGTTGTCTTCCCACTAAAAGGACTCCAAAGTTATCTGTTCATCAGGCATGCTAGACAATTATCGCCTTTAGGTGAGGGTACATTTAAAGACTTGAAAATGGTTCTGAGAAACAGTAAAGGTCAATTTTTTAACCTTTTTTAACAATCATTAACAATTATAGAGCATTTAAAAGATGTCCCTCTTGCAGCTAACATTTTTGCTTTTTTCACTCTTGCATGTTTGTCCTCGTGAACTTGCAGCTGTGACACTTCCATGATATGTAGTTTAGAAATACCATCTACATGGCATCATACCTCCCAAGTTCTGTCAAAGTCCCATCAGCCCTCTCAAAGATAGGTGACAGATAAAGAAGTCCACCATAAGTCAGAATCCTCTGATTGCTCATTTGATGCTTTTCTTTATCAAGAGCTGCTATCAGAGGCAGCGGCTAAGCTACTGTACCTCCAATTTCATCCCCTCACTCCTCCCTCACACCTGCAGACTTATTCCCATCCCCTCGTCTCCTCATCCTCTGCCACTCTCAGGTCTGTCTGCATGGTTTGAGTGATGTGTGATCCCAGAGGCAGCAGTCACCTGTGTGCCATCTTATTTGAAGAGCAGTGTGCAGGGTTTCAACTAGGCGACTCACCCTGCCATCTGCAGACACATTGCACACTCACCACCAAGAGAAAACAGAGCCTGGCTTTAGCTTAGAGTTTCATATGCAGGATGACAGTCACATGTAAGACATCGACAAAAAAACATGGTCCGATGATAGATATTTTAGTCTATTAGAAAAATTCCCCATCACTATTTGAAAACCATGCTTGTGTGTCTGTGTGGAAATACCAGCTTATTTTCCCACCATTGTGGCGAAATACCTCAAAAACACGATTCAATGTTAATAATATTGTGCAATAGAGATGTCACAGTCAACACATCATTATCTTAAGACCGAAGAAAACCTCTTTAAGCCAAGGAATAATCATAGTAGCATGGCATAATCCCTTTAATACAGCTGCACAATGACTGAATAGATTGTGGTATAATTTTGCATGAACATGAGTTTCCCCTCTTGTAACATATCGGAATGATTATTATGCAATTTTGGTCGGGATTAGAGATGTTTTCTTGAGCCTGCAGAGTACGATGTGCAAATCAGTGAATCTGCACGGTGTGACGACATCAGGGACGGTGTTGTACTCACATTTTGCCTCAATAAATGTGCCTTTAGGAGGCTGAGTCAGATCACATTGCAGTTTGATAGTGGTATGATTGCATGTTCAGTACTAACCGGTGCAATGATCCTGAGTTTGAAAATGTGCATTTCTAATTTTCCTTTATAACACAGGGGTTGTGCAACATGTCTATCCATCAACCCACTCATAAAATCCATGCATCCATTGCTGCGCCCATCAACCCATTCATCTATGCATCTATCTACACATGCACTCATCCATGCATTCGGGAATCCATCCAGCCATACACACGTCTACCAATGCATCCATCCATTTATGCATAAATCCATCCATCTAGCCATGCATTCACTCACCCTTCATCCATTTATCCACCCTGTTATTTACAATTTAACTAGAGCTTGCTGAAATTGTTCTTTAAAAGCAAACTTATGAGGGCATCACTGAAGGATAGGGTTCTTGGTCTTGGTCATTTAAAACTCGGCTGGAGCACAGCTCTGCGGGGTGAATATACTGATATCAGCACAACAAGGCAGGTTGAGATGCTCAAAACAAAAATAAATATTTAGTAAACTACTGGACGCTGACTGACATGGACGCTTTTCAATCCTTCTGTCTCCAGCCGCTCTCCGGTAGATTGGGCGAATCCAAAATGGTGAAAAAAAGAGGAATGTTCTGAGACAGACTGTTACCTGTGAAACGGGGGTGCTCTGAAAACTTCCCCATTAACACTTGGTACGTTCTTCCTGATAAAATTAACTGTAGACTGTAAACTGACGCGGGAAAAAAATCGAGTCGACCGAACAGAACTTTGGTCGACTCAACACATATCGACCAATAAGTCGACCAGACAACTAGGACTTTACAGCCCTACTGAGGAAAGTGGTTAACTTTGATGCCTCATGTCCAAAGCTCTTGAAGCCAGTGGTCTGGGTTTACATTCAACCTGCAGCTCATTGCTGCATGTTGCCAGTCTCTCTATCCTTCCACCCCCCAGTCCATAGAAAATGAGCCTTTATGACTGGACACATCATAAATATGTTACTTATTTGTTTTTGTTTTTTTTTTATTTTTTATTTTGTTCCTCAGTGATTATATTTTAGGGGTCAAACTGATTGCTGAATTAAAATATTCAAGAAACTTGCTGCGGTATCACACTAAAATTCTAATGACATAAACATTGGCTGAGCATTAATGTGAATTGATTATCTGGAAGAAGACATATCAAGGGACTCCTTTCTTTTAATGCGGCAAATTAATGAGCTAGTGGTGTTGCAAAATGGTAATTAACGGTATCTGGATGCTCCCTGCAGAGTGTTTCCTTTAGTTTAGCTTATGTGTAAGGAAACAAGGGGATCATTTCATACAAACAGCTGGGTCAGCTTTAACTTCCAGATGTACACATGGCTGGTTCCGGTGTCAGTGGGGGTGAGAGGGGAGAAATAAATAGACTTTAATTCTGCTGAATAATGATGATGCCTGTGTGTCTCTGTATTAAAGAATTACCAGCTGTCCTCTTGGCAAAGTGCAGCCAAAGCTCAAGGCAAGCCAAGACATAAATCCTGAACATCTATTGGAGGTAATGAATGAACCATTACGAAGAGAGATGTGTCTGAAGAAGAAAGTGAAATTAATGGCAGCTGGCGGACTGTCAGCAGAATTTAGCCCTGAATGTTTCAGCACAACCGGTCCGTTCTCACCACCTCTGCTTTCTGTCCGAAGATCACTTTGTAAACTAAAGGCAGACATCAGCCTGGATGGAAGACACATCAAAGTATTCAACGAGTCTTTTATAGCAGCACAGCAGAGTGACGGATCTAAAGCAGGCAGCTCAGGGACGCACGGAAGAGAGTGGTCCGCCTCAACGGTAAATAACCCAGCTTGTGGAATACACAATAAGTCAACAAGTTTCAGTTCAGTAGAAAAACACTTTTCTGGTCCGAGTTTGATCAGTTGGTCTTCCTGTCGGCGTGAAGAGCAGTAGCCTACAGTAATCTACAGTATATATATATATTTTTATAACTTCACATCAGATTTTTTCACCCCTAATAATCAGCATCGGCTCTGAAAAATCCATATCGATCAGGCCCTAATTATATACTCTTCAACGAGCTAGCAAACTAGCTAGCTCATCACTGACTTTTTCAGCTGCTGTATCTTTGTTGTCCCCCCTTTTTATGAACAGGTAAATTACACTGCATTACAGTGTGCTTAGCATTAGTACAATTTTACCATTTCCTTCATTTACAGTTATTGTCAATACTGGTGTGCTGCTACAACCCTATTCTCTGTCACTCTTTTCATTACGGTGGATTAGAGGGCTTGATAGAGTTTTTTTGTTAATGTTGTTTACTACTTAGTTTGATTTGGTTAAGATTTGCAGAGGCTCTTTATTTTACCTTCAGTGTTTCCTCTGCATATTGAAAAAGTCGTTACCCCCTCAGTTAAGATTAGAAAACAACTTTATCTGTCGACAAGCCTTAACAGTCTTTTTCTGAGCATTTAGAGACAAATAAGCTCAAACTCAGACAGATCTGAACGCACAGAGCAGAATTTAGTCCAGTGTTTCAGAGACGGTGTTACCCCTGAGGCTTAAAAGGCGCTGAGGCTGTTCTTTATGTGGACACACAGCTGATGAACAGTTTCTCTGCCTCTAATGAATCAAGACTGCACCCTCGACAGCTCCCAGCCCTCCATAAAACCCCACACCAAACAAAGGCCTGAGGATACCAGACTGCTGGACCGTATCTCAACAAAAAGACCCGTGCAAGAAGACAACACCTCTGAAGAAATACAACCGTAGAGCCTTCTTCTCTTGTGGGAAAGCTACATCTGCAGCAGCTAGAACACTAACACTGGGGCTACTGTGGCCAGAATTATAGAGGTAAACATCATTTTTGACTGGCAGTTTGCATGCAGCCGAGTTCTTTTTGGGGTTCTACTTTTTCTACTTTCAAATTGTAAACTTTGGTCATGCATCTTCATTGACCCAGCTTCACAAGATTTCTTGTTTTTAACTTTACAAGGTGGGATATTGTAACACCTGCTCTGACATGTACACTGCACAGAAGCGCAAAGGCAGGTTAGAGTCACTTTGCCCCAATGCTCCTTCTCCTAGTGTGTTTACAAGCCGAGCTTCTTCCACTTCTGCAAAGGACATAATCTAAAGCATAATCACACACTGGGACATTAATATTACACATTTACAGGATGCAGAGCAATGATGTTGGAACTCCAGCGTTGTTGTGAAATTGGAGAGTGGAAGAGGTTGTCAATAAAGCTATTTTTTTCAATCTGCTGTCAAACTTTTCTGTTAAGATACTCCTAAGTAGTTGGCCTTTAGGTAGACGGCCCATAAAAACACTTGTAGATCTATAATCTCCTCCTTTACAAGGAGTTCTGTCCACTTTATAGTAAAAAGCCCTAAAATAAAACCTCATCGGTTCTTATAAATGTGTCAGGGTGTCGTCTTTTCCTTCTTTTTGTCTGCGAAATTTGAGTCACTGATTTTACATTAACACACTTGCCTCTGTTAACACACTGAGGTAGCACACTGGGTAGCTTAGAGCTTCACATGATTGGTGTCATACATACTGCTGGGATGCAGATGCAATGCTTTTTGCACTCTAGACTTCCTGATGTGGGACATGATTGAACAAATTCACAGCTCTTCTCCTGGGAAACAAAAATATATCTGCATAGGGATTCCTGTAAACTTTACTTTTAAATATGAAAAAAAACTTGCATCATCAATCATCAAATCCTGTGCACATGATTGTATATACACATTAGATCAACAGTGCTATCTATGGTCAAATCTGAACTGCAGCAGGGTTGAAAATAAAAGAGCCAGACACCAGGAGAGCACAGGATGAATACAGCCAGGATTTCATGGCACAGACAGATTGAATGACAATTTGTTCCGATGCATTTATTCATTCAATACTTTGTTCGGGCTGTTCCAGCAATTTCATCCCACTTTTACTCACAAAACAGACATGCACATTTTGTCTGCAGTTTTGCTCTCCTGGCCACAGAAAACTGCTTACGTTTCATGCTCACTTTAATAAATGTCTCAATAAACAAAAACAAACTGTCAGAGGAAAAGTGGCGTGAATCAATTCTGGCTGGACTCCCCCCTCTTCCTCACCCACTCCTCTCTAGCAGGCTGATGGGTTTTACCCCTCCACTGCAGCTCACTTATCAACAGTGAGCATTTCACTTCTGACAGGAAAGAAAAACCTGCCGCTCCTCCTCCTATGTGCAAGACGACACTCCCTGCAGCAGCCACCTGTTTGGCTGCAATCACACACTTCAGTGAAACACAATAAACAGCGAGGCTGCGATGAGAAGCTGCAAAGGTGACCAAAGCAATCATGGATACAAACACTAAGATTGGCCTATTACCTCGTTCACAGGAGGTAGAGACTGGAGATGAATCAACAAACATTTGAGAAAAAGGTTGTGGCATTATCTACTTAGTGTTTAGGGTCACAGCCTCTCTTTTCCGGTTTATCACATTAACAGTAAGCATTTTACATAAATAGCAACTGACAACTCAGAGCCCAGCCAATTGTTTTGGAGTATTTACCCAATTTTAGGTCCTCGATTTAAACTTTTATGAAACCCTCATTCCAGAAAAGTTTGGACACTGTGTAAACTGCTGTAATAGTTTTCAATGGGTGACAAGTCTGGGTTGTAGTTGAGCCGCATTACTCTTCTACTACAGAGCCATGCTTTTGTGAATGTAGTTTGTCATTATTTTGAAAAAGTCATTGTCTGGATGGCAGCATATGTCGCTTTTAAACCTTTATATATTGTTCAGCCTTAAAGGAGTCGTCCCAGGTGTGGAAGCTACCCATGCCATGGACACTTATGGTCCTAATACCATCAGGGAGGCTGGTCACATTTTGATCTTTTAGACCACAAAATAGATTCCACCTTTTCTGAGTCTCTGGTATTTCGGGCTCTTGCAGGGATTCCCACTACAGAGTCCTGTCTGTTTTTAATGCAGTGCTGCCTAGAGGCCCTGCCCAGAGTTTTAATGGTTTGCAAACCATCAAAATCTGTTCTATTCATGTTTTACAAAGTTTCCAAACGTTCCTGGAGTTGGGGTTGCACATTATTGACCTACTCAAGGAGTTTCCCACTGTTTTTAAACCTGGGCCCTGTTTTATCTTTGTTTCCTAGTTATGGGAGCGCTCCCGTGGATCATTCCAGTTCACAGCTGGTGCAGAGCAGCCATTAAACCCTGTTCTTTGAAATTTTACTGCAGCGTTTCAAAAACTTTTTGGAAGTTACAGGTTATTCATGGATGTTAAACCAAATAAATGTCACTTCACTGGCATTACAGCCTGATTATTTCTGGTTAAAATGAGCATCTCAGTTAATGATCACCTCAGGTCGCAAATCTTTTTAGTTTATAAAACCAAATAATGACACACAAACACCTGAGCAGATGATAAACTGGAATAATTACCGTCTCTTGAGCCCTATTTATCACAAGCCTTTCAGCACAACACGTGTTTATTCTCATTCAAATGCACTTTTGGTTCTTTGTGGTGAAACAATCATTATTTTGGCTCCTGACCACACTTCTGTTGCACATCATCATTGGTACACTGAGGTCTCATTACGGACCATGACCCAAATCACAACAATGCTCTGAGGAAAACATCATTTTCTCATCATGTCAGAGCCAGAGGGCCAAACAACCTGCTGCCCACTGCTCTCTTAACCCACTTCTCTGCTTCCCATCTATCTGCAACACTGCAGCACATGGCACCCGAGTAACTGGACTGACTTCTCATGTCTTTTTCTGACACCAAAAGCATGATCAAGTGTTTCCACTGTTGCTAACAATTTTCCAATACCAGAGCGATATTGTTGTTGAAGATGAAGCAAACTTTTTCAACTTAACCCTTCAGTGTATGATGGTCACAAAACTTTGTCCTAAATTGGCCTTTTATTGTCTTTGATGTTGTTTAATGTAAAAAGTGTCTTCTCCCTGCTCCCTTCCAACCTGTGGATAAGAAATGTTGTGATGTGACATAATATTGTCGAATTGAGAAATTGCCTTGGCAGGAATAAATAAAAAAAGAATAAGTTTCATGGTAATTTCACATTTTGACATCATTTACTGGCAGTTTTTAATACCCAGTGAGTAAATTATGCAGTTTTTATCGTTTTCTGAGTGTTTTTTTTACCCTTACATTAATCAGTTAGTCAGAAAATACTGCAAATTCCTATTTAAATGGTGACAAAATTAGTCATCTAGGAACATCTACTTCAAAGAAGGCTGGTGGCACCATTTCAGCTCCAAAGACTCATCAATTAATGCCAAAAAGTAACCATTTAGGCTCACTGTTTTTCATTTACTAGGTAAGCTTAGGCGTTGTGGTCACATGCAGTGAGTCTCCTCCTTGAAACACGGCAATAACTTGCATCACTGATCACACAAGAGCAGAGAAAGTGCTCCAATTTTTCTTCCAATGCTGGTTTTCCTTTTTATATGGAAAATGTTCTCAAATTACGACTGTTTTTCTCTGTCCTATAGAGCTAAAATGTTGACATATCAAAATCTGTTAAGGGTTTTTTTCAGGTCTTTGCTAGCTCATCTAGTTTATAGTAGAGGGTCCAATGCTACCAATAAGAAAAATTCTGAGAAGTTGCCTTTGTTTTATGCCCACTGAAGCCCCCCTTCATTTGAGCTTTCAAATGTCCTCTCTTATAAATTGCAAAAGGACTTTAAAAGTAACAAAAACATCAGCTTCCATCCAGTTTTCAAGCACCCCATGTGACGTCCAAGAGTTATAAGTTAGAAGTGAGGAGATTAATAGGGCTTAGATATGGTGGGTGATCTCAATAATGGCGAAACCCCGCCACCAACTGGCAGCACAGACTGTCAATCACTTTGGAAGTCCATAAAGGACCAGTGTTTTGGATTTGTGCGGATGAGAGGATGCAGAGAGTATGGGAAGGCATTTAACTGGCATTAGATTGCGTCAGTCGGAGGCCTTGGACCAATCCACTGGTCTCATTAATCTCCACATATGTGAGCGTTTTCTCCTGAGCCATGTGTTGCCTTCGCTCTTCATCCATCACAGTTGGGCTACAGGAGTCAACCCCTGACTGTCCAACTCCATTTAAGTAATTAATCAACATATTTTCTGCTCTTTTCTGCAGGGTCAGCCAAACAGTTTGATAGCCACAGATGTCCTCCAGCTCCTGGACGTCACTGTGGTGGAGTTTATATCCAAGGGAGCAATCTGAGCTCTTTGGCTGAGCCTGCCATGCTGTCACTGTGAAACCAAAGCTTAACAGTTTTAGGCACAAAGAGAGTTAGGGAAAGAGTCAGAGGGCAAGCAGAGATCACACTAGGGAATAAGACCAGCAAAGTGCCCTGGTGCTTCCATGCGATGGTCCAGCCTGGACACAGTAATCCCCCTCTCAATCTAACAGAGAGAGAGAGATTACAATTACCATTATCAAGAGCCCACACCATTTCCTGATAACAAACAGATTTCAAATGGAAAACCAAATAGTCTTTAGCAAACTTACTCTGATCATACATTGCACATGTATTGCATCGCAGACAACTCTGCACCAAACCAACACAGATGTGTTCATGACCGGATCAGCCACAGAAACTGCAGTAACTCAGAGATTCTCCTCACATCATTTAACATCAATTATCACCCAGCTGTGTGGAATACTTCATTCTGATTGGACAAACCCCATAACACTGGTAATTAAATCTGCAAGAGCAATGCCAGGGACAACTATATTACATATGTCATATCAAACCCATGTACGGAAAGGAGCCTGACACATTTTTTTCAGTTTATAAAATCAGCCCTTCCTGTTGACAGTGTGGCAAAAACATTAGTTTTCAATGGTAGATGAGACCCTTCCATGCACTTACAAAGAGCTTTAGATGAGACTTGGAGTGAGTTTAATAAAGAATCAAGTAATCAGAGAAGACGTTTTCAATGTACAGTGTAACATAATCAAAATATCACTCCTACTCCAAACACAAAGGATCAATAATTTGCTTTTCTCATCATCAGGACTAATTGAAATCAATACACAATGATGCACAATACATGCACACACAATGCTTGACAACAACAAGTACCAACAGCTATCCAAAGACAGATTATTTTGATTCTCTGACTATATTTCATCTTAATGACGCAGAACAAAATACCAACACTCCATATAACATCCATGTTATATAGGGTAATTCACTTCTATGGTGGTGACATGTATGATGAAAGACTAGGGGTGGTATGAGCACGGTGGTACTGGATTGGAGTTGGAATAAAATGAGCCATAAATGTCCAGGAGATACATACAAACCCTTACGATAGCAAATACACAATGACTGATTCACTGAACAAACAGGCAGTGAGGGGGAGGGGCTGAAACGAAGGTGAACATGGTTGGGGGGCAGTTTGGAGGGAAGGGGGGTTGAAGACAATAGCATGGGAGGCATCACCAGCCAGGTGACAAACAAACTGGGAGTATTGGTTTGTCAGGTTGAAAGAGAGCCTCCCTTCAGTGTCATTAATCACTTGCAAACATCTTCATAAAGCAACACAATTAAAATAGATAAATAAAAACAAGAATGGATGGAAACAATGATTTGACTTGTCATTTATCAAGAAATAATGAATGCCACTGATTATGATACATGTCTCTATTCAGCTTCAGATTTCCCTTAGGGTCAAATGACCTTGAGCAGGAATGCCAACATTAAGCAGCATGTAAATGACTGTATTATGCAATGTTATGAACAACATTATGCAAAGTGACAATGATGTGAAACCATAATTAAAACAAATTACAAGATGAGTGCACTTTGGCAAAGAGTGAGCATCTCAGTGATTGCTCAATAAGATGGAGGTGACAGAAAACTGTCACCGAGTTTGGTTAATCAAGTTATCATCAACCAAAATGGAGCACATTTTCAAGCAAAGATAGAAAGACAGATAATCTCTGATTTCAGCTTCTGATGTTTATTTAATTTGTATATTTATAAGATCCACTGCATATCTTTTCATTGATATTCACTGAAGGAGAATCAGGCACTGAGGAAGTTCACTTTTCTCTGTCTCTGTGTTGCATCATTTTCTGTTGGGAGTGTCCCAGCTGGCAGTGAGCCACACAAAGCTGTGTGATAGGGGTGGGCAATATAACCTTAAATTTATATCACTTTTTTGCACTATTACCTTTTGTGTGTTTTGCAATAACTGTATAAAATCCTAGTGCTGCAAGATGAAAAGAGATCACCCATTTTCACTTGTCACTTTCCATCTGTCGCTGGTCTTGGTTTCCTTTCACATCACCGTATCTGGGTAAGTAGGTTTGTCATCTCGAACATAGGATAACAAAGTCATCGGCTGAAATACATAATTGATGAAGTAGACTAATCGTAAATCCCTGCAGCAATGTAACAAGCTGGCATTAAACTTGAGGAAACAAGAGTTTACTTTCACTGTAAAGACTGACACTGACTTTAAAGCGAGGAGGAGCCAGTGCTCTGTGGCTCATCTGTGAAGCCCTGCTCTGACATGTTGGAGCAGCACAAACTAAAAAAGACAGGATTTAATCAATAATGTTGTCTGTCACAATTTATTCCAAACACATTCCATAGTGTTTGCAGCAGCAGTATTGGGAGAGGAAATCCCTATTGTGCATACACTGAATTCAAGAACATGTGCATACAATCAAATACACCTCCCAACCCTACAGCATCCTGGTGTTATAGAGGAGTTTGTGAATGTTTGCAGGGATATTTTTTGATTTAAAAGGAATGGATTTTTAATTTACGCTCACACAGGCGGTGTAGGAAATGTCAAACATTGAAATGAAGGATGGAGAATAAGACTGTTCAGCTAATTTCCATCAAACATCTTTCTTTGTTTATCGGCTGCTTTTGCAGTTTGCTGTTGACAGTGCATCAAAGCAAGCGTGTGGGACACAAGCATCCTTATCAGTCCGACTAGTAGAACTCATTTCGGATGTTGGAATTTAAAAAGAGTTATATAGTTTAACCACTGGCAGATTTAGAGTCAATGTTGTGCTTATTTCTCAGCCTGTGTATGTTTACTTTGAGGTTTCATGAACCAACATAAAGCCTGTATAACTGAGGGCTTATCTGCTGCCAACAGAAGCCTCCATCCATCTCTAATGTGACCGTCTCTGTCAGCTCTGGACACTGCTCCCGTCCCTCTGGGTCTTTGGGTCACCATCAAGCGACATAAATTAAACATACAGACACATGCAGACACACACGCACACACATACTAATGGTAAGAAAAAAAAAATCCTGAACACACATGTATTGATGAATAAATAATGCCATCACTCTCTGTGCATGCCCTGCATCCAAAAGAGGACTGACGTGGACTTCAGCAGACCGGTGAACCAGGCTGTGATGGAATGAGTCCAACTGGGAGACGATTCAAACCACTAGAGGTCCTTCAGTTTGTCCAAGTCTTGGTTTGACATTGTTTTATACCGCCACCAGATACTGAGGCTCGTAAAACACACTGTTTTGATGAAGCAAATGCCTCTGCTGCTATGAAATATTCAAAGACCACAGTCAAATTTAAAGCTCTATTCTGGTTGGTTTTTAAGTTAATCACTGCACTCTAATACATGCAAGCAAAGCTGTGAAATGAATAATAAGGGAAGTGCGTTTTCTCACTCCCAGAAGTTCAACTTGTGGGATAGTTTTGAAAGACAGTCTGTGGAAAAAATGGGAAAAATAATAGATGCTTAGTATTAAAAGACTGGATCAGGTCAACCCTACCAGATACCGAGATACACAAAATGATACAGTTTTGTTAAAAACCACATCATAACAAAGATTATTGTCAAATTAGAAAGTTTACAGTGTTCCCAGTTTAACTAAAAGTGCAACTTGCAAGATATTTTTCATAGATGTCAGGTCGGTTTCGGCTGCAATCAAACTTCTTTAATTTAACAGAAAGATGGATATCAGTAAACCATTAGATATTAGGCGCTGCATGAGAATAAACTCAGAAAAACATTATCGCCTACGTGAGCAGGTTTCTGAAAATCACATAACACAAATCTGAACAAACTCTCAGAGAAGCTTTCATCTCATTCACTGCTGGAGAAGGCGAAACACATCGACCACAGCAGCCGTACTGTTAATTAGGTATTTGGCCCTGGGGACCGCCCATGTCTCCACACGATTAAAGATAGGACTCTAATGAGGGGAAGAAGACCATGCAGACAAAAGGAGAGGTGGAGAAGGGATTAAGAGAGGGTGGAGATGTGAGCACAGTGCATCATCAGGTTTCCAGAAACAGAGTGCAGAGCGGGTCAGTTTACTCTAACCCAGGAATAAAAACGCACCATTAAATGAAACAGAGTTTCTCTACAGCTGACTTTGATGAAATATATGCAACACTTTTGATCACATTCTCTGGGACAGTTTGGGACAAAAACTAATGTCAAGTTTAACTCTGGACTGAATCCACATCCTGAGGGAAAAATAAGAAAGCTAAAACACCTTTATTTTACTGCAGTGTTACTAAATCAAAGCAACACATCACTGTCAGCCAGAGACTTTTTATGCAGGTCAAATAAATCAGTCGGCTGGGCTGTTTGTGGAAAGCCTCATGTGTAAACCTTAATCACACATTGGTCATCGGCAGGGCGATAATGCAGGTGATTTTTCCATTCCATGATTTAATTAACAAGTCAAGGTCTATCAGCAGAGTGCTCTCCCTTTGTCTGCAGCAAGGTCACTTTCAGCTAGACTGGTTTCAAACTCGAAATGGGAAATAAGTCGAGAAAATCTAGATAACCCTAAAATACTTCTGCATAATTTCTGAATAATTTCTGTTCTTGTTTAATACAGGAAGTCAAAATGACTAATACACATTAATGTTGTCTTACATTTGAATGTGTCCACAGTTCAGGTCATTTTACATACCAGCACCATCAAGTTAAGATTTTATGATGAAGGACTATAACAAATAATCCAGCATTTAAAAAGAGAAGGTAATGCACAAATGCCAAAAAGCTGCATTACTGCACTGACCACTAGGGGGGACTCTATTGGTTGCAAGCACAGACTGTATGAAAATAGTTTTGGTGGCACCACCCACTGGTTTCTAAAGCCAAACCAAAAATGAGGGTCCCCATATTTGAAATGGCAACTCCAACCAACTTCTGGCTCAACGTGAAACCCACAAAAAGCTCAAGTTTAGGCCAAAGTTGCAGTGGTCTATTTACCATGAGCAGCTATAATGCAACCGCCTGTGCCAGGGATGTTCTGTAACATTTCGTTTCCAAGTTATTGAGAGAAATTTCAAATTTGAATAGCGAGCTAGCTTGACAAGAAAACACTCAGCAGACAGTCAAAATGAGCTGAACACAGGATCAGAGAGTCAGCGGGTAAATAATGTCGAACTAGGTTGCATAGTGAGATAACATCAGCAGAACTAGCACCACTCGTCTTAGACAAAATTTAAATTGATGCCTTTTCAAAGCAAAGATTGCTATATCCACCGGAGGGCGCCAAAATTTACACAAGTCAAAATTTCTCACGGGAGCTTTAAGGTTGTATTTGAAAAAGTCAATACTTGGTGGATGAGACGATACAATATATCACCAGACAAAATATCGCTGTACTAAGCTGTATCGATTTTTTCTCCCACCCCTAGTTATTACACATATTTAAACAACTCACAAAGCACTGTAACATAAAAAAAAAAAAAAAAACAACTTTGCTACTTTATCCTGAGAAAACCCTGTTACAGCCGTACTGAGATCTATTCACCCTCTTCATAGAAGGAAAGGACTGTAAACACTGATGAGCATCCATCCACTTCAGCTGTGATAACTTCAAACAAGCTGCTGTTGCACCTAATTAGCTGATAAGCTCTAATTCTTCTCAAAAAAGAAACCATTTTACATCCATGCAGGTAAAAATAATGAGCAACAGCAAGGGCTGAAGATTTATGACTTTATGGTTTGGGACGTATCAAGGGGAGGAAATGAGAAACGATAATTTGCTGGAGGTCTAATATGACGGTGGCTATTTCACTCCGCCCATCATCATCATCATCATCTCAGGTGTTGTAAAAAAGGGAGACAGAGAGGAAGGGGAGGGAGCTACACGAGTTTCCAAATTAGGCTGATGAGAGACCTGAGGAGAAAATAAAAGATACATCAACAAAGTGGACGTCTGGTGAGCGTGTGATTCATCAAGGTGTAATTGAAAAAAGGCAATGATTAAGAATTTTATTTTTCCTTTGGGGGAGGGCACCACAGGTCAGTGGACAGCACTTAAGCTGCTGCTCCCTGAGGAGTGACTACAGAGCAGTGAGAGTTAAATACCCAATCAATTCAGAAACACTCTCAAGTTGTTAACCTGCCGCATGGAAATGAGAGCTGCACACGTGCACAGCCCTGCAGGTAAAGAGCTAAAGTTAACACCGGGTCTGTATGTGGACGGCTCTATCTGCGTTTTAAACCACAAATCAGATGAATCTTGTTTGTTTGCCTTCAGTAAGTGTGAGTATTACATCCTCTAAAACGTCCTTGTAAAAGGGGACGTAGATTTGTCTCACTCTCTGCCTCCCTCATCCCAAAATATGAGCAAAAGAATCACAATGAAAGGACCTTGTTGACAGCACTGCAAAGGACGAATGAAGCACATTATCTTTATCGTGCCCTCTAAGGAGAAATGCTCATAAACCATCGTCACATAGACAAATAGTCTCTGAATTCATGTATTTGGATGGTTTATTTGAACATTTTTTCCTCCCTACAGAGTCACACATGGAAAGGTGATCACACTCAAATGTCTTGATAAATACATCAATATTTTCTTGTTTTCAAGACCTCAAGTTGAATTCAAAGAGATCCAACCTGGCAAAATGTCATCGTTTACCCATCTATCATCCTATATCTCAAAGCTTGCAGTGCATTATGACAGGATTTCATGACAAATGAGCAACACTTGTCACGTTAGAGTTTTTCCGGTGCACAAAGCCATTGATTTAATTGGTGTGTTTCTATTTTAAATGAAATGAAATATAGCCATGTGTTTTTGGGTCCCAAATCTAATCCTGATGTTTTAGAAAGGGGACATTTGGAAAATCCTCAGCAACAAAAAACAGAGCAGGACATTTTTGTTTGGTAAATTTTACAGCAACGTCCAAAAAGTTGAACTATGTTCAGCTTAGAGAGTGCAGAGACAAAACCCGGCTCATGCTGATCCTTAGGGTATTTTCACCAAGGATGATCAGCTCCTTAGCTGCAGAGCTACATTTCATATGAATAGAAAATAGGAACCGCCAGAGCCAATAAAAAAAGGAAAAAGGTGCCAGTCGACACAATCTGATAGGATCCCCTCAAGCTAAAGGGGTACCGGTACCTTGGTTCATTAGGTTTAATATTTCTAATTTAACCTTTTTCTCTTCTTCACCTCGACATGCTACAACTACAAACTTTAGCAGTCTTCCTCTGGAGTAAAAGCTGAAATATGTCAAAGTCACAAAAAAAAAAAGAAAAAAAAAAAAAACGCTGATTTTTATATATGAAAGGTTTTGTGTGTTGTATAGTCTGATCAAATTAACCTTTTTGGGTACCTTGGTTACCATACTTCACTTCCCTTAACTTTCCAAGTTGGTAATGAAAACAACAGGTTATAATGATTTTACTCAAACATTCTGTACCTTTTCTTTTATTACTAAGTAAAGTCCTTTGTTTTATCTTCTTTTATCTCTTGAAATCAAAGTCAGCCAGTCAACAAAACTCCAAGCAATTACAAATCCCCAAAAGTCAGTTGGGTTTTTCTGATTAGATCTCTAAAGTTCAAAGGTTTGATCAGGGTTAAGACACAAAATGGACTTTCAAGTTCAGAGTCCTTTATTCCTTTATAGCTCAATTTACTGCGAAACTTAACAGTAGCTTTGTCAGACCCCATTCTATTTATCTGTTGTTGTAAACAGTCAGGTTTAGAGTTGACGCTCTGGTTACTGGGTTGAATAACTCAGGCCTTTTTCTTCAAATTTAAGAGCTTTCCTCACCTCAGGTGAGCTTGACTTGGATTAAATCACTTCTTTAAACCTACTTGTAAATAATGATAGTGATTGTCTGAAGAAGTCTACTACAATTCTAATTCAAAGTCCATCATAAGTCTTGGATCCCTTCTTTTGGGGGCCTTTAGGACTCCACAACCTCTCCAGACTATTTCATGGTACCTCCTCAAGGAGAAGAAATTACTCATGTGAAGCAGTGGAGTGGTTTCTCACTTGGAAGTAAACATCTGTCAGTTTGGGGCATTTGCTAAAATGACAGATGGACAGCAGGGCGGGAAGTTTCAGCCTAAAGCTGGTCAAAAAAAATTAGAGTGGTGAATTTTAGAGGAAGAATAATGAGTTATTACAAAGTTTGAACATTTATCTGTCAGTAGATATTTACATTTGACAAGTCAATTTCCCATCCTGGAGGTTTGTCTCATCGGAGCCAAACACAGACACAGACAAACACACTCTCTATGTCCTTGAACATGACGAGGACACGTCTGATAAGGCTGGAGAGTGAAGGAAACATTACACATGGGTGCATCTGTTACCTGGTGCAAACAAGTCTGCAGAAAACATCAATGAATCACTCCATCTGCAACTTAAAAAGGACTAATCTTGAAAAAAAAAAAGTGAGAAATTCTCCAGGTACCACTACGCCTCCTCTATAACCAATCACCACCAGTCATTCAAACATTATGCATCTGATCCACGGCTTCCTGCTGCTGTGTGGAGTGGACTCCCCCCCCCATGTGGATACCAGCTCAAATACGTCCTCCAGCTGCGGTAATCTCCATTAAACCCTCAGCACTGTCATCTCTTCCCACAGCGCTACATCCTGGACTGAGGGAGTCTCTGCTGCTCTACTATTGTAAATACTGCTCCTACTTACTGTGTACATCTAATAAAAGACTCTGAGGCCTGTGATGGACATCTGTGGGACTGAAACTGAGGCTGAGACTAGGGATGCACCAATCTGATATTTGGATCGAATATCAGCTCCGATATTGACAAATTAACTGGATAAGATATCTGATGAATGATGCCGATCCAGTGTTTTGATTGAGTCTTTGTTTTCTTTTAATTAACATCATACACAGCAACACAGCGATTCTGTTCGCCCTGTATTTTATGTCTGTCTATCCTTTTGCACTAAATGTTTACATCATAGACAGTGTATCGAATGAATGCAGTCTGCCTCCTCGCTGGGTGAAGTCACCCCTAGAACAGCACCCTCTGTTGACGGGCTGCAGTATAGGTCATAAATCCCGCCTCCTCCAGCAATCCCTATGGAGCTGTAGACAAGTTTTAAAAATGTATTTCACAAATTACAATTTTTTTCTCCCCCCTGCTTGGGATGTTGACATGTAGTTACTGTAAGACTGGTTTGTGCTCAAGTCCTCTTTTTTCTGTACAGCTCCATTTTTTTAAAAGTTATTAAGGGGTTCACGTTTTCCATGATTGACATTTGATACAGCCTATGGGCGTACGAAGATTGCGTAGCTCAGTCGGGGGATACCCTGTTTGAGCCGAGCATCGTCACAGCGACTCTCGGCAACTCTCCCGCCAAATGCGCACAACGCTAAGGAAATGGAGAAAAATCGCAGAAATACCGTGAGCTTTTCGGCTTCAAATCCATACACTGGCAGAAGGCGGAACCAAGTTGTCCATGGTATAAACAGTCTATGGTTTACATGGAAGTCTTACGTCTTTTTGTTGTGTGCTAATGTGCTATTGGTTATTTGTTAATAGAGAATATTAAGTAAATTTATATCTGTGTTAGTTTGTTGCCTTTTTTTTATCAAGGCTATTGTCAAGCCTGATGTGTTCACTCACAGGGCAAGGTATACAGTTCATTCATTCAACAGTAGTATTGGATCGGTATCAGATATCAGCTGATACGCTCAGCCAAGGTATCAGTATCGGTATCAGTATCAGATTGGATCAGAAAGAAATGGACTGGTGCATCTCTAGCTGAGACTGCTCTAAAATACCTGTGCTATAATCATAAAAGTTGTATCAATAACCTCACCTGTAGGAAGGACTTAAGACTGCACTTATTTTCTTTCTACTTTTTGGTCTATTTATTTTTCACTCCTTTTCAATTGTTGCACGGACAAAACAGAATTTTAAGTTAATGAGAGTATTTAAAATTTTCATACCAGGAAATACAGATTCTTCTCTGCATTTGATAAAACAATAACTCAGGATGTGGTCCTCCTGTTCGATTGTTTTTGCCGTTAACTTCGACACTTCTACGGTAAAAGACAACAGGAGGCCCGGATAGAAAAGAGGCATTGAGGTCGCTGAAGTTTCTCTTGATGAAGAAAAACTCTATCAGACGTTTAGATGATCAATCACTTCTATACTGAAGGAAATAGCTGGGTGGGCCATTTCACAACTTTGTAACTTTGCCCACACTTTAAATTGACTTTATCTCAATACATGAGACAGTGCGCAGCTTAATAGAAACACAGTATAATTGAAACATCTGCATAAAGATAAGCAATGAACAGTGCAGCGTAAGCATAAACTGTATTGGGGCTCATATACCTCATTGATTTTCCATCACTTCCCACATACTGCGAGAACAATAAATCAGCCGTTTAAGTTGTAGCGGCCATCCAACAGGGTGCGACACCGACTGCTGCTACTGTGACAAAGCTCCTGCTGGGAGACTCAAAGAGGAAACTAAGCAGGGGACAATCAAGGACAGACAAGTTTAATTGAGGTCTCGGGGAATCTCTGCTGGAGCTGAAAACAAACCCAAGAGGACCCTGACGCTGTAGTTCGCTTAATCTTTTCAATCACAGCTGTGTAAAAAGGCCAGGATCAACAGTGAGGGCGGCTTTATGCAATGGCCTCCGTTATTTTCCTTTCACACCCTCAGTGCTGACAAATATTGAAGATACGGGAGGAAAAGCTCCCAGTCGTCCACTCCAGCAGGGTACAGAGGAATCAATCAGCAGCAGCGCAAATCAAGTTCAATTGATCTTCTTAAGAGCTTTCAGAGCTCAGATTAGGAAAAGATGGCCACAGTGGCAAGTCGACAGCTGATAGTGTTGATGTGTGGAGTCGATACTGATAAAGTCAAAGATGTGACCTGATGAAATATCTACAGAGCAGCTTCAGGGCTTGTTTTATATGGAGTAACTAGTCTGTCTCTTTGTGAATCCAGAACTTCTGTCTCTGTAAGTAATGTCGATGACCAAAACAACATAGAAAGCTGAGCAAAAAACAACAACACCCAAAAACTCAACGTAAAGATCAAACAGAATTTAACCCTCTTGAAGTAACACAAATCCCTGCAGGGAGAGTGTCGATGTCAAGATGATGTGACCGACATGGGAGGAAAACTTTCTGCCTGGAAACACACAGAGTTCAAACGTGCTCTCCTAGTGTTAGAGGGAGAAGAAAGGGTCAGGCAATCTGCAGAGAAGAACACTAGAGTCCAAGAACCTGCTGCAGAGATGTTAAATAAACACCTGCCGATTGAAGCCTTTTTGAACATACTAAGAGACGATTTCTGTTGGTATCAACACTTCAGACTGTACATAAGAATTTGACATATTCACTGTTATGTAACCTGTTGGTTAGTTATATCTACTGTTTTATATTAATTAGAAAAAAGTAAGTTATATCTTAGGTTATATCTTAGGTATATAGGTCATATCTTCACCCAGGCTTTGGTTTATGTAGGTCAGTGAAGGTAGCAAAAGCAGGGACCATGCAATCCACCATCCTAATTCTCTTTTGTGCTGATTTTGTAATTGTTTACAGGAGCTGCAGAACAAGTGACATCCTGCCTACTTTCACAACAATCCACCTGCCCTAGCGCCCTCACACACATCACAGCCACCTTGAAAGAAAAATGTTTTGGCACTCTTGAAAACATCAAAAGTATCAAGTTAGCCATTTTTTTAAGGTGACGGCAATCAGTGCCCCCTTGTGGTTGTCAGACGATCTGCAGGAAGGGTTCAGTTGTCCGGCTTTATCATCTATGTGAAAATTGCTTTTGAGTTTCATAAAATCTTTTTTTTTTCCTCTGAGGCTTTTTAATTCAATGAGATATTTTTGTTTAGTGAAATATCCGAGTCCCTTGCAAACTTTTAGAGGGGTTTCACAAAATATATTTGCGTTTTTGGCTGATTTTGGCCAGCTAAGAACAAGTTTTAAACAACCTGCTATTCTACAGAAAGTTGAGCAATGAACTCCTGAGTTGCCCACATCATCATGCACGGGTCACTCAGTCACATGGTAGCAGTGCTATGAAACATGTCTTAGCTTATCAACCATTTTATTCTACATTTGATCAAATCAAAGGTGATCATCAAGGTGGATTACACAAGACATGAAACTAGTGAAAAGGGTCATAAACTCTTGAGAAAACTGTTTGCTGAGAGGAACAATAGGGTCCATTTCTTGCAGAATCACTTTTTTGTGATTCCACAGGGATGGTCAGGAGAGGTCAACTGTTTAAAACCCTGAGCTTCTGATATGCAGTATACAACCCATGATCAAAAATAAAGAAAACTAGACCCCAGGCTAGATTCTTTGACTCACACTCCACGTCCCTCCTCATTCCTCTCTCTGAACTGCTGTTGGTAAAGGTCTACTCATCTGTACAGGGACAGCTGTTCTAAGACCTAAAAATAACCCACAATCTGTTGTCCACTGCGAACAAAGCAGCCCAATTGCAGCGGTGCAGCCATCTGGGGTAAACCTGACAAAACTGTTGAGGAGGTTCACATACAAAATTTAAAAGCACCTCCAGTCCAGACAGAAGGTACACCGACTGAACAAGGTGAAAAGTGAGAAGAAACTCTGTGGTAAACCCAGCTGTTCAGCTGCTTTTAGGATGAGGAAACAGACGGGTAGAGGAACAATAAGATTAGTGATCTACTTACCAATCAACCATGATAATGTGTCATTGTTGGAGAGATTCAGAGAAGATTTTGAGACATGGTTAGAGAATACGGGTTAGGGTTAGCTTCTAAAAAAATGTGACAACTTATTAGTAATTGTGGTTTTTATCATTTCAAACTGAACATCTGTGCATTTGGAAGTGTTGGTTGCTCATATTGACAATTTTCACACTCTTCTGTGACTTTAGGGGGAAAATACTGGAAATAATCATTTTGACTGGCAGATGAGGCCGACAGATTCTAAAGACATGGACAGGTTTTTGGGGTAAAGATGGGCTCAGACACGCAAAAGCACTAAATGAAAGCTTCTGAACTCATGTGACAACACCCTCTGTTTCCAAACCGCTCAAACACCAGCCTCCCTCTCTGTCCCTTTGCCTCTCAGTCCCTCTTCCAACAACAATAACCCACTCAGGGATTAGGGCTCTTTAGTGCAACACCATAATCAGGCTGCTCTTTAATCTCTCCTCATTTTCTAAACTCTAAAAATGTCATAGCAGTGATGCTTCAATGCAGCAGTTTCCCAGGACACAGCCGGGGAAAAGTCTCCCACTGCTGCAGGCCGCTGATGGTGTCCAATAATCCAAACTTAATTTATACAGGACAAAACTACAGTACTAATTAGATTTAAATAGAGCCTTAATAGATTTAGATGTTTAAACTTCAGAGTCTGGGCTCAGAGTTATAACATATTAACTATTATAGGGAAGAATTCAGTGAATCAGTAAACTGTTGTAATATAAATCAGCTGAACCTGCTCAGCTCTTACCAATTCTGCAGGAGATATAGTATAATGTGACAACGCTGTAAATAGGGCTGGGCGATAGACCGAAATTCACAGATACTGAAATTCACAGCAATAACCGATATATTCAATATATGGAGGACGGGTCAAAAGTTGTAGCTGCTGGAGCAGCGGCTAAAGTTGACAAAGTTAATGTAAGCAGCTTGTGGAGTAGTTACCGTCCATTTATCACCATTGTGGTGAACTGCTCAATATATTGTTATATTGATTTGAGGCCATATCGCCCAGCCCTAGTTGTAACAAATGTAATGCAAGACCGTACACACAGGGCTCTGGTCAGCTGTTTGGCTGCCTTAAAATACTAATACAGTCACCAAACTCAGTACACAGTAGTCCTGCAGTGCTGTGATTTCTTGAATACAGGTACAGTGTGTGGGCATGGCCAAAATTGTGCAAGTGGACATGCCCACATTTTTCAAATTTTCAGCCCTCTCCAGCACGTTTGACTTTGAAAAATGGGCTTCGCTGGGTTATTACATCTTTGCTCGGTCTACAAAAATTCTGGGGAAAATGAGGTTTACTTTTCATGGGAAAGAGAACAACTGTTTCTTGGGTGGGTTATCCAAACCACCTCATCTTTAGTCAATTAAAAGAAGACATGATCAAAAACCTCAAAGCTTTTGAAAAAAAGACAGTGTCCACAGAAGCTTGTTAAAGTCCAACAGTTGAAAAACAGTGTTTAAGAAATCAGAATATAGCAGCAGTTCACACAAGGCTACTGTCTGAAACATTCACCAACTCAACTCCACTGCTGTACTGAACCCTAGGCGTTGTTTGTTACCCACTTATTTTAAAATTCAGGAAAACCAGAAAAGTTCAACGAAAGAGTGTCTTCAGAGTAAATGTTAATCTCGCTCTGTTGTTTACAGCATAATGACACAAGAAATGGTCCACAGGATATGTTTACCTTATCAAAATGCACTGTGCTAGCTGCTGAAGAGGAGGAGGGCACTGAAATAACAAATACTACACACATCACAGTGTCTGTAGGTTGATCTGAGCCGTTTGGTGCTTTAGATTATGCTAAAATTCTCACTATGGAAGAACATTGTAGACCCATTTTGCTCATAAGTGCACTGCAGGCAGAGGAGTACTATGTAATTTGTGTCAGTAAATAGTGCATAAACAAATGGGCTTTCTGATGGAAAAACAAGTCCTGAGGAAAATCTCTCAAGAGCATTCGCTTAAACTGAGATATGCGCTTGGATCAGAGTCTCTATAAAGGAGTTATTTTATATCACAAAGTCGTCTCATCTGCAGAAAACTGTAGCCTCGCATGTGCACCGGTTCTCTCTGCAGTTTCTCAATAAAAGGGCCAAGCAATCTGAGTGGCATCTATTGTGACTAAAATATTTACATCTAACTCATACAACCTCGCTTTAAAAATACTGAAATATCCCTTCAGTTTCTTTTTTAACGTCTAGTCCTTGTTTTGTTTTCTTACATGTGTTTTTCCCAAACTGCCCCTTTCTATTTCAATATGCCTTATCTTTCAATAAAGTCACTTGGTGAATGAATGCTGAATCCCATCTGAATTCACTTTTTTATTCTGTAAAAACAATTCAGAAAAGTTTGCCGCGAGTCGACTGTTATGCTGGATGAATGTTAAGGAATGTGGGCCTTAAAAATGCAGCCCAGGAGCACCAGCAGATATGGAGCCCTGCTTGATGCACTTTTATTAAGTCACAGATGGTTCAGCGCTCCCAAGAAGTGCTCTTTTAAACTTTAAATTTACACTTTTGAATCTATTTTTCAGGTACCAATTTTGGGCATGGCTTCACTGACTGACCCCTCTTAAAGTCCTGATGACCTGAATTAAAGCACTGCAGAAACTTGGTTCAATAAAACTAAAAAAGAAGGGCACTTTGTCCTTGCAGCCCAGCTCACAACACTGAGAATACAAAGGAGCACAGGTGGGTCTTGGGCGGGGCATGTGGTGATCGCTCTTTCCACAGGGAGGAGCATATCTGATGAGAAACAGTCAATTATTTAGACTCATCATTCAGAGTCAGGGCACCATCTTCAGGCCAGAGCCCCTGGCCCGAGAAGAAACACAGAAGTGAGAGGAGGTGGTCCAGCTGCTGGACGATGAGGTGCTGAATGTTTCATAACAGCTCAGTGATTACTGATTTATTTAGCCAAAGGTCAAACACAACATTAAAGTAAAAAAAACACACTTTTTCCTTAAAAGAAAATCTGAACAAACTGATGAGAAAACAAAACCCAAACTATGAATGTGACAGTAACATGATCATAACATTACAGTTATATGAATAACTGTGAGTCAAAGAACAATATTATGCTTGAAAATACTATTAAGAGAATTAACTATTCATGAGTTCAGAACGGGCCTAATTTGGGGCTTCATTTAAAAATGGAAAGCAGAGAATAAATTAGCAGTAAGATGTTAAATCCTCACTCCTCCTTGGTTTAAAGACTACCAAGTTAAAGCAGCAGGAAGTGGTTCATTAAAATAAGAAGTGGACCTTATACAATGACAACAGATTAAATTCTACTGCAGTTATATCACTGTGACACAGATGATTCAATCTTATCTGATCTGTTAGTATTGACCTTATTGAGCTGATAGTTATCAGCCACTATTACAGTTAAGCACCAAACCAGCCTCCTGCTCTGCTTCCTTTGTCACTGCACATTTCTAAAAACATCTGAAGTAGGAATGAAGGAGAAGCTGGCTGCAAAAACAGTCCCAAAAAAAGACTTTTTTTGGTTATTTAAAGCATCTCCTGAGGAACTTTCCGTTTGTGTGAAATTTGGCACCACCATCAGTCAAAGCAGTCTTTGCTTATTGTGTCCTCTGCATGCTTCAGTGGTGTCTATAGATTTTTGACAGTCAATTTTCTCATTTACTGTGAATATTTTATTTGTGACAAAAGAGACCATGAGCTGTTAAGCAGCTGAAATCCTTTATCAGACAAGAATGGGACAACATTTCACTTTCTAAACTCCAGAACCTGGTCTTCTGGGTTCACCAACGTTTTCAGAGTCTTGTTAAAAAAAGAGCTGATGACCCGGCCCTAATATTTTTAAAACATACTGATGGCATCAGGTTCAAAATATGTGAATATTTTTCAAAAAATAAGAAAATCTCTCTATTGCAAAATTTGAATTGTTGAGCTTTACTGGGCTGTGTTAAAAAAAATATCAAACAGCTGCAGAAAAAGCAGGTCTAATTTCCTAATGTGAATGCAAACTACTTGGTTGTCTCTCAACTTGTCTCTCGTGTGTTTCATAAAGCTCCACTGTGCATGCTTGCTGCAGGATTTTGTGCCCTTTAATGCAGAAACCTTTTAAACCATGCAAGCTTAATTGTTACAGGTCTGAGGAGGCTTTTTGTGTTAAAGTCTCCATTTGCAGTAAAGATGTATTGTGTGGTTACAGCCTCTTGCTACTTTACTCAATGAGAGACTAAAAGTTAGACAAAAAAGGGTCAGATCAGTGCATGCCCTCTTAACAGTGTTCACTGGACAAAAACATCTTTAAAGTTATGTATCTTCCCCCCTGAGCTGATACGGTGAAACAGAAAATTCTGAGTTTAAAACCGACTGAGAGCAGAGATAGAAAATCAGTGTTGTTTCAGTTTTGCTCCCATAAAGTAAGAGGCTCATCCCGGAGGAGATAAAAGGGGAAAAGTTCATTTACTGGCAAATTATTTTCTCATTCTGTTAAAACGTAAGTGAGGGCAGAACACAGGGTTTGGGCGGAGAGAGGGACAGAGACTGAGAGATTATACTGGAGGAGATCAGCACATCTATCACTGTCGCCTGGCAAAGTTAAAGCAGGAGTCGAAATCAGAGAGTTTGGCTCACTTAAGACCCCAAGGACACATACTCACACACAAAAAGAGACACACACACTTTCTATAGACTGCAGAGGAGGGGGTGTCCAGGAGAGTTTAAGTAAGAGAGGAGCTCAGAGGACAAAGAGAAGTTGTCGGAGCTGTATCCAACAGAAGCGCAGGTAAGATTTGGCACAGGGGCGATCAGGGATGTACGCAGGGTAAAAACTGTTTTCTTGCACACTTAGAGGCAGATGCATCATTTAAAAGACACTTTAAAGAGGAGTGATCACATCTGACACAAGCTGGACATGCATTATTTCACATTCCTCATTAGTCCTTACCGTTTTATGTAGAAACAAACCAAAACTTCGCTTTTTATCAGTCTCTACGCAGTCATTGTTACAAATGAGAGCAGTTTTTGTAGTTTTCTCTTGCTCATGGATCACTAAGACCTTTTTTCCAATGACAACAACGCTGTGTTACGTCTGCAAACTTGTCTCTCTCATCTGTCAGGTTTTGGTCTCGCCATCTTTGACAGACTGCTGCAAATAGCACATGACCCCTGACAACCTTCAACCCATGCTTCACTCTCCTCCCGTCTGACCGCAGACACCACGACGTTCCTGCAACACTTTTCAAAGAATCTTTTTCTCACTTGGATGAATCACCTCGACTTGCTACAGCAGACTTGAGATGTTCTCAGGGACACAACAATTAGTTGATGTTGACCCCCACGCATCCAGCAACATGCAGTTTCTCTGCAGATGTGTAGCTCTTACTAGAATTATCTCTTATCACCACCCTGCCAGACACCTGTACATCACTGTGGCATTGATTGATTGGAGGTATAGGCAGACCCCACTGCCTGTGACAAAGACTCACTACAAGACTCACATTTCTCCCCTCCCAACTGGACCAAAAACAACACTTACCAGAAACACTCGATATGCATCTTTCCTCGTGACTGGACCCCAGCACGGGTCTGTGTCGTTGTACTTCACACTTCCAGCACTGCAGGAGTGGTTTCCACTGCACAGGACAAAAAACAAACAGACAAAGTGTCATGATTCATTAGTAACCATGTGAGATGTGAGACAAAGGTCACCTAGATGGTTTTACAGCCACTCGAGTATATTTGCCATCCAATTACAGCACTTTTCTTTTTGTTATCTGCAGAAGATGACACCTGTGATCGATTAACTTGTGGGCCATTTCTCTCACATGTGTCTGTCTAAAAGTTCCATCTTTTTCTGACAGATAAATCAGAGAAAAATAGAGAAAGACAGCGGTCCACTGATGCATCTCACCTGTTAATGTTTTAAACACCTAAAGTTTTCATTTTAAATTTCCTTTTTTGTGGTTTATTTTGGCACCCTACTTCTTTAACAACAAGCTTCCTCCACATGCGACTCACTTACTGTGATTAAGTTGCAGGTGAAATCTTTAAAACTTCAAACACTCAAGGCAAAGAAATACATGAAGGGAACTAGCCTGTGTGAAACAAAAGAGCAGAAATGCAGAGGTTTAGATGCTGTCAAAGGCGCAATTGGATGAGTCGAAACTGCAGCTGAGGTTGTGAGATCCTAAAGAGTATCTTCACTCACAAACCCTATCTTTGTTGCATGACTGATAGAGCTTCAGTATAATCGTCTGGTTCTGCTCATGCTACTTATAACTCTGTAGATTTGGTGCCTTCAGGCGAAGCAAAGTGCTTTTGAAGTCTCAGTTACATCTCACACTTATTCTCACTGGAAGGATAGCGAGTGTCGGACCACAGTGGAGGAGAATTTAACAGGATGAGTCAGGACAAGATGAGGTTCGCTTGCTTTGTCATAACATTTACAAAGAAAAAGAGACTGTAACAGTCAGATCTTCTTAACTGTAGGCTCAGATCTGAAATGGATGGCAATGTGGTAAATTTGTTCAGTAGAACAAGAAGAGGAATCTGGAAGGCCAGTAGAATACCAGCTGTTTCTAAAGAGTTTTCAGTGAGAGAAAAAAAAAAGTCTTTTTCTGAATTTTAGACCCTGTTGTTAAATGCTATACCGAGCTGATTCAGTCGCAGTTATAACAGTCTAGACATAAAATCACTACCTCAAATCTCTGTATAAAAAAACAGCACTGATTCACAATGAACAAAGGAAAAAAGTCTTTGCAGCAGGTGAGAGAAAGCCTACACTCACATTTTAATGATCTGCTGTGTTATTTAAAAAATAAAAAGCTTCTTAATCGTCTTTTGTCAGATTTTTTTCTCCTCTTTCAGTCAGACTCATTCAAACTCAAAACCTCATTTACAAATTTTAGGTTACCAGCAAAGTGCTTTAACAAAATCGAGACAGAATGAGCTTTTTGAAGCTTATTCAACATTAACTCCAATGCATGTATCACTTTGAAAAACTGGGGTTGGAGATCTTTATTTGGATCAATAGTGGCCGTTTACAAGAGGTCATTCAGTACAAATTTTCCTCCACTTTTTGAAAGTGTTTGAGACTTGATACTCCATCTCTCTGAAATGGTCCCACTAAAACAACACTAAAAAGGAAAGGGCTATTTCTGTGGTCCAGGATCTGAAGGGCAGAGTCAGTAACTATATGAAATACCTCATTCTCACCCCGTCTTGCCAAAGGACTTCCAATAAAAATCTATCTGGAAGCGAGTCAACACAGCTTCCACGCCAAGAGCAGCAGTAAGAGGTCAGCGTCTGTCAGTAGAGCTTTATTGTCTTAATCTGGAGTTCAGGGGGTGACAGCGAGACCAAAGTGGGGAGGCAGGGGAGTCAATGAAATGAAGACAGAGGTGCTCTGTTGTGCCAAAATGGAAAGTGGGGAATGTTCTTCAGAGAGAACATCCATAAAATCTATCGATATGCGAGTTTAATTCTGCACTAAAACAGAAGATGAATTTGATGAAGAGTCTTACCAGGCGACTTCCATCAGAGAGATGGGCACAGCTGCTGCGTAGATGGCCAGGTCGCCGTACAGGTAGACGATGATGCAGATGTAGAACATGTTGACGCCAACTGAAAGACGAAAAATGAAAAAAAAATCAAAACATAAATAACCCAGCAATTAAAAAAAAGATCTTTAAAAGAGTTTTCTTTTTAATTCTATAAAACACATTTTGTAGGAGGAGCTTGGGTGCTTGTTTTGTCCATTGATGCAAATGTCAATCTAAAAAACAAGGATTCAACTTTTAATATCTGATTCATGATACAAATCAGTTTTCTACTTTCTTATCATGACCCCTGAAGTGATAACTGTTTAACCACTTTCAAGCACAGTGGGAATGGTGATTATCTTTAGTTAGCCGTACTCTGATCAGCTGATTTTCCTTTTATTGTCACATTGAAGCCTTTACAGCCTCCAGGTGGAGCAGCCTCCAAAAAACAAATCTAAAACCGCTGTACCTATTCATCATTTGGGTCAAATATGTTAAAATCAAGTCCAGGTTTGAAGGTGCAGGATGTCACCTCAGTGAAATCAGTTCAAGATCGTAAGAACCGAACACATTTTTCTTCCTCATTAGATGCTTCAAGTCCTCACCCGAAAAACATTTTGATGGACTGTGTGTGTCAAACTTTACCACTCTGGTGCCATCTTTATTAAAATGTACTCTCATCCACACCTCCTCTAACTCATCCCCCCATCCCTTTTCTAGGACAGCAGCCTGTGCAGCAGAGGCCCGTCTTATTGGTTCAATGAAAAATATTAATAGCATTAATTAAAAAGCTAATCAGTCCATGAAGGAAATTTTTCCTCATCAGCCCTTTACTCTTCACAGAGACAAGCTCTTAAACATCTTCTTTTTTGTTTTCATCCACCCTCTCGACTGGCGGGCTCGACCCAGTCTGGCCTGGCCGCCTTTGCCAAGACAAGATCGAGAGCTTTAACAGGCAGACGGATCATCCTGGAGCACCTTCCATCCATCAAGCTGTTGAATTCTCGAAGGGAGGTTCAAACGTCCAACTGGACTCCTCAGCTAATACATTACTGACAAGGAAATTAGAGCACAGAGTCTATTAAAATGGAATAAAACAAGACAGATTTACAGCCTCACAGGGCAGACTGATTCTTTTAGGAATTAAAGGGTCGAGGGTGCCTATCCAAGAGTTAAAAAGCTGGACAAGAGATGGGCTTTTTGGACACAGACACTGACAGTGGACCCAGCTTTAAGTGGCCATCAAACTCCAGAAACACTGAGGGATTTACATGATGTTGATTCTAGCAGTGTCTTCCATGTCCAGGACCAGAAATCCAATGCCAATACCAACATTTTAGAGGCACTAAGCCTCTTTTTCAATGACCGTGTCTTCTGGGGTCCATTATTTGGGGCCTGCTTCCTCACAGCCAAGTTTTAAACAAAGGTTTTATATATTCAACCTTGTTAATTAGTTTGCAGACCTCACCCAGCTTGAGGTAGAAGGACCTGGATGCAGAGATAGTGGATCTCTGTGAGTGCACTTCCACATGGATCTCAGCTGTAGATTTTTCTTTGAGTCATTTTCACAAATTTGAGAAAGACTTCCTCTATCAAATACTGAAATTGCATTTTTTTACCCAAAAGTAATTCAAAGTTATTGCAAGATGCTTTTTTTTTGTTGACATTTTTGTTTGTGATTGATCTTTTGATTATTAAACCCACCAGTTTTGATCATCTTTAATAATCCATGATTAAAACAAACAATCTTCGGGAAGTGTTTGAATCAATTTGAGGACTTCAGCTCTCGACAACACTTTACATCATTTTAATCCAAAGCATGGTCCGCTTTCAGAGACTTAAGGAAAAACTTGATATCAGCCAGTTTATAAGATCTGTAATCAAAATGTGTTTTATTTCAAATACAAAAATGGATCCTTAACCTTACAATTTACCTTATTTAACAGTGAGAGTGTACTAACTTTTATAGCTTGTGAAAACCACTAGAGTTTTGAGTGTCTACTACTGCTTGGCCATGTATTGTAAGGAGAACTAGACAGGACTTCTGGAGTGGCCTCAAGATGGACACCTGCTCTTCATGTGCAATTATGCGCTCCCACAGTTTCTTAATACACTCCTATGCAGATGATACCCAGCTCTTCCTGTCAATTCAACCACATGACTCAACCTTCTCCACCTGGATTTGATCCTCCTGAAACACCACTCCAAAACTAATTATCTCTTCATCCCAGCCAATCCATCCATACAACCACAGATCAAGATCCAGCTGGTAAATAAACTCTTGCCCTGATGGCCAGCTGACCTTTGAGGTTCATGTGGCCTAAAGTGCTCAGTCATGCTGACTTCCCCTCTATAGCATCAGAAGAATCAGACTCCACCTGACAATCATGCAGCACAGCCCCATACACAAGCTTTTGTAATATCATGCCTTGACTGCAACTCCTTACTGGCAGGCCTCCCTGTTTGCACATTCAAAACTCCAAAACATCTGGAGTTTGCTCTAGGACATCTAAAGCAGATGATCCAGAACACAGTAGCCTGTCTGGTCATTAATCAGGCCAAAAAAGAGCCTGTCACTATGGTATTCATCTCTCCCCACTGGCTACCAATTGCAAAACCCTCCTCAGTCCTAACAAGACAGTAACAAAACTGGCTCTTGCCTAATAGAATCCCTCACCCAGGTCTATACTCCCACACACCTGTTACACTTTGCTACTAAAAGACACCCAGTACTAGTCAGACTCTTCTTCTTTGGATATAAATGAAATTTTAATGCTGTAACAAAAAGAAATTGCGGCACAAGAAATGTTAGAATGAACCCGTCATGGGGTGAAGTGCAACATGCTGCCAAGACCGGACAGCAATGGAAGAGGCTCAGTGAAATCTCATGTCCCATAGAAGATGAAGGGCAGTAAGTAAAGGTTCCTTCAAATTTAGTATAAAAATATGGACAAGGATGAGACGGGTTTCTTTCAGAAGTGACCTCAAGATGGTTCAACTTTATTCAGCTGTAGCAACTAAAACTTACGACTACAGCCCTTTCTTTTTTTATGCACCCTTAAGTGCAAAGCACAGAGAGGGCTGTTCTGCAGAGAAGTGAATGATGAAATACTGGACAAACTTCAGAAGTATGACGTAACATGATTTTAATATAGTCCAAGTCCAAAATGAAAAGGATCATGGATTAGGTTACGGAAGAAAAGGGAAATTAATTCTTTCTCAATCTTCCGTCTCACATCGTCAGCTGAAGACACAAATCCTCCTCCGGCTGCATAATGTCTCCTGTGGCACAAAGCTAGTCGAGTCACATTAGTGTCCCAGTGGTGAATAGCAGGAACAGAACATACTGTACTCTGTCGTCGCTGTCAGTAGGCAATGGCCAGGGCGAGCTCTGCATGACCACAGGGATACGGGCCTTCACGGCACTGTAACTAATATTTCCCAATTACTCTGAGCCACGGGTGAGAAAGCCTGTAAAATGGGTCTTTCAAGCAAGAGTCCACTCTTTCATGTAGCTGTGAAACGCATCACTATTCATGATCACTCTACGTCTGACTGACAGACCTGACAACCTCCTCTGGGGAGGTAAAAGGAAAAGAAGACACTACTGAGTAAAGTACATGATGTGGGAGGGCACTCTATTACCTTACAGGAGTTTTACAGCAGGGGTTTAAATTGATCCCAAAATGTTAGCTAAAAAAAACTTGCAATAAAAGAGACAGTGAGAGAAATTTAACCCTGAATTTCACTTCATTAATCTGCCTCTCCTTGTGTAAAAGTTTACTCCTTCTGGGAGGACAAAGGTCAAATTTTGATGAGACTTTCACAAATGAAATCTAAATTGAGCCAGCCCAAAGGCAGCAACACTATTAACAGCACGCCTCTAAAAATAAGTAAATAGGACAGAGTGGAGTAAGAAATGAACTATTAAAGTTCACCTGTTTGACATACAATCTCTCGGTGTGGCACATACTCAATCAAATAGTTTGCTGGTACAATCAAAAATACAAAATGAATAAATCTGAGGCCGTTTGGATTGTTTGCATTTAGTCAAACAAATAATTAAATGTCACCACCTTCACTAGTCAGCACAACGTTTCCTAACAAGTTGAGCTACATATCGATATTTCTATGATTGTGGGCCTGGTGAGCACCTGAACTGACCAAAACATCTGCATAAAGACGGCAAGAGTGCTGGAACTTTTTCTCATTGGCTTCAGCTCATACTCCCATGAAGTGCCTGTCACACAAACAGGTTCGCAGAGATTCTTTACAGCATGTGACTTTAGGCCTGAGCTGTAGTGCAGCCACCCACCACTAGTACTGTGGCTCTTGTAAATGACTGTTTACATTATGCTACAATGCTCTACTACCTAGATGTAAACAAGCACAGACGACAGATAACATCAGTGTGTTTATATGTATTTATATTGTATTTATAGGGCTGAACGATATGGCCTCAAAATCAATATCACAATATATGGAGCAGTTCACCTCGATAACAATAAATGGATGATAGCCACTGAGTCTGCTAACCGAGTCTACTTCAGCCATCCCTCCAGCCGCCACAACTTTTGCACCGTCCTCTCTCTCTTTACCCGTCTTTCTCTCTTTGTTACCAAATGGATGGGGTGGAGTCACATCTCCGACATAGGACAGCGTCTTAAAGGGACATGAGACCATAGCCTACCTACACACATCCAAAACCAACTTTTATTTTTATTTTTTGACATCAAATATATTAACATGGACAAAATGACATCAGTTATTGTCATAAATTTCCGTATCTGTAAATTTTCGGTTTATCGCCCAGCCCTAGTCGATCGCGCATCACAAGAAAAGACAAGCAGCTTATGTGAGCACTAAACCAAAGAAAAATGTCGTCCTCCTCATACTCCCTCATGCAGAATGTACCAGACCATCCCCTGCAGCACTCACACATCTGCTCAGGCCCACTTTCTTAAGGCTTTTAACAAACAGTCTGGTGGGAAAAGCTTTAAATGAGGTCGAAGTGATGGAATTATAAAGGTGAGTTCACTCATGCGTTCCACCTGGTAAATGTCTGGGAAATTTTAGGGGTGTAGTGCATGTGTGGAAGGGGGTTTGCTCCCTATTGCTTACCCCTCTATTCATCGGTGAACTAAGATGAAGTCTGAGAGGAAAAGTGAACAAAGTTTGAGTTAAAACAGCAGGCCTCACTCGGTTCCACTTAAAGTAACAAATAAAGCTTTCACAGAGTGAGCTTCTCTCCTTGGACTCGACTTGTCATATCGATCTGCCAGCTTGATCACAGTCGGCCGTTACGACCCTGAAATTAAAGTGCGTCTCTTACAAAGCCGACACAGGAAACTATTGTAGCAGTGGCTCATTGAAAATGATTGGGCTGCAGGCTTTGACAAACATGTCCATTTATCTTCCCCATGGTTTGAGCAGTCCCAGTTTTCATTCTCATTTGCTCTCAGTGCTCAAGTCTGACATTTAAGCAAAAGCCAGTGAGGTGTTAAAAATGGATGGGGCTATGTTTGGCTCTCATTTAAGACAGAATCTAGAGTGAATCACTGTTCCCAGCTACGGCCCTCTGTACGTCAGAGAGGGATCTAACACAGTGAAGAAACAATGCTGTTGTTGACAGCTTGAAAAGGTAGAGAGCATTAAAGCTTCACAGACTTCACAAAACTTGGATTTCGTCTCAGAGAAGCACCCAATTTCTGTCTGAAGAGGAGTTTTACAGCCAAATCACATCAGGTCATCTTTTCAGAAATGTTGATTCATTTTCACTTTCAGATGTGCACAAAGTTACTGAAAACTTCCTGTAAATGTGAACAGAAACATCTGTCAGCTTTTGGTTTCTTAAGCAGAGTTTTGAAGCCTTTTGAGTTTGGTCACCAAATGAGGTCGACCACCTGGACCTAACTTACAATCAACCTACCAAGAAGATCTTCAGCCCTCACTCCACTGCATCGAGGACACCTGCTAGCACTACGGAGCCATTAACATCGTGAAATTCTCTTCTTACTTGGGCTACTTCCTGTTCGACAATCTGCCCTAAGCTGGGCAGAACAGGTCACTCAGTGCGTTTATATGCACAGCTTAAGCGGACTAAGCTCATAATATTTTTTTTTCGCCGAATCGGACTTCTCTCCTTGTCCGCATATACATGCAGCTGAGAAAATTGAATTATTGAGGTGAACGTGCCCTCCTCCCCAAAACTTGGGGGGCGATAAGGGTCTATTCAGTGGCGCTGTTTCCAGTTGACCCAACAACAACAGCTGGTCCGCGCCAGACGTCAGTCGTGGCTACAACTGCTGCTGGGCATTTTCGAGCAAGAAGATGGAGCATCGTACGGCGTTGATGTACACGCTACTTTTTCTGCAGATGAGATGCACACTACTCCCCTTCTCTGGTGTTTTTGTTCCAGGGTTACAGAGGCGTACCGCACATGCACATGCATTGTCCTATCATACTTCGACTACGCTGGTTACATGGTAGAGAAAATCAAATTCCAATCGCATTATCTGGGTGTCTTAATCTGAGTTCTCCGACTCCAATTGGAGTTCTCAAACTCCAATTATAGTGGGACTAAGGTGTTTACATGCACTTCAGTTGTCCAGTCTTAATCGGAGTGAGGCAATAATTCGGTTTTCTCAAGAGTCATGTAAACATACTGAATGAAAGCAAGACCAAATGGACTAATGAACAGCTTTTTCTTTAACGCCATCCAGTCTCTGCAGACTGTGCAATATTCTGGTTGATTTAGTGATTTTATCTATTCAATTTATGTCCAAGAGTTTTTTTGTTTAGAGGATTTTGTTTTTGAATGGTTCCTGCCAGTTTATGCTGCAAAAACTGTTCCAACATTGTGACTGACAACTCTGCAGACAAATGCAGCTACTGCAAGGCTGTGCACACTAGATTAATGTAAGAAAGCAACAAATACAAGAGTCACTGGACTTTTCATACTTTTGAACGTCTTCTTCACATTTTGTGGCTTTACTTTTGTACAACAGGGGAAAACTGACATTGCACAGTCAGAACTTCATTAACACTGCATCACATCGCAGAAGAAGAGCTGGTACAAGATGCTGATGTAAGGACTACTCCGTTAGTATCCCTGTGACTTTCGCTAAAGTCGACTTTTAATCACCTTTCAAATCATCAGTGTGAAGGTTATAGTCACACCTTTCCTCAGTGGTGCAGATAAACTAGCCCCGCATCAACATTCCTGTCAGTGGCTGCAGGTCAGCCTGATACGATACCCATGGCCTTAATCCAAGCCTGCTGTCGCTGCCATGTCAATTTCAGTCCAGGAGGAAGTCAAATGCCCTCTAAGAGAGCCTCCCTTCTCTTCAGCAGCAGAGAAACCTTTTAATTGCTTGTAAAAGTGGTGCAGGAGAAAAAGACAAAGCACAGCAGGCCTCTGGTTTATGATCTGTGCGGAGTGTGAAGGAGTGTTAAAACTGCTTTAACACACTTTACCTTGATGGACTCTTCATTGTTACTCTGTTTAAAAAGAGGAGGACACCTGGTGCACTTTGCCTCTGGATGAATTTTGTTTCATACTACACTTCAAGAAAAAAGAGGCTGCTGGTTTTTCTGATATTCAGACAACTGCACACAAACTTAATCTTTGGAAGAGAACTAGAAAAACATTTTTAGGCATTATGGATTAAAGATTCATATTTGAAAAGTGAATGACAGCTCTCAATACTTTTAGCAATAGCAGATACTTTTGAGGTATATTTTCAATCACTTTGAAGTCAGAACTGTTGGATCTTAGTCTATGTATAAGCTGCTGACTGAAGCTCCAACATTTCAACAAACGGATTTGACTCGATGTTATTATTTGAGGTGAAATGGGCTTTTATGTACCAGGAGACAAAAAAGAAACAATATCTATGCAGAGTAGAGCGTTAGTGCAGCCAGACAGCTGAGCTGGTCTCGCACATGTTTAACATAAATTGTTGTTTGCTTCAGCATGCAGAGGTCAGCCAGAGTCTGTCCTTTCTGTTAATGCACACAAGTTGTGACTTGATTAGTGAAGCACAGCCAAAAAAAAATTATGAATGAAGAAAATGTCACAACAACCAGTTTGTAATCCTTACTTTTTTTTTTTTTATTAATGAAGTTCATAAAGTTACATGCTGCTCCACCTGTGCTTTCTCCTCCTCTTGTCTCTTTAATGAATGCCCCAGTCTCTCTCAGAGGGTTTAGACACTAAGAGATAAAACCAGGAGGGTCCTAAATATCCAAATAATAATAATAATAATAATAATAATAAAAAAAACTTTATAACTGACAGTTCTAATCACTATGAAGTTGAAAGAGAAAAACATACTGCATTTATCTAGTAAGATATCTGGGGTTTTTTTTTCATACCCTGATAAATCGCAGGCAAGAAAATTGATTGCAGTTTCAGTTAATCCTAATATCATGGAGCCGTATTAAGCACCATGCTTTGTAAAGGAGGTCTTCATTCTTGTGATTTAGATCATGAAGATTTTAGGAAATAGTTCAACTAATAAATAAACACACTGACAAGAGGAGTTGTTATGTCAGTGGGTTTCGTACATATAACTTCTTGCTTATACTTGAGTCGCCCCCTGCTGGCCATTAGAAATAATGCAGGTTTGAGGTAGTTCTACCTTAGATTCACTGAGTTATGTCCAACTCTTTTACACAGGACTAAGTCTTCTCTATTTAATCCATACTTGTTAGTTTTCATGACACCATTTTGACTGGTCTTTGAATTTGAGGAACAGACATTCTGACTTAAATCGCCAACATCTGTATTTGATTTCTAAAATAGTGGGACAGTGCACCATAAGATTTTATGTCCATCTGGATAAATGCATCAAAAACAAACTCAAAATGATCATTTCAGTTTTTGCTTTTGCTTAAATTTTAACCAAGTATGAGTGATTTTAGATTGGATTGTTTTATTCATGGACTTGAAGGGTCTCCAATGTTGAAACAACAAAAAACCTTTGAGATATTTGGCCTTTCTGTGTCCGTTCTTGGTGCTTGTTTGACCCGTTTGTTTCAGGTGTGCACGAACAGAAGGTTCACACAATGGGATCAATATTCTTGATAGCAGGTAAAGACATAGCAGGTCATTTCTGACAGAGCAGACAAAAAGAGCTGCGTTTCCCTTCTCCTTGCCGAGAGTGCATCAGGACTCATGTCTGTCTAATTCTCCCCTGATTTGAGTCAGTGGGCAGCTATCCCATCACATGTGGAGAGAGAGCAAAGGAGAGAAAACTAATTTCCTTATTACCGATCAATACCTCCACGTGTCTCACCTCCAGTTTAATGCAGAGAGGAGTCATCTGCACAGATTTTTTTTTTATCTTCTCACCTTTAACCGTCAGGAGACACGAGCGGTGGCGAGAGCTCACTGCAGCTTGAACAGCGGGAGCTGCATGACGACATGCATGAGTGCATTCACACGTGTGGGTGTGAACATGAGCCTGCTGGACGTGTGTGTGTGTGCGACGATGTGCGTGCGTGCCAAGTGCTCCACCTAGTGTTGAAAGGCTGAAAGACAGAGCGTGTCAGCACAGATGATGTTGTCAGAGCTTTGACCTTTTTGTTGTTCTTTGAGTCCTGCGACAACAGGGACACCGCAGACTGTTGAGTCACTCGCATCTGCTTAAGGAGAGCCGCTGGGAGTAATGTAAGCCGACACGTGGAGGGGGGTGAAGAGGAGAGGAGGGAGGTGCTGCTTATACACCGCCAGGACAATGTAGTGATATGAATAAGAAATGTAAAGCCGGGAGGTTGTTCTGAACCATTCAAGGTGAATTTGACTTTAGCTAACAGAGGTTTCATTAGACTCCAGATCATCCAGACTGAAGCTTTACAGTCTCGTACAGCATGTGCCCCCTCACACACACACACACACACATGCTGCAGGGAGATTAACAACCTTGATGGGGTCTCAAACAGGTAATTACAACCACAGGCAATTTATCCATTTATAATTACTTCCAATTAAGAAGCCTTCAGCCTTCCTCTGTTAAAGTAAAGATCGGACAGAAATAGTGTAAAAAAAAAATCTGTATTATCCCACACAACCTTCACTCCTCCTCCACGTAGCCGATGGCGGTGGCGTCTGCAGTTAATTGAATAATGGGAAGCGAGATAAGAAGCTTGAGGGGAGAGGAATATTACCTTTGTTGAAGAACATGGAGGCCATCTGACCCATCTCAACCCGCTCCACAATGTCAAAATGATCGACGTGACCTCCAGATCGCTCTGCGAAGACAAAGACATCATCAGTAAATCTCATGAACAGGTGGAAGGGTCAAAGAGCAGTATGATGTTTTCATTTGGCTTAATGTCACCTTTCAGATCAGAACACAGTAAACAATATTAATCCCAGAGAGCAAATCAGGTTTTATAATCTGCCCCTACTGCGCATACATTCACAGACAAGCAGCAATCAGGAGTATGTAAACAAAGAATCAGTGCAGGTTTTACAGTCTCAATCTGGAGTACAACACACACTTGTTCTCATCTAAAGGGTGAGCTGCATCATATATGCCAATGCAGCTAATACACCAGTGTCATATGCAGAGAGAGGTGTTTTAGCACCTGATGGCACTTGAGGAAGAACGACTACTTTAGATTTTGGAGCATGTTGCATGAGATATACAATGAGGCAAAAATCATTCATTTAAAGACAACGGTGGAATACTATTCGTCAAAAACAAAAAAGCAGGTTCCACATTTCTTAAAAACAGGTTTTCAATGGCCGTGCCAATATTAATTGATACATAATAGATATATAATGTAAATTAAAAAATGATGCATTACATGTCAATATACAATTTTTGTGCATTTGACAAAATACAACAATATAATAGTTTTCTTAGGTGACGAGAGATGCGTTTTTGATTGGAGAAGGTAATGTTGTTTTAATGTGTATTATATCAAACTGCCATTGAGTGGTCAGAGTTAAACCTGAGTGAGAATTTTGCAGACAACATTAACTTTGTAATGTGGGTCTCTGCCTGGATCTCCTGAGTCAACACAAAATTATGTCACTTGTGATGCAGAAACAAGATTCTGAAATCAGGATCATGGGAACTGAAGCAAGTTATCTAAAGTTTGACTAAAATTCACTAAAAAGATAATAAATCAGCAAGGAAGAAAGCACGTCACAGCTAGAGGAACTGAAGCAGCGTCTTGGTTCACTCTTGTCATCAAATCTTTCAAATACCACATGAAGTGTGTAAGACAGGCTCCATGAAGGATGTTATAAAGATTTTAAGGTGTAATGAAGACTTAAAACAGGTTAAGTACTGGGTATAAAGCCTCAGTAAAGCATTAACTCAATTCAGGCATTGTGAGAGATGTAATGAAAGCTTAATAAAGGGTGTTATAAATGCTTAATAGAGGACAAAAATGCTGTGATAGAAGTTTAATAAGGCTATTATTAATACTGTAAGAAGACCTGTAATAAAAGCCTCATTACAGTTTAATAAGAGGTGTGATTAAGAGATTTTGAAGGGCGTTATAAAGGCTGAATTACGGCTTTTTAAAGGCATGATAAAACTTCTACAAAGGGTGCGATAAACTCTTGACCAAGGTTTAATCAAGAAGTTGCACCTTTTCACCACTGGTGAGTCTTCAGCATTAAGGTATTTAAAAAGCATCATATATGCTGCCATTGTGTTTTACTTTCAATTTTCAGTCATTTGAATAGTTTTGGTTTCAGATTTTTTTTCTACACCAACCTGTCAAAAGAAAAGTAATGTTACTGTTTATAAATAAACGTAAAAGCAAAGCTCTTGTCACAGTATATACGTTCTCTTTTGAGAGCCTAAAATGTCCAAAACGATAAAGGCAACTTATTTTTGTTGGTTAAATATTACTTATTTTATTTCAAGAAAACACTGGAATAAGAATTTCGAACTAGAGTCAAAAAGGTTGAATCCATTTTTTGTTGTCATTAGTCATTTAGACCCTCAAATATGCAAAATAGGGCAGCGGGTAGATAACTATTGACAATTTTTCCCAAATAATCATTTTTCTAACATCTAAAGGAAGTTTATGTTAGTACTGAGTAGAGAGCAATAAACTATTATACCCTGAACACTCAAATACTCACGATACTCACGGACAGACAGAATCGGCCTCGTCTCTGGCTCCGATCGACCTCGGCCCATGATGTCATCATCAGAGTACTCTGAGGTAGAGTCGCTGTCAGCCACCTGTAAAGACAACAAGCTGTAATTTGTAAACATCCACTACAGCCAGTTTACAAGCGATTCAAACACCGAGTTTATCAGCTCTGTTTGTGATACGGAGGAGGGTGACATCTGGAAATAACAAGCAACAGCTGGAGAGCGGATCACTTCACAATTCACACCAATGGGTTTTCCATCCTTTCACTCGATGCTCTGCAGATTAATGTCAATTAGCTGTCGATGATCGGCAATTTTGGGGAGTGTTGTCAGCTGAGTTAATCAGTGACATGCTGGCTGGAGTTCAGAGAGGAAGAGGAGATAAGGAGTGACAGGAGCTCATGGATCCGTGACAAACGGCAAACAAGAAACGACACCACAAACCAAAACCCCAGCAAAGAAAAAAACGCTAACAGCTAAAACAGCAGAAGAAGCCAGTCAGAGGAGTTCTTAAATCTGAAGAAGCTCAAATTAACAAAGTTTAACTAACTTTAAAAACAAAACTGAACATCAGACCCATGTAAACCTCTGAGTATCAATAAAAGAGTGTCGCCTGGGTCTTCAATGGGCAAATTGTGCACATTTTCTGCGTCTTGTTGAATATTTTATTTTGTGTATTATTTTCCCTGAAATTGCCACATTTGTCATTTCCATCTTCCCAGTATATTATGATTTGCTTGTTGTATTGTATTCAATTGCAAAAAGCAAAGAAAGCAAATAAATACAATGAAAAATCATGTTGTTAAGCCAATTTCCCTCATGTTTGACATTCATAAACAACAACTATTGCTTGGATGTTTTCTTAAATTTTACTGCCAATTAAAAAAAAATGGGCTACACATTCTTAACATTTGGGAAAAGATAATTAGGTCCATATTGGAGCACTTTAAAGAGAAGATATTGAGCAATGTGGTGGCAGTAACTCATTTTAAATTCCAGTAGAGAGCAGCATCACTCCCTCAGTAAAAATTATGAACTGTTTAATCAAAGCATAACTGAGAAAAAACGCAAAACAACAGGTCATGTGATGTTAGAGTCTGTCTCCAATCGGACACAGAGTTTAGAAAGAGTTTGTTACTATAACTGTTTACATCAAAGCCTCAAGTCTTTGCTGTTTCCAAATGGAGGAGCTTCAAATTATTTCTGCAGACAGACCCTCCCCTTACTCACGGATCTATTTCATACCTAATACACCTAAATGAGGCTTTCATGGCAAACACATATGATGCACTGCGGTGGAAAAGTCCTTTACTTTGGTAAATATCCTCCGCTCAAGCAGAGAGAAATAAAAAGCATTCAGCTGCGAACATTTCCAGTTTCCTCCCTTTCTTGTTTTCCATTACGTAGGAGGGAGCAGCGGAGAGGAGAACAGCAGCCATGAATCAGGACCGAGTGTTTGGGGCTCACTTAGAGCCGGGCTATTGTCCTCAGGCTCATAACTCCTCAAGTGGAAACCCACAAAATGACTTCTGTACCGCGGGGAGAAACAAAAACGCAAAGGCCGAGCCATTTAAAGCCCACAAAGTCTTCTTCTTTAGTCAAAGTAAAGATGATTGACGATTGAGGCGGTAATGGAGTACAGTCTTTTACTGGCAGATTCATCAACATGGAGTTTTTAATAGATGGAGGCAGGAGACACATTCACTTCTGCGCTGATTGGACAATAAAACAACAACAGCATCCTGTTGAAATAAGATTTTTTTCTGGCCTTTAAACTGTTTGATTTATTTTACGGAGTTACAAACGAGAAAAAAACCTATTCCTATCAAGAAAAATTTGAAATTGACAGACAAAACAACTTTTAAAAAGTATCCATTAGGCTACAATTAAGGAAGATAAAGTTATTTGTTATATTGTTTATTAATATGGAATGATAATTAATAAATCAGAACATTTAATGTCTTTTTTATTAGGTATGCAATGATACCTCAATCATTGGGTTCTTACCAAAGCTAAAAGATAGTGCCCTAATGTCTCAGGAAAAATATTGAAACATTGTAACTTTGCAATATTAATCAATCAATTTAAACCTGAATATACCTGATATAACAGAGATATATCAATAAAAATATCCATATAGAAATACAGTTATGATTATTATTTTTTAAGAAGACTACACAGTAATACCACTGAGGTTTTATGGGCCACACAGAGTTTTTTTCAAATAACAGCTTTAAAGAGCTCCTTCACTAACCCTCTGATATAGAATTTCCCTCCGGGGATCAATAAGTTCTTCTTCTTCATATTAACAAATCTGAGTTATACTGGTGTAAACTGGTCACCCACACCCTACATTTTTACTTCATGCATACGTCAGTGTACAGTTCCACTTACACTGCGTTTGCATGCATCAGCCTGAGACAACAAATCCTGAAATGCAGAACTTGTTCACATTGTTTAATCCAAACAGCAGCAGGATTTGTATTCATGCTGTTTTTGAGAGTCAGTGAGACATCAGAGATCCGTCGCGCTTCAAAATGGGAATTCTTATTGATCTGTGTCTCTTTATGAGCGCAGTTTTAGTCTGAACTGAAACAGCTCTGGGTGTTTATTCAGAGACAGATTCTTCCTCTGTGCATCTGTTCACAAAAAAATCACAGTTTCATTAGCTGTCTAAACTTTGGAGTGTAAACGTCCCTGTACTGCATCTTTTCCAACATTAGCTCCACTTTCATGCCTCAGGGGTGTAAATAGTGTTTGGCGTTATGTCTTATTGGACCAACTCCCCCGCTGATGGAGAAAAGCTTTTACTTCTTGAATATTTGGTTTGTCTGACATGCATACTTACAGCTAATAGAAAGCCATCTGTCCAACCAACCTATTAAAGATATTTACATATAGAGTGCGACTGCTTCGGCACAGTTCGTCATCTCACCTCATCCTGTTCTCTCCTCTTCCAGCGAAGTTGAGCATTCGCCGACGCCATCGCCTCAATCACAAACGTGGTGGTCATGTAGCTGGTGGGAGGAAAAACACTTGATAAGCGGCTATTAATCACTCTGATCCGAATAAAGGCTATTATCACACTGTCTTTTATAAAATTTGAGCAAAAAAGAAAGAATTTGACTTAAACTTTAAAATCAGTGACAGAAAATTCACGATGAAAGTGGACCTAAAGCCAGGCAATGCAAAGAAATTAAACCTCCAACACTTTGAGTTACAAAATACGTGCACACGGTAAATGATATCCAAACATAAAAGACATACAGGCAGTACTTTTGAGGCACACCAGGGGGCCAAACCCCACACTTGATTCAATGATTTAAATACACGGTTAATGAACTTCCTAGCATGATGCAACAGAGACATCAGCTGATTGAGTAACTGACTGAAATGCTCAAATATCAGCCTTTGTTTCCATACAATACCTGCCCAGTATGAGAATATATTGAATAAAAGAAACTAGTATTTGAAGCTGCAAAGGCAATACAATTTTTTTTAAAGAAAATATTGTAGATATTCTAAAACAACATATGAAGCCATAACTCTCTTCTTTGTCCCTCCTAAATCAACAAAGTCTTATGAATCCAGTCTTTTAGCCCCAGTAGGTTTTCATTAACAACTTTTCCTCCTTTTCTTCTTTACCATGAGCCTCAATGTTAGCTTATCTGGCTGTTGTCAGCAAATTTCAAAATCCATTTTACAACTCTTGTTATGTGAGGGTTTGGACATCATGCAAAATGTTGATTACATGCTAAATTTGATGGTATGCAAACCATTTAAAGCCTCAGACAACGTAAAAAATATTAAAACAGATTTTTTTACTATTTTATGAAAACTTAAGACTCATCTGTGGATGCAGTAACAAACTGTGACCACAGACAATGGTTTCTAGACCTGATTTTAAACCAATGCGATATCCTTTTTCCTTTCAAACAGACATTTCTCCAGATTCTCTGAATCTTTTAATGATATTATGCTCTGACAATGATGAAATGTGGGAATTCTTTGCAGTTTTGTGCTAAAGAGCGTATTTTTTGAATTGCTGAACTCAGTCTCTGACAGAATAGTAAATCTCCTCCCATCTACCAAGAGACCTAGCCTCTCTGAATGTCCTTTTTATACTATAACATTCAAATAAAGTTTTATCTCCGAGTCAGAAGAGGCAGCCACCAGGCTGTCAGCTGACAAAACAAACCAGGATGCAGGTCAACAGGGCAGTTATGGAGGCTTTCCAAGTAAATAAATGTCAGGATGGATGTAAATGTTCACATTACGGCTCTATCTAAACCTGGAGGACAGTTTCATCTTCTCAGGGTTTGTGTAACAACTGAGACTCTCTTTAAAGTTTCTCTAATCTAATTCACTGTACTTCATCATATTCAGTCTTTTCTATTGTGTTTAATGCAGGCCTTTATCATTACAACAATGGAAACACACATCATCTATCAGCTCAATTTTAGGGTTTGATTCTGCTTTAATAGTAAAGCAGGAAAACCTATATGTAAAAATCAACATCTATACAAAATGAACAAAATCACATATTTAACCTGGCTTTGTGCAAGATTAACTGTACATCACAAAAGAGTTACACATGTGTCTTGTTTTAAAGTTGAAACAAATACAGTATGCTGTGTGGATTTACAACGACACAACATAAACTATGAAAACAAAGCAGACACTGGCAGTGTTGCAACAATTTGAGGCCAGGGTAGAACAGGACTTACCTCATAAATCCTAAAAAGGAGATGAGTGCTATACTGACAGCCCAGCCAGCTGCAGCGAAGGCTTTTGGCATCGTCAGAGCTCCTGTGCCCACGATGAGGTTGAACATATACACCAACCCCACCTAGAAGAGATGACATGAAGATTAATCAGGCACATTAGCAGAAGAATTCATGGAGGACTCTGTTTTGATATTTTCAGCATTTTGTACACTTTAAGTGCTCATCTAGGGCAAGAGAAAAACATGCAGTAACATCATAGTGATGGTTAGGAGTGTGATAAATTAACCAAAAAGTGCATGAAAAGTATAACTCTCAGTTTTCATGTCTACATTATCCAATTCAAAATGAATCCCAAAAACATCTTTTACTGCAAATGCTAACACCACACCAAATTATTGTACCTTACACTTGGGCCAGTCTTGTAAATTCTGGGGACATGAAGGACTTAAATGTACAAAGACTTTCTTTGAACCTGTGATGGCTCCTTCTGTCATATTTGTATTGGCCTCATCAAAGTGTTAAAAACTGCTTTTCCAACACTGATGAGTTAAAATGATTATTCTGAGTGTCTGGGAGCACTATGCAAGGAATCCATACAGAAAAACTAAACACTATTCTTATAACATGATCAACTTGAAACAGCTGTGCATCCCTCCAAGTCACCAGTCTCTATACAAGGACAGCGTTTATACCCTACAGAACCAGCCTACAACCCCACTTGATGTTAGTTTGGATAAAGCTAAGACTATTGGTGTAAACTATACATAAAGACCCCAAACGGACTCATCAGTATATGAAGTGATGAACCTGGACCATCATGTTTCTATGTGGAAAAATCTCTGCTTTTGTTCATGAAGCCTGGAGGCTTTGAATGGAGCAATGAAGCTGTTTTTCCCTAACAATGGAAAAACAAATAGGATTGTATTTGTGGGCATGGTTCCTGTAATATTTTCATACACTAATAATTATCTAAGCTGTTAGTGCATGGCAACAAAAGCATTTTAAGCGGATAATTCACAAGTTGCAGCCATTACAAAATTGTCCTGCAAATGAAAACATCTCTTGAACCTGTAAATATTTAGACTCCATAATATTAGGAAAAAACAGAGTTTAAACTCCCTTGAATACTATCTGGATGCTTCCAAGTGAATCCTGTTAGTTTTGCTGCTGCACAGACTCTCAACAGGGATCGATCAAGTGTCATTAAATACTAATGAGTTACATAATGTTTTCCTTCTTTGGTGGAAAATTTCAGACCACACAGTATCAGGTTTTCTTTCACACACAGCCTGATAAAACTCCAGCTCTGAAGAAGAAAGACTTGGCTAATTGAGAAGCTGTTACCCCTGATCAGGTAGCAGAACGCTTTAATGATTTAAAACACGAAGCTTCCTGGAAGAAAACACTCTACGAGCAGAACTTCATCTTTGTGGTACAATCATGCAGACGTGGGCAGATTCAGCAGCTTAAATGAGTCGTCAAAACCGGGCCTGCACCTTAAAGAGGAAGATGTGTAAGCAAATAAGCTTCCTCTTTATGTTTAACAGCACTTTCATATGAACCATTGCCTACTTACAGAGACATTACTCATTCAGTCTAAAGAAAAGTCTGCAAACACTTAAAATGTGAATAAAAATGTTTGTTTCTATTCACTCAGTTGACGATGAAGCAACTTCAGAGAATACTACAACTCCTTATCCCACATTTTCATGATTAGCAGGTGAACTTTACTTTCAAAACTTTGAATAACAGGCCAACAGTCACAGTTTTTATGGTTCAACTTTCTTTAAAACAGCTCGTGTTAAAGTGTGCCTGACCTAATATGACCAAAACAGATCAGTAATTAACTAAAGTATCCTGCAGGAAACTCACAAATGGGGAGTAGGGTTCTCCGGTCTCTGTAATTCCACCTGCCATGGTTGATGACACTGGTCTCTTCACCTAAAAGAAAAACAATGATCAGGTTGATTAAAGTTTATCAAGTTGGCATTACAAAGAAAAAGGCAGTTTAGCTTAGGTAAACAAAACAAGTTAAAATATGAAACCAAAAGACCTTTTTAAAGTCAGAGTAAACAGTAGAAACCCTCATCAAACATTTCAGTCGAGCAATACAAACACAGATTTACACTGACATCTGTAAACTTGACTTACCACAGATAATAATGAGTGCTGAGATCATTCTCTAAGTTACTTACTCTTTTTACTTTTTAATTTGATATGAAAAACAGTTTGTAATGTGAAAAAAACTATGATTAAGATACTGCGATTGAGAAAATATGGGCCAACAGTGATTCAAATGTTTAAAATAACAACTGTACAGCCTTTTTACCCTCTTTGAAACCCATGTTTTTAAGGAAATTTTGGTATTTTTGGTATTTTTAAGGACTGTTATTGTTAATTTTATCTATGTTATAAAAACATTAGTGCACACTGTTAAAGCCTAGCCTAGATTTTACTCTCTTTAACGGAGTACAGATTCAATTGTAACGATTTACAAGACAAACATGAGTTCTCAAGAAAAGTCCTTAATCACCGAGCCACTCCAAAAATCACTGCAATGGAACAATTCGGGCTAGACTGATTAATCAGGCAGATTAATGGAGATTTGAAATATGCAGCACCTGGGCTAATGAGGCCAGTTATAAAAATTAACATATCAAGTCTACAAACACTGAAGGCAGGCAGCCCTGAGCAGCACCAACATCCCCGTAAATGATTAAACGTTAAATGACAACAGGTCAAATCCATTCATTACTGATGTGTTCGATCTTTACTCTGTTATGATTTATAGAATAATGTTGTACCTAGCTTAAAATATTTCATATTATGAAATATTAGCCCAATGTTTTTTCATCTGGAACACGTTTCTGGTTTTGATAAGCACATCATAGATTTTAATGTGAATGGCTTTTAATAGCAAATTCTTACAATTTATAAAATGTAAAAAACAAAAACATGATATAGGTCATAAAAATTTGCCACCAGCCGACCGGCTCTTCAAATATAAACAACGGTAATAGTCGTTGAAAACCAGTATCAGTCACCCACTAGTTGGAAGGCTGTTAGCATCAACACCATTGATCGTCCAGCAATTTAGGTTCAATTTATAGGGTTTCTTTTTTTCTTTTTTTATCATGCAATGTTTTATTTTAACTTCAGCATTTCTGTGTTTCATTTTTATACGTTACATCCCCTTACCAGAGCAGTGCAACAAAGCTGTACATATTCTGACAAAATATGCAGTGATTTAAAGCTCCTGTGTGGAACTTTTGGTTTATGGCCATTTTGGCCCCAATTTTGACCCCCTGTGAAAAAAAGCAGTCTTTGCTCTTCTTGTCTTCTACATGCTGAAGTAGCAGCAGAAGTGACTAGTGACAAAAATTTTCCCCCTGCTGACTTCTAACAGTCAAATGTGTGTCAGGCATTGAAACTTTAGTTTTAAAACATGACACAATGGCAGAATTATGACTTTATTTGGGTATTACATCAAGTTTAGCTAGACTAAGTTAAATGAAATAAACTTAAAAAGACACCTTTCAGTGAAACTGTTTACTCGAGTTACTTCTGTGAAGAGGTTTCCAACACTATTACCTATCAGTCAGTTAATCTCTATTTGTATGGCACCAACTCAAAACAAATGTTATCTCAAGAGGCTTTACAAACAGAGCTGTTCTAGATCACACTCTAAATGATATTTACAAAGACCAACAACAAGATGGGATAAGAAGATTGAGATCAGACCCACACAATTCTCGTCTTCATCTACATGAGTGTAACACTTTGCATTTAACAAGGAGAAACCTCAGGCAATACCAAACACATGTCAGACAGATATCTACTAAGTCTGTGCTGGATTGTTTGGGTAAATTAAAGCATCGACTCAGGATCAGTATCAGCAGATAAATAATATTCAAATGTTGGACCAGGAGCCAAAAAGCTGATCTTGGCATCCTTTGGGCTTATGCAGCTTGTATGAGACTTACTAGCCCATCAATGTCAACTTGATGTGACCCCATAGACATAAATCAGCTACAGCAAAATCTGTCAACAGAGCTGAAACTGACCGATACCAATAATCAGATGATATGTGTGACTCCCTCAGTTATTGTGTATTTCATTTTGTACCAGGTAGGGCTGGGCGATAAAACAATAACTCTATATATCAAAAATTAATTTCCCTCAATATCAATAACATGGTCAACATGCTTTCCGATAGTCAGTATTCTGCCATGTTTTGATAAACTATACGAATAGCCAATGAAAAGGGGAGTTGCTCCGGGTCCGCTTCGCGTTGAACCAATCATGTGCTGACTTAGAACCAAGCAGCAAACAACTGCATAGTAGCAGGCTGCAGCTACACAAAACCATCGCACTTTAACATGTGAAGCCGACAGCACTGTCGGTGAGAAATGCAGAGTAATGGTCCTTTCACACCGGGAGCGTTTTTTTTGTGCGATTATTTTGGACGTCAATATTTTTTTGAACCCGTATCCTGTCAATACAAGCGTTCACATCAGCAAGGTTTTCCCGTCCTTGCGGCATTTATTTTTTCGTATCATGGTCGAATTTTCTTAAGTTTCACATATTGTGTGTCCACTTCTGACCAATCAGATTCCGTGTTGTCGCGACGTCTGATTCATCGGTATATCCAACATGGCCGACCGGCTGATTGTTAACGTGTCGGAGAACAGAGTGCTTTTTGATAAAAGACAAACATTACAAAGATAACTACCTGAAGGACAACTTGTGGCGAGTCATAGCGTCGGATATCTTATATGACGATGGTTTGTGTGCTATCACAGTTTGCAAAACGTCTTTGTTTTAACTTTCATCTGTGCTAAGCAACTTTAGCATGTAAGCTAACCTGTTTAGATACAACATACCAACTGTATTTTCACTGTCTCAAACTCGATCGCGTTGCTGTCACAGCACCATTAGGTCTCGGTTGTTACCTTACGTTTATGGATTATAGTTTAATGTGCTTATCTGGTACTTGCGCCGACTCAGTACATGCTATCATGACAGACAGCCGATTTTGAAAGTCTCGTCTCGTCAACATAAACACACATTCGTCTCGTCACATTTTAGTCATCTAAGACTCATGTTTTGCTCGTCAACGTCACATGTTTGTCCTGGAAAAAAGGGGTGTTGACAACTCAATCCGCTTTCTCTAGCGCAACGCCTTACGACAAAATGTCCAAGAGACACAAAGACCTCACGGATGCAGTAACTTATTGTATTGCAAAAGACATGCTACCAATAAGCACTGTTAAATTTAATTTTTTATATCATGATAAATATCGACATCGACTGATATGAAATATATCATGATTAACTTTTTCCCATATTGCCCAGCCCTAGTACCAGGATTAAACCCTTAACTTTTCAATCTGACATACACTTGAAGTGCAAACGTGGCTTTTAAAGTACAACATATGCTGCTGTGTAGGCTGCTAAAAGACTTCATTGAAGTAATACTTCTTGTTTCATTTTGATTATAACAACAGTTTGAACATTACAGAGTTTATCATCAGTTGTAACAGCCGTCAAAGTTTTATAAAGTTGATCTTTTTTAGTGCTGATGTTTTTGTGGTGGCATCTCTTTGCTAACTACGAAGGTTAAATGAAACTGGCTATAACATGATAAAGACATTGTTTTGTCGTTACGTTAATAAAACAATCATAGACGTGACAGGTAAACAGGTGTCATTAATAAAAACGAAGGTAATCACAGCTCACCTCACTCCTTTCCACTGTTTCTGGTTAGCTTCTGTAGCTACTAGGCTAACAGGATGCTCCAAGCTGTCACCCCTTCTAGCCAGCAGAATAAACACGAACGTTTCAGCCCAGGGCTAACATTAGCTTTGGTGTTGTCGGAAAGTTAAAGAAGGGTCGATTTAAACCTAATGCTGAGAGAAAAACACTTCCCCATTGGATAGCAACGCTCTGACACTCAGCTAACTGAAGCTGTGAACTAACAGCTGACCTGCCCCGCATCAATAACCGTTAAGTGAGCGCTGAAGGAACACTAAACTTCCGGTTACAGATTTCAGAATAAAACTTACGTAGTGTTTGTTACATTATTTCAGTGTGTTGACTGAATGCAGAGCTTTTATTATGAAGGTAGAATGGCTTTGTAGACGTTCCTATTTTCATTTAGCCTCGTGCTCCTTATCGGGTTCGTCTGTTTTGTAGTTAGTGTCTGTAGTCACATCACAAGGTCTTGAGAAATCTGATTAGGGAGGTGTTTTTTTATTATCATTCATGTGCAGTTATGTCGAAAATGCTGGTAATAAACTCGGTTTAAAGAGACAAAATCTTGTTTCAATCGTCACAGTTTTAATTCATGTCCACGATTTGTTTTAACCCGCCCCTCCGTACTGCGTTAGTTGTCAAAACTGTCAACTCCTCAGTCATATGACACATGTACGTGTCACGTCTCTTATTCACCTGTTTGCCATTGTTTTTGTCGTGCACTTTTAAAGTAAATCTTGCAACAACTACAAATGTATTTGAATTTTTTGATTAAAATTGCAAGGACTTAGTATTGTAAAGTATCACTTTTACAAAAAATCGATGATTTACATACCGTTTAAAGTCTTCATCTAATTAAAAACAGTGCAAAGTTACACATTACATGTTGAAACAGTGAAATTTTACTGTATTACAAAAAAAAAAGAACAAATTTAATGTTAACATATTTCAAAAAGCTAGGACAGTGATATGATTACTATCATAATTCCTCATCACCTCTTGTTAAAAGCACTTTGTCAATGTTTGGGCTAGGCTGGCTATACCCATAGACTGTATATACTATGGACAACTTGGTCTTGCCTTCTGCCAGTGTACAGATTTGAAGCTGGGTATATTTCTATACTTGTATGGTGCTTCTGCAGCTCCAAGGATAGGAGTTAAAATTACCACACACTGAACTCTCAAGAAAACAACTAGGAATAAATCCAACAATAAAAGGAAAAAGAAGCAAATAAAATGCATGGATGCTTACATTTTATGCACCTTAGTACACTTTAACACCTCTGAATATAGCGAAAGAGATTAAGGGAAACGACTGGTACTCTAAGCAGCAGTGACTCTGAAACTTAAGTTGAAGGTTGAGGTTTGAGGTTTAAGGGTTCAAGTTGCAAGATTTCACAGAGGCTGGGCAACAAAAAAGAAAGCAGCACAGAAAATCTGACCAGGAATGTGAAGAGAAGGACTGGTATGTTGAGATTATGTTAAGATATGAACAAAGATATTGCATCAGACTCCTACTTTCTCTGCAGAATAGTAACCAGTCAAACTGAAAGACTACAAGAGCATTGTGCCGTCACTGTGGATCAGACTCAACTTTCTTTTCTGCCTTTAACATTTTAAACCAATGAAATAAATACATGGAATAAACACATCATCGCTGCATGTTTTAGAAACGTGGGAGATAATACACTGATCATAAAAAGAGTCTGTGGATCCATTTGATATGCATGTATGACAGAAAAACAATGACAACTAAAAAATAAATGACAAAGAACACATGGTCTATGATTTCTGCGATTCTTTTGTAGTAGCCGCCTTTTTTTTTCTCTGCTTTCTCTCTTTCATCTTCTTTTCGTGCTGCCTTCACTTCCTGCAGGATCAATCTCAGCAGCTCCAGGCCATCAGGACCACTAAGAGAGGGGACATTTTTCTCCTGTTTCACCTGAGCTTCTTCCTCAGTTCCAAGGGGCTCTGTGAGGGGAGATAAGACACCTCAGCAAAGATCAGTACAGGTCAATACTGATATTGATACCAATTATTTGGAGTATGAGTTGTTGAGATGTATGTGTGACCAGAAAGTGGTGTAAGAAAACAGACACAGCAGAGCTACAGTAGTGCGCTTTTAATAGATTGATTTTAACAACCATCTATAAACAAGAGGCAGATGATTCTCACTGACAAACAGCTGAATACCAGCCCCAAAAATCAGCCATGGCCCACAATCAGCCTACTCCTACGCTACAGACGGGCTAGAATTTATGAGCAGGATCAAAGTTGTTTCAACTCTAGGATCTTTGTTACATAAAGTGGTTAAAATCATAATTTCCATCATAATATTGTATGAAATGCCAGCTCAAAAATAAAATGCCAGTGTAATAAGCCTGTTGGACTCAAAAACGTACCTTTGTTGTTACCATCCTCCATCTCAATTTCCTCCTTGGTACTAGAAGAGCGTAAAGTCAGAGTGGCACGATAATCATCAAAGTCGGTCAAGAAGCTCACCAGCATGGCTTCAAGAACACTTAATCCCACGACAGCGAAGATGGCGATGCAGTATTTGGCTAAAATAAAGGTGCAAAAACATTAAGACTCAAAGTGAGTAAGGTGAGGGTGCAAAACTCCTGGGTAAAATTTATTTTAAAAAATTTTAAATAAAAAAACACGGTGAACGAAGCCTCTTACAAAGCCACAACAAAATTCCACCATTGTCACAGTTATACACTGCACCCCGCAACTGATGGCATTGGCATCTCATTACGTGACTGCACAATGCAACACAGCATTAAAGAAGCGTGAGAGGCAGAGTAAACATACAGCACCACACACTTACAAACTCAGACATGCACACACACAGTGCTGTTTCACCCTGTTGGCTCCGACACTGCATCACAGTCTTCTTCCTACTACACCTCTGTTACCTCCTCTGAGGAAGAGTCATTAGAGGTTGTGCTCTATAGTTCTCTTTTTGATACTTTACTATAGTGCTGCATACTTAGTCCTGTGCAAACACAACCAACAAGTCAAATTGTGGCAGACAGAAAACAGGAGCTGTCCAAAAGCTGTCTTAAACAACTTTATATTAATGTGTTTACAGTATCAGCTCTAAAAATAAATTTACAAACTTATGATAAAATCCACATGCGCCATGAGACCACTGACTTTCCAGCAATAAAAAAACTGTTTTTGGGTCTTGTCTATTGAATTAAGTTGTTCTTATCTTATCCCACAGAGAAGATCACTGGATTTTTTTTTTCAGAAACTGTCTGATCCAGTCCATCAAGATGATACAAGATACACGTATTAAAGCTCCTGTGAGGAGTTTTTTGACACATTTGAAATAGACAGAAATTTATACTGATGCCTTTTGATATACAAAATTAAACAAACCATCAGCCAGAATATTTAATATGTTATGTAGAAATATCTAAAAAGAGGACTTTTACATGTTAAAATGTAAATAATACATTTTTTAATTCCTGAAGTTATATGTCAGTAGATTAGCTGTAAAAAAAATGTTTTAAAAAGCTTTGTCTTTACACTATACATTTGATTGTCAAAAGTCAGCAAAGTTAGAGATTTTGTAAGAAGGCTCCACTCAGCCATGTAGAAAACAAGATGAGCTAATGCTACTTTGTCCACAGGGGGGCACCAAAATTGAATCAAACCGAACACTCCTCACAGAAACTTTGATTTTTCTTCTTTAATTTTCTTTAGCTGCTATGTGAAATGAGCCATCTTTGTTTTTAGGCTGCACCTGCAATCAGCTTACCTGTAAATAATAAATGATTATAAAATCAGGAAGAATAAATGTGAAATAAGGTTTTTGTTGTTGACACAGAAAACCTGTTCAGACTGACTCTTTTTCAAAATAGAAAACCCATTGAAAGTGATAAAAGAATCTAAAAAGCAGAATCTATGATGACACTGGTATGGTTAAAACTTTAACAGTTCCTATCCCTGTCAGCATCCAACTGAAGAGAATCAATCTTGGCTGTCCAGCCTGTCTCAATTACATCTCAAGGACTTTGTAAACAACTCGATCCAAACTTGAAGAGGGTTTTCAGGGAATCACTGGTCACAGTCACAAAGCCCTGAGAGCAGGGCCTAGGTTTATATAGTGGCTCACCGATATACGGCATGGAGGACTCAGTGGACGGCAGCATGTCCTGCAAGATGAGCAGTAGGACAGAGATGGAGAGCAAGATGGTCACTTTGAAGCCCAGTTTCTCTCCTCTGCTGTCACTGATGAAGAATGAGGCCAAATCCAGGACCAGCATGTAGAGCAGCGGTACGATCAGATTGATCACATAAAGCATGGGCTTCCTAGACATTGAAATCTGAAAATAAAAAACAAGGCAGTCTAAAATTTAAAAGAAAAAATCACTTAGAGAGTGGGGAACTGCTCTTAAATTATTTACACATCATTTCTTACCACGTACACAAGCCTGGCCTGATCCATACCCTTTTTGGAAATAAAAGTTTCGTCTATTTCCAGCTTTTCAAGCTCCCATTCTCCATTTGTCACCATGAACTGCTCAGAGACTCTATACAGCATGGTGTCATTGTTGAGGGTTCCCAGGGTTATTTCTGAAGCTGTGTAGAGATCAAGTCAATAACAATTCAATAAAACATATTCCTTTGTATTGGCTTAAAAGTAAACTTATATTGATTTACCAAAGGAGTTCATGGATTGAAAGGTGATGTTGCAGTTTTGTACATCGAAGGGGAACATGCCGAGGTTCATCTCACAAGTGGAGGTCAGCCGCTGGCGTGCGGTCGACACCACAAAACCATTGGACAACAAATTAACATGCGGGCCGACATAGATGCTCCCAGTATCTGAGGCACTGAAAAGAGGAAGAAAAAAAAGGGTTTTATGAGGGGAGCCAGGAACAGAAAAAGAAAGAAAAAACACAAGGGAGTTAAAATTTGTCAGAATACTTTCCAGAATACTTTGAACACGATGTATGTCTTTACATATTTAAATTTCCTTGAGGGAACCTTCCCAAACGGAAAACGTATGTTATGTTACGTTAAATTACACAGTGTTATTTTACTTTACAAACATTTAGTGACATTAGGTTGAATTGTGTCATTCCAAATTACATTATGTGACTTTACATATGTTTACAATGCAGGTATGTTATGTTTTGTGAAGTTATGGTATGTTACATCATGTTTTGTCATGTGGCAGACAGAACAGACAAATATTGGTTATGGTAAGTCGTAAAATCAGGCAATATGCAAAAGGAAGATAAATAATAACATGACAGACCATTACAAACTCACATTACGATTCAGTTTATAACATGTGACTTATTATTTTTCAACCAATATAAACTCCTGGCGATGAACAGAAATGGTCTGAAATCTTTTAAACTAGTTTTTTTGTGTGTTTTTTTCAGCTTATTGAAGGTCAAACAAGCACACAGATGTAAAATTCCCCAAAGTTCTTGACAATTGTTAATTTGCTGGTTACTTACCTACTTTTATTTACACCTCTGAAAAGTAGCCATCAAACAAAAACTGTTTATATGTTAAATCAGGATGTCACAGAGAGATCTAAATATAATGAAAAGTCCAGGTGGGCAAATGAAATGGAACAGAAGCAGGAAGTCTTTTATCAGTAAATTGTCATAAGGGTTAAAAATGACTTACCTAGTTATTACTCAGTGTTTACTGAGAGCTCATTAAGGGCACAAGAATAATCATTAGAATTATTATAAAGCCAGAACAACAATGGAGGAAGCTAAATTATAACTCGATATTAAACAGAACAAAAATACACACACAAAGGTGAATCACCTGATGTTTACTCAGCTTTATGATGAGGCAGGTGAGACGACAGCTTCGAATAAATCAATTCAGGCAACTAACAATACTAATCTTTAGCAACTACATAGAGTTTACATAATATTATTATGAATGTGCCATATTAGGGTCCAGTTATATCTTCATTTTTATATTTAAACTTGAGGCATCATATATGTATGGAAGTTTTTTTCACTAATATGCTTACATGAACCTGTTCACGTCATAAAACATGTAAGTTTCAGATTTTTGCCTCTGTTTTTGGGTGCACAAACAGAAATCCTTACACTGTAAAACCTACTTAAATTGTAAAATAAAGAACACTGTTTTCCCAAATCAAATAAAATCCAAATCCAAATATGTTCCTATATCCCCTGAACACTATACATACTCCTCTTGGATGGTTACATCTGGGAGCCACACCCTCGTTCTTGGGATGGCCAGGGAGCCGATTCCACAAAATTTTGAAGGATTCCAGGTCAGGAATTCATTCATCCAGATCTACAAAATGGGAAAGTTTAAGTTTGGTGCATAAAAAATGGAAACACTTCAAAACGATTTAACCTGTGATTTTTACAAGATCGTTTCTTACCATCTGGATCCAGATGTGACTCTCCGCAGTTTGAGACTTCTCATCCTGCACACATCAGCAGCATTCCAGTCAGTATTTATACGGCAAATCATGACAATCATTATTTTTTTTTTAACATCCAACATAAAAAAAAGAAATACAGTCTCTGAAGTTGATATTCAAATGGTACAACAAACTTGACCTAGTAAAGGATGCAAGTGCATTAAGGTTTAAGAGAGAGAGGACGTATCATGCGAATGAGACCAGTTCAGAGTTTTAAAATACGCAGGTACAAAGTTCTTTAAAAAATATTTTCTTTTTTCATTGGCAAATGTCTTAATACATTACAACCAATTTAGGCCTCTTTTTTGTATTGCAATGTCTTGAAATAAGACATTTTACTGGACTTTTGGGGTAGATTTGGCTCGAATTAAGCCTATTGAGACATACGGTTATTTTTATAAGAACATTTACTTGCAAGAAATAAGAAAAACACTTGCTAAGATTTGGGCTTTCATGGTACCGTTGCAGCTGTTTGTGAAGGAGCTGAATCAAACCTTTTTTTCCTTAAATCTGCTTCATACTTCTTTTGTATGATTGTGGTACACTTATATATTCTATTCAAATAAATCATTTTAGTTCACTGAGTGTTATATCAATTATGTGTTTCTTTACAGACTATTTATCCTCCTATTAAGACCAGTCCAGCTTTTTAAAATTCAGTTTATCAGCAGACCAGCCTACTTTGTATCAGTATCAGTAGTTAGGTTCTTTCATTCCGCTGTGTCACAGGGTTTATTTCTCTTTAATAAACAAGCTCTAATGAGTAAAGTTGGAAGAATTAAACTAAATTGATTTGATATGATTTTTGTCCATTTCTGTCTGACTGACTCATAAAATTATCTTATCAAATAACATAATGCACAGGCTCTTTGTGTTGTTTCAATAATTAAACTCACCAGGTGTAAAATCCCATAAATCAGCATGTCCAGCTGTACCAGGGTTGGCGTGGTCCAGTTCTTCACAGGTCGCATGATTTGAAGAACGTCATTTGCAGGCGTCAGCTTCAGGTGAGTCAAGAGACTCGTATATGAGCAGTCTGGAGCCCGACTGCTGGAAAGACCTAAATATGACAGGAAAAAAGTCTTACAATACTTAACCTGCACTTGAACTGTTCTACTCCTTCAGTGTTTCATAGTAAAAAAAACTCACCGATCAAAGAGAGGAGAGTGAGAACTGTCAGAGTGACCATGGCTGTTTGCTGTCACCTGCACCTGAGCGAGCGCTTTTAAACTGCAGAGTCCGGTTACATAAACAGAGCAACAATACACAGGAAGAGACATCAATAGATCTGATTTATTGCACTGTAAATGTATCAAAACAATCCTCCCCATAGATTTCTGTTATCACAGCAGAGAGTCAACATAAGGAAAGCGTGACAGTGAGACATCAGGGAGTAGAACGGCTTTTTCATATTGTAAGCTTTAATGAAAAAAGCATAGTGCACTTAACAGTTTGCACCCATCTAAGTGTTGAGTGTAAAAGTAAAAAAGACCACCAAAAGATAAACTTAATTTCATTACTGGTTTTCATTTGCTTAATGTGTATGAATTGATTGATTCGATATAAAAAATGTCAAACTCTGCAGCCATTCAGAGGTAGCACTGACAGTGAAAGAAAAGAAACACAGGCCCTTGAAAACTTTGGCACTCAACCTCCCTATTCCCACAAAAGCAGCTTTCTTTAGGTCTTCACATAATTCTTCCTTTTTTACATCCAGCTATACTGTAGGTCCATGCAAAAGTCCACAGGTACTTTTTTAAAGTCATGTAGGAGAGCAGAGAGGTCTCAGGGGTAAACATCGGTGGGCAGCTGGAAGTCTTTGAAGGCGTAGAAGGAGATGTCTCCGTAGTCCACTACAGCACAGATCACCTGGATGTCTCCGCTCTGGACTGCCATCTGCTTGATGGCTCGCAGGTCCGGTACAGGGTCGCTGAAACTGAGACACAACAGAGAGGGTGTTTTAATTCTGAGAGTTCCACAGGACTACAAGCCAAAAGAATCCTGTCCATATTTGGGTGATTGTCTCTGACAAAGGTCTGTCTCAAACAGTGATGGAAATCTTGCAGTAATGAGGCCAGAAATCAAGAGTGAGGGGTATTTGCTCTGAAAGTGTAACTCTGCAGCCATTACAGTTGATTTTGGAGCTGAAGGCTACAACAGTGGACAGGAGAGTAAAGTGGCATCTGGGAATAAATGCAGCTTCCTCATTAAAGGGATATTCCGATGTAAAATTAATTTAGGGTCAAACACACTGTAACACCAAGTTAAACAATCCCCTCGAGAGATAAATGTTGCAGACCACTTGAATCTCTAGTTATACCAACTTTAGTAACAACCATTTCTTCATGGAAATGCAATCAGACCGAGACGCTAAGGCAGAAGAACTCCCGTGTCTGCAGTGCAAAATTATTAATGATGGTGATTATTACTTGAAGGAAATGATAAAGAAAAGATCATAAATGTTCTTCCTTGAGCTGCGACACCCCGCTGTAGTCCGTAATGGACTGGCCTGAGGTCTTGCTACAAACAAGCGGCTGCTGGAAGAGAGTAGGTGAGTTGTGTTTAGTCTCTTTGCTAAAGAAATCAGGCAAAGTTAAAAAGATGTTTGGTGGCTAGTGCTGTGGCTAGGACCCTGTATGTACTGTTGATTATTTGTGACTATAGAGTGGCGTTTTGGTTGAGGTTTGTTTATGGCGCCTCAGATCGCTGTGTATCGCTATCCTGCGGTCGTTACTAAAGTTGGTTTAACTAGAGAAGCAAGCGGTCGGCAACATTCATCTCTCGAGGAGGTATCTAACTCGGTGTTACTGTGTGTTTGACCCTAACTTGATTTTACACCAGAATATTCCTTTATCAGGCACTGTGTGTGGAGTTGTTTGTCCATGTTTAAAGGAATGATATTTCAAAGCGGCACTCAAATATTCATCTTTATTAACGGACAGTTACTCAGTTGTGGAGTCTGATGACACCAGGCTCTATGTGGACTTTCATAAAAACTTAAGATTTGGAAGACATTGACATCAGAACCTCATCTTGTGCATGGCTCATGTTGCTCATATGTACTGCCCATGCACCGTGATGATGGCTTACAGACATGCTTCCGCTCAGTACCCTGTGAAACAAGCTGCTCTTTATCATTGTCTCGTAACATGAGGGCAAATCGATCAATCACACTCAAGAGTTTCTAATCTTACACTTTGTTTACGGTATAGAAATGCTCAAAACGCAGACACCCAATGTGGGGTTCAACGTGACTGATCACACAGATCACCACCTGCTGGTCTGACATGCTTATACGACAGAACGCCTTTTTGTAAAATGGTGAAGGAAATCTCATCTTTCATACCTTGCCTGTGTGTTGACCAGCCTCACAAAATCTGTCAAATTACAGCTAAAAATGATACCAATGTCCCTCAGAAACACAACAATGGCTCAAGTATAATCAACTTATCAAAGGGTCAGTGGCCATCAGGGTCAACAAAAGAAAGATACGACAAAGGATGTTTTCTCATTCACCTGCTGTGACTCACTTAATTCTGCTGTTTCCTGTAAGCCAATCTTAAATAAATACACCCTGTCCGTTAGCGCGTGTGTTTGCTTACCTGCACACACACATGCGGCAGTACGGTCTCCCAGGGTTGGTCTTCTTGAAGTCAGCTACCGTGTCGGGTTGGTAAACATTAAAGCGAATCCTCCATTGGTCTGAAGCTTTTACCCTAAGAGGACAAAGCACATTTCATCCAGCGTCCGTCACAGCAAACAACACATCAGCTGAAGAGGCCTCTCAAGCCTTTGTCTCACAGCCTTTACGGGTTTATCAATGACAGATCATGAGTGGTTATGATAAAGAGACAACCTCATTTAACATCAAGATCAAAGTCTGGTTGGCTTTGTAATCACAGTGGACATAAAACACTCCGATAATTTCACTCAACCCGTGTGCTCAATGTTCTAATTTAATTGGATATGCTAAATTGGGCATAAAAGGCAGACAATGCAAGAAAATCATCTGGTGCTTATTAGATTCTGATCTTGTTTCAATTATCTTGCTTATATTAGAAGAAAACATCTTCAGTCAAGATAACACACCTGGTACTGAAGGCGAATTACCTTGTTCATGATCCCACTAAACACTTCAATGCTCCTACAAGACAGGAACTTCTATTGCACCAATTAATCACCGATACTAAGCAGTAGTTATTCTGTTCTTATTCTATCAAGATCCCATCTTACATAAAGATCATTTAGTGCCTGTTCTAGCAGGATACTGTTTCACTCTCAGAGGACAATAACTCTTTCGCTAAACATTAACAAAACACACAAAATTAACCATGAAGTGCTCATTCAATAGGTATCTTGCTCTTGTTCTAAACAGATAATATCTTGCTCCAATACTGGAGTTTTGAGGGAGAAAAGTCCATTTGCATCAGATAACCTTCTTCCTTTGTTTTAACAAGATATTATCTTGTTTCCAAGAGAAAATAACTCATTTGCATAGTGTAATGTCTTTTGTACACAAGATAACTACCTTGTCTTGTTCTTATGAGATGTAACTTGTTCCCAACATAAGTTAATACCTTATGCATACCAGATATCCCCCTATGGGATTACAGTGGTACTGCAAATTCAGATTTTCTCCCAGCTGTGTAAGACACTCATTCAGACAAGTATAGATGGATTGAGCATCACAGTTTGGAGAAATACTTTGAAAACCAGGGCTGTTTCAAGCAAAAAAAAATAAAAAATTGCTCCATCTCTTCTGACCGATGCAATCGTAGTTCTTACAGTTTTCAGTAACAAGGAAAGAAATAAAATGAGTTGATACCTGGAGGCCCCCTCGAGAAGATTTGAAGATTTAGACACACTGATTGTCTCCAACAGCTCCGCTAAAAAAATATAATAGTTAGAAATTAATAATCATAATAGATGGATTTATATCACAAACTAGGTCCAGTTAATCTCACCAGTGGGAATTGGCTGACTCGGGTCGTGTAGAGGGGTCACTTCTCTGTTCCACAGGTGTTCTGGTTGGCCTTTACGCCTCCCCTCCCGCCTCGCCTGGAGTTTATGATATTCTGCCCAGTTTCTGCACCGCCGAACCTAAAAAAAAAAAAACAGACGGATTATAAGTACCAAACAACTGATGACTTTCTAAAGGACATCCCCCTGCTGCATTTTGATGTTTTGTTACACAACAAACCTCTTTGTCTCTGTTGATATCCCATCGGCGCCTCCCCCTGTCCATCTCCCTCTTCTGCTCTTTCGCGGACATCTTCACCTGTCGCAGGTTGATCCTGCTTCTCCAGGGGGTGATGTCACAGACCCCCACAGCTAAAGACCCTGGGAGCAGAGAGGGGTCTGGAGGAAACAGGCAGCTCGGGTGGCGCTCACTGGAGCCGAGGTCGGGGAAGGAGATGGAGCTGAAGTGCCAGCGTGGGGAACCAGAGGCCGGCTGGTGTTCTGATTGATCCCCAGAGATATCTGCCATCCACCAGGTCCTGCCTCCGCCTGAATCTGCTGGACCAGTCTGGGTATCTGAAGTCTCTGAACAGGTCTTCAAATCTGAGTCAGGGAGTTTTTTACTCTCATCTTCCTCGTGGCTGCACTTCTCCTCTTCCATTATGTCAGCTGTGGACTCTTTCTGTGTTTCAGCTTGACTAAAGAGAGTGCAAAGTGGCAAAAAATATCATATCTTCAACTACTGGTCCCGTGACACTTCAAGGTTTAGTGAATGATACTTAAAAACTCACAAACTTACCTTGTTGATTTTGTTGAAGGAGTCGGGCTGGCGCTACGTTTCCTTTTCAGTTGTCTTCTTTCTTTATTACATGATTGAGGAAGGTTCAGCTGCCTGGCATAGGACGATGGCTCTGAGCTGCAAGAGGTCAAAACACAAAAATCTAACAAATATAAATGTTTGACAGATGTAAAATAACTCTTTCCACTTGAGTCTGCACAAAAAAATGTGTTCCTTTACTGAGTAAAACTAACACTACCTTTTTTACTTTTATAAATTAATATGTCATTACCTGGGATCAAATCTGTGCACCACGTAGCCGAGCCTCTTCAAATGTGCAAACACCTTTGTAATAAAAAAAGAGATGTTAGACAACAAGATTATCTGTGCAGTCCTTTTAAAGCTATGTCTGCAAACCATCTGCAGCAAAATACTGCAATTACACACCAATATGTTCCTCTGCTGCTAAACCAGAGTGCAAACGTATCTTCATGTCATAAACCTTAAGACAGAGACCCTTAGACAGCTGACACCAATTTTAGTTCAGTTTCTATTTGACTGAGTCTCACCAGTCTGCCTCAGCATTGACAACTTTATTTGCAAATATACTTTTTGCAGTACTTTTACCAAATAGTCAGACAAAACTGAAGGTTTAATTTTTCTAGATTTCCTACAGTTTTCTGCAACTTATCAACTTACAAAAACAGAAGCTTTTTTTCATGTTTACACCGACAGGATATGCTCATATTTGAACATATACATTTAAATATCAAAAGTCAGCAGGATGAGATTTTTTGATCACAAACACTGCTTAAGTTCGTAGAAGATAAGACTGCTTTGTCCACAGAGGATGCCAGAAATTACATAAGTCTAAAGTCCCTTACAGGAGCTTTAAACTAGACACAATAGACTCAGGTCGGTTCATACCTGATACTGCAGGAGGCTCACTGTGCTCGAGGACAGAAACCTCTCATAGCCATCCTGGATGGACAGCGGCAGATCTTGATAAAACACCTGCACGCTTCCCTGTCAAATTCAAGAATGACTTACTTTAGCCTACACAAATAAATGATAATTAAAAAAAAAAAAAAACAGGTTCAATCTAAACTCACACACTCCATCAGGTGGAGAGCCTCTTCAGGGTGGAGATACTGTTTCCCTCTAGCAGAGAAGCCCATCGTCTGCCAAAACTTCCCCTGTGAGAAAATGTGATAAAAACAGAAATGATGGTTTGAAAAACGTACAAACTTTTTGAAAATAGTGCAAAGACATCCTGTGAAATCTTGAAACCTTCAACACAACTCTTTTAACATTTTCGGTGGTTTCATTTGTTCTACTTTGTCATACTTTTTGCATAATGATGCTCCAAATGCTGGAACTCAACACTGTGACAGTCTTAACTTCCTATCCTTATGTCTGAGAGACAATCTTTTTGATTCCCGTATTCAACAGCATCAAATTAAAGATGAGCATATATTTTCTATGAACCATATTTCAGTTTCAGCATGTTAAATGTAGGATTTATAGTATTTTGAAATAAACAAATTCTGTTGTAATTAATGTATACACAGCATCCTATCTGCTTGAGAAATGGGGTTGCATAAGAAAAGCTTATTACTGAGTGTGAATGTCACAAAATAGTACTCACAGCAGGAGTCTGAAGCTCCACTATTTTCTCACTTGGAATCCATGTCGCCTTCACCAGGTTTCCCCTACAGTGACATAAGTCATGGTTGAATTTTGCCCAAAAATCTGCCGCTTGTTTGTTTTTCTCAGTTTAACTAAGAAATACAGTTATATTCAAGAGGAAGACACAGTTACTACATCTCCAACTAGTGCAAACTGAGTATTTTTACACATCACGTGGTGATTTTATGGATATCAAATATTAGAGTTGTGATAAAATGCAAAATTATTACTTTTTCTGCCACATATTGCAAGATGGTATCAAGTTTTAAGTGTACAGATAGTTTAATTTTAAAACTAAATTAAATTTACGAATATCAGCATGCTGTGGTGGTGCTTGAAACTGTAACTATAAGGGCTGCTATGCATGTTACCAGCCACCAGATGTCACTGTCTTTTCATGGGTTTTTGTACCAAACAACGAAAGCCTCAAAACCTTTCTGGGCCTCATCTGGCCATCACTATTGTTTACACATGCTGCACAGTTGTTTGAATTAACTCAATTGAACTGGACTGAATAAAATGTAATTGAAATTGCATTGAAAGACAAACACTTGAACTGATGGATGTGACTTCCACTCACAGCCTCTCCACCCTCTCCTCTGATATGAGGCTCCAGTGCTCCTCCAGACTTTGCTCCAGCCGCTGTCTCTGCTCTTCTGAGTCATTGGGATAGAAATCCTTCTGTCCTCTGACTGGGAGCTTGTGACTCCTGGACTGGGCAGCAAATAGTTCAGAAGGACTGAAAAGTAAGAAAGGAAAAAAAACACCAATGATTAGACTTAGGGCTGGGCAATAAAACGATAACAAGATGTATCGAAAATTTATTTCCCTCAATATCAATAAAAAACATGGTCAAAATCCTTAACAATAGTTGGCATTCTGCCATGTTTTGGTAGACTATACGAATAGCCAATGAGAAGGGGAGTTACTCCGGGACGGCGCTGCGCTGAACCAATCATGCGCTGAATTAGAACCAAGACGCAAACAACTGCATAGTAGCAGGCCGCAGCTACACGCAACCATAGCACTTAAACACGTGAAGCCGACAGCACTGTCAATGAGAAAAAAAGAAAATGAGTGCTACCCCCGACAGAAATGCAGATGAAGGCTCAACAGATGACGACATCATCAACAACACTGACACAAAAACATCGGAGATGTGGAGGTATTTTGTTTTTTTGAGGTCAGACATGAAGCAGAGTAATGTGCATTGCAAATTATGTTGAGTACATGTTCTCGCTAAGTTGGTGAATATCTCAAATCTTTTTCACCATCTGAAGCAGTGCCATGCGGCAGAGCATACGCAAGGCAAAAGGTTACAAACCCCGTGTGGAGCAAGGGGCCCATGGGACCTGTGCAGCTGAAACAGCCGACCATTCAGTCCACTTTCTCTAGCGCAACGCCTTATGACAAAAGGTCACAGAGACAAAAAGACCTCACAGATGCAGTAGCTTATTGTACTGCAAAAGACATGCTACCAATAAACACTTAAATTAATTTTTTATATCCTGATCATATCGACTGATATGAAAAAAATATATATCGTGATAAACTTTATCCCATATCACCCAGCCCTAATTAGACTACAACAAGCTGGGATGATGTGTAAAATGTTGAGTTTGAATAAATGATGGTTTGCGCCCCTCTAGCGGGCGACAGAGAGCAAAGTTTGAAACACAAATGATAATAGTGACTCATGGACTATTGTACAGCTGTTTTCTCTCCAGTGAAACTCATATTTATTCCTTTGCATATGTTTACAACCTGAAAAACACTAAACACAAACACAAAAAGCTCACACCATTAACCTGTCAAATGAACTGTCACGCCTGTGGATACAGTAACCACTGAGAAGCCCCCACAGCACGAAACTCTCTCATGCAAGTCCACTCATGAAAAAATATGTTAACTTTATCACTCTCCTGTCTTCATATTAGCTGTTAGACCACAAAATATTTGACTACGTACCTCAATATTTCATTATAGAACTTCTCTCCGCTTTGAGTCATGTTGTGCTCCGCCATGTTTGTCACCGTCACACATGACATCAAACCCGCTCCTCTGGGTCCTAAAGCCCGTCAACAATACAGGTGCTTAAAATTACACGACCAGCAGAGGGAGGCCATACACAGAATCCTCCTTTAGTTAAATTTAACCTTACAAACATAAAAAAGTCACATCATAACAAAAACTGACTCTTCTGTCACTTTTGTCAGACTTCTTGGGGTATTTTTTGCAATCTTTTAAGGAATTATTGTAAAAATTTAGAACAATAAAAATGTAAGTGAAAAGATTTTGATGGTTTGCATATTTCATTTAAATTGTGCTACACAATTACACACTGAAAATAAAAATAATGCATGTATTGCTTCATAACAAATGCTGCTTTTCCTTTTTAGCGCCAAAGACTAGGCATCCTTGCTTTCCAAGAAGAACACCAAACCCTGCAGACCCACCTTTGTCTATCCATTTTCTACCACGGGGGAGCTGGGGCCTATCCCAAGGTGTCCATTCAGTCCACATCCTGGACAAGTTGCAAGTCCATCGCAGGGCTGACATCTAGAGACAAACAATCATCCACGCTCACATTCACACCTACAGGCAGTTTGAAAGTGGCCAATTAATCTAACCCCAATTCTGCATGTTTTTGGGATGTGGGAGGAAACCGGGGTACTTGAAGTAAACCCACGCAGACACAGGGAGAACATGCAAACTCTATACAGAAACACCTTGACCCAGATTCGAACCCAGGACCTTCTTGCTCTGCGGCAACAGTGCTAACCACTTCACCACTGTGGCGCCCGACATACCTTTGTGTCACCCAGAACTCCACTCCAGGTGTAGCTGCCCTCTACAGGTAGTGGGAAAAACATTACTAAAATCTGCAGGAGGCTTCACAGTACGCATCTTGAGGTAAAGTCATACTTGGACATGATCAAGATTCTGTTTTGAGAGATTTTAAACAGGAAAAGAGCTCTCGCTAGGCAGATCTCTAATGTAAAGATCTGGGACTCTTCTCCCAGACAGCACCATTTATAACAGGAGACATTCTTTCAACTGGTTAACCACAGTACCCTTAGTTAACAGAGGTGTCCATGTTTTTAATCACAAGCTAAAACATAACATGCTGTCATTATGTAGGCAAGAAAGTCAATATAAAGCTCTTTGATGGACAGTAAGCCTAAACTACAGTACAGTAACATGCATGAGTGGATCATTAGTGATAGTTGATTTGCTTACATCTGAACACTTCAATAAACACTTCTGCAAACAATGCTTGTGTTAGTGAGATTTATTTAAGACTAAAAAGGAATCCAGCCACTTTAAAGTGCTTTACCCCATTTTTACCTAATACTGAAGAAACAAAACTGAGCAGAATGATCACGGAAGTTGAAACAACTTCTTTTTTCTATAGTGAAATACCAAGTCACACAATGATTAAAAGTTTATACAAGTCATAACTTATCAGCAGAGGGTGACAGTTATTACCATTTTTGGTTGATCAAACACGGGTTATGATGAAAGCATCCTTGACTTTTTGCTAAATATGGTCATGAAACAGCTCATGGTTTTAGCAGTGCAGCAATTAAATGTGTAATCAAGTTGATATGCCAAAGTAAATTTTGCATTTATTTGATTCTTTAATTGGGACACTGAAAAAAATGCTTTACATGGTTGGACTAAAAAGCTGTTTTGGAATGCAAAATAGTATACTGTTCATCATTTGATGAAAAAAATTACAAACAGTGGGAGTTGATTTAATGCTAGAAATCATTTGCAATTTTTTCAAATCAGTCAGCCCAAATGAAAATAAACACAAATACCAAAGGTTTCAGGCTCTGAGTTTTTACTCAATACAGACAAATCTCACTTTTTTTAATTACATGAGGAGCCTCGAGAGACTACCCCAGATCCTCTTTAACACCTTAAAAGCAAAAGAAGCTCAGCATCCAGGTGCTTCACAAGGACAGACATATGCCAGCAGAAAAATAGTCAAGATACTTTTTGAGGAAATGAGGGGCATCAAACAAAATAAGAGTGGAAACATGTCTAAGGTATAATTAGAGCAGGGACTAAGAGGAGGCCTGAAGGTGTTCTGTAAAAGTTCCGGTAGAGTTTCCTGTCTTATGGCATCTGGCAGACTAATCCAGAACCGAGGAGCTGCTGAGGAGAGAGAACAGGCTCTGAGCCTTTTATTCCATCAAACACAGCAGTGCCAACAAGCCTGTTAGGAGGATCTGAGGAGGCCTATGATGCTGAAAGGGCTGAGAAGTTCTGGAAATTAAGCAGGGGCAAGACTGTGATTCCGGCATAGGAAGAGGAATGGAAACATCTGAAGGAGCGTCTGGAGGAGAAGCAGCATGGTTGCTCAAAGCAACCAGCACTGACGCTTACAACATTGCCCAGTCTCATGTCAAAACATCGGGGTTCATGCAATCTGTGATCATAATCTCAAGAAAGGTCAGAGCTCTGTATTGAGCAATACCTGAAAGAGTCCATACCATTTTTGGTTTCAAGAACAAAAGGTTTCTCCGTCCCCTCCCCCCTCATGTAGTTTGGACAAACAAAAATCTGACTGAATTGCAAAACTTAGAAGTAAAGATACGACTTGACTTACAGAAACAGCCAAATCATGCCTCACCATCATGACTGTGTTCATAAAATTAGTCAATAGTTACTTAAGTGAAAGTCTAAGTTTTTGAGGAACATGACACAAGGTCAACAAGTTAACACAGGTCCACTTGTTGACCTTGTGTCAACTGTATGGTGGTCCTAAATTGGTTTGTTCTTGTTTATGTTGGTGACAACTCTGAATTTTTTAACGAAAGATAAAAATGTTTATCTAACGTTGGTTTAATGACTTTGTCAAAATATTAAAATTCTCTCGATTCTGATCCAACTGAGGTTCATTCATGACCATCACTGTACAGTTACAGGTCCAGACTGAATGCCGAGTCTGCGAGTGCTGTCAAATCAGAAACAGCATGAGGGATCTCTGGCAGACGTTTCAGCGCCTTTGCAACTTTCCTGTAAGTGTGCATATCTGCAGACTTCATGAGATAGAATTACCCATATTTCATGGTAGTGTGACTTGAAACACTGGATTCTCCTGCATGCACGGAGCTTTAGCGGATCCTCACAACACATAAAATGAAAAGAGAGATGGTGAATAAGGAGAATATTGACACTATAAAAAAATAAAGTTTGTGAGCATAAATCTATAAAACAGCCCTAATCTGTTTAATCTGGAATATTGTCGAAGTACATCTGTTTTTGTTTCAGCAAGATGCTGAGAAACTCCTCCATCACTCCATCACTAAACCAGATGCTTTTTTTCTCCTAGAGCTACATTCATACAAAGCCTCAAGGCGCACCATACACAGGCATGTTTGACCCCTTATGACCCCTAAAGTCCACTTTTTTTGGCCAGTGTGAGAGCTCTGTACCAGTCAAAGGTTGTTTCCTTCTTGGTAAGATGATTAGCATTAATGAAATCTAAGGGAAAATAACGCAAACCAAACTTTCAAAAACATTTTATTTGACTGCAATTTAAAAACAAACAAAAAAACAAACAAACAAACAAACAAGGCTCTTTAAAACACGATAACTAAGGAAAAATATCCTGAAATAATTTAATTAAATTTAGATGATGGGGAGAAAGTCCTTTGTTTTCATTTTTGTAATCTGACATCCAGCCACAGTCTTGATTCTATTCGCATTGTAGCTATTTACTTCCAACATCACACACAATATTAAGTTTGGATGCATTTGTTTGCATGTCATTGTGTTGTAATTGGGGAGGAGTCAGGACAAACAACATAAAAACTCTTCTGTTCAGAGTGTCTGCAGCAGATTCTTACCAACTGCAAGGTGAGTATGAGCTTCATCCAGCTTTTATAACTTTAAACAACTTTTCTTTATAGTAATATCAACTAAAACTGCAAAAAATAGCTTGTGACTAACAGTAGAAATGAGTAACTATGTTGTTTTTCTTTTTTCTTGCAGGACTACTGAGACAAAATGAAACCTGTAGCTGTCTTTTTCCTCTTCACCATCTCCTCTGCATTTGCAGTGACTGTTAAACCTGTCTCTACAGGTTGCTACTTTACAAAAATAATGTTTATATCCCTATTTAGACACTTATCTTCACATTTCAGAATGTAATTAAAGAAACAAAATGATAGACGGTTAACTGTGACCATATCTATTGTTTTTTGATCATTTATTCATGCAAAATAGTCAAAAGCTCCAGAAATATGTTGAAGTTTTCTCTAATTCTATCAAGTCTGCCGGGCTTTTATTTAATTCATTATTGAACCTTCGAGAATGCAGACTCATATTGTCCTCTGTCCTGTTTTTCAGAGAAATACATCGACAAGATCTTAGTGTTTCCAGAACCGTCAGTCAACACCTATGCTGTGATGACACCGCTGAAACCTCTGAACTTGAAGGCCTTCACTCTGTGCATGCGGGTGGCCACAGAGCTCAGTGGTTACAGAGAGGTCATCCTGTTTGCATACCGCACCAAAGACCACGATGAGCTGAATGTGTGGCGTGAGAAAGATGGGAGGTAGACAATCAATACACATACTATTGCATCCACTGCTGCACAAAACTAATGCTCCTCTAGGGCTGATAAATAGGCACCGCTAGCACTTAAACACTACTATTATGGATGTCACAATGTTTGATACTTTGCCACCTTAAGTTATCATGTTTTGAATGGTATTTTAAAGCTCCTATAAGTATTTTTTTAACATTATTGAAATAGACTAAACAGGCTTACAATTACAACACTAAAAACATCTATCACCCATTAGACCCATCAGTAGACAACACATAAGCAATCCTTGCATGAAGCATGCTAACTCAGCTTAGTTATCGTCAGGTCTGATAAGTAGAGAGACACAGCAGATTAACACGATGCCTTTACTTGTTTATGATGTATTCCTTTGTGGTTTTGTGTTTGCAGAGAACACACGGGGTTAGAGTGAAAATGACTTGACTGTTAATGACGATAACTGAATAATTTTAACACCACACTTTTATCTACCTGTCTCATCTCATGCTTCTATTCTGGTTTTAAAGATCTTTGATTTACAGGGGTATGTCTGTACAGGACTACATTATCAGGACTCTGATAATGTCTATTTCGATCCAGCACACATGGAGGCTGCTGCAAACAAATATCGAAATCTGAGCTGCTGTTTTCATTTGTGAAATGACAAAAAGAAATAAGTACCACGATCAATCTTTCCTATAGCTGACTCTAACAAATTACTGGAAGCTACCAAGCTTCCATGACTGTTGTGTTGCCATAACACTAAAAATATACTGGTGTAAAAGAAACATAAAGCATCATTTTTCATATTCCTGTCCTGTAGGTTGTCCCTCTACCTGAGATCAAGCTCAGAATGCGTTAAGTTTAGAGTGCCTGAGCTCGGAGCCCTGACCACCCACCTCTGCCTCACCTGGGACTCCAAGACAGGTGCCACAACCATCTTCATGAACGGGCAGAAAAGCTTGACCAAAATCTACAGGAAGGGTCACACTATCGAAGCTGGGGGAACTGTTGTCCTTGGACAAGATCCAGATTCTTACCTGGGTCATTTCGACTCCTATCAGAGCTTCGTCGGAGAGATTTCTGATGTGGACATGTGGAGCTATGTCCGTCCAGACACCGCCATGGTCGACATGGCCAACTCAAGGGGAAAGAACCAAATTGTGCGGGGAAATGTGATCAACTGGGCCACAGGAAACCTCAAATTATTTGGAAATGTTTATGCCCTTAATCACCTCCTGTAGTTATGATGCTCAAACATGACATGCAGGAATAATGTAGGCACTGTCAAAGTGTCAAAATTAAAGAGCTCTGCAATGAATACATATCAAATGAAATAAAAAACACATGGGTTTCATACAGCACACACATACTGTGTACCTGAGAAATGGTTGATTGGCTAATAATGTACTTCTTTGAACTTCAATAAAGGCTTCTGCTTGCACAGACTATGTGGATGTGATATTTATTGGAATTCAAGACATTATACACCAAGATTCTGCCATGCCTTACTTTGGAAGATGACAAAGTTCCAGTCATTTTAAGTATGCAAACAAAAAATCTGTCATTTAATCTCCATCCATCAAACCAATTTTTGTAACGTTTTTCAATCCATTTCTACAGTGTGAATTTTGCATCACTTTGTAGCATTAAACCATACAGCACTTAAGTTTGGCATTTGATTTATTCATGGCGCCACATATTTAAATATACATCAAATTGAAATGATTACAATACTTTTGCTAAAAATTGCCTATTTAAATATAAAAATCACTTATTGTGGCATAAGTCCTTGATTGCTATTATACTGTTATAAAAAAAAACACATATCATATTTGAGGTAACAATGCTTAAATTTTTTTTTTTTTTTTTAAGTAACATGAACCTCAACTTTAACAAACAAGTTTTTGTAACATTTGTGACCGAGCTGGAATGATTTTGTTGAAAAGAGCAACTTAGACGTTTACAACCACTTTTTGTCACATTGTGAGATTGCTAAATCAGACTGTTTTTTCTTCACACAACAAACAAAACCTGAATGTAATGTTTATTTAAGGCTGCGAGCAGCATTGAATAGACCCTCACACTTTGCACAACTTGGTGTATGATGCATAGGTTTTGCAAATGCAAAAAAATTACAACCAGTGGGAGTTGATTTAATGTTAGAAATCATTTGCAGTTTTTTTTTTTGTTTTTTTTTCAAATCAGTCAGCCCAAATGAAAATAAACACAAACACCAAAAATTTCAGGCTCTGAGTTTTTACTCAATACAGACAAGTCTCACTTTTTTTAATTACATGAGGAGCCTCGAGAGACAACCCCAGATCCTCTTTAACACCTTAAAAGCAAAAGAAGCTCAGCATCCAGGTGCTTCACAAGGACAGACATATGCCAGCATAAACATAGTCAAGATACTTTTATAGGAAATAAGGGGCATCAAACAAAATAAGAGTTGCAAAACACTGCAACATTGCAAAAACATGTCTAAGGTATAATTAGAGCAGGGACTAAGAGGAGGCCTACCAAAAGTAGGTGTTCTTATGGCCTCTGGCAGACTAATCCAGAACCGAGGAGCTGCTGAGGAGAGAGAACAGGCTCTGGGCCTTTTATTCCATCAAACACAGCAGTGCCAACAAGCCTGTTAGGAGGATCTGAGGAGGCCTATGATGCTGAAAGGACTGAGAAGTTCTGGAAATTAAGCAGGGGCAAGACTGTGATTCCGGCATGGGAAGAGGAATGGAAACATCTGAAGGAGCGTCTGGAGGAGAAGCAGCATGGTTGCTCAGAGCAACCTGCACTGAGAGTTACAACATCTCCCAGTCTCATTTCAAAACATCGGGGTTCATGCAATTTGTGATCATAATCTCAAGAAAGGTCAGAGCTCTGTTTTGAGCAATACCTGAAGGAATCCATACCATATTTGGTTTCAAGAACAAAAGGTTTCTCTGTCCCCTCCCCCCTCATGTAGTTTGGACAAACAGAGCTTTAGCAAAGTAAAGCTGTGCACTTATTCTGTAATATTTGTATTTGATAAAGTGTCAGTAATGTTTGACAGCCTGATAGTCCAGTTTTTATGGTCAGGACTAGTAAAATCTTACAAAATGTGATTTCTGCTATTGTTTATAATGTTTAAGAAGTCTGGTTTTATGTTTTTAAGGATATGTTGTTTATTGTCATGCATCTATAATTTTTGTCTTTGTCTTTGTGAGTGGACCATGTTTTCAATTCACCATTGGTAGATGTTATCTTTATTTAAGAGTAAAAGCAATGAGAAGAGCAGTCATGTCAGACCACCCAATGCTCTCAAAGAAATACCTAGTAGTCACAGGTCTAGATGTTGCTTAATCTGACTGAATTGCAAAACTTAGAAGTAAAGATACGACTTGACTTACAGAAACAGCCAAATCATGCCTCACCATCATGACTGTGTTCATAAAATTAGTCAATAGTTACTAAAGTGGAAGTCAAGGGAAGTTTTTGAGGAACATGACACAAGGTCAACAAGTTAACACAGGTCCACATGTTGACCTTGTGTCAACTGTATGGTGGTCCTAAATTGGTTTGTTCTCGTCTATGTTGGTGACAACTGAGTTTTTTAACGAAAGATAAAAATGTATATTTAACTTTGGTTTAATGACTTTGTCAAAATATTAAGATTCCCTCAATTCTGATCCAACTGAGGTTCATTCATGACCATCACTGTACACTTACAGGTCCAGTATTAATGCCGAGTCTGCGAGTGCTGTCAAATCAGGAACAGCATGAGGGATCTTTGGCAGACATTTTCTGTAAGTGTGCATACCTGCGGACTTCATGAAAGAGAATTACCCATACTTCATGGTAGTGTGACTTGAAACGCTGGATTCTCCTGCATGCATGGAGGTTTGGAGGGTCCTCACAACACATAAAATGAAAAGAGAGATGGTGAATAAGGAGAATATTGACACTATAAAAAAACAAAGTTTGTGAGCATAAATCTATAAAACAGCCCTAATCTATTTAATATGGAATATTGCTGAAGTACATCTGTTTTTGTTTCAGCAAGATGCTGAGAAACTCTTCCATCACTCCATTCTTTATTCTTCCTACCTACGGCTACATTCATACAAAGCCACAAGGAGCACCATACACAGGCATGTTTGACCCCTTATGACCCCTAAAGTCCACTTTTTTTGGCCAGTGTGAGAGCTCTGTACCAGTCAAAGGCGGTTTCCTTCTTGGTAAGATGATTAGCATTAATGAAATCTAAGGGAAAATAACGCAAACCAAACTTTCAAAAACATTTTATTTGACAGATTTTTTTTAGGGGTTTATAAAAACATGATAACCAAGAAAAAAATATTCTAAAATAATTAAACTAAATTGGGATTATGGCGAGAAAGTTTTTTTTTCATCTGTGTAATTTGACATTCAGCCACAGTCTTGATTCTCACTGCAGCTATTTTCTTCCAACATCTCACCCAGAAAAGCAATACCAGACCTCTAAGGGCTTCTACAGCTGGTATCTGTACCTACAGTGCCCTTCTAAGCCCCAAAACAACATGGAGTCTGCGTCCCATAGGCCCACCTCTAATTGAGGATGGGTTGCTTTGACTCTCTGACGGGAAGGGGACCAGAGTTGGTGCATTCCTGCCATCATAAGTTTGGGCTCTGAGCCACACAAAGCACCAGGTCTGCAACTAACTTCTACAGAGGATATCTTATCAATGTCCACACCTGTCAGCCCTTATGTTTCATGATCCTAACCTGTTTCTGTTGGGTGTTGTTTGCTTGAAAAATGAAATTCATCTACTTCCTCAAACTGATGTTGATTTTGTAAGCCAAGAATAAATTAAAGATTACGTTTGGATGCATTTAATTGTATGTCATTGTGTTGTAATTGGGGAGGAGTCGGGACAAAACAACATAAAAACTCTTCTGTTCAGAGTGTCTGCAGCAGATTCTTACCAACTGCAAGGTGAGTATGAGCTTCATCCAGCTTTTATAACTTTAAACAACTTTTCTTCGAAGTTAGATCAACTAAAGCTGCAAAGAATAGCTTGTGACTAACAGTAAAAATGAGTAACTATGTTGTTTTTCTTTCTTCTTGCAGGACTACTGAGACAAAATGAAACCTGTAGCTGTCTTTTTCCTCTTCACCATCTCCTCTGCATTTGCAGGGACTGCTAAACCTTTCTTTCCAGGTTGTTACTTTACAAAAATAATGTTTAAATCCCTATTTAGACACTTATCTTCATATTTCAGAATGTAATTAAAGAAACAAAATGATAGACGGTTAACTGTGACCAGAAAAATAATCAGTGACTATATTTATTGTTTTCTGATCATTTATTCATGCAAAAAAGTCAAAAGCTCCAGAAATATGTTGAAATTTTTCTCTAATTCTATCAAGTCTGCCGGGCTTTTATTTAATTCATTATTGAACCTTTGAAAATGCAGACTCATATTTTCCTCTGTCCTGTTTTTCAGAGAGATACAGCCACAAGACCTTAGTGTTTCCAGAACCGTCAGCCAACACCTATGCTGTGATGACACCGCTGAAACCTCTGAACTTGAAGGCCTTCACTCTGTGCATGCGGGTGGCCACAGAGCTCAGTGGTTACAGAGAGGTCATCCTGTTTGCATACCGCACCAAAGACCACGATGAGCTGAACGTGTGGCGTGAGAAAGATGGGAGGTAGACAATCAATACACATACTATTGCATCCACTGCTGCACAAAACTAATGCTCCTCTAGGGCTGATAAATTGGCACTGCTAGCACTTAAACACTACTATTACGGATGTCACAATGTTTGATACTTTGCTACCTTAAGTTATCATGTTTTGAATGGTATTTTAAAGCTCCTATCAGTAATTTTTTTTAACATTATTAAAATAGACTAAACAGGCTTACAATTACAGCACTAAAAACATCTATCACCCATTAGACCCATCAGTAGACAACACATTAGCAATCCTTGTATGAAGCATGCTAACTCAGCTTAGTTATAGTCAGGTCTGATAAGTAGAGAGACACAGCAGATTAACACAATGCCTTTACTTGTTTATGACGTATTCCTTTGGGGTTTTGTGTTTGCAGAGAACACTCAGGGTTAGAGTGAAAATGACTTGACTGTTTATGATGATAACTGAATAATTTTAACACCACACTTTTATCTACCTGTCTCATCTCATGTTTCTATTCTGGTTTTAAAGATCTTTGACCAACAATGGTTTCAGCCATGATTACAAACAAAAAAAAAACAAATCTTACTCATTTAAATTTAAAGGTTCAAAAAGCTTATTTAACTTGGCTGGTTTTTGTTTTGTTTTTGTTCTGTTTTTTCAGTATTAAAAAAAAAACTGGATCCTGACTTTAATTTTTGATTTCTGAGAAAAATCAGAACTATGCAACTAAAGTCAGACTTCTGACTTGAAACGTAGAATTCTGTTAAACTATATAGTTGGAAGTCAGTGAAAAAGATTCAATTTAAGGTTTAAAGTAAGAATTCCAGCCTTTACAACCATTTCTTAAAGTTTTGGCCTTTTCTCATGAATGAGAAATTTAATGTATTATGTGAAAACTAACATATCTGTATAAAATAAAATTCAGGGGAAAAAATAAACAAAAATAAGCCAGATTTCTGACTAAAAACTCTGAATTCTAAGAAAAAGGTCAGATTGTTTAGTGCAGAGTCTTAATTCTGACCTTTTCTCACCTTTTTTTTCATTATCTTCTGTAACCATGTACATCATCAATGTATTATTAACACATTCCAATTTTACTTGGACGCAGGTTTACTGGAAAGATGATACTTATTAGCAGTCCCTTTTTGTTGATGTTAAAATGAAAAGATTATGCCTTAAAAGTGTGCTAACATACCATAATTTGCCCCCAAATTGATGACAGCTACAAACAACCCACACCATCTCCGACAAATATCCAAGAGGTGCTGATAGAAATCCCACCTTTGCTTTCAATCTGAACTCGCTCAGTGCATTAATGTGCAGGACTCTGCTAATGTCTATTTCAATCCAGCACACATGGAGGCTGCTGCAAACAAATATTGAAATCTGAGCTGCTGTTTTCATTTGTGAAATGACAAAAAGAAATAAGTACCACGATCAATCTTTCCTATAGCTGACTCTGACAAATTACTGGAAGCTACCAAGCTTCCATGACTGTTGTGTTGCCATAACACTAAAAATATACTAGTGTAAAAGAAACATAAAGCATCATTTTTCATATTCCTGTCCTGTAGGTTGTCCCTCTACCTGAGATCAAGCTCAGAAGGCGTTAAGTTTAAAGTGCCTGAGCTCGGAGCCCTGACCACCCACCTCTGCCTCACCTGGGACTCCAAGACAGGTGCCACAACCATCTTCATGAACGGGCAGAAAAGCTTGACCAAAATCTACAGGAAGGGTCACACTATCGAAGCTGGGGGAACTGTTGTCCTTGGACAAGATCCAGATTCTTGCCTGGGTCATTTCGACTACCATCAGAGCTTCGTCGGAGAGATTTCTGATGTGGACATGTGGAGCTATGTCCGTCCAGACACCGCCATGGTCGACATGGCCAACTCAAGGGGAAAGAACCAATTTGTGCGGGGAAATGTGATCAACTGGGCCACAGGAAACCTCAAATTATTTGGGAAGGTTTATGCCCTACATCACCTCCTGTAGTTATGATGCTCAAACATGACATGCAGGAATAATGTAGGCACTGTCAAAGTGTCAAAATTAAAGAGCTCTGCAATGAATACATATCAAATGAAATAAAAAACACATGGGTCTCATACAGCACACACATACTGTGTATCTGAGAAATGGTTGATTGGCTAATAATGTACTTCTTTGAACTTCAATAAAGGCTTCTGCTTGCACAGACTATGTGGATGTGATATTTATTGGAATTCAAGACATTATACACCCAGATTCTGCCATGCCTTACTTTGGAAGATGACAAAGTTCCAGTCATTTTAAGTATGCAAACAAAAAATCTGTCATTTCATTTCCATCCGTCAAACCAATATTTGTAACGTTTTTCAATCCATTTCTACAGTATGAATTTTTAGAAATAGAGAAAACTTTTAAAAAAGTTCATCACTTTGCAGCATAAAACCATCCAGCAGTTTGTGACGTTTGGCGTTTGATTTCTTCATGGCGCCACATATTTAAATATACATCAAACTGAAATGAACACAATATTTTTGCTAAAAATTGCCTATTTAAATGTAAAAATCACTTATTGTGGCATAAGTCCTTGACTGCTATAACACTGTTATCAAATTAAACACTTAAATCATATTTGAGGTTACAATGCTTAAAAAAGTTTTGTTTTTGTTAAAGTAATCTAAATTTCATCTTTAACAAACAAGTTTTTGTAACATTTGTAACTAAGTTGAAATGATTTTGTTGAAAAGAGCAACTTAGAAGTTTACAACCACTTTTTGTCACATTGTGAGATTGCTAAATCAGTCTGTTTTTTCTTCACACAAAAACCCTGAATGTAATGTTTATTTAAGGCCGCAAGCAGCATTGAATAGACCCTCACACTTTGCACAACTTGGTGTATGATGCATAGTTGGCTTTTGCAAATGTCCAGGTCACTAGTTTGGCCAGGATGTACGAGCCCAACAAAGCACATCTCTAAAGGTAACATATGCTACATTAGCTGAATTTTTGAAAAATTGTTGGTGGGGCTAGCCCAACAATTATACATGTAAAAGAAAATACCAAGCTTGCTGTTAACATTTCACCAGTGTTTAAAATGTTGCACTGTCAGGTACCAGTGTTTTCAGACTTAATGCACACATCTCCTCCTTAATGCCAGCCTAACAACAACGGGAACAATAAAAGAGATGTGTGAAATGTGTGGCCACAAACAATGCATTATGGCCATCCAAAGCACTGTTGGAGCATGTCCACAATGCATCCCATCCACTCATTAGCTTCTTAAAGTGGAGGAGATATGATCTGGCATTTTAAAAAACACAAGTATTGGATCATGACAACATGTCAAATGGGGCAGCAAACTTACGTTCTGTTTTTATGTGTCCCAAAATGCACATATAGAGGTGTACTTGGGTACATAAACTGTACAGTAATCTGTCAAGGTAGAGAGCATTATATTTTCTGGACAGCAAATATTCCGAATCAGAGGGCTATTGTTTTCGGCTTATCTAAATAAAATCATTAAAGGCACACGCTTTTGAATCCAACCAACGGTAAGGAAAACTTTGATTATTTCGCCTTGTTATGTACCTTTAACCGCGCTCCTGTCAGGGGTGCATTCAACGGCGTAACACCGGACCAAGAGCAGTCAGAGACTGAGAATGACGAAACGCCTCGGCTGTATCCTCCTACTAAAAAACTTTTGTCTGCAGTATGGACGTTTAACGGCTTCACAAAACAGACGGAGCAGGTAAACCTGACACCAATCTGCAGGTTATGCCATAAGGAAGTTGCTGCGCTGTTGTCTAACACTTCAAACCTACATGCCCACCTCCGTGAACACCATCCAGCATTGTTTGCCCTAATCAAGGTAAAAACAACATGACCACAACAAGTTTGGTCTACTCTCCTGCTTATTATTGACGTTAGTGATGTTTCTTCTAACTTTAGCTCCAAAAAGCTAATGCTCCCAATGTTGCGTTAGTTGCCTCTTGCTCATATTGTTTGTGTGTCATGCTGTGCACAGAGAAATGATTTCGCAGTTTTTTGCCATTTTTAATAATGTTAAAAGCAATGCGCTAATATCATGATAATACCGTGAATCGTGATATTTTGGGCCACCAATATCGTGATATCAAATTTTTTCATATCGGCACATGCCTACTTTCACCACATTCACTGTGAACACAAGAGCTGCGTAGACTTCATCGTGTTTTATGATGTGTTTTTAGTTGAATACCATTCGGATCCGCTGTGAAAAGGACCCCACTGTCAAGGCAAATATTCCTTATTATGTGTTACCCCCAGCTGCACACTTTGGGAACCAGTTGACCAGCTGGATCATACATCAACTTTGCCACCATATTGCTAGGGATGTTCTGAAAAGTTACATTCACATACATCTAGAAACATGACTCCTGACTGTTGTTAAATGATGATACCAGTCTAATTTGACTTATCACCATCAAAAGAGGGAAAGGGAAACAAAGTTTAGCACAGCAAAAGATAGCACAGAGACGAGTCGAGAAAAAGTTATAGGACAAAGTGAAATGCAGGTTTGATATAATAAAAAGTGGTAGCATATTTACATCTGGACCACTTAGGAGGTGATACATATTAATGTATCACGTGTATAACCATTGAAAATAAAATCAGTTCTTTAAAACAAGTTCAAAGTAAGTTTTTAGCTTTCTGTTTATTTATTCACCTTCAATGAGTATAGTTTTGGCACAAAAGGGGGATGCTCTTCCTCATCATGAAAGATGTCACCGACTAGCTTCTTGTTTGATTATTTAGAGAAGTATCTGGTATTAAAAAAGGAAAATATTACATGTTCAAGAGAGACGGTGTGATGAGAAAAAGATGGTTTGTTACTGGAAGGCAACATCATGCCATAAAGGGTTATGGTTAAAGTCCTGCAGATGTGTGTGCTCTTCTATTAGTCATTATTTAGTTTGCTGTTCTCCGCCTGATTCTCACGTAAACCGCTGATAAATGACCTGAACTGCATTTGTAAGCACACTTGGACTTTGTAAACTCCTACATGATCGAAATTTTTAACTTTGAACTGTCCTGAAAAAAGAATCAATAATATTTTTTTTTTTACCTGAACATGAACAAACAGAGCTGACACATATAAGATGAGTCGAGGAGGAAGATAGGAATTAAAACAATTAACTTTGAAAGTTTTATTTAAAACAAGTATGGATCAAAGATTGTAAAGTTGCTCACACTGAAAATAAAAGCAACATTTCTCCCTAAAAATTGCAGTAAATGATCTGCAACAGTCTGAACAATTGTCAGTTACCTGCAGCAAACCTTTAACAAAACAACTTCAGATACACAATTCTTTTACTGCTGCTTTCTGGTTTTTCATTTTTTGCAGCATGTTTTTTTCATCAAGATAGGATAAGATTGAGACTCAACTTGTAAGATTAGACCTACTCTGATCCATCTTTAACTACTATGAGTGAAGCACCTTGCAGCATGTAGCAAGAAAAGCTTCTTTTTAACAGGCAGAAACCTTGAGCAGAATCAGACACCGGCTGAGACAGTGCAGGCAATGTGGGGAGATAAAGAAAGAGAGAGACTGATACAGACTTAAGATCATCAACAATAGTTCATTATTTCAGCAGCTGACTAATTCAAATAGTGCAAAAAATAAAGGAAGACGTATGTAAACACCAACAGGTCTATGGTGACATTGTAGCAGTATTAACATTCATGTTAATGAAGTTAAAGGTAAGAATCAAAAAGTTCTACAATTAACATGAGCTTTTTAAAAGTGATACAAAATAGTGAAACTGATGTTAATTAATGAACTTTATTTATTTATAATTTAAAGTGTGAGACTGATGCTAATACATTTACATCACATTTGTTACAGTGATAGAAATGGTGAGACTAATGCCAAAAAAAGGAACAGTAGATATGAAACAGTGATCAAAAGTGTTATACTGATGCTCTGGGGTTAACAATAGCCTTGTAACAGTGACGCTTGTAGTTGAAGCAGCTGGAAAGCAGGCAAGACCACAGCAGCAGCACGTCTGCAGCAAAGAAACCTATGGGATGAGGGAGCTCAGGGACTCCCAGAAAAGACTGTGGATAGAGACTTTAAAAAGTCAAATATGTTCTCTTTATTTGAAATGCATGGCTATAAACTCACCTAGCTTTTCACCCTTAGGCCTCTCCAAGTCACTTTTAAATCAAGAATTAATAATGCTGTTATAATCTGTCAGATTATGTCACCAGTCAAGTTTTATATTTCAGGTTTCTTTTACATGGTTTGGATCTACTCCTGCAGATTTGTGTGCTCTCCTTGTTTGTCATTACTGAGTTTGTTGTACCTGACTGGATTTTTCTGCTAACTGCTGATAAATGATATTTACTTTTTTATCATGGCTCTTGAACCCTGCAAACTCAACCATGTTTTAACCTTTTGACACTACCTGCCACCCACACTGTCTCTGAAAAGTTTAGGCAAGAACATTTGTAATCTGAACCTGTCCAAACAGGTTTTCCAAAGATAATTTACATGAATATTTTATTAAACATAATATAAAAAACCACTAGCTGTACTTAAATTGCACAAACTGAAGGTCCATATCCAAAATAAATACACACCTGCTCATAAAAGCTCACAACACAGAAATAAAACAGGGAGACAATAAAGCAATACATACCAATAAAAGGCAACATGACTTCAAACAGGGCTAAATAAAATACAGAGAAAGTACTAAAAACAATGAAAAACTGAATTTCTGGGGGTCAGACCATGACATGCTTTAAAAGAAAAGAGTTGAACCTTAAAATCAATTCCTGAAGAAATGGGTAAAGGTAAAGTAATAGAAATAGGAGTAATTTGCCCTTTTTCTTACACTGTAAATCATGATCAGAACTGTACTTTATTTAACTGTAATATTTCACATTAAATCACTGTATTGTCCCTTTACAAACTTTGGCTGTAATGTTCACAATATAATCTTATAATTTCGCATTTTACTGTGAAACCAATGCTGGCACAGCAAATTACTGTGAAATTTGCAGCATGGATGTTTCCCATGGTTTTACAGTATTGTTTCACAATCAAATACTGTACAAATAACAATAATCATGTTGCATTATGGGATGGTAACTTAAAACTGTCTAAAAGTACAGACAGAAGGAAAGAAGGACTCTATTCAATGATCCAGACTGTTTGGCTCAGCTCAGCAAAGACCTGGCTCTTTTGGCTCCTAAAAAACTTTTGATCATACCAGGAAGAGGATTTTATTACTGTACTCCTCCAGCTTACAAAGTATATGACCTGTCAGTAGTTGCTCTCCACCATTCTTTTACAGAGTCACCTTAAACAGACAGAGAACAAAAGCAGACCAGACAGCGAGGAAGCAAAAAACTGTGAAATTAATATACAAAAAAATCAAGTGGTTCTCTTTCTGATGTTGTGGTTTGCTAGTTTGATTAGACATTCCATAGCTGATCAAGCTATATTTGGAGATGAAGAGAGCTTAGACTTATTGTGAAAGTAGCTGCTGAATTTTGCACTTTGGATGCATTTTTTTATTTCTGATTCATACCTGTGAAAAGATAATTACAGTGAAATTAATTGTGAGGAAATAAAACCACAAATAATTGTTTGTCATTAAAGTGACAAACAATTAAAACAAACAGATCTCATCAATATTTTAAAAAAAATGTGGTATTTTTTTCACAGAGTTTATAAACTTTGATATAAAAAAGAAAGCGCTATTAACTATCGTCATGTACACTGTCCAGTATCAGTGGGATAAACCACTTTGAGGTGACTGGCTTTGGTATAACTTCCTTATATGTCTTAAATAAATCATAACAATACACAACTTGCCGGCAAAAATGTTTATTGAAGTGTCAAGAAAGACATTGTGCGCTGGTCAACCATCATTAGTGATTCACACATGGATGTTATACAGATGTTATTTTGGCTGACTATATATTACAGAGCTTATCTTGCCCTTCTTGCCTGTCATGTTTTTGCATCATGACTACACCTCCACGTTTACGACATGAACACTCCCGTGAAGTACAAGCTGTGCAGTTTCCCAGTCAATAATATTTGCCTTCAAGTCTCCCTCCCGAGAATACACGTTTTGAATTGCGCTGTCAGAGAGGACAGAGTCCCACAGGTTCACATCAGAGAGTGACCCAACAAAGCTCTGTCTCGCTTCAAAATCAGCCAAATAACTGTCTGCGTCTTGTCCAAGGAGGACCTTTCCTTCGGCTTGCACAGTGAAAGCCCTCCTGTAGATTTTGGTCAAACTTTTCTTCCCATCCACGAAGAAGGTTGTTGCACCAGTGAGGGATTCCCATGTCACACACAGGTGGCTCATCATGGAGTTTAGCTCAGGGAGTTCGAAACGTATGTGATCTGAACTGCTCTGCAGGTAGAGGGACAAACTAGACAAAAACATAAGAATATATATTATTCATGCTTGTATAACAGAACATCATAGTGTTAACTGATACAAAAAATACAGAAGATGAAGAAAATTGACCACTGTATATAAAGGATTTACAGATTAATAGGTTTTACTATTCAATGTTACTTAAAATGTTATAATTATTTAATCATGAGGGCTCTTCTGAACCAAATGTCTCTGTTGTCACTTTTAAAAAAGAGGTTGGTACTGGTACTGCTAATGGCAAAAATTATAATCACAGCTATTTTGAATATTAAGATCACTATTATTAAACATATCTACTAAGGATTTAATCTCTGAATCCTATACATTTACAAAACTGAACATGTAAAAACTTCTTATTCTTTGATAAGCCCACTAAGTGAAAAAAAACGCTATACCTTTTTTAATTTTCATTTTTTTAACTAAAGCCTGTATGTCTAACTGGAATATATTAATAGGTGAATCAATTTTTCACTTAATTTGACTTCAAAACTGGACTTTTATAAACCAGGAGGTCAAATTTTTGTTATAATGGACTAACATATTTCAATGATGCCTACATATATACACCATGACCTGAACCAGACTGCCCTAGTTGAACAATATAAACACATTGAAGGAAGCCGTAAGTAAACAAAACCTCAGCAGAAGAGGAAGAAAAGTAAACAAGATGAAGCTGTCATATTATATGTACATAGCTTTCTGCACAAACACTAAATTTTGCCTTCAAAAAAGCCCTTTCTGATATAAACATCAGGGTTGTCTTGTATTTGTCCTGTATATGGTAATATTCCTGCAGTACCGAATAGTGTAATAAGCATTAATAGCAATAGTAGTCTGTCATGGTTGTTTTTAGTCTGTGTTAGCTGGAAGACTTTGTAGTAGTACATGTCTACCTGCCATCCTTCTCACGCCACACACCCATCTCATCATGGTCCACGCTCCGGAATGAAAAGAGGGAGAACTCACGACGACCTCTGAGCTCTGTGGCTACCCTCATGCACAGAGTGAAAGCTCCCAGGTTCAGAGTTGTCTGAGGGCCAACCACAGCATAGCTGTCGTCACTCTCCTCTGGGAACACCAAGGTCTTCATGGTAGTACCCTCTGTAAACAGAAAATGTTACAGTGGTTCTGAAATTTGCTTTATTGAACATTTAGTCTGACCAAAACACAAAAAGCATGAACCAAAATGACATGAAGTTCACTTTTCCGATTGACCGAAAAAATGACTAATCTGTGATAAGAGTGTGTGCTGTGACTTTCCTCATCATCACCTCTGAATTCAATTATCACATTTTAAAGCAACTAAACTCTTGAACCCTAATTATTAGATCAACATTAAATCAAACTGTGCATGTTTAAGACTCAAAGGAAAATAATAAACTTACTGGCCAATGCCACAGAGACTGCGATGACGAACAGGACACCTGAAAACTTCATCTTGTACAAATCTGCAGGATGATTAGCAAAGTCACTCAAATGCTCAATGACTGTACTTCATTAGTCTGTATAAAGATTGAGAAGTTTAAGAAGATTCATACTCACTGGGCTGCCACAAAATGACTGTAGACCATCTGAGCAGGTAGGATTTTTATATTGTGATTTCTCGATCTCCTCCCCATAATTGCTCACTGATAGACAAACATGGTCATCAACAAGTAAATACATCTTATCATTACATGATTCTTGGCTTAATATCACTATGTGGAAATACTGAGTCATCCTAAATGGGACATCAGTGGTGATTTTCCATTGAACAACAATCAGGTGAATCTAACCCAAGTGGAAATCCAGCCAATTATCTCGCCCACTCAACATTAACACTGTGGAAGTCAAATTCCATTATCAAGTATTCCTGTCTTGTTCCAGCTAATGAGCACATTTCAAGCTCCAGTCTGGTTTTAGACAGGAACATAGAACTGAGTCTTTGCTTATTTTTGATACTTGTGATCTACTTATGAATAAGCAGATACTATTGTGTGCTCTGACCTTGTGCTGTTGGATTAAGGTGCAGTATTAGACACAAGTTAAAAAACTTCACATGTCAATTTGAGAGCACATTTCCACTTAATGTGACGTGAATTTTGGAGTACCTCAGGGATCGGTTTAGGGACAGATTATGTTTTCTGTCTTCATGCTGCTGCTTGGTTAAATAAAACAAAATATTTCATTTCACTGCTATGCTGATGAAAATCAGCTGTATCTACCTGGAGATGCAAGCAACACTGAAACGCCTCTCACCTCACACACTTTTTGCTGGTATTAAAAACTGAATGGCAGCAAATTTCTTAAAATCAAGCCGAACAAAACTGAAATATTCAGTATTAGCTCAGAGAACTTGCACCCCGATGTTAAGTCCTGCCTTGGTTATCTCTCACTTCACGTAAAACAAAATGTAAGAAACCTTAGAGTTACTTTTGACAGTCGCCTCACCTTTCAGACACATACAGAAACAGTTATCCAATTATGCTTTTGCCATCTAAGAAATATCGTTGAGATCTGTGCTAACGTTAATGACAAACAATTATTTGTGGTTTTATTTCCTCACAATTAATTTCACTGTAATTATCTTTTCACAGGTATGAATCAGAAATAAAAAAATGCATCCAAAGTGCAAAATTCAGCAGCTACTTTCACAATAAGTCTAAGCTCTCTTCATCTCCAAATATAGCTTGATCAGCTATGGAATGTCTAATCAAACTAGCAAACCACAACATCAGAAAGAGAACCACTTGATTTTTTTGTATATTAATTTCACAGTTTTTTGCTTCCTCGCTGTCTGGTCTGCTTTTGTTATCTGTCTGTTTAAGGTGACTCTGTAAAAGAATGGTGGAGAGCAACTACTGACAGGTCATATACTTTGTAAGCTGGAGGAGTACAGTAATAAAATCCTCCTCCTGGTATGATCAAAAGTTTTTTAGGAGCCAAAAGAGCCAGGTCTTGATTGCAGAGCTTATCCTGACCTTCTTGCCTCCATTGTTCTTGCCTTTCATGTTTTTGCATCATGACTACACCTCCATTTTAATGACATGAGCATTTCCATGAACTTCAAGCGGTATACTTTGCCAGTCAACATCATTTGCCTTCAGATCTCCCTGCCGAGAATACACGTTTTGAATTGTACTGTCAGAGAGGACAGAGTCCCACAGGTTCACATCAGAGAGTGACCCAACAAAGCTCTGACTCGCATCAAAATCACTCAAATAACATTCTGCTTGTTGTTATTGTATATATATACACTCACCGGCCACTTTATTAGGTACACCTGTCCAACTGCTCGTTAACACTTAATTTCTAATCAGCCAATCACATGGCGGCAACTTAGTGCATTTAGGCATGTAGACATGGTCAAGACAATCTCCTGCAGTTCAAACCGAGCATCAGTATGGGGAACAAAGGTGATTTGAGTGACTTTGAACGTGGCATGGTTGTTGGTGCCAGAAGGGCTGGTCTGAGTATTTCAGAAACTGCTGATCTACTGGGATTTTCACGCACAACCATCTCTAGGGTTTACAGAGAATGGTCCGAAAAAGAAAAAATATCCAGTGAGCGGCAGTTCTGTGGGCGGAAATGCCTTGTTGATGCCAGAGGTCAGAGGAGAATGGCCAGACTGGTTCGAGCTGATAGAAAGGCAACAGTGACTCAAATAACCACCTGTTACAACCAAGGTAGGCAGAAGAGCATCTCTGAACGCACAGTACGTCGAACTTTGAGGCAGATGGGCTACAGCAGCAGAAGACTACACCAGGTGCCACTCCTTTCAGCTAAGAACAGGAAACTGAGGCTACAATTTGCACAAGCTCATCGAAATTGGACAATAGAAGATTGGAAAAACGTTGCCTGGTCTGATGAGTCTCGATTTCTGCTGCGACATTCGGATGGTAGGGTCAGAATTTGGCGTCAACAACATGAAAGCATGGATCCATCCTGCCTTGTATCAACGGTTCAGGCTGGTGGTGGTGGTGTCATGGTGTGGGGAATATTTTCTTGGCACTCTTTGGGCCCCTTGGTACCAATTGAGCATCGTTGCAATGCCACAGCCTACCTGAGTATTGTTGCTGACCATGTCCATCCCTTTATGACCACAATGTACCCGACTTCTGATGGCTACTTTCAGCAGGATAATGCGCCATGTCATAAAGCTGGAATCATCTCAGACTGGTTTCTTGAACATGACAATGAGTTCACTGTACTCAAATGGCCTCCACAGTCACCAGATCTCAATCCAATAGAGCATCTTTGGGATGTGGTGGAACGGGAGATTCGCATCATGGATGTGCAGCCGACAAATCTGCGGCAACTGTGTGATGCCATCATGTCAATATGGACCAAGCTCTCTGAGGAATGCTTCCAGCACCTTGTTGAATCTATGCCACGAAGAATTGAGGCAGTTCTGAAGGCAAAAGGGGGTCCAACCCGTTACTAGCATGGTGTACCTAATAAAGTGGCCGGTGAGTGTATATATAGAAGAAACTTACTACCGTGTTTAAAGCCATGTTGCCTTTTATTGGTATGTCTTGCTTTATTGTCTCCTTGTTTTATTCTTGTGTTGTGAGCTTTTATGAGCAGGTGTGTATTTATTTTGGAAATGGACCTTCAGTTTGTGCGACTTTGCAGTACAAGTAGTGCTTTATTACATTATGTTTAATAAAATATTCAGAAACCAATGTTGGTAAAATTGTCAGTGATGTAAATTATCTTTGGAAAACCTGTTTGGACAGGTGCAGATTACAAAAGTTCTTGCTTAAACTTTTCAAGGACAGTGTGGGTGGCAGGTAGTGTCAAAAGGTTAAAACATGGTCGAGTTTTCAGGGTTCAAGAGTCATGATAAAAAAGTAAATATCATTTATCAGCAGTGAGCAGAAAAATCCAGTCAGGTACAACAAACTCAGTAATGACAAACAAGGAGAGCACACAAATCTGCAGGAGTAGATCCAAACCATGTAAAAGAAACCTGATATCTGTTTTGCACTATGTGAATTAACTAGTTGTTGAGTGAATTAACTGTTTTTGTTGTTGATCTTAAGACTGTACCAATCTCTTTCTTTCTTTATCTCCCCATATTGCCGGCACTGTCTCAGCAGGTGTCTGGTTCTGCTCAAGGTTTCTGCCTGTTAAAAAGAAGTTTTTCTTGCTACATGCTGCAAGGTGCTTCACTCATCGTAGTTAAAGATGGATCAGAGTAGGTCTGATCTTACAAGTTGAGTCTCAATCTTATCCTATCTTGATGAAAAAACATGCTGCAAAGAATGAAAAACCAGAAAGCTGCTGAAAAAGAAATTTGTATCTGAAGTTGTTTTGTTAAAGGTTTACTGCAGATAACTGACAACTGTTCAGACTGTTGCAGATCATTTACTGCATTTATTGAAATGTTGCTTTTTTTCAATATGAGCAACTTTACAATCTTTGATCCATACTTAATAAAGTTAATTGTTTTAATTCCTTTCTACCTTCTTGACTCATCTTATCTCTGCCAACCTGTTTGTTCATGTTCAGGTAATAAAAATGTTATTGATTCTTTTTTCAGGACAGTTCAAAGTTAAAAAGTTTGAACATGTAGGAGTTTACAAAGTCCAGGTGTGCTTACAAGTGCAGTTCAGGTCATTTATCAGCGGTTTACGTGAGAATCAGGCTGAGAATAGCAAACTAAATAATGACTAACAAGAAGAGCACATACATTTGCAGGACTTCAGCCAATCTGTGTATAAACAAACCATAACCCTTTATGGCATGATGTTGCCCTCCAGTAACAAACGTGTTACTTGTTCTCCTGCTCTGTTCCCAACACAGACCAGACTTTTGTACTGCAGGGTCAACACAGGGGTCCTCCAACATTTTTTTTTCCAGCACTGACACCAGGGAGAAGTTCAGGTTGGGCAGAGAGTCCCTGGCACTGCTGCTGGACCTTCTTCATCAGGAGCAGAGGCATGGATGGGGCACCACAATTAGAGACTCTGGTGTTCCTTTTCTGGCTGGCCAGTAGGGTATCATACAGGGTGGTCTCAAGGGTGTTTGGGATGCCCTGCTCTACTGTCCACCGCATCATCCACCAAGTTACAGAGGAGGTAGTGGCCCTTCCCTACAGGATCATCTACCCCACCAGCTCTGACGATGATCTAGTGGCCGTACCTCAGGGGTTTGCAGGGCTGGCAAAGCACCGAGCTTTTCACAAAGGTGCCAGCGCAATCAAAATGTGCCATGTGCAAATTAAGCCCCCCAAGTGGCCCTGATGGCCACTATCTAAACAAAAAAAATTTTTGAATCTGTGCTAATGCAAGCAGTTTGTGGCCATCATGGCCACTTCATTGACACGTATGTGGGCTGGCCTGGGGTCTGTGCATTACGCCAGAGTACTCTGACACAGCCCAATGTACAGATGGGCGATGTACCCTCCTCCAGGGCACTTCATCCTAGCAGACAGTGGGTATCTGCGCCTCCAGTACCCACTCCCTCTCATTACTCCCTACAAGCAGCCAGTGCAAGGTGTGGCAGCAGTGCTTCAATGGGCATCATGCCAGGCAACACTTTTTTTTTATAAATGGCTGCTTTCGAGCCTTTCAAACACTTTGCTAAACAACTGAAAAGAATGAGGTATTTTGTGTAAAGTGCAAACAGTTAAGTTAACTTCCAACTCTTTTGCTCAAGGTGAAGTGGTCCCACAACTTGCTACACTTGCTTTCTTTTGACATCTGTAAAAACAACAACAAAAAGAAAAAAGTGAGAGAGCAGCAAGTATACATTAAATATGCATTGTTTAAAAGAATCTGTCTAGTTATATATGAGCCATTTTCAAACTCATAGCCTACATTAAGCATTTTTCTTAGTTGTGTTTACATAATATGACTTACACTACACCCCTGGTGATTTATTTTAACTGTAATAAAGACGATAAACTAATTATTTTCAGCTTATTATTTAGACTTTAACGGGTGTGAATCTAATTATTTTGTCAACCTCCTTCTTGTCAAACTCACACACTCGTCATCCTCTAAAATAAATAGCCTATATAAATATATAAAAATAAAGCTAACTCACCTAAACTCAATATACTGTAGGCTACTGCTCTTCACGCCAACAGGAAGACCAACTGATGATCTCAGTAATATTCCACGTATTTAACTCGGACCAAAAAGGCATTTCGAACTTTGCAAGTAAAAGAAGTAGCTCGATCACGTCATGTGTACTGTTGTTTATTCTACCGTTACTAGCACGGCTAAAGGTGTAGCACGGCTAATAGCAGGTGGCTAACTCTAACTTTAGCTTGCATATTACATGGTGCTTCACCATGAACTCGGCGTGACCGAAACCAACACAGCGGGGAACATCGTGAAGTGGGTTGAACTGAAACTTGTGGACTTATTGTGTATTTCACAAACTGGTTTATTTACCTTTGAGATGGACCACTCTCCTCCGTGGGTCCCTGAGCTGCCTGCTTCAGATCCGTCACTCTGCTGTGCTGTGAGGTAGTTCGTGGATGAAGATTGTCATGAGGTCGCTATGCCACAGGATAAGTCAGGGGATCTTTTCAAATGGCGGAACATTTTCGAAGTGAAAACGAATCCTATTCTCCACGTATTATTTCTGAAAATATCGGCGACAATCAGAGAGATTTGGCCGATTACCAATTAGTCTCAAACGGGCAAAAATTGGCCGATTTAATCGGATTTTTCAGAAATTACATACAAATGTACACAAAATCGGGTCATGCATGTTTAGCATATTCAGTCCTTTTAGTCCACATTTGGTAAAACTTGAAACTGTAACTGGCACACTGTTTTCCCAGTTTGCTGAAGGAATCAAGATTGTTTTTCTCTTTCCCACGTCTTCCTTATGTGTTCAGTGTTATCATGTTTAGATTTTTGGATGGCAATATACTGTTTTGAAATGATCGTATCACAAGATTGGGATTTCAATTAAAACAGAAATGCCTGTAGAAACTCTAATTTAAATTGCTCTAAGACCTCCTAAGTTTTGGTTAAAGAAGTGTCAGACCTCCAAATATCTATAGGAGTCATCTTTCTCCAATTTGTATTTACTCTGTAGAGCTTCAAAACTATGTTATGCCCCCTTGTGGACAAATGAATTATAGTTGGTTAAACCCATTGAGACCCATTTCTTTAAACCTATTGTCACTTATATTTGGAACCAAATCTGAGTCACAGGCACACCATCCCTGGAGCTTAGATTGATTTTCTTGTCCATAGATTTTCATGACATCCTGCCACACAGTCAGAAGAATATCCGACATAAAGGCACCTGAGACCATGAGTTTTGAGGCAGATTTTTATCTGCTAGTTCAGGCTCTTATTTGTACTCCTTTAGTTGTGCCATTTTCTATTTCCTTCCATCCAACCAGAGTTCTTCTTTTTGGATGACATTTATGAACTTCTCCATGAATTTTTTTATTATATTAACTTTATAAGAACTTTACTATGGATTTCTCACAGGGCCATTTTAAACCAGTATATAAATATCAACTTTTGTTGTCAGGTCGTTTGTCTATGAAAAAGTATGAGGGCTAACATTATTGGATATTTAAGTTGACCCACCGTACACAGTACAATTTGTTTGCTGCTTCAATGTTAGCAGAAGACAGGTTTATTGTTTCACTTATCTGATTCTGGAAGACCGGCAAAGCGCGCCAAAGTCGGGCACTCAGGTATTTCTCCTCCATGAATCCTGAGGCGTTTAATCATGTTGGTCGTTGACCCTCCTTTACATGATATAACTGTGTTGCTAACGTTGCACTGAGATAAGAGTTCATTCTTCCTGCTGAAGTTAGCCAAACTGTTGACCGCCGCCAATGTGGGTTACAATCCTCTCTTTATCTCTCCCTCTCTTCTCTCTCTGTGTGGCTTGTTTCAGACACTTCGTCCTCGTTGGTGTTCGGCGCCTTCTTCTTCGTTGGTGTTCTTCCGGTCGGCGGACTCATAGACATATATAAGAAAGCCTAGATGACTCGAGGCGGAGTCACCGGCGTCCGTACACGGCAGCCATCTTACTCCAGTATACTATTCTAGTACATTGTATGGTAGCTGACGGAAGGTGAGTAATGTGCATGATCAAAAATACTCTTAACTCGCTGAAATCTTGACAGATTTACAAATGGTTTTGTAAATTACAGACCTTAATCATGTGACTATGAGTCGGGATGCTTGGACATATTTAAATGGGAGCTTTTCTTTGAGAAAAAAAGACTTAATCGTGCAGTACAGTTGTTTCATGGCTATTTGCGCGCAAGGGCTAACTTTTGAGTAGCTTTGCGTGAGTTGTCAAGGCTGAGACCACAATTGAGATTTCAATTTCTTGTATGACAGCCTATATTTTTCGTCTAAGTGACGCTTGTGTTTATCAGCTGTCTAACTTGGCTAACAGACTCGCTGTGCGTGAGACCAAGTATGTATTACAAAGTTGACCCAGCAATTTTGCATCAGTTGGAGAGGTAGAAATGCTCTTTCGTTTCAACATAACTTAAATTGCACATGATTTGGTTTGTTAAAAACATCTAAAATGGCAACATGAGGCAGACATTTATATTAATATAAATATTTATATATGTTTTTGCTATATGGTATTATAGTTATCCCTATAATGGGATTATTACACATATAACATGCATGGAATGAATAGATGTTCTATATATAAATGATTCAATATAACTGCCTTGTGTGTGTAGGCCTATAGCTATTGCTCTACATATCTCCTAATGTTTATTTATGAAAATCCATGAATAAATTTTTTTTGAGTATGCAGGAACATGACTTGAAGTCTGAGGTTTGTTACAAACCAAACCATTCGAAAATCGGTGAGAAATTAAGCAATCTATGGTTATTTAAATGCTACATGCACCGTAGACTGTAACGTTATGAGTGGGCGAGCTGCCTGAAGCAAGATGGCCGCGATGTGCGGATGTCGGTCTCCATTGGCTAACAGCATTCATTATTCATCTAGCGTTTATTTATAAATGCGAGGTTTCAGACACTACATGGCACACTGTTGTGATGTCACTGCTCGTACTGCCACGTCTGAAGTTGCAGCTGTTGTTTTCACATCTCTTGAATTTTATGACACTGTATAGATGTATTTGTTTTCCAGGATGTTCGTGAAAATAAAAAAAAAGCTTCATTTGGATGTGCCAATCCATTTGTCCTTTTTTTGCACAAAAGCACAACAAACCAGTAACTCAAAAAAACAAACCAGCCGCCAGCCTGCGGTCAAAAAACAGAGGCTTTATGTGCACCACACCTGTAACAATTAGTGGGCACCTTGAATGCCCTTTCGCGTCCCCCCACAGCGCCGCTCAGGTGAACCCTGAGAATGGCTCGCTTACAACCCCTACCCTGACTAGATGTTCACTTCAGCAGGACGTTCTTCAGGTCACCATCTCACACATCCATACTGATGGACAGGGCCTTAAGCCGTTGCTCTGGCTACCTCTGCCACTGCAGTGCAGGGCCTCAAAATCCTCCTCCTGGTCTTTGCTGAGCTTTGCCAAACAGTCTGGATCATTGAATAGAGTCCTTCTTTCCTTCTATCTGTCCTTTTAGACTGTTTGAAATTACCATCCCATAATGCAACACCATTCTTGTCATTTGTTGTGTTATTATAGGAGTTGGTTTGAATACAGCATTTGATAATGTATAATTCTGGTCATAATTTACAGTGTAAGAAAAAAGAGCATATTACATTCACTCTATTTTAATTACCTTACCTTGGCTTTCCATTTCTTTAAGACCTGATTTAAAGATTCAACTAATTTCTTTTAAAGCATGTCATGGTCTGACCCCCAGAAATTCAGTTTTTCATGGTTCTCTTTATTTTATTTAGCCCTCTTTGAAGTCATGTTGCCTTTTATTGGTATGTCTTGCTTTATTGTCTCCTTGTTTTATTTCTGTGTTGTGGGCTTTTATGAGCAGGTGTGTATTTATTTTGGATAAGGACCTTTAGTTTGTGCAATTTAAGTACAGCTAGTGTTTTTTATATTATGTTTAATAAAATATTCAGAAACCAATGTTGGTAAAATTGTCAGTGATGTAAATTATCTTTGGAAAACCTGTTTGGACAGGTGCAGATTACAAAAGTTCTTGCTTAACCTTTTCAAGGACAGTGTGGGTGGCAGGTAGTGTCAAAAGGTTAAAACATGGTCGAGTTTGCAGAGGTCAAGAGTCATGATAAAAAAGTAAATATCATTTATCAGCAGTTAGCAGAAAAATCCAGACAGGTACAACAAACTCAGTAATGACAAACAAGGATAGCACACAAATCTGCAGGAGTAGATCCAAACCATGTAAAAGAATCCTGAAATATAAAACTTGACTGGTGACATAATCTGACAGATTATAACAGCATTATTAATTTTTGATTCAAAAGCGACTGAAAGAGGCCTAAGGGTGAAAAGCAAGGTGAGTTTATAGCTGTGCATTTCAAATAAAGAGAACATATTTGACTTTTTAAAGTCTCTATCCACAGTCTTTTCTGGGAGTCCCTGAGCTCCCTCATCCCATAGGTTTCTTTGCTGCAGACATCCTGCTGCTGTGGACTTGCCTGCTTTCCAGCTGCTTCAACTACAAGCGTCACTGCCTGCACTGTCTCAGCAGGTGTCTGATTCTGCTCAAGGTTTCTGCCTGTTAAAAAGAAGTTTTTCTTGCTACATGCTGCAAGGTGCTTCACTCAGTTAAAGATGGATCAGAGTAGGTCTGATCTTACAAGTTGAGTCTCAATCTTATCCTATCTTGATGAAAAAAAAAACATGCTGCAAAAAATGAAAAACCAGAAAGCAGCAGTAAAAAAAAATTTGTATCTTAAGTTGTTTTGTTAAAGGTTTGCTGCAGATAACTGACAATTGTTCAGACTGTTGCAGATCATTTACTGCAACTTTTAGGGAGAAATGTTGCTTTTATTTTCAGCAACTTTACAATCTTTAATCCATACTTCATAAAACTTTCAAAGTTAATTGTTTTAATTCCTTTCTACCTCCTTGACTCATCTTATCTCTGCCAACCTGTTTGTTAATGTTCAGGTAATAATGTTATTGATTCTTTTTTCAGGACAGTTCAAAGTTAAAAAGTTTGAACATGTAGGAGTTTACAAAGTCCAGGTGTGCATACAAGTGTAGTTCAGGTCATTTATCAGCGGTTTACATGAGAATCAGGCTGAGAACAGCAAACTAAATAATGACTAATAGAAGAGCACACACATCTGCAGGACTTTAACCATAACCCTTTATGGCATGATGTTGCCTTCCAGTTACAAACCATCTTTTTCTAATCCCACCGTCTCTCTTGAACATGTAATATTTTCCTTTTTAATACCAGATACTAGCTAATAAAACAAGGGGCTACAGTCAGTGACATCTTCCATGATGAGGTAAAGCATCCCTCTTTTGAGCCAAAACTATAGACGACGCAGTGAAATAAAATCTATGCAAAATCTCTTTTTGTTTGTTTAATTTCTGGCATTACAATACAATCTCAATGGGTTCGGTGAGGACTCACCCCAACTGGCTTTCGTCACGTGTAACATAAGGATAGCTGGAGTAGCAACTACATGCCAGTCCCTTTCAAGGTTAGCATGGCAAGTGTACGGACCAATACCAAGTTTAGAATAGAATAGAATAGAATAGAATAGAATAGAATATTCCTTTATTGATCTCCCATGGGGGAAATTTTTTAGTCACAGCAGCATCACAGACAAAGAGTGCAAAAATGACAAAAAGTGTATCATTAAAGTCACCACAGATCTTATCTGGGTGATATTTCTTAGCTGGCAATAGAGTATTTTGATAACTGTTTCTGTATGTGTCTGAAAGGTGAGGTGACTGTCAAAATTAACTCTGAGGTTTCTTACATTTTGTTTTACGTGAAGTGAGAGATAACCAAGGCAGGACTTAACATCGGGGTGCAAGTTCTCTGAGCTAATACTGAATATTTCAGTTTTGTTCAGCTTTGATTTTAAGAAATTTGCTGCCATTCAGTTTTTAATACCAGCAAAAAGTGTGTGAGGTGAGAGGCGTTTCAGTGTTGCTTGCATCTCCAGGTAGATACAGCTGATTTTCATCAGCATAGCAGTGAAATGAAATATTTTGTTTTATTTAACCAAGCAGCATGAAGACAGAAAACATAATCTGTCCCTAAACCGATCCCTGAGGTACTCCAAAATTCACGTCACATTAAGTGGAAATGTGCTCTCAAATTGACATGTGAAATTTTTTAACTTGTGTCTAATACTGCACCTTAATCCAACAGCACAAGGTCAGAGCACACAATAGTATCTGCTAATTCAGAAGTAGATCACAAGTATCAAAAATAAGCAAAGACTCAGTTCTATGTTCCTGTCTAAAACCAGACTGGAGCTTGAAATGTGCTCATTAGCTGGAACAAGACAGGAATACTGCTGATGCTGTTAATACTGAGTGGGCGAGATAATTGGCTGGATTTCCACTTGGGTTAGATTCACCTGATTGTTGTTCAATGGAAAATCACCACTGATGTCCCATTTAGGATGACTCAGTATTTCCACATAGTGATATTAAGCCAAGAATCATGTAATGATAAGATGTATTTACTTGTTGATGACCATGTTTGTCTATCAGTGAGTAATTATGGGGAGGAGATCGAGAAATCACAATATAAAAATCCTACCTGCTCAGATGGTCTACAGTCATTTTGTGGCAACCCAGTGAGTATGAATCTTCTTAAACTTCTCAATCTTTATACAGACTAAAAAAGTTAGTACAGCTACTGAACTTTGCATTTGAGTGACTTTGCTAATCATCCTGCAGATTTGTACAAGATGAAGTTTTCAGGTGTCCTGTTTGTCATCGCAGTCTCTGTGGCATTCGCCAGTAAGTTTATTCTTTTCCTTTGAGTCTTAAGCATGCACAGTTTTGATTTAATGTTGATCTAATCTCATGTTTAGGTTTTGAGACTTTCATTGACTAAAAACGTGATGGTTGAATTCAGAGGTGACGAAGAAATTCATGGCACACACCTTTATCACAGTTGGGTCATTTTTCATGTTTATTGCCAAAAAATAAATCTGTGTATTCAGTTGTTGAAATGTACAGGTCCATAAAGGTCGATCCCTGAACACATCTGTTCTTATTTCTGGTACCGTGAGATATATAGTAATGACTCTCACATACAATACCCAATTTGTTCAACATTTGAAAAAATTCTGTGATAATTCCAAACTGAACTCAAGTTCATAAACTGTGCATTTTTGCAAAAGTTACTGTGCAACCTATTGGACGCAGCTCCTAATAGGCCATCATAAACATTTCTGGTGGTATAAGCCCCACCAACTGGCTAGATGCAGTACTACAATGTTTACTCAGTGCTTTTATCTGCATATTTCAATAGGTACATTCGCAATAATCGTCTTAATTTATCTTTTTCTCACATATATTTAGCTCATCGCAGTTGTAACACTAAAAGGAATGGTTACAGTAAAGGAAGATCCCATTGCTCATCCATTGCATCAGGCCCTAACATGTGTTGCCTGCAGCTTTATTTTTTATTTTTTCTGTCTATTACAAAAGTGAATTTTATGTAATTTTGGTTCTTTTTTTTGGGGGGGGGGGATTACAAAAAATCACAAGTGCAATAAAGCAAATTTCAGAACCACTGTAACATTTTCTTTTTCCAGGGGGTACTTCCAGGAAGACCTTGGTGTTCCCCACCCAGACTAATACCAGTTATGTTGTGATGGATGCTAAGACAAATCTGAACCTGAAAGCTTTCACTCTGTGCATGAGGGCAGCCACAGAGCTCGTCGGTCGTCGTGAGGTCTCCCTCTTTTCATTCAGGAGCGTGGACCATGATGAGCTGAGTGTGTGGCGTGAGAAGGACGGCAGGTAGACATGTACTACTACAAAGTCTTCCACAGACTTTTTTGAAGGCAAAATTTTGTATTTGTGCAGAAAGCAATGTACATATAATTTGACAGCTTTATCTAGTTTACTTTTCTTCCTCTTCTGCTGAGGTTTTGTTTACGTACAGCTTCCTTCAGTGCGTTTATATTATTCAACTAGGGCACTTTGGGTCAGATCGTGATGTATATATGTAGACATCATTGAAGTTTGTTAGTCCAACTACCAAAAATTTGACTTCCTGGTTTATAAAAGTCCAGTTTTGATTAAAATCAAGTGAAAAATTTATTCACTTATTAAAATATCCCAGTTAGACAGACACTTAAGAAAAAAAAAGCATAACATTTTTTTCTTTTTCACTTATTGGGCTTATCAAAGAATTCAAAGTTTTTATATTTTCAGTTTTGTAAATTTATCGGTTTCAGAGGTTAAATACCGAGTGTTCAGTAATGGTGATCTTATTATTTAAAATAATTGATTATCATTTTTACCATTAGCAGCCCCAGTATCAACTCCTTTTTTAAAAGTGACAACAGGGACATTTGGTTCAGAAGAGCCCTCATGATTAAAAAATTGTGACATTTTAAGTAATAGTTAATAGTAAAACCTATTAATCCGTGTTTCCTTTGTATACAGTGGTTATTTCTTCATCTTCTCTATCTTTTTTTGTATCAGTTAACACTCTGATGTTCTGTTATACAAGCATGAATAATATATATTCACATGTTTTTGTCTAGTTTGTCCCTCTACCTGCAGAGCAGTTCAGAACACGTACGTTTCGACGTCCCTGAGCTCAACTCCTTGATGAGCCACGTGTGTGTGACATGGGATTCCATCACCGGTGCAACAAGCTTCTTCGTGGACGGGAACAAAAGTTTGACCAAAATCTACAAGAGGGCTTTCACTGTGCAAGCTGAAGGACAGGCCCTCCTTGGACAAGATGCAGACAGTTTTTTGGGTGATTTTGATGCGTGTCAGAGCTTCGTTGGGTCACTCTCTGATGTGGACATGTGGGACTCTGTCCTCTCTGACAGCGCAATTCAAAAGGAGTATTCTCGGCAGGGAGATGTGAAGGCAAATGTTTATAACTGGGAAACTGCACAGCTTATAGTTAACGGGAATACTCATGTCATAAACATGGAGGTGTAGTCATGATGCAAAAACATGACAGGCAAGAAGGTCAAGATAAAGCTCTGCAATGTATAGTCAGCCAAAATAACATCTGTATAACATCCATGTGTGAATCATTCATGATGGTTGACCAGCGCACAATGTCTTTCTTGACACTTCAATAAATATTTTTGCCAACAAGTTGTGTATTGTTATGATTTATTTAAGACATATAAGGAAGTTCTACCAAAGCCAGTCACCTCAAAGTGGTTTATCCCACTGATACTGGACAGTGTACATGATGATAGTTAATAGAGCTTTCTTTTTAATATCAAAGTTTATAAACTCTGTGAAAAAAATATCAAGTTTTTAACATTCATCAGCTGAGGTTCACAACACCTATGACATAACAATTAAACAAAAACTGAAAATATGGATTACTATGAACAAGTACTTTTTGTTGATCAACAAGAAGTTTTCTTGATCTCAATATCATTTAAATTAAAATAATCAGCAGAGCCTTCATGATTGAACAAGTATGATTTTTCATGAGTTAATTGACTTTGCAATTTTACAGCATAAAAAAGCAAAGGCACAAACAATTTTATATCCATAAAGACAACCTAAGTCTTTAGCAAACATGACAATAGCTGATTTTGGGATTGAACCACCTCTTTGCAAATGTCTCTCAATGCAAACAGTATGTTCAAAGAGCACCCTAACCATTTATCTTTCGGCTATGTGGCTCCTCTTTCTAAATACAAAGTCCTTAACTTTGCTAGACTTTGTAAACTCTATTGTTTTAGATCAATATCTCTGCCCTCTGAACCCTGTTCATATCCAGTCCTGCTTGACATGTCCTGCTTACCAGGTTAAAGTGTTGTGTCGTTCACAAACGATTCGTTCAAAAGAACCAAATCTTTTAAGTGAACGTACACTTCCTCAGGTGATTTGTTTGTTTCTCACTTCAGATGCCCAGCAGCCGGCAAACGAGGGACCACATGCACTGACGCCTGAATCACTTGGTGAATGAATCACAAATTGGTCACAGGCTTCTCCCGCCAAGGGCAAAATGATTCAGTGATTCGGTGGATGAATCTTTTGAACAAATCTTTTTAGTGAACTGATTCTAGTGATTTAGTACATCGAAAAGCACTGCTGTTCTCATCACTACTGGGTCAAAGTATTGTACAATCCCTCTTAACAGGGAGGAACTTCTCTACTCAAAAGTCCTCCTGTTCACATCATCTGTATCTTGGCAGCAGCACAGTGAGTGTAAGCTTGATCCAATTTTTAAAAAGTATACATGAACTATTCCTTTGAAGACTCATTGGTAAGTTATTTTCCTTTGTCTCTGTTTTCAGAGGCAAAATGAGACTTTCTGTGGTCCTTTTCCTAATCGCCACCTCCATAGTGTTGGCAGGTAATTAGGACCTTTTTCAACCTTGTCTTCTCTTTTCTTTCTTGGTTTTAAGGGCATTTCTTTGCATATTTAAAAGCTATTCTAAAGCTTTAACAAAAGACATTTATACATTTATTTCTAGAGATGTCTGACATAATATCACTATGATGATGATTTTGTTGTTTACCACTAGAAAATCTTTGTTTCCTCTCATCAGGGGGTGTCACCGTCAAGTCCTTGGTGTTCTCAAGTGAGTCAAATACAAATTATGTTGAGATGATCCCTCAGGCACCTCTGACCCTGGGGGCTTTCACCCTGTGCATGCGAGTGGCCACAGAGTTGAGCAGTGAGCGTGAAATCATCCTCTTTGCATACCGGACCCAGTACTACGATGAGCTAAACCTGTGGCGAGAGTTGGACGGCAGGTAGGACTGGAGCTCAAGATTTCTTAACATTTAGAAAAATACTAGAAATTAGATCAATGTTGTTACCATAAAGAGCAAATGGACTGTAACAGACCGGCAGATTTTCTTTTGGGGGAATAACAATCTTTGTATGCCCAAAGGCTGTATTAAGTGCCAACCATAGAAAACGTAATTAAAAACATGATTCCAGGACAGGTAATAAAAGTTCATTCTCTTTTCTTCCTGAGGTGGTCAATGATTAATCAGTCAATCAAACAGCCTCTATTTATTTAGTACTTCTCTTTCAGTGAGATGTAGCACAAAGGGCTTTACATAAACAGAAAATCAATATAATGACGTTTCTCAATGGTAAAATGTAGAAGTTAAAAAGTGTAGGACCTAAAACTGAACCCTGGAGAACGCCACAATTTACATTACATAATCCTGATGAGCAGTTTCCCATGCTCACACAGAATTTTCTGTCGATAAGAAAAGATTTAAACCAATTAAAAACAGTACCAGATATGCTAACAAGATTGTGAAGCCTATCTTAAAGTATTTCATGATTGACTGGGTCAAAGGCTGCACTCAAATGAAGCAGCACAATGACTGACGGCATTTTTCACAATACTCTGTACTGTGATTTGTCAAAAACCAGATTGGTGTTCACCGATTTTATGAAATCTTTTTACTGATTAAAAACAAGCTTCTCTAAAATCTTACTTAAAATTGCAGATTTGAAACTGCTCTATAATTATTCAGTATTGTTGCATCCAAATTATTTCTCTTTAGAAGAGGTTCAATTGTGATAAACGTTCCTTCCCTTGGTTATCTCTAAAAGACAGAGAGTTGTTAAAAACTGTTTTTTTTACGGCATAAGAGTTACATTGTCTCATCTCTGGAAACCAAATGCATGTCTCACACTCCTGGAGGAGTGTTGAGGTTCAAGGAGCGGTTGTCTCCACTACAGTTTTATGAGGTAATGTCTTCTCCAAAGAAGTTTTATGGCCATGATAAATGTGAAATGAAATCTGGTATTGTGACAGTCCTAATATGTAATTAAATGGGCTCTGGATGATGCATTTATAACTTTCAGTATTTGTGTTTAGGTTGTCCTTTTACCTGAGTGGGGAGGGAGTTTTCTTTAGGGTGCCTGAGCTCGGCCCTATGCAGACTCACCTGTGCGTGACTTGGGATTCCAGCTCCGGCGCGGCTGCCATCTTCATTGACGGAAAGAAGAGCTTGACCAAAGTCTACAAGAAGGGTCACACTATTCGTAGTGGGGGAAAGGTCATCCTCGGACAAGATCCAGACAACTATCTTGGTGACTTTGATGCCAATCAAAGTTTTGTTGGGGAGATCAGTGATGTAAACATGTGGGATTTTGTCCTCCCAGACAGAGTGATCAGAGAAATTTACAACAGAGAGGGAACATCCAGGGGAAACATTTTTGATTGGGAAAGCACAGAGCTAAGAGTTCGTGGGAGGGTGGATATTATTCAGTGTGATGTGTAGCATTGATGCAGCTAATGTCATGAAGAGAATACAAAGCTAAGGGAATGGGTATTAAGAAGCTAGTTTCTTGATGCAAGTTAAACAGATTCACTGTGCTAACATTTTCCCTGAAATAAAAAAACAGACTTAAAATGCAATTTGTGTGAAATTATTACAAAATATTTTCAAAATAACGGGCGTGTCTATAGGGTTGGCAAAGAGTGGCATATGCCACTCTTTGTGTATTTCTAATTTAGAGGTTCACATTTCCCTCATCATCTATTCAAAGTCAAGATAACAGTTGGTTTCACAATACATAACAAAGTACTTGTAGAAAAAATATAGTTGTAGAGTGGCTTAAAAAACACAGAGTATGAGATGTTTAGGTGCCTCCCTGTGGACAGTCAATAGAAGATGCTCGATGTATACATTTTCCATGGTTTTGAGTTTTTGGTTAGTTTGATAAACATAATTGTTAGCATAGTGGTCACAAGATGCAATCAAAAAAGGGTTGCATGGGTTGACTCCCTGATACCCTTGTGCCTTGCTCCTTTTCAGTGAGTAAAAATAAACTACTAAACTAACTAAAATAGTGTCCTATAAATTTGTTTTCAGTTACAAGAATGTACAAAGATTCCTCCCAGAGGCTCTTCCAGACAATGATAATGAGGATTGTCCTCTGTGTGCCCTTCCAGCTGCTTTTCCAGTGAGTCAAGCAGGAAAAATTAAACTAGTGATCTTATTTCTTCCAGAAGCACTAAACTGCTTCAGTAAACTACAGCTTTTATTAGATATGGCTCATGGCTTTCATTGAAAAATGTCTATCTCCAAATCTTATCTCCAAACGATAAACCTTTGAAAATAAATTCACCCATTCACATCATGCTGCAGGCACGGACGGGGTTCGAACCCGCGATCTTCGGTTTACGAGACCGACGCCTTACCACTTGGCCACCGCGCCTGGCAGTGTAAAGGGGGCGGAGTCTAAGAATTTAATCATACTATATAAGGTTTATAAATCAAAATTGTTGACTATTCTGTGAAATCCTTTAGTTGTCTTGCTTTGAAGGACTATGTGTAACCAAACTCCACCCAGTTTGTTCACAGTTTTGACTAGATTTGTCCTGATCGACTTACCCCCCCCTTTTAAATAAGTTTTTAAGTAATGTGCAAAAATTCAACATAAAAAATACAGCGAAACCAAATGCATAAGAAACATTGAACTTTGTGGAGAATTTTCCTGCCCTGCTTATCTGTATCTTATGCATCCAATGAGCAATTCTAGAGCATGCGGGCTGATGAAATGTGAAGCCTTCGAAAGGGCACTTGATCAGCGCCGAATTTACGACAGATAATTTTTTAACTTACCCTCGAATTTCCTGGTTATAACTGAACTTGCTTCAGATAAAGCTGTTTCGGTCTTAATTTAGCTGAGTGAAATATGGTATCCCTAACAGAAACAGACAGTTGACTTCGGTCGAGCCAGCTCCTCGGATATTGTCAACTCAGCTGTCGTTGAATTCTAAGTGCGCCTGTATTGGGATAATTACGGTAAACGCTCGGACTCTGGTGCACGTGTGTTTAAGTGAGCGGTTTTGTTCTGCTGTGATTCCAAATAGGGGAGAGTGGGGAAAGTTGAGTCAAAGGGTAAGGTGAGCCACCCCCTGTTGCCTTGTATGGTGAAAGAAATTGATCATGTGACCAAATATTTTGGAGATGGGCATCAATTCATGGAGTCTGTGAAGGTTAGAAGCACATGGGTGAAGGGGTTAGACATTTATTTCCAAAAAGAAAAAACATTTTTCACTCTTAAAAAATGAGTAAAATTATTTTTTTAATCATTTCCTTGAAGTAATAATCACAGTATTAATTACTTTGCACTGCCGATCCGGTAGTTCTTCTGCCTTAGCGTCTCGGTCTGATTACATTTCCATGAAGAAATGACCATAAATGTTCTTCCTTGAGCTGCGTCACCCCACTGTAGTCCGTAATGGACTTGCCTAAGGTCTCGCTACAAACAAACGGCTGCAGGAAGAGAGTAGGTGAGTTGTGTTTAGTCTCTTTGCTAAAGAAATCAGGCAAAGTTAAAAAGATGTTAGGTGGCTAGTACTATGGCTGGGATCCTATATGTACTGTTGATAAAGTTAGGTGCTATTCTGAAGACCATTTGTGGTTATAGAGTGGCATTTTGGTTGAGGTTTGTTTATGGCTCCTCAGACCGCTGTGTATTGCTATCATGCGGTCGTTACTAAAGTTAGTATAACTAGAGAAGCAAGCAGTCTGCAAAATTCATCTCTCAAGGGGGTGTCTAACTTGGTGTTACGGTGTGTTTGACACTGAAATAATTGAACGCCGGAGTATCCCTTTAAATATGTGGACGAAACGATAAATATTGAGCACTTTATTCTGAAAAAAACGGATGTTGCTGGAGCTTCGCGGTTGTATCTTCGCGCTTTGTTCTTCTCAGAGAGTTGTTTGATTTATCATTTCCCTGAGTTTCTGCCCCCTATGTCATACAGCTGCAATTCAAAGCCAGTTCAAGACAAGACTTAGCAATATTTATGATATTGAAATTGTATCGAGACAAAACCCTTCCGCCAAGCCTTACATTTACCGTAATTATCCCAATACGCACGAAAATACTAAGAGCGGCTGTCTTGACCGCAGTGACTCTGGACGCTGAACACACCCGGAAGTAGCTAAAAGTAGATCACAGCTGCTGGGTTTCATTCCTTGCCTGGAACATGGTGCTCATCATGGACGAAAAGCGTTGATGGAAAAGTTGCATATTCAAATGTGGTCCTTGTGAATATCAGAAGTGGCTCATGTTGTGAGTAAAATCGTACCGGATAAATCTGTGCTGGCGTTTCGGGAAGAAACGAGCTCGTTTGTCTGCTAACGTTGAGGCTAACCGGCTACATACATGCTACACCTCTGTACTTTCTAAGCTAAGTGATGAAAATACAAAATATCATTCACATTTATTTTTTGTTATGTTAATTATTAACACTCTAGGCTATCTAAAGAGATATATCACCAAGAGACCCTTTCAATTGTATTGTAACAAACACGTAAACGTGCCATGGTAGCATTGTGGATGTATTATAACATTTTTAAGTTTTTGCCACACATAGCGTCTCATTTATGCTTTGTAATGGTCAGTTAAAACAACAAATAGCTGCACTTGGGTTGTTAGCACTCAAATATCTGGACACTAACTCAGTTCTGCAGGATCTTTGATGAAAGTTGTGTGAAATAAAGAAAAAGAAATATTCAAATCTTCAAGGTTTAACACATGTTTGTGTCTCAAACAGATCCAGTCTGACCTGCAGCTGAGTGTCCCCCCGCCCGCCTCATCATGCCGCTGGTGGTGGACGCTGTGTGGGCGATTTGGAGCATTGGCGCTGGCATTTATGACTACTTCCACACCAGTGCCATGGAGGAGAGGATCCACACGCTGGAAAACGTCCTCTCCATTCACCAATTTGTGATCGCCGGCTTGTCTGCAGGCCTCATTCTCCTCATGACCTATATACTGTGGAGAAAACACTGAAAACCCCTCTGACCAGGGCCAAACATCAACTAAAAGGGTGTTTGAGGCAGGATATGTTACAATGCACGGGGTAGTTTTCAACCTGATGTAACCCTTGTGAACGGTCTGGATTATTTTGCTCACAGTTGAATTTTAAGGACGTCCCAGATGAAGTCAGGAGCACTGATGGGCAAGTAAACCGAGCAAGAAAGCCTAACGTGGACTCTTCTAACATGCAGTCTCACCGTGGTACTCTTATTTTAGAGGGTGTTTGGCTTGTCTATTGATCTAACTGTCTATCAGTCTGTCTGTCTCTGTGTTTTAGGTGTTGAATATGCTGGAGTAATACTTTTACAGAACCATAGCAGCTTCTGAAGACATCTTTGCACTTTCATATTTTTGGCTAAGCTTTAACAACCTCATTACACAGAAAAACACTAATTTGTATGATTTTTCTTCTTAGATATAAGATGAAGAGTCATTTTTCTTTTACGGCCACTTTAACAAATTTAAAACTGCTGATGTACTTTGAAAAATAGGTCATACTGTGGTTTACTTGATTAATTTCCTACGTCACAAGACAGCAACAAAATTGCCTCAAGTATCATGAATGGTTTTCTCATCATTACAAATGAATCTTGCTACTTTTCATACAAAATCTGTTTCATCTGTGCGTATAAATATCTGCAAGAACGATATCAAGAGGCACTGAGGTATTATCTGTTTGTCCTGTTCATCGGTTGCAGCTGTACTTTCTCTGTCTTATAAGAAATGGTGGTATGAGCCGCTTCATGTCAAAGCTGAGATGAACAGTCCCAGGCTAAGAAACAGTCTGCAAGATACTTGTGACTGAGTCAAGATGGGCGTCAGACTGGAAGACTTTTAAACCCACAGAAAATGCATCAGCGTGCAGCCTTAATCTTGGGAATTTAAGGGCAATGGAAACACTTGTTACACTTGTGCGATCAAGTTTTTATCTTGTGCACACAAGTTAAAATCTTGTGCACACACTAAACTTATCTTCTGGGAACAACTTACTCTGTATCAAGATTTTACAGTTATGTTAAAAGAAGTTATGTTGTACACATCATTTTGTGTGTACAAGATAATTTATTTCCATATGACAGTTATGTTGTCATATTCTTGTTGGATCAAGACATCCTGTATGCACAAATTAAAATCTTGTGCACACTGGGTGCAGCAATGTTACTTTTTTATGGGAATAAGATACTACTCTATAAGCACAAGTCAGTATCTTGTGACATGCTGATAGTTGCTTGTGTTACCTCTTGCTGATTGTAATATGAAGGGGTTGTCAGCATGACGCACCCCCTGAAAAAAAGGGTGTCTGAGGTTTACTGAGGCTGTCATTAGCAATGAGCACAGAAAACACTTTGAGTCGATAAACTGGGTATCAAGTCATCTTTTAAGTGGTTTATTTTTTGTTTCTTCATATTAGGCAGAAGGGGTTGGAGACAGAGGTTTCTGTATGAATTTAGTGTTGTCTCTTGTCCCTTATAAAGACTGTTGTTTAATTTTTCCAAGTTTACACCTCACTGTTTACAATCCAGTAAACAACTCCACGAAAGACTGTAACAAGTTTATAACAAAAAAAGAATGAGTGATTTAGTCAGGTATGGGTCAGGTTGGTTCTGCTTACCGTCTAAGAATCGTTGTGTGCACTGTCTGCGCTGATTTCTGTTACATTGAAAACCACTACCATGGCTATTAACAAAGGGAATATGTTTGAATAATAAAAATTATTTGTGTCAAAGTGGCTTTTTCTCCTGCTTTGTTAACTGTTAAAGCTTTAATAAGTGTTAAAGCTTATTGACAACTTGTATAGATACAAATATTTTAACTTTTTTCATAATATGAATTACATCATGCTGTGCTGTGTGATTATGAAAAACGAAATTTCAAGTATTTTTCACAACTGCATCGCCAGTCAGCATAGCTTTAAGAAAAGTTTTCTCACTTCAATGTTTGTTCTTATTAAAAAGAAATCTTTTAAAAAAAACGATGAGGTGATATCTGTAAAAAAATATAAATGCTTTCTGTCATCCTAAGATGGATATGTGGGTCAGAATGCCCTGTTTCATGAAACACTCATTTTGCCGGCAAAAACATGCTGCTTCTAATTTGGCAGAGGCTTTGAATTGCTTTATAATATTCAATTGTAGCAGAACATCTTCAGATACTCTATTTTGGAAGAACATGAGTGTCAGATTATAAACACTTTATATCATACAAGGACAGAGTTGAATCTGTAATATTGGAAAATATTAAAAAGTTAAAGTTCCTCTGATGTGATAGTTAAAAAAAAAACAGGTTTTGAACAATTATTTTCTTTGGTCTTGACTCATTTGACTCTGACTTGTTGGTTTTTGAAATCTCAAGGTGGAAATATATCAGTGTGTGGGTGCTCTGCGTGCTCATGAGCTATTTTTGTCCTCATTACAGTTTCCATTAAGTGGTTTGGACACAAAGATGAATTCTTTTCATTTGGTAAATGTGACCTATGTGATATCTTTTATGAGCATGTATAGAATCTTAATTGTCTTATTTTCAACAAGGTAGTTTTTTTTCTCTCTTTTCCCAGCATTATCATAATAAATAGCAGAAAATAAAGTTCTTAAGTCGGTAAAGTTTATCTGTGTAGCACCTTTCAAGAAAAGCCATAATAAAGATCTTTACAAAAAACAATAACTGAGATAAAACAAAAACATGACAAGCAACCATCTCAGGCTTAAATTTAACACAACAGCCCTGAGTTTTGAAAAATTCTTGGTAAATGGCAAAAAAGTGAGCAAACCAAGCCATTCACATGCTGATCCAGACCCCAAGTCTGTCTAATTTGGAAACTGAGATTTTTCAGAGCTGGTTTAGCAGCAGATGGTGAGAAAATATAAATATTGTAAACCACAATTTATAGAGCTGACATAGAGGGAAAAAAAAGAGAGGACCCAGGAAAGAGCCTTGAGGGACACCACATCACAGCTTACACTGACCAAACATATCCAAGAGATAAAAACATTAAAGGTCCTTCGTCCATGGCTTGCCATTCTTGAAAATGCACACATTCTTAATTCTTTCAGTGATTTTATATTTCAAATTTTTTTAGATCTTTGTCTTTAATTCAATTCAATTCAACTTTATTTATATGGCACGTTTCATATTCACTTTTAGATAGAAACTTTGATTTCCCAAAACTGAAGTGGCTAATTTAGATTCAACAGAAATTGCAATTTCATTAAAGCCTTTAAATTTGATGGTATTGAGCAATGACTTTTACTGATGGGCGTCTGAATATTTATTTATTTTTCTTTATTTTTATTTTTCAGTACAATCTAGTACCTCGTTAGGTTTTTGGACCAAACTCGCCCGTCTACTTACAGCGCCGGCCTCACCCCCCAGCTTCCAACATATGCAGTTAAGACCGGTCAAAAATTCCCACCAATGACAACACGAAGCTTTGTATACAAGCACGCTGATTGGTTAGAGCTGTAAGAAGGCGGTATCTTTCAACACGAGTCATATGGAAGCTTTGGCGTCCATTTGTCAAGACACAGTTATGAGGCCAAAAGTAACGGAAATCAAAGACGTTTACTTTCAAAATAAAAGAAAAACCTTGCTGGTCTGATCACATTTTACACTTAACAAGTGTAGAAAGGTTGTGTACGTTTCCATTAAGCATTATTCCTATTTTCAAGTAGTCAAATATGTCCACACGGAGGCAGACTGTAATTGTTTTTGGAGCAATAGACTTTCAATTATCTTTTATTTTGACAGCAAGGACTAGATCCTCTGTTTTTCTGTGAGTTTGACAATGCCGCTACATCATCCTGCCAACTGAGGATAGGAGTGTTACAATTTGAATTTTGATAAAATTGTGCTACTAAAATCCTCTCAAATTGTGTCTTTTTTGTGATGAGCCAGTTGTCGTTTGGTTCTGACGCTCAAAGTCTAAACTAATGATGTCAAAGTGGCAGACGATGCTAAGCGTTTAGCCCCCAGGTGTTGCTAACTGGCTAAGGAAATTAGCCGGTTAGCAAGCAAGCTTAGCGGTGTTATGCCGAGTTATGTTCCCTATACGAAAAGTGCCCCCAGTAGCGCGAATAGATAGATGTTTGCCTTGCTATAAATATTTATTTAATGTCACAAAATGATGTAGACATTTTGAAGAGGCAAAGCAAATACATTTCATTAATCTTTTATGGTTCTTAATCTAAAAGATAATGAAAGGCGTGTCTCTTTGCGATAAAATCCTCAATCGAATGTTGCTCACAGGTGAGAACCATTTCATATTTGCCACTGATCAATCCATATGCATCGTATTGGTTGTATGTCACAGAATCCTCACCTAATGTTTCAATGAGAATATTTCGATGGACTTAAAAAAACATTTTTAGACATCGCTCATAGTCGTGGCAAGCGCGAGACTATTGCTATGCGCAGGCGCAGTCGTGCAAAGAGCCGGTTCGTAGCAAAAATAGTTTGGTAGCAATATTTGCGGTAACACCGGAGGTTGAGATCTTGTTTCGCGCATTTCGAGCCTGTTCCCCGACCAGAAAACTGTCACGGGCTCATAAACAAAAACCCTGACATGTAAAATAACTTGTGTGATATTCGGAGGACTTAAACTTTTTGACGCCGCTTTTAAAATGAGGAGATAACAGCGTTTAACGGCGTAACGGCTGGTTTTCCCCAACCGCTGCTCTTTTGTTTTGACAAAGGAAGAGGACCTGAGTTTCTGTATCCCTTAATTATACCGGTGTAAATCTGGTGGTGGGACAGTTTCATTTGCCATATTTTCTGAAATGGCTCCACAAAAGCATAGCTCATCGGGGGGAAGTCACCCGGCGGGTATCGGCTCTGGAGGGAAAGCCAACGGGTTGTACCAGTCTTCTTCCTCCGCGATGGCTGCAACGAAAAAGCCCAACATGCAGCTCATACAAGCCGACCACGAGTTGTTCCTGCAGGCCTTTGAGAGTGAGTGTTTGCTGACATTAATCATACATTCAAGAAATGCTGACAACATGGTTTGATTTCAAGGTCATTGAAAGTTTTGAAGGTACCATGTGAGTGGCGAAATGAAGGACTGCACGGCTGTTGAGGAAACATTTCATTGCTGCTTGTATTAGTACTGCTCCCCAAAAGTTCAATTTTCTTTAACTGGATTTGTCCTTATCGATACTGTGCTCTGATTTTTACAGATTTATTTAGAGTCCAAAATTGCTGTCATACTTTACATTTACTGTCTGTGATTCAACTTGTCATAATTCGAAGTGGGTAGGTTGTTTGCATGTTCATATCTTAATAGATGGGAAATAAAAGTTATTGGAAATTTAATCCACCTGTTTATCATGTTTTGGCACATATTTTAAAGGGTACCAAACATTACAGTGGCAAAGAGCTGATTGATTACACTAAGTATGAGACCTTAATCTCCAGTAAGTTTCTAAAATCACAACATTATATTGGTCCATCTTGAATGGACTCTGGCACATCTGGATCATGTTAGTCTGGTACAGTTTTTACTTGCTTTACAAATGCAAATTTACATACAGTAGTTTTTTTGTTTATAATTTTTAGCCCATGCAGTGATTTCCACTACAGAGTCATGTTTGTTTTCAATGCGGTGCTACTTTAGGACTTGGAATCACACCCATTAAGTGTTATTTTTGTTTTTTGCTTCATTTGTTCAGAGATTGTTCATTTGTTCTCTGAATCTTTTAATAATATTGTGTACCATAGACAAGGAAATATACACATTTTCTGTTTTGCAACTGAGGAACTATTTACTTTTGCAGTCCCTTATGTTGTCTCTCATCTCTGTTTTTTCCCTGTTTCATTTAAGCTGTTGCAAATGAGTCGGTGTAACTGGGAGTTATTCCTCCAGGTGTTTCTTTTTTAAGTGTTGTTAGTGTTAGATTTAAAAATTATCTTTTTTTTTTTTTTTCAAAACAAGACTTTTCAGCTTCAACATTTAATGTGTTACCATATCAACATTTTACACATCATCAGAACTCTCTGGGGATTGGGGTTGTGACAATGGCTCTTCACAGTTATTATCACATAAAGACTGAAAGTTTTCAGTGGCACAACCCAAGTCCCTTGTTTTTCCTACACATAAATAGTAAATAAAACATATCAGTGCTAGTAATTCACCTTTTTTTGTTCTCAGAGCCAACCCAAATCTATAGATTTCTTCGCACCAGGAACCTGATCGCTGTGAGTGTGTCTCTTCCTACCCATCAATAGTCACATGGTTAAATTGACCACCTGAGATACAGAGAGATACTGTATAAATGTACCTTTTGGCTTGTTGGCAGACTTGTGACACTGTCTTTTTGTTTCAGCCCATATTCTTGCACAGGACACTCACGTATATGTCCCACAGAAACTCAAGGAATAACATTAAACGGTAAGAAAACTTCAGTTCACAGTTTGGGGCTGTTTCATGTGTATTCATGTTGATTTTCAGCTTCTACAAGTTGTGAGACTGTGAGACAGTATGAGACTGGTTTTGTCTCGCACTGTCTTCTTTCTAATGTCTCTGCTGCAGCTTTCAGAACGGTAAGCTGAGTGGTTTGCCTCTTAGAGAGCAGCTCAAGTGTTATCTGGAGAGAAAGTTAACCGACATGTCGGCTGCTGCAGGAGCGGCTGACTGGATCAGTTAAAGCTGAGATACAAGAGATGATTTCGGTTAGGCTGTTTTGCATACAAACGTTGCACCGAATACACATGGGGCTGCTTGTGGTTCAGTCTGCAGAGAGCTAAGTTTGGTTTGATAACATGGATGTTTGGATGAAGGATCACAGTCAGGCTGTGAAAAACTTGGGCTGCAGAACTTTGTCAGAAAAAGGGGCAAGTAACTACCTTTGCATCTTCTTCTCATTGATGAACACCAAGAATGAAGTGGTTGTACTGAGAGGTGTTAGTTTGTATTTTAACTGCAGTTTTCAGGCTGATCTCTTCAGACTTAGACAGTGAGGCATTTTCCCCCTTTTTGTTTCTTTTTCTTTGTCCAAAAATGTATGTGACACAATGACTTAGTTGTTTAAAAGTAGGTGCATTTTTATCACTTGTGTATCACCATGTCTTTGTCATTTCTGTGGACTTTTTGCAATGCTTTCTTAAAGCAAAAAGCTCAAAAGGGTCGAACATGCCACGCTCTAAATGAAACCTAAGCCAGTGTGTTTTTCTGAAGTAATTTTAACCGAGTAAAATGTTTTTTTAATTGAAACTAATGACCCATCCGAAATATTTTAAGAGATATGTTAACAAGATAGGACAACTATGACTGATTAAACAGTCTATCTTTAATTGTAATGCATAACAAAATAGTTATTAAAAATGTTATTCTTGGTAATTGCTGGTGTTTTAATCTGTTCAACATTATCAGTGTTTCTTTATGAGGATTGTCCACAAACATGCATTAGAGTTTTAGTTTTCTTTCACTCCTTATTTGGTCATGACTTGTCAGACGAGTGTTTTCCCTCTCTGTAGCTCTGAATGAGTCTTGGGACTCAAACAGGCAGCCGTTAACTTGGTGCGCTATTATTCCTGATCTGAGTGGAGAAGGTGAAGTAGGTGACACGTCTTACTTTCACTTTCTGCTGCACTCGTGCTGCATGCTTTAGTCACATGGAGCGCTGCTTGTGATAGAAGATGAATTAGCTACACACACATGCTCACTTCTAAGAGTTAATAAAAGCTCATAAAGACACAAATATCTTAAAGGCAGAAGCTAAAGAGACACAAAGACGGGGGATTTCATGAATGGGATTCAGTGCTGCTGATGTTCAGAGCGGTGTGCATTTTCAGTCTCCTTGTCAGGCTGAGTGCAGTCAAAATTACAAAGCAAACAGTGCTTCTACTTAAGTCTACTTACTGAAAGCCAATAAAGCATTGAGGCTCCCTGCATACAGCATGTCCTGTAGCTGCCACATCCTCCTGCAGAATGATTCAATAGCCATAAAGTTGAAGTGAACTGTAAACCAGAAATCAAAGCTTGCATGTATATGATGGTTGCATCGTTGTGCAGTTACAGTCAGGCCAGTTTGATTCAAAGCTGAGCTCTGGTTAAGGTTTTTTTTTTTTTTTTCCTTAATGTAAGACTCTGCTCAGCCTCGCAGGTGTTTCCACTTACTTCTGCTCATTAGACCTCCATCCAGGTTGATGTTGGGCAGATTTATGTGAGTTTGTTAGTCATTTGCGCTCCAAAAATCCCCAATGTGATCCAGGTGTACCAGCTTCCCCTTTCATTTCAGTTCAGTGCACAAATCAGAACATGCTGTTTGAGTTTTAAACATAAAGTCACATCCTCTCGCAGTATCTCCTACAGGATCTGAAGCTGAACACAAAGTCGAATACAGGCTTCATATGTAAGGCTGTAAAGATCAAACTTCTTGGCAAATATCAGTACTTGAGCTTTAAGTAAACTTTTTATTGATCATATTAACTAGTGATTAAAGCTGCATGACAACAATATTGACTTATATGGGTTTTTTTTTCTGTTCAGGATAAAATGTAAAAAATAAAGATTGAAATCCTTGTACTGTGCCTAAACTTATTATGTGTTTGTTTGCACACATAAAGGGTTGCAAAATATCTAATAATAATAAAATGTGTGAATGATTTCAGGTTAACAATATTTGAGGCCATTATTCATCATACTTGATGGGGTTTTCAAAATAACAGTGTTGAATCTGATTTTTTAAAATAATCAGTACATCTCTTTCTTCTATCGTTAGAGTTGATGTACTTTTTTCTGGTGTGTCTGGTACAGTCATCTATCTTTCTTGATGCCAAATGGCCATGAGAGTACATTTGAAGCAGCTACTGTAGTCAGTGAACTCAAATCTGGCTCTGATCTATCCTTGTGTAAGAATCAGCTGATGTACTGCACAGTGTCATCTGTTATTCTGGCAGTGTGCTCGGTCTGTTTCAGTAACCCCTCTGTTTGTCTGCATGTTCAGGAAAGGCTCCAAGGTTGACAATCTGTTGTTCAAAGTGGAGAAGATGAGAGGAGAACAGGAGACTCACAGGTAAACGCACAAGCTGCAGATTTTTCCGCAAGTTTTGCCCGCTCTGCTGTTATTTTTATTTCTGCGTCATCTGACATTAAGAAGGAGAAAACCCGACACATGTCGAGTATTCATAAGTCATAGTTTACACAGACTGTGGACACAAATCTGTTATTTCTCCTTGTTGCTCCTTCCATTGAAGAATAATGTGAGCCATGATTTGTCTGCATTTTTCCATTAGCTGTTCCACAGATATTCAGCAGGGTCTTGCTGTTTTCAGTTCGTGTTTTTTCCCAGTATATCTTCTTCAATTATTTGTCGCTCAGACAGCTTCAAATGTGGCTCTTTTAAAGACAGGAGGAGCACAAACAAAGTGTCTATGCCAGTTTTAGATCTTTCTCGTGCAACATCTTAAAACTGATTATGTAAACTTATTTTTCTTTGTTTCTTTAGCTTAGCCTCTAATCTGCAGCTCACCTTTACTGGCTTCTTCCATAAAGCTGGTAAGTATGTCCTTTTCGCTGTGTTTGCCTTTTTTGGATAAAGTCCTCATGCCGATATAAGAAGTTTTCTGCCTGTTTTTTTTAGGGAAGCCGTCTCAGGACTGTGAGAACGAGCAGAATTCTGTCTCTCTGGAGGTGCTGCTGCTCAAAGTATGCCACAAGAAGAGGAAGGTGAGTGTGGTAATCATTAAAACATTTGAACTTTTTGAAATTTAAGCAGTAACAAACCTCTGAGATTTTCCTCTCCTTCCCTCCCATCCAGGATGTGAGCTGTCCGGTGAAGCAGGTTCCTGCAGGTAAGAAGCAGGTCCCTCTGAATCCAGACACAAGATCCGGAGGCCAGGCCAAGCCAGGCTCCACCTCATCCCTGCTGGTCCCGAGCAGCGACTTTGAACCCAGTAACTCTCACATGGTCAAGTCCTACTCACTGCTCTTCAGAGTATCAAGGCCAGGATGCTCACGGACACAGATCAACGGCATGATCAACGGGGAGAATCACCACAGCAGAGGTGAGCTGACTGTCAAAGATGACCTGCTGAACACACAGATGGTCTATGGAAACTTTTGGACTGTTGCGGTTCCCTCAAACCTTCATGTTTTCCCATCCAGAAAGCCCTCCCTCATGTGTAGTTATTACTATTATTCCAGTCTTTAGGCTTAAACACAACTCAAGGGGTACATTATTGGCAAAGTCTGCAGATATGAGGGAAAACGGTTACTTTGAAGAACGGTGGAGTGAAAATGTGGGTTAATTCTTTCTCTCTGTGCCTGTTTCAGATTTTACAGAGGAAGTGATAAACAGGAAGAGGAGGAGCTCTTCTCTCAGGGACGAGGGAGAAACCACATTTGTGGCTCAGATGACAGTTTTTGATAAAAACAGGTGAAACTGACAGACACACAAAGATACACGCATGCATACACACAGTTGCTGTCTTACACCGTCTTTTATTTCTTAATCTTAATCCCAAATTCATCCATATTTGTAATTTTTGAGAATAATAATTGCTCAATGTTTTCTTTTGTGTAACACAGTTCTGGAATTTTTTTGCATTTAGTTTTTTCTACAAACGCAGATATGTAAGAAAAAAAAACAAACAACAACAAACTCTTACATGTATGAAAAAGTATTGTTCAGGTCTTAATGCTGCAGAATCAGTGATGAGACGTTGTTGTGTTTGTGTGCAGGCGTCTGCAGTTGTTGGACGGGGAGTATGAGGTGTCTATGCAAGAGATGGAGGAGTGTCCGGTCAATAAGAAGAGAGCGACCTGGGAGACTATCCTGGATGGAAAGGTGTGTAAAAGAATCTTAACAAGGCAAGAAGATTTGAACTTAGGAGGCGTATAAAATCCTGGTGCCTCAGACACGTGAGGTTTTGTTTCGTTTCATTTCTCCTTGACTTTATCGGTCCAGATGCAGCTTTTATCCTGCTCAAATGTTATTCTGCCTTTATTCTGCAGCGTTTGCCTCCCTTTGAGAGTTTCTCTCAGGGTCCGACTCTTCAGTTCACTTTGCGCTGGACCTCGGACTCCCCCGATCGCTCCACAGCGCCCGTGGCCAAACCTCTTGCCACCCGCAACTCTGAGACAAACCAGGACAGCAGACCCAGCACCCAGAGAGCCACGCACACTCTAGGTGAGAGGACAGCAGCAGATCTGTCTATTTCAGTTTGAAAGATTTGTGACTTTGTTAAGAAAAGTTGAGTGATCAGCTGTTTCTGCTTCATTCTGCAGCTGTTAAAGAATCAATAAACCCTGATGTGCAAAGCAGGAGAGAACAGATCTTAGCTGAACCAAGACAGAAACTACGCATCTTCTACCAGGTCAGTACTCTTTGAACAGAGATCTGCCGTCTCACATTCACACAAGAGTCTATCTGTTATTATCATTACAATGACCGTAAAATGTGACTAACTGATGCTGAACTGGTGCTGTTTGATCGCCCTCACTTTAACTGTTTCCGTTTCTTCGTCCAGTTCCAGTACAACCACAACACGCGGCAGCAGACGGAGGCCAGAGACGACCTTCACTGCCCGTGGTGCACGCTGAACTGTAGGAAGCTCTACAGTCTGCTCAAACACCTAAAACTGTCCCATCCTCGCTTCATCTTCAACTACGTGGTGAGACAGACTGACTCTGGGTGTAGAGAGGAAAGAAAGAAAAATAGAGATAGCAGGGTAAATCATAAGAGATAAAAGAGGCTGAATATGTGGCTCCAGCGGCATGAAGAAACTATCAACTGTTAAATACTAAAAACGCTTATATATGACAGACAGTTTCGAGCTGCTGCATCCTTGCATGCAGCCATCTTGAATCAGGAAGACAAGTTAGGAACTATAAAAACCAATAAAACAATTGTGTAAAGCTTTTCTACAAGATTGAAACCATTACATCTGTTCAGTTCACGTCTTGTATCCAGCATTACACAGGAAGAATGTGTCCAAAGTTCCTGCCGTTTTTCAGTGTGTCGTTTTCAGATTGTTGTTTTTTATCAGTCAAACATAAATCCTCTGATCTGTGTCAGCCTCATCCCAAAGGAGCAAAGATCGAGGTCTCTATCAACGAGTGTTACGATGGCTCGTACGCAGGAAACCCTCAGGACATCCACAGCCAGCCGGGCTTCGCCTTCAGCAGGAACGGACCCGTGAAGAGGACGTCTGTTACACACATTCTCACCTGCAGGTACTACTTTTACATTTTTAATCTTACTATAATGTTTAATTCCCTTAAATAATCACCAAAGATAGAGTGGATAACCTTGAAGTGCTGCAGGTACGATTATGTTAAAAACAACAATGGAGGTGATTAATCAATAGTAGTACAAGTAAAGGCATTCAGGAACAGTCAGAAAACATCTTAACAAGTTAATGCTATTATCTAAATATCTGACTCTCAGACCCAAGAGGACGAAGCCGAGTCTTTCTGAGTTTCTGGAATCGGAGGATGGCGATCAGGAGCAGCAGAGGACGTACATCAGCGGACACAACCGCCTCTATTTCCACAGCGACAGCTGCGTGCCACTGCGGCCTCAGGAGATGGAAGTAGACAGTGAGGACGAGAGAGACCCTGACTGGCTCAAAGAGAAGACGACAAAGGTATTTTTATTGATTTTATGCATGAACTGTAGTTTATCTGCTCTATCTGTGAAAGGGTTCAATTATTTGTTTTTTTGCCTTTTGAGGAATTTGTTCATGCTTAGCTTGAAATCTCTGGATTACTTTTAAATACTTCAAAAACATATTTTAGCTCCACGGAAAACAGCAACTGATAATTTAATTGAAGTGTATGTCAACTAATGCCATGAAACAGATCTGACTTTAGTCTGATTTCTGCATCTCTGCAGCAAATTGAGGAGTTCACAGACGTCAACGAAGGAGAGAAAGAGATCATGAAGCTGTGGAACCTCCACGTCATGAAGCACGGGTGTGTATGAAGCAGGGAGGAGGTGAAATAAATCCCAGAGAATTCATATCTGATATACGTTTGTGTGATCAGATCTAATTTTGTGCATTACCACCAAGAGGTCTGGTTTGTTTCCACAGCCGACAGCCCCCTGGCTCATTACATAGGAAGTGTGTCAGAAAGAGCATGACTCATACACTATCAGACTCTCAAAAAGTGTATCTATAAGCAGCATTTCTGTCCCACACCTTCACCAGGCAAAGATTCAGACTGACTGTCAACAGACTGTTTGCCTGATGAGGATTCAGAACTGAAAGTGGCTGTTTTAACCTCGTTAGAGATTTAGATGTAGTAACAGTGACATGGCAAAGAAACATGCAGCAGGCAGAAGGGGGTGGGACTCCAGCTGTAAGGAAACTAAATCCAGCATCTTCATGTTTGTTTGTGCAGAGATCTGGACATGTTCCTAGGAGTATAACTGTCATGAAACAATCAGAAAATCAATTCTCGTTTTTCTGTTTTGTCACGTTATATCCTATACTGTGGAGCTCTATATTTCGACCACCACGGCCAATCTTCCTAAAACTTGCTCCTGGTTTTCTGGCTGAACCACTGTACACTTCATTTCCCTGTGGAATAATCAGACTCCTAAAGTAACCTGGCACAAGCTGGTTTCCCCTTATTTTCCCACAGAAATCTGGGATGATTTCAGCTCCTACAAAACTTCACAGACTGCTTACATAAATATGCCATGTTGTGTGTTTTACTCTCTGTTGTGTAAGACATAAAAAGGACCTTGATGAAAAGAAAAACACTAAATTTAAAAAAATGTCGCTCCAGCCCTGTGTCACTCAGTTTGGGTCAAATATAGAATCCAAAATAGAGACAACACTCAGAATTAAAAAGTAAACACATTTTCTTTCTCTTCCGTTCTTCCTCCAGCTTCATCGCAGACAACCAGATGAACCAGGCCTGTCTGATGTTCGCCGACCACTACGGCCACCACATCGTCAAACGCAGCCTCTGCCGCAACTTCCTGCTGCACTTGGTCAGCATGCACGACTTCAACCTGGTCAGCACGCTCACCATCGACCGCGCCATGGCCAGGCTCCGCCTCCTCCGCAGCCAGAGAGACACAGAGAGGGACAGAGGGGAGGAGGACGAGGATGAGGAAGAGGAGGAGGAGGAGGACTGGGAGACAGCTGTGGAGTCCCAACCTGAGCCAGATCCGGATCCAGATCTCGACCCGTCAGAGTATAAACCTTGTAGCGATGAGACGAACAACGAATGCCTGGAGAATGGGAATCGGCATGAGGAGGAAGAGGAGGAGGGAGGGGCAGTGACTGAGAGGTTGATTAGTGAGCAGGAACTCTGCAGCTCTGATTCAGTTTCAAAATAGATGCAGAGACAGAGTCCTCGGAGATCTCCAAGCAGGACTAGTGATCTAAAAATCTACAAAGGGATGACAGACACACACGATACTTCTGGGATTCTGTTTTTAGGGGTAGTAACATGATCAAGTTGTTTGATTTCTACACATTTACATCCAAAAGAGGCTTCAGATTGTTTATTTTTTTTTACATACCGAGAGAAACAGTTTGAAAAGTTGATGCAATTTTTTTTTTTATCATGCTCTTTATTGTCGAAGGTGCCGCATCATTTTGCTTTCTGTCACACACACGAGGCCATCAACACCAACAGGAAGCAGCCGAATCAAAGCTTTCAGTCAAACTCAGGTATTTCAAATCTGAGAGCTACGTTAGCACGATTTAGGGGGTAAACATGTATCATGAGGACTTGTGGACTGCTTGATTTTGCTAAACAAGTAACACAAAAAGAAAACTGGTCATATCACCAAAGGTAGACCAACAACTCCCATTGTTCTGTGAGGTAAAATTGCTGTTTTTTTAATAGAGTTCAGTGGTGCTGAAGAGACCGACTGTAACAGCTGGTTCTGGTTAAATATGTTCATTAAAAATATTTTCAGACACTTAAAAACAACAGCCCGAGTCTGTCGGTGACAAAAATGCACCTAATGTGTGTCTGCCAATTCGGGTATTTTAAAAACCTGGGTGTTATTTCTGCACCATTTGGTGTCCAACCAACTAACAGATACTGAAAGTTCAGGAACTCTCTCGCCAAAATTGTGTTATTGGACTCCAAATAACAGAGGTATACAAGCAGCTGCCACTGTGCTTAGAGGACAATGTTTTGTTATCAATGGAATCTGGTGGCTTCGGGGACGGAGCCACTTCTTAAAAACTAATAGGTACACACACTGTTGTTGTTGTTTTTGTTGTTGTTACAATTATGTGTTGTTGCCTTGTTCTGCTTTGCATTGACACAAAAGACAAACTGATAGCGCCAGAGGTAGACTGGCAACTCCCATCCTACTGTGAGGTAAATTACTGTTTCTTTCAAGGAGTTTGCTGGTGTAGAAGAAAGGACTATTTTTTTCCATATGTAGTGTCTTTTAAAGAGGTATAGGGATTGTCTCATTCTGCACCGTATTAATACAATAGGCAAACAGATCACACCCAGAAGCAGACCAGCAACTCCCATGATTTAATATACATGATAACTGTTTTGTGCATATGAAATCATGGGAATTTGTTGGCTGTGGAAAGAGCGACTTTAAGGCTGTTTCTGGTTACAGTGAGTGTCTTGTTTGATGACACAAGGGTTTAACTATCTTTCTGTAATGTTCAACTCTAAGACATAATTCAGCTAACATCTAAAACTGAGCGCTACGATTACATAGTGTAGGGTGTGACTGACTCATAACCATGGAAAGTCAGAGCAGTTGGCTTCATTCTGCTTTGACATTAAACATCCTAAAACTATGGGAGCTGCTGGTCTACCTATGGAGCTTTGAGACACAATAACTGTTTTGAATGAAGTTTGATAATGGGGGGGGGGGCACAGTTGTCGAGATGATAATTTTCAAGAAAAAAAAGTGGTTTCCTTGTGAGAAAAAAAATGTAATTATTCAGAAAAAAGTCCCAAATCAAACTCTAAGGCTAATCTATACATGCTAAAACATATATGGGGGATGTTAGAGGAGCAGCCAGCTGCTGTCTGCACTAAAATGAGGAACGTGGATCATCTTGTGACGATAAACTGAACAGCTGAGAACAAACAGCAGTTGCTAAAGCATGCATTAGCTGCCTGTTAGCCTGTCCTTCATAACACATTTGTTGTCTTGCACAGTGGGTTCAGATTCGTGATCCATTGGACAACATAAGATTGTTATTTTATTTTTTTGTGACACACACTTTAAATTACACCTTCACAAGATGCTCCATGTTTCTTAGTTTGGTACACCAAGGCTAACCCAGACTGAAACCATGATCTGTTTCTCATAGATCTACATCATTTTTTCTGCACAGTGTCTCTCCTTTGTACCATTCAGCCAAACTCCGCTCCACCAAAGGTTTCTTCACTTCTGTTTACAGGAAAATTCATCATCAAGATATTGATCATAAATGTTTAAGCAGGTTTCCAAGACTGTTATCAGGTCTGCTTGTTTCTGATGGGGTTTATTTTTAGCTCATGTTAGATGTTGACAAATGATCAGGGACTTTTGTTGACTCTTTGGTTGCATAATCTGGTCTCTGAGGTCTGTTGGCCTTATGTCCTGTGTTGCTGTTTTTTTGTTTGTTTGTTTTTTCACATTTTCACAGTTGTAGTTTTTTTATTTTTACACAAATCTAATCTCTGGTTTTTATGGACAAGTGGAAACGAACTCACATCGTCTCAGCTATTCCAGTTTTAGAATCTTTGTTTCTGTTTTTTTTCCTGCAAACCCACAAACACCAAAAGGACTCGTGGGATATTTTGCACACATGATATGCACACAGGGCCTCCACAGCAGGTTCTGCTTCTGGTGCTAAACGTGTCTCTGCCCTTCTCTGAGCCTAAAATGTGGAAAGAGCAAAAAACACAGGCTTATGTTTGATGAATTCAGTGTTGCTGAAGTTTTTTTTTTTGTAATGAAGTTGGTCTTTGTGTGCAGAAAACTGTTTCTTTTCTAATGAGGGTTGAAAGATCTGCTGATTTAAGACGATATAGAAGTTTCAGACAGACCTCACAAACTCTCCATGCTCCTTCGTTGTTTTCAAGTAAGAATGTATTATCATTTTAAATGTCTTCTGGTGCTTTGAAAGCCTTTTTTTTTTGCCTTTTTCTTTATATAAAAGCTGCTGTGAATAATTATTTTTATATAAATTTCAATTAGTCCCTAAAAGTTTATAGAAATGTAAAAAAATGCTTGTTACTATTACCCAGAGCTCTAAAGTGGTGTCAGTGTCACGCTTCTTTTATTCAACCACATGTCCAAAATCATAATATCTTTTGTAAAATATCATAAAAGAGAAAGAAAAGCAGCAAATCTGCACACTGAACCATCTCATTTGTTAACCCAGTGGTTCTCAAGTCCAGTCCTGGAGGCCCACTGTTCTGCATGTTTTGGATGTTTCCCTGCTTCAACACACCTGATTCAAATGATCAGCTCGTTATCAAGCTCTGTAATGGTTTAATAACGAGCTGATCATTTGAATCAGGTGTGTTCGATCAGGGAAACACCTAAAACATGCAGGACAGGAGGGGCTCGAGGACGGGATTGAGAACCACTGTGTTAACCGATTAATTGACTTTTTGCTGCAGCTCAGTATCAAATCATTGTGTCATAATCCTTAAGGACTAAATGAGGAATATTTGCTGTGCATATTTAGAGTCAGCAGCAGCACAGAGGAAAAAGCATCAACACAAACTGAGTCTGAAGCGCATTTTCATCCATTTCTTTGTGTTTTTGCAGCTGAAACCTTCAGAGATGAATCCGCTTTTGTTCTGTTTGTAAAGGTTCAGGTCTTTACTTTTCTATTTCTCACACCAAAGGGGATGGATTTTGCTTTGTGTTTCTTGGCTCCTTTTAAACAATGTCTTTCGTGCTTTTTTTTTTTTGTAAATAAGTTTCTGCAAAGTTTTCTCTGCTTGGAAATTATCTCAAGTTTGACAAAAAGCACAGAATCCTCATGCTGGGTTGTAGTTTTTCAGATTTTTGCTTCATGTTGAACAGTTTGCAGAGCGGACATGTCTGCAAAAATATGAACAAGTCACCTCAGACCCTGCTCTTTTAAAGCTTTATGTCAGTTTGAAGTATTTTGCTTCTGATGGAGCAGACTTTAACAATTGTTTTTGTTAGTTCACATGAGACCAGCAGCATTTTGCACAAAATGGGAGGAGCCATGTCAAGAAAACAAAACTTTTCTTCAACCATTTATGAAAAAAATCCGCTTTGAAGGTGGGAACTCTTTGAATTGAGTCCAAATGGTTTTCTATTAAAAGAAACAATTTTGTACAATATTATTCAGTGTCCATTAATTTCTTTAATATATGCACTATTTCGTGCAAACACATTTCCTACAGAAATATCAGCTTTTCTCACAAAGTAGAAACGTATTATAACATATATTTAACATATTATAGTAAGAATGTGACATTAGGAGCACAAAGTCTTAACATCTTGTGACAGGAGTGAGGTTATATTATGAATATGCCTGATTTTTCCATAGTTCTGCAAATGTTCACCATACTTCAAGATTTTTGTTATCTTTGATGCCCCCTATGGAAGTAAGCTGTAACTGCATATTGCTCCACTTAGCTAATTCAGTACTGTTGATAGCTGTCTACGAAATAGCTAGCTTTTACGACACACACAGCTGCCCCATAGAAATCATGCGACTGCTCTGAATAAAGTCGTATCATTTCACAAAGTACATTAAAACCAAATCCGTTCAAAAGATAACTTTATTGGCTAAAATTTGTTGGAAAACAGCATCATGAACAAATGCAGTTCATAAGTTTGACCAGCAGGAGTCAATGTTGGCTCCCCGTTGTCAAGTTTTCTGCCTCCTTGTGGCTGAAAAGAAAAAACAAGAGTAAAGTTGCGTTCACTGGTTTCAGGAAATCTGTACCATCAACTGGACGCTCCAGAGTTCAATTGTTTTCTGACCCCAGATCAGCCAAAGAATAAAATCCCTGATCAGGTTTGGTCACAGAAATGCAGATAAATGTTTGCTGAAATGGAGTGTAGCATGAAGATGCTTCAGCATTCCCTCTGACATTAATGAACAGCCAGTGAATTTGTCTGGTGAAGAACTAAATATCCACAGTCAAACAAAAACTTCTTCAGTTTGAAATTTCACAGGGAAACCAAACAAGCTCTGACTTTTTTTAACTTCACCCTATTCAGACAAAATTCCCAAATACATCAACCAATAAATTTGGTATTAGAAGAAAACAAAATTGTAATAATATCTAAAAGTTTTTGAGGTGAGATAATCCATCTTACAGATTTCTTTTCTTAACAACAGTGACAGTCATTCATATTAAACAGAAATGATAATCAGATTTGAATCAGAGTAAAATAAACAGCTCCTTTCAAATGTATAAATAACTATCAGCTCATTCAAACTCTCATCTGTAGACTGAAACGGCAGGTTTCACATAAATACTGTTAGGATTGTCAATGCAGTTATAACATCATCCAGAGTAATGGTATTATTATTTTACAGTTGACAAGTCATTATGATTTTTTTTTAAGGCTACAGCTTCCTGCTACAGAGGATTGGGGCCACATAAGAGACGAGTCCAATTATGTGAAAAATAAAGTTGTAAATCTAAAGGATAAAGACCGTAAATTAACAATGGTCCTAAATTATGACAGTACACCACTAAATCTTAAAGATTAAAACCGTCAATTAACAAGTGTCCCACTCATAAATTAAGGGGACTGTAGTCACACATTTAAAAGGGAAAAAAAATCAAAAAATCCCTTTGAGAGAAGTTGTAAATTTACAAGAATGAACTGGTTAAATGGCAAGATTTAGGTTTTAAGATAACAAACATAAACTCATGGGTCGAATTTAATAGTTTTGAATCTACAAAGTCATAAATTTATGAGATTTAAGTGGCAAATGTCCAGGAAAAACTTGCAATTTTACCAGATTTACAGAATAAATTTTAGAATAATAAACATTCGAAAGAACAACATTAAAAAAAGTCATACAATTTATGAGTAAAAAGCTGTAAATTTAGGAGAAAAAACAAGTACGTTTTACAAGGTATAACTCCTTCAATTACAAGAATAAACACACATTCAAAACGACTTACCCTTTAAAATAACATACAAGCCAACAATACACTAACTTTTTTTTCTCCTCAATTTACAGTTAAGTCCTGCAAATTCATGATGTTATTCTCTTGAATATAATGTTAATTCTTGTAAATTAACAACTTCATAATCCAAATCTCTCATACTCTACTGTAGCTTCCTCTTATTCATATAATTGAACCATCTTGAATGTTTGTCTCTATTCTTGTTATTCGTTTCTCCAAAGATTGGAGAAGTTTGCCCTAAAGCTCCACTCGGTCAGGAAAAAAAACAGACCAGATTGTGTTTGTGCTGAACCGTCCCTTTAAACAACAAAAAAGAAGAAAAAAACAAACAGGTGACAAAGTGTGGCTTTCACAGTGAATGTTTCTGTTCAGTTTAAAAAAAAACACACAAAAAAACTGCAAGTTAAGCAGTCTGAACCCTGGAAACAGAAAAACTGTAACATGTTACATCCTATACAGCTCTGGATGTCCAATCAGGCTGTGCTTTACTTTATTTAAACATTGCATAGATTCACATCTAACTCAATCCACTGAAAACCCACACAATAAACAAAGCTGTAAACAAAAGCCCACCTCTGAAGAAGGCTGAGAATCAAACTGAAAGAAAAAGGAAAAAAACACTGTTGTGACACAAATATCTGTTCTCTCTTGAGGCTTTTTGAAGAGGAGTCCAGAAAGATCAGATTTCCCCTCAGAGAGCCTTCAAACTGAAAAAAAACAACTACATTTTGAGATATAGACAGAATTCCAACTTTACTCTCAATGTCCAGAATTTCAAGATTAAAGTCAGAATCCTAACTAATTTCAGATTTGAAGGAACAAATCAGAATTTTGAAGGGAAAAAATTAGAATTCTGAGAAAACGTCATAACTTAGTCTGGAAGACAATTCAGAGTTAAAAGTCAGAATTCTAATAAAAAGGTAAGAAAATTGTAAAAAAGAAAAACAACACACAGAACAAGCATTTAGAGAAAAATGACAGAATTACAACTAATCTTCGAATCTTGAAATTAAGATCAGAAATCTGTCTTTTATTTCAGGATTCTGAAAATGATCATTCTCAGCTAAAGGTTTTAGCAGCTAAAGAGATTTTTCAAAAAGACAACTCAGAATTCTAAAACATAAGAAATCTGAGTAAAAAGGCAACATTCTAATTGAAAAAAGCCGAATCATTGCAACAAAGTGAGTTGAAATTTTGGAATTCTTATTTTACAAAATGTCAAGAAGTCAAGTCTGGATTCTGAGAAAAGAAATGAGAATTCTGATTTCAGTCCCAAAATTCAGAGATTTCCGTGAGAATCCTCAGGAAAAAGGAGAAGCAGAATTTTAGTAAAAAGTCAACTTTTGTTTGGAAAAGTCTCATTTTTTTTACTTTAATCTCAGAATTCTGTACATCTAAAACAAAGTCAGAATTCTATAGAAAAAAAAATTTCTACGAAAAATGAAAATGACCCAAATTTTAGTAGAATTCTGACTTTAAGCCTCAAACTTTGACTCTAATCTCAGAATTTCAAAAAAAGAGTTTGAACCCCCCAAACAATTACCCTTACTCTTTTCTGTACATCTCATTTGAGAATAACCAGGTTTGTTTCTATGGGGATCCTGTCCTTACTGTTGTCACACACCTTAGATGACAATCAGAGTCTCTTTAGAATCATATTTGACAAAAAGGATCAGGCCGCTGTCTAAAAACAGATTTACCCAGGTGTTTTAATTGCCTGGTACTACTTTATTATTGCAAATCTTGAGGTCTAAACTGTACCAAAAGTTGCTTCATTCTGCTCCAACAAAGTGCAAAAAGAACACCAGAGATAGACCAGCAACTCCCATGTTTTGATGAGTAAAATGACTGTTTTTGTGGATGGAGTTTGGTGGCAGAAGAGCTATTTACATACTCTCTCTGGATAAACAAAGCTTTGTTACTAAGACACATCCCTGTTTGCATTCTCTCTGTAAAAAGTCACACACTTAAATTCTGAGCCCAATGGAGGGAAAACCAGCTAGGAAGCATGATTCAAAAAAAGCCATTATGGTCTGTTTGGAGGTTGCTTTGAAGTATCTGCGAGTTCTGGGAAGAAATGATCGATATCTCATATTGTTGTTGACCTGATATGTAGGAAGCAGAAAAACTGTGCTTGTGTGATCACCCACTGAACTCCAGCAATTAAACAGATCCATCTTTGCTCTAATACACAAGCACTTTCCAGCCACAGTGGACGAAGGAGCAGCCGAAGTAGAGGCAGTCCACCGCCTGGTCCACCAGCCAATCGAACACCACCTCCCTGTTCCCTGAGCCAATGGTCACCCTCAGCTTGAAGTTGCCCCCCTCGCTCAGGTTGTTGTTGCTGATTGGGAACAGGTTCACCACCTCCATGTCGAAGGTCACAGATGAGCCCACAGTGACAGCCGGCAGCTGGTTGGTCATCTCCTTACCGTTGACAAAAACAGCACCTAAACATTGACAGAACTGTTTTATACCAGCAGAGGAATCCCACCTTTAATCTGGTATAAAAGACGCACTTCTAATACCTTCTGAAGAGGGGTCCCTCTAGCTTGGAATTTGAAGGCAGTATTATCTTGCTGCGTCCATGCATACCCCTTTTAATTGACTCAATTAAGAAAATGTATAAAGACTTTTTGCAGAAAAAAGTAAGAGTATGGGGTTTTATTTTATTGTGGTCTGAATAGAATATATCAATAATATGGTACATTAAAATTTGATCGATTTTTCTTATAAACTCGCAGCTGTATACCTTCAGTGAAACTAAAAGCTCTATAAGTGAACCCTTGAGGTCAAACAAACATGCTGAACTCATTTCCTTCCTCATAAAACTTCTGCAATGAAACAACAATTGTAGAGCTGCATGATAACAAAGCAGCAGTCATCTTCATTTAAAACTACAGGTAGGTAGAGAGGGGCCCGCAGCACGAGTATGGATTCAAGATATCCTCTCTTTAAAGAATAGCATGACATTAACACATGCTTATGACCACTTAAAGGACAACTTAAAGCAAGTGTGGTTGCATTCATAACACCATATTATTAGATTAAATGTTTAACTTTCCTCTTTTGAACAGTCTATCCTGGTTTCAGTTGCTTTTTTCTGTCACCACATAAATAAAAATGCCACTCCACTATAATGTTTAACAACTTTAACTCTGTTAAAACTGCATTTCTACAAGATTTGTTAACAAACTATGTCTGTCACAACCTCAGCATAACAAATAACATAATATCTGTGCCAGTGTACCATTAGTGGAAATGCAGACGGCCTGGTCTCTCTGAAGTGACTCTGCCTCCCTCCTGCTGTCCACACACACCCCCAGACTGTCCCTCCGATCCATGGGACCTGCTGCAGAGATCCTACACAGACAGCAACACACATACAGAGTCCCATTAAGTATAAAAACCAAATGACTGTCAAGATAACAGTTTTTAAGTAATATTAAAACTGGGAAAAGAAGACTGTAAGAGACTTGGTTGACTTTGAATCAAAATTTCCAAACAATACAGCCTCTGAATTGTGTTTTGGTATGATTCAGGTTTAGTGAATCAGACCCTCGCTTTGTACTTGAATATGAACAATTATAATCCTCACACAGAGAAAGTTTAAAATAAAGACATGCCAGTAAAAACAGGTTCCTTCTGTGCGGTCTATATTTGAGGATTTACAGCAAATGTTTAGACTGGTGTCTGTGTGTGCGTACTTGAAGGTGAGGGTCTGGCCGCAGAAGTAGGTGGGTGCGTTCGAGTAGAGGACGGTGCAGCGTGACTGTGAGGAGTCGTTCCTCAGAGCTATGTTTCTCCTGCTGCTCAGGATGTAGCCCTCAGTGCCCGGACACCACTCTGCATGACCAGAGAACAACACACACATTTGATCAGAAGAAGGAGGAATTCTTCAGCAAGGTGCTGTTGCAGAAACATCTTGATCATGTCCACCCCTAAACCTTCCCAAAGCTTTGAAGGTGGGCAGAGTCCCCTCCTACCGTGCGGTGTGAGTGTGGTGTATCCGGTCTGTGGGATGCTCCAGGGGCTCCACTCTGTGCGACCTTCCCCGCGTGCGCAGACCCTGAAGAGATAATCCGTGTGTGGGTCCAGGTGGAGAATGAGGAACTCACAGTCCCGACCGATGTAAGCGTCCTCATATTGACTCCCCCCGCTGCCAGCTCGCCGGTACTGCAGCCGATAATCTGCCGCTGCAAAGTCCTCGTCCACCTGAAAACACAGGGAGCATAATGAAGGAATGGCATCTCTTTAATTTGCAGTTAAGAATTTGTTGGTTTTTACCTTGCACCAGCGGACCAGGATGCTTCCCGGTCTCTCCTGCAGCTCTTCGATCTGGGCCGGTGGGTGTGAGGACACAGAGCCGTGACGGGACACACGCTCCCTCAGCAGACCCAACAGTGAGTCGTCCAGCTGCGCTGAAACACACGGCACATCCACCAACGCTGGAACCTCAGGGAGGCTGGACAAGAGACACCACGAGAGAAACAAACCATCACATTTACACTGATAACACTGACACTAACCCAAGCATTTGGACTAATGTTGTAATGTCAGCGCATTTTAGCCTTTTCTAAATTCATTCATAATTTCACATGCATGCTACAGTTCAAACTGCAGAGTAACTGGCTCCGGAATTTCAGCTGTTTTACCTGAAATATCAAACTTAGTTAACTGAGGTTCTATCACTCTTTCTTTTTAGATAGTTTCAGTACCTAATCCTGGCTGCATGCAGTTTTTGTAATAGCTAATCATAACTACAGGCAGTTCGACTTCTGAAAACACCTATAGCAGGGTTGCCAGGTGTACGATAATTATTGTATTTGTACAATATTTTTTCCCCGTGTACGATGTACAATCAATAAAAGGGTAAATGTACCATAATTTGACAGTTTCGTGAACGTGTGGTGCAACAGGACTGACTCAGTCTGCCAGACACTTCATTTTCCAGTTTTTTATTCGCGAAACCTGAAGGCATCTTTTACCACATGACGTGTTCACCCAGTTGTAGTTTGAGCGATGTTTGTCTCCGAACAACAAGCATGATTGGCTGTCAATCGTGCTCAGTCGGGAAGTCAGTTGAGAAAAATGAGCGCCACTGAAGAGGACGGTGATTAACGAGAGCAGAATCCTCGTGTGTTGATTTTTGTGTCTAAAACAGATTTCACTAAGTTAAGTCAGATTACTCTTTACTTCCTCATCAGTTATTATGAATACTGTTTTTAAAAAGTAGGTGACCTCAAGGTCTCATGATTTGGCTGAGTAGTTCCCATCTGTAATTTGTTTAAAGGGGACGCACCAGTGTAACACAGCTGAGTTGGAGCTGCAGTTGTGGGGCGAGGTGGTGAATGACCACAAAATCATGAGTGCCTGTAGGACACTAAACAGAGTGACTATATGTGACTATTATGCAACAGTAAGATTGTTATTTTGATTATGATGGGTGTAGGATAATTTTCCCAAAAATACGATCATTTTGAGTCTCTGTTACGATAATTCTATATTTCCCATCTGGCATCACTGACCTACAGTCAAACCGACCATCTCTGTCCTACCTGTCCAACTGGATGTGCATGGCCTTCTTGGTGAAACTGCCCAGCTGATCCTCCTTTTCGCCAAGACCACAACGCAGAGCTGCTTCCCCTGGAGATACAGAAGAACTAGCGTTCAACTCATGTGAGCACTCCTTACATGTTCCTCAAATGAAATAATCACTGACCCTCTCTGAGCAGCTCGTCAGCCTGGCCAACCCCGTGCTCAATGAGGCTCTGGCAGTCATCGAGCGGTTTCACGCTCTCCGCCTCGATGGCGTCCACCTCAGCCAGCAGGGCGTTCAGTCGCTCCGTCAGCAGCCGTCCTGCAGCTGCCTGCAGCTCCGTGAAGTGCCGCCGGAGAGCCTCACGGGCCTGACCCGAGCTTCCCCGGACCTAAAGAGCACGGAGACAACGACAGATTCAAGACAGAACTTAGTGAGTGTAACTAACTGTCTAATATTTAAAACTTTTACAGTTGGTGGCTCTTATTTGATTTTGTTTGATGCCATTTATGTCCAGTTTATTCTATAGACTGTTTTAATATTTATGATCTGAGACCTTTATATTCTATTTTGCTGCCTTTGTGAAGCTCTTTCTCCTTTAGATTTTGAAACCCGCTCTTTAAATAAAGGCACAGCTTTCAGTTTCAGGCAAGTTTCATGTTCTACATTCCTGCCAGTGCAACACACTTCACTTTTACAGGGCACCTCCTTAAAAGGAACTATGAATAAATCGGTACGAAAATTCCAAAAAATAGCTGTTTTTTAATTTATTGGTAGTGTTTCTTTGCAGCACAGACAGATGAGTGGTGCATTTTTTGAAAATGACTTGCTCAAGCTTCATATAACTCGTCCTGTTCTTTCAAACAATGAGCAATGATCCGTGCCAGGGGGGACTTCCTATTTGCCTTCTACTACCAGCATTTTTTCCTGTGTTGTGTTTGATAGAACTCTGCCAATCTGGACTAAAACTGAAGTATGCAGCAGGTTCTTGCACAGGCTGATTCTGCAGGACGCTCGCAGCAATGTGACGCCTCTCAAGAAGTGAAACCAGAGCACCGCCACTGCGCCCTGGTAAGTGAAAGGGATGGTTCATTTTATTTGAAGTAGGGATATATGAGACACTTGTCAGTAGTCGGTGTATTACACAAAGGAGATTCTGGGCGGCTCACCTTTTTGTTGGGAAACCAGCCAGAGTTGGTCCAGAAAATTAACTATAGAGAGCCGAAACAGGGTTTACTCTATTTAAGCTAATTTAAAGAAACTCTGACAAACACTAATGTAGAAGTACATGTATGCTCTTTTTGGAAACTTTTCAGCGCTCCACTCCTGCTGTCTGTTTGACTATACATTATTCTCAAATGCATCATGTGTTGCTCACCCTGCTAGGCGCTGATCAGCTATTCCAATAAGTGGGCTTCAACCAAACCCAAAAATGGCAGATTCTGACAGCAGCAAAGAGATGCCACTTACTGTGGCCACATGTGAACACCTTCATGAAACTGGGTTTGCAGGGAAGCGACAGAGACTCCATGGATGGACTAAAGAAGAGGATGGGGAAACTTCTGCGCTAACTGGAGAGCAGCAGAAATTTATACTGCCCTACAAAGGCAGAGGGCATTAACTAACACTATCAGTGAAACCCAGAAAAATGCCTTCAGAGTTTCTGGACATATAGGGTCCCAGCCACAGCACTAGCCACCAAACATCTTTTTAACTTTGCCTGATTTCTTTATCAAATAGACTAAAAACAACTCACCCACTCTCTTCCAGCAGCCCCTTGTTTGTAGCGAGACCTCAGGCCAGTCCATTACGGATTGCTACGGGGTGACGCAGCTCAAGGAAGAACATTTATGATTTTATGATCATTACATCATCATTTCGTTAAAGTAATAATCACCATATCAATCATTTTTCACTACAGACGCGGTAATTCTTCTGCCTTAGCGTCTCGGTCTGATTGCATTTCCATGAAGAAATGATCATAAATGTTCTTCATTGACCTGCGTCACCCCACAGCAGTCCGTAATGGACTCGTCTGAGTGGTTTGAGTATCGCTCCTCAGACCGCTGTGAACCGCGGAAGCAAGCGGTCAGCAACATTCATCTCTTTAGGGGGGGTCTAACTAATTTTACGCCAGAATATCCCTTTCAATAGGTAGACAAGTGTGAATGCATTCACTACATACACTCAACTCCTTAAACCTTTGAGTTCAAATTGTACTCAAACACTGAATATCGTTCCAGCAGTCCTTTGCTTATGTATTGTGATGCCTGCTCTGCTCTGTTCTGTTGCTCTCCCTGCTTCAGGTTTCCACATACACACATGGAAGCAGTGGCCTCTCACCAACACATAGGACTTCCTGCATGTAAATAAGTCCTTTTCTTTCACTACACTGGTCCTGGCTGAAATATAGTGCAGCACAGCAGGATGTGGACTACAACTATGACTTCTACTACAACTAGTGCTTCAGCTACCACCACAAAAAGCAGTTCAAACTGCGAGACGGGAAGCTTGCAAAGAGGTTTGCTGGTTTTCCATCAGTGGTAGAGTCCATGTTTCAGTTCCTCTTTGTCAAACACAATTTGATACACACACACACACACTTACTCACTCAGGCATTTCACAATGAGTACACTGAAAGAGTGATAAAGAGATATCAGGAAACGGAAGGCTGATTGACAACTGCTGCACTGATAAAGCAAGGACAGCATGACTATGAGAGTGGAAACACACACCAGAGGACCTGAGCCAGAATACACACTGGACTTCACGTGTGTGTGTGTGTGTGTGTGTGTGCGTGTGTGTGTGCGTGTGTGTTGAGCTGTAACAGGACGTTTTCCACCAGAGGCACCCATCGCATCACTTCCTGACGATTATCAGTACAACACAGACGAGTGATGATCAATATTTTTGCGTTCGTCAGATAACAGTGGAACTCAAAATAAGCACAGACATTATTCAACGATTGTCAAACACAGGAGGAGCTGATTTAAAATCAGACGAGTGTTTGGAGGACGACTCCTCCAAAGACGAGATGCAGCAGTGATAGTATTGTCAGACTTTTTAAACACACTCATTCTGCTATCTCCCTCCTCTATGTGTGTGTGTGTGTGTCTGTTTCCTGTATTCCTTCAATCTGGTGCTGAGCCATCCCTGCTGTGGGAAAGAAAGGGGTTATGGGAAAGAAACCACAGCACAGGCTTGATGGAGAGAGATAATGTGTGATGAAACAGCTGGGACTGGGTGGAGGGGAGACAGACTCACAAACACAAACTACCTTATTGTATGTTTGTGTGTGAGAGACTTTCACAGTAATTGAAAGAGTATGCTTTATTTGACTCTCTATAATAAACTGAAAGTTGGACATTGCCAGTGGCTGCTGAACTGAGATTAGGGAGGAAAGAGTGCAAACGAGGAGAAAGATTTTCAGGGTCGCTTCTCCTATAGTTTGGGATCTCATGCTGAAGGATTTGGGTCTAAGAGAGCTGGTCTTTCCGAAGGTGTTGGAGAAGGATGCATCAGGCTGTAGATGCTTTTACTAGTGACCTTCTGTTCTGTGTCAAAGGATATGTTAGTATTTTCTGAATTGTGTCTCATACGTTTGTAATATGCTGCTGCTGCTGATCTTGGCCAGAACACTCTTGTTAAAAGATTTTCAATCTTAATGGGACTGTTTGAATAAATAAAATAGATGTTTAAATAGTGCTTCATCATCTGCTCTGGGACAAGACCTAGACATGCTCTCATGCCCCTGATTGTGACATAATTACAATGTTCACTAAGGTTGGTTTTACAGAGTAAACAAGAAGATAACCAGAGGTCTTAAAGGGATACTCCGACGTGAAATTAATTAAGGGTCAAACACACCGTAACACAGAGTTAGACACCCCCTCGAGAGATTAATGTTGCCGACTGCTTGCTTCTCTAGTTATATCAACTTTAGTAACGACTGCATGATAGCGATACACAGCAGTCTGAGGAGCCATAAACAAACCTCAACCAAAACGCCACTCTAAAGCCACAAATAATGCTCAGAACAGCACCTAACTTCATCAACAGTACATATAGGGTCCTAGCCATAGTACTAGCCACCAAACATCTTTTTAACTTTGCCTGATTTCTTGTCAAAGAGACTAAACACAACTCCCTTACTCTCTTCCAGCAGCCGCTTGTTTGTAGCGAGAACTCAGGCTAGTCCTTTACGGACTGCTGCGGGGTGACGCAGCTCAAGGAAGAACATGTATGATCATTACTTTGTCATTTCCTTGAGCTGCGCACATTTATCATCTTTTTTTTTATGATCACTTCTTTATCATTTCCTTGAAGTAATAATCACCATATTAATCATTTTGCACTGCATACACGGTAGTTCTTCTGCCTTAGCGTTTTGGTCTGATTGCATTTTAATGAAGCTCAGATCGCTCTGTATTGCTATCATGCGGTCGTTACTAAAGTTGGTATAACGAGAGAAGCAAGCGGTCGGCAACATTCATCTCTCGATGAGGTGTCTAACTCGGTGTTACGGTGTGTTTGAACCTAAATTAATTTTACACCAGGATATCCCATTAAGAAGTGCTGTAACATTGATTTTTTTATTTAAGAAAATCATTTAAACAGCATAATGGAAATGCAGTGATTTCTATGCCACATCCTAGCTTTCTGTCACATTTAAGTTGACAGTAGGGCAGGGTTTTTCCCACAGTCACAGGATATGATATGTAGCACAATATGAGAGCAAAGACGAGTTCAATTTAAAAGTAATGCTGTCAAACAATTACAAGAACTTGATTTGAGAACAGGGTACATCCTGGGCAGGTCACCAGTCTATCACAAGGCTGACATATTGAGATATAGAACCATTCACGCACACACCCACACCTACAGGCATTTTAGAGGGACCAAGTAACCTGACAAGCATGTTTTTGGACTGTGGGAAGAAGTCAGAGTACCCAGAGGGAACCCAGGCAACACGGGGAGAACATGCAAACTCTGCACGGAAAGTACTCACAAATGATAAAATAACACTCTGTCATTTTTAAATCTATTCCTATTTATCTCTTAATAATATTTATCAATACTCTATGCACTCTATAAATATATATGCACATTATATCTTGAATGTGTTATCAAAAATAAACTTTGACTTGATTTTGATTTGCTGCTTTCTGGTGAGATACTGATCTGCATTTCCTGCCTAAGTTTGCTCTGAAACTTAAATCAAGTTGTATCCAAACTAATGCAGCGACTCCAGTTAGACTTCTGCACCCCAAACATGACCTCACTTTCACTGGGTGGTGATTCAGAATAACAATAAAAGTTGAATTCAGTCCGCTCTCTCCAATATCTCTCTCTTTTCCTTCATATCTCCTCAAACTTAGTCTGGCTGTTGATATTAGCAACAGGAAATAGCAGCATTGTTTACTGTGAGCAGCTGGAGGGTAAATCCAGACAGCAGGAGGAAGGAAGAGATAGCAGACAGAGCAAGAGAGAGAGAGAGAGAGAGAATACACTCTCCTGGGATTTAACAGGGTAAGGGGTCAACAAACTTCATGTTACACCAGTTTTGACAGATGAAAAGAAAAAGATAGAGGTCTGGGAGAAGAAGGAGGGTTTTAAGAGCAGCTGAGCATCCAAACTTTATCCTGTATGTGAGTGAAGGTGAGGACAGACAGTGGTACCTGTTTGCGGGCCTGGTTGAGGCCATTTAGGCGCTGCTGGAGCTCACTGCGGTAGTTCTGGGCCGCCTCTATGCTTTCCTTCGCCTCCTGCAGCAACAAGTCCACCTCCACAGACATCCTCCCGCCTCCTGACGCACACGAGAGGGAGAGAGAGAGAGAGAGATATTTACACAACAAAAAATCAGACATAAACAAACGAACATGCAAAACATATTCGCTCAGGACTTCACAAAGTTACTTCAATTTCTCTGCTTTTCCTCTGTAAATCTTTAATTTGCAAATACATTTCCAAGAAGGTTTTATCATTGTTACCTCCCTCTGTTTATTCTAAAAATATGCAAATAAAATGTTTATTACTTGTTTATTACCAAGAAAAAAGAAAAAATACTGAAAAAAATTTTGGTTTGAATTAACATATTTTGTTAACCTTTGTTTTGACCTGAAATTTCTGCATGACTAGAGAATCACAGAGCTTTGGTGGTAAGACTAAGACGCTGTAAAATTCAACTAGGCTTGCATGACAAAAAACATAAGTGCAATGTGCAATAAATAAATCAATATTATATAAACTGTAAATCAGTTGTATCTCTCAGATTTTTAAAGCTCTTTTTTCGGCAAAAATGCTTGAATGCAGCACTGCCATCGTCACACTTTCGTTTCAATCTTGCAATAATAAAATTGCTTAATCCTGGGGTCCCAAAGTGTGATTTCACATTGTGTCAAGATGCTGCAGAAGCCTACATTCAAACACACAGCAGGAGCTTCACACACTCACACACACACTCACACACACACACTCACATGCACTCTCACACGTACACACAATCCTGCTTGCTCTGCAGGCTCACAGTGATTTTGTCTCTAGCACCTCTATTACTACTATGTCCTCCACTGCCAGCACAGGGGTGGAGATACTTGGTCCCACCATGACGCCTCTGATACATTTATGCCAGTTGTGAGACGTTACAGGGGTGTAAATATGGCACTTTGAACTGGCAGTTTGACAAAGGCTGTTTTTCATGTCTTTCAAATAATCTGTATTTGCACTGAATCCAAAATAAATCCACAAGTTGCCGACATCTTCACTCTCAGTTTGACAGATATAGATATTGACACTAATATATTGACACCTATTTTTACTCAGTCCTCCATTCAAAAATGTTTACATGCTAAGTGAGGGAGCATTGCTTATTTCACATAAATGCTTTTAAGCTTCTATAAATTCAGACTTGAGTGACTGTTTTACTGTGAAAGCTTGTGATCTAATAATATCATATTTGCAGCTTTTTCTAGAGGAGTCAAACGGATGAGTTCGTACACGAAGACTGACCTCTGTACTCTTAATGGTCTTATTAAGTAAAACTTCACATTAATAGTGTGCAGATTCAAAGATCTGGCATGTATCATCATGAGTATGAGGTGCATGTGGATTCAGAGCGTTTTCTCCTGCAGAGGACGTGTGGCAACAACAAGAAACCACTTCCTACCAGCCAGCAACCAGACGAAAAAACTAGCCTGATCATAACTGCTTCATGATGCTGATCTTAAAATACATCATGGCTGACCTCCAATACTAGATTAGTTAACCTTTCTCGCAGAAATAACATGCCTGTAAGTGATCTATTCCTGTGACCTTTATGTTTGAGCTGCTTCGATGCATCAGGTCATTGTTTAACTGTTTAATTGTACTCTAATACAAAATAATACAAACAGGAAAGTGCTGACTTTAGTCTCCAGGTGGTGAAATCTTCAAAAATTAAGGTTTAACTCTTTCTTTCTTTCTTGTAATATTTATTCCCTTCTGTTGCATGAAAACTGACTGTGTTAGCATTGATTCAATATTTGCAACCTCATCCTGCAGGTGTATCAGACTCCTCTTTAAATGAAATCAGTCAAACTTAAGACACAACCTGGTCTCTCTCCTGCGGTCGATCATGTTTCCTTTACAGCGTTTAAAGAGGAAGTCACAAATACCTCGTGCGTCTGACACTTACAGTTTAAACAGTATCATCATTTAGGGTCAGAGGTAATGTGTTAATGCGTAGGTTAACTCACATCCTCAGCTCTAATGATAGAAGTTTGAGATGAGTTCTAATGATAAACCTACTTTTTATACAGTGAATGGATAATAATGTGTCATAAAGGGAAATTTTTGCTCATTTTGTCTGTTCAAAACACTGAACTCCAGTACAGTAGGGGGCGATAGACAAGTTCAAAAACATTTCTAACAGATAAAAGTAGTGTGTTTTCCAGATAGCATCCTGAAAGTTGAAGTACTACAGAATGTGATATTTTGAAATCATTTTGAATCACCAAGGTATTCATATTTTTAAGAGAGGAGGATGTTTTCATTGTCAAATATCAGGGCCGACATTCAGCATGTGGCCGTTTATCTTCATCAGAATTGAATTTCATACTAAAAACTTTAATCAGTTAAAAAGTGTGCTACGTTTTGGATCCTGGTGTGTCTTTCCCTCTGGATCTGTTTCCCCTCACTGTACAGTTTCAACTAATACAACACTATCTGATTGGCTAGACATCACGTGGCTGTGACATAACTTTACTGTAGATCGTATCGTAAGTTTCCCAGCAGTTCCTGCCTCTGCTGCAAAAGTTGTATTTATTTGTAAAATGTGTCATATTTTACTACAGGAGAGGCTAGTTTGTTACTTCAACTACTGTGAAAAATAAATCTTAATTTGCAATCTTCAAAGTTTCACCAAAAACAGATTTATTTACAGAAGTCGATATGCGGGGAACAGCAAAAGTTATGCATGTCTTATACTCCGGAGCTATTATTAAAAATGCATTGTTCATCCCTTAATTTCTTGAGGTACAAAAGTTTTAGGGTTTTTTTTTTCTGCATATCAAGAGCAGGTTAGCGTGTGATTTACACTTTTGCATCAATAAATGGGATTGTTTTGAAAAAGGATCAAATAGTATTATAGAGATGTACTTAGATGAACTTCAAGTGGCTTAAAGTTGTAGGCTAATGAAATACTTTCCTCCATTGTACACAGTTTTATTGTCAGACCACAGTATTTATGTATGTATGCACTCATTAATTCAGATTCAGAGTAGATTTATGCAGGCCTGCTGTGCGTCATAAACAACATACTCATGTATAGCATTGCCCCTCCCTCTTTCTCCTTAAGAAACTCCTTTCTTTCTGCAGACAAACAGTCCAGCTGTTAACACACACCCACCCACCCACAACACAGATTCTGTCCTTTAAAAGGGGGGCTATGGCCCTCTCCCTCTCTCTCTCTCTCTCTCGCTCTAATCCTGTATTTTATAATCCCTCTTTCTCTCTCCCAAATAAAAAAGAATTTAAGCTAATGCTGGGCACTTAGCCAGGCAAGCCAGTTTTCATATAACACAGAAAATCTCTTGACTATGAAATGGGTGTGGGTTTGAAACAAAATAACAGCCTCCTGATGCCGTTATTTCTCATGTGTTTTTCATGCCAAAATGTGCAGCCAAGCATAGATTTATTTAGCAGCAGTGTTTTTCAAAGTATTTAGGTCATGGAGGGATGTCCTACTGTCCTGCTTTCTTTCACAAGTCTTTGTCGCTGTTGCAAATATGTGCCTAATAACAAATGATCATGCTGTTTTTGCAGGATTTGACTTATTCCTTATGAAAACGTTGTGTTTGTCCACTGACAGCCAACAAGGATGTTTCTAACTGGGCCAATAAACAGAAAAAGCCAACAAAAAGACAAGACATGCTCTTTTTTTAGTTGTGCAAAGCTCTTAAATTCTTCTTAGTCTGGCTGAGTGTCATCTTCACAACTGTCATCATCCCAGGAGTTTAAAAGGCTGCAGGCATCTCCTTGAGGCATGCAGCACATGTTCTGACTAACATACGAGTTATGAGAGGCACTCCAGTGCAAATGCACATTATCGTTATTATTACAGCAGACAAGAAGAGACAGCAACAGGAGACAACAAACATGTCTCAACTCGCTTCAACAACTTCCTTATTTTGGAGTTATTTTCATCAGCTTAAACCCCCGCCCACCATTACTGTGACAGACCTACTTGTAGTCTATGTAAAATATATTATCTATTATTTCAATATGCATAATTTCTTGTATTTTAGTGTTCTGATGTCAAAATAAAGTAGATAAATGGATCTAGACCTTATAATCCAGACTAATCTGTCATAAATGGAACTACTCCCAGAAACTCCGTCAGGAAAACTCTTGATATTTAGTTAGCCTCACTAACAGTCAATTTATGCATTACTTAATGCTCCAGTTCAATATTTTACTACATGAGCTGTGTATTTACAAAAATTCGGCGTCATAATTGTTCAATTAGAATCATTATTATCCAAGAAATATGAACTTTTATAGCTGCTTCACCCCTGTCTAACGGTGTTCTCTGGTTGATGTCAACGAGCGAACAAGGAGAAAAGTTGTCGGTTTCGGTTGTAGACTACATTGAAACAATGCAGAACAGTAGAGCAAATGCTTACGTTATGAAAGGTGCTATTTTCCTAAATATGTGAGATAATACGACAACATTTCTGAGTAGTTTGCTGTAGGGTTACTTCTATGAGAAAACTTGGGGAAAGTTGGGGCTAGCTTGTGGCAAAAAGACAATGAAGCTCGGATCATGCTTGAAAGAGCAAACACAACACCCTCAATACATTACGAAAGAAAATAACGACCAAAACCTTTACATTAAAGGTCTGTTATTTTACGTGGGGAAAAAAATTATCCAATTTACCTGTTTTAGTCTCCGATTATGACCATATCTTCCCAAAAGTTCTGAATCAGCTCGCCACCACACCACTGCTAGATATGCCGAAGTTTTACTCAAGTCCAAAAATGACACTTCCGAGGCTTCGGGGCAACATCCAATCAGATGGAAGAAAAGTTTGAGCGACAAGAGAATGAGCCAATGGGATTAGATTTGCTCCATTACCCCTCCCCAATCAACTGTCACATCAGATCACAGTAAAAATGATGAAATTAGCCGATGTTTGTCAAAATTATTGATTTAACCTCAATTTTTTATTTACTTTGTATTAAAATGCAGTGTATAATCAAAATTAGAACTGTTAAAGGGTATGTAATAATTTATGGTGATGTTAGTGTCGGAGTGCCTTCTCTAAAGAGTATTACTTTGACAGACCGAAGCTAAAGTACACATTAAGGGGCCAATTTCTGACTTTAATCAGGGTACCTTTTATTATTGCCCAAACTGTGATGACCAGAATATGAATATGATCCATTAAAACTAACAAAAATAGTTCTGTTTTGTTTTTGTTATGTAAAACTGGACAGTCTGCAAACTCTCTGAACCTTTAACCTACAGTTAAGAATATTAAACGATTTGTATTAAACGTAAAGCAAATAAATTGAATAAAACCATCTTAGATTAATAGTCTGGTGTTGACTTTAAATGGAGAGAAGTCGCTCCCTATTGGCTGTAGTGGATACAGCATGTGGCCCATGACTTATCATGGGGTAAATACAGGCGTAAATTGCTTTACTCTTGTTTTTATTTGCTAAGGATTTTGAGTGGAGCAGACTTGTAGTTTCTTTGCTGCAAATTTTTTTTTTTTTTAAAACCTAGTGGGACCAGTGGGTTGTCCTCAGACGCACCTTTTGATCCCTTCCGATGATCCTTTCTCCCCTCTATATGAGACATTAATAAACCAATACTAATTAAAAGAAATTAAAAGTCTAAATAATACACTGCTATGCGAAATGTACCTATCTAGATTAAAAATCTGACATTGCATACCCCGTAAAACTTCGCTGCTGTGATGCCAAAACCATCCTGAATTTCAGAGTCCACGCACACGGCTGATCTCACAGTGCGTGGACCGACTGCACTCGCCTCGTGCCCGTGCTCTGCACACCAAACTACAACTGTTGATATCCGTGACTCAGAGAGACGTAGATCTGCGTCTGGGCAGCCTGCAGGCACAATCCCTCAGATTAGCGCCTGACCCGCAGGATTTGCTGTAAAGGCACCTGATTCACCGGCGGCGGCGAGCCGAAAGAATAATCTACATTTTACATTCATGTTCAACTGGAGACATTACCACGTTGATGTTAATGGTTGTATGTAGTATTTTACGCACCATGGACTTTATGTTGGGACACTTTGGAGGAGCCGTCTCTAAATAACAAAGGGGATGCCAGCTATGGCAGGTTTTACGCACAGCGAGAAGATGCCAGTAGGAGTGTTTGACAAACTTTTTCTACGGTGGATATAACGTTTCCTTTTAACCACCTGAGGTCTGATCATGTTTGAAATTCCTGCTGCCGATGGAAACGTTTAATCCCTGCCTGATTACGGCTAACAGATGGATTGCTTCCTGTCGACCAACCGGTTGTCATCAGGGCCTAGTCCTATTAATTTAACCAGCATGCTTGCGCTTTGATTATAGATTTGAAGCCATTTGGGCAGCTCAACATCTTTTAATAAGACCCCATCCTCTTCTCTGGTGCCAACATGAGGAGAGCAGTACTCAAAGAAGCAGCCAAACGCTTCCCCTGGCTGGCCAATGTCACTCTGTACGGGTGCTTATTTGCCGGTGGTGACCTTGTGCATCAGCTCATGGCACAGAAGGAGCGCATGGACTGGAAACATACCCGCAACGTGGCCATCGTGGCAATCAGTTTCCATGGAAACTTCAATTACTTCTGGCTAAGGGCTCTGGAGAGGCGTTTCCCCGGGAAGTCCGCCGGCATGGTTTTCAGAAAACTTCTGCTGGACCAGAGCTTTGCGTCGCCTTTGGCCACCAGTGTCTTCTATACAGGCATGTAAATCCAAACCTCATGCTACTACACAGGCCAGGAATATATGGAGAGTTATAATTAAACAGGTAGTAGTGCTTTTGAAAGAATCGTGAGCAATTAAAGTCTTAAAATCTTAAGATGAAAATGTCTCATTGATTAGAAATCTATGAAAAGTTCTATTTTTTTCTCTTTCTGTCAATAATGAGGGGCAGTGCATACAAGTATAAGGTGAAGACGTGCCATATAAAGGTGATCTGTCAATCAAACACCACGTGTGCCAAAGTGAACAGTCACTGAATGGTGCGTTACAAGGTGCGTAAACTGTGCGTAAATGTTTCCTCTGTCCTGCAGGAGTGAGCTTCCTGGAGGGTAAGGAGGACATTTTTGAAGACTGGAGAGAAAAGTTCTTCAACACCTGGAAGGTAAGCAGAGAAGAGGTAAAGGGAGGCTTCGGTGCGAAGCGAAGGAAAGTCACCTTCTCTTCCCTTCACATGGTGCCACGCACCCACAAACAGATTAACCTAGTTTGGGCCACTGCTGCTTTTTGCGCATTGCAGGGCACGCAGCCCGGGGGCAAATGAGGTAATTCAATCGAGTCAGTTTCAGGACGTCCAGGAGCGGAAAGTCTGTCAGATGTAAATCTCTGTGACACGCAAACATTTGTAAACAGAGATTTCTTTTTAAAGTCAGGACTTGTACAGTACTGCAAAACTCAGCCCCTCATACACATACACAAGAATACATTTTCATTAACATCTTTATGTCTCAATATATAAGTCTTGAAGTTTTTATTCTGCACCCCTTGGCAATAAGTTATATATGCACAAGATTTATCTGTAAAGTAACTTACTTTTGACACTTTTTGCAGAATATTTTGCAGAAGTTTTGAAAGAAAGAGTTTGTCACGCTGTTGAGTCACATTAAACAGTGGTAAATTCATAAATCTGAATCATCATGCCGGATCAAAGATTGATGAGATAGTATAAGGGACACTTAGAAGACAAAATAGTGAGTTTCCAGATTAGAATTTCAGTGCCAAATATATTTCTACTCCATCTCAGAAAATAATCTTTCCTATAGTAACCAGTTAAAGGCTTAAGAGCTGAGATTTGCATTGATACAAATGTTCTTGTCCCTCCTGTGTCTCATCATATCATTTTTTAAATTTCAGACTGGACTCATGTACTGGCCATTTATGCAGGTAAATGTCATGTTTACATTTATGCAATAACATTTTCACACAAACTGTTTATCATTTTTTTAAGGTCTGGCTCATTTTTCAGAATTCTGAGTTCTGAATTTTGGTGTAGAGATTTCAATTGAAAGATTCAAGTTTAATGTTTCAACATTAATCAAACTGTTGTATTCTCAGACTTAGAAATTTCGTACAAGGACTTAACACCTAAAATCTGACCATCTGACCACCCCAAAAGTATTGATCAGCATCAGCACAATCCCTCAGTGAGGACAAGAAAGTAATGCTGTTGACTAGTTGATAAAATCTGATCAAAATCTAATGATATTTCATATTCTGTTTCCTACCACTTTTCAGTTCCTGAACTTTGTCCTTATGCCGTTGTACATGCGGACAGCCTTCATGGGCTGCTGCGCCTTCCTTTGGGCCACCTTCCTTTGCTTCTCTCGTCAGGACGGTGATGGTACCGCTGGCGTGGCGCTGGCTTTCATCATGGACCCTCGTAAAACCCTGGAGGAGATGCGTGAGGCCCGGCTGGCTCGAAAAAAGCTAAAGGCCCAAAAGAGAAACTAACAGAGAAGGAGAGGGAGGACCCTGCATCAGATTGTGAGCATCTGTGTAGAAACACCTGGGAATCTACTTTAGTTCAGCACAAACCCATAAACTACAACTACAACTCATCTGGAAGAGCTTAAAGGAGGAATATCCTACTGACAGGAAAGAGTATCTGTTATGAACGCACAAAATAGTCTACTCTTAAGGTTCCAATGGGCTTCTGTCACAACTCTTGTACAACTCAAACGTATTTAAAAGTTACTTGTATTTATAACAACAGAATCCATAACCACAAGCAGGTTTGACTCTTCTTTAAGGCTCAGGTGTAGGATTAAAGAAGCCCAGCTGTTATACTCTTACAGCATCTGGCACTGTAACGTAAGTCAGGGTGGTTGAGTGAGCTCATCTCCTTGGCTGTATATAGAAATGGATGATACACCTCTATCTGTTCCTCTTGTGAAACAATGAAGCCAAAATATCCCCACTATGGGTGCTGACATGCAGCACTGGTGATGTATTTTAGAGCCAAGACATCTAAGCAATCTGGAAAGTGGAACTGACGGACCGGCATCCCTTCTGCAGCCAAAACATTGTCCAGAGCAAAGCAGATTCAGTTGAGAGCAAATGCTCATGTTTCAAATAACAAATCTTAACTTTTCAGAAAAATAGCACTTAGCCACCAACCAGCATGTTAGGAACTAACTTTAATGACAGAAACATTGTTCTGTACATTTGTATTGACTTGTATGTTCATTCTAAAGTTTCACTCATGTCCCATCTGTCAACATGGAGGAGGTGGGACTAATGACTTTTATTTCAGCTTGTCAGGAGTTACAAATGTTTGGTGCTGTCCATTTAATATTCTGGGGTTTTTCCTCACGGGAGCATGAACATGTTTGGTGAGTTACATTGCAATACAGATTTGTAGCGTTTTTGCAAAAGTGCAGATTTTAGCATGAAGCAGGCCTGAAAGTCGTGAGCACTTCTTGTGAAAGCATACTGTACTCACCAACACATTAAAAAATGTGGGTACTGCTGAAGTAAAGTTCTGCAGTTTGAACTTACAAGATGAGCTGTTATGGCTAAAAGTACACCCAACGAGTGTTTTGTTACAGTTGTTCTGATCTAAATTAACTATTGAAACACTACAGTTGTTCACCAACTGGTACTTTTGTCCAAGGAGTTCGATGGCTTTGGGGAAAAAAAACAATGAAAAAGATATTTCTGCATTATAAGAGGTAATAAAAATGTCTCACTCCATAGGGATTCTCTATGTAATGCTGTCAGGGATAACAATCAGAGCTTTTCAGAGAAAACAAGGACATACTTTTCCCCTCAGGATTACACTGCAGTCGTAACAATTCTTTCATTGTTGCAGACTGGAGCAATATACTGGAGCAAAACCAATGTTTACCTGTTAACACAGGGTGTTCAGAGAGGCCTGTCATATAGTTTCTAACATGAGATGGACTGGTTGATGGTTTACATTTTTCTAATGTTAAATGCATGCTCTGTTGTGCAGGTGGTCCTGGTTTGACATGTAGTGAAGCCCGTGAGATCATATTAAAGGGCTCAACTTTATAATTTCTACCAACTGTGCCTCCTTCCTCAGACAGGACTGTTCTTAACAAGCATCTGCATAAAAAGATGGTAACAAAATAGTCTACATTATTAAATATGTGTTTTTCCAGTTTGTGAAAAATCCCAAATAGCGTCCCTGCATTTGTTTTGAGATGCACTGGTGTATCAGGCTGATTGGAGAGTATTTAAAGGAAAACCCATGCAGCACTTTTCTTTTTCTTTTCTTTTTTTTTGGTTTTACAAATACTTAGTCATTGTGTTAAGATACTGCAACGATGACGTATGTGTTTGAAGAAAACACAAAGTCAAAGGACCAACACAATTATTTTTAGTCTTTTTCTCAATATCAACAAATCCCTAAAAAAGACCCAGAAATGCCCGAAAAAGATCAACTTTATATTTTACAAACTCTGACCACAACTGGCCAAACAATATCCAAAAACATCTGGGAGCTTCAGTTTTTATTAAAATTCACTCCTACAGGGGACAATAATCCATTTGTTTGGGATTATTTCTGACAGTGGATTATTCCTGAATACAGTGTATGAGCAGGAGAGTGTATGTGTGTGGTAATCCATTGATGTAATCTCTGTTAAAGTCTGTGATTTGTTCTTTTATGTGAAAGTCATTCATGATGCTATCTTAGCCAGCGAGATTTGCTACCTCAATGGGAACATTTTGCTGAGAAACGACATAGACATTTCCTTTTTTTATCCAGCAGTCGCCCTCTGCTGGGTGATTCTTCTGTTCAGAAGACTGCAGATTTACATTTTGAAACTGAGAGGTTACATCCACCTTTAAGCTCCGTCTATGCTTTTTATACACAGATTAACCTGCCTTCTTTCTTTGCTCCTCTCACTATTACCTTACTTACTTTAGCCACAAGTTGATATTACTTCAAATAGCTGCTCAGAAACATGATTTAGTTGCAAAATCAGAGCTTGTTGGTGTATTTCATAGTTTTTAGAGGGTCTTTTTAAGGAATTTGCTGATTTCATGGTCAACTTTAAAAAAAATCCCCAGACTTATATTTATGAATACTCTTTTTTCTATACTTCCCCATGGCTTTAATAATTGTTAAACAATCAAAGACGTATCAGCTATCCTTATTTTAATATATAAACTAGTGTTTCCCACTTGTGTTGTGTCCTCTAGTTTGACCAGTGATGTTATAACTGTATTTAAATCCTGTCCTCTTACTTGAAATATAACATAGGTTGCCATCAGCCCAGAAACCTTATCATGTCGCTTATCACCTACTGACAAACTGGATTTATCTCTTTTTTTTAGATTGAGATTATTTTTCATTGTTCTTTTTCTTCTTTTTTATTTAATAAATGTCATTATATCAGAAAAATAAAACTGGCTTCATTATACCTTATATCGTTATTTTATGTGTGAAATTCCACTCCAGAGTGGATTAGTTTTGGAGACATTTGTTGAGATGTGGACACAGCCCTGTATTTTTTTTTCTGTATAATTTATTTAAAGTTCGATATATATCAATAAAAATCTGCTCATTCTCTCCAAAATGCAGCCCCTCTCAATAAAACTTAAAATTAAATTATACAGTGTTTTTTCATGTTCCAAACAGAAATAAAGATGTTCAAAATTGTTCATGACTGCATGTGTTTGCATCATAACTCTGTGGTGGTAGTAGTAGAGGCAGAAATCCAAGTAATGCAACATAAAGTGGTGAAAATGGGAAATGATGTGATGAAAATGGAGAATGACTTGTTAAAGGATAGCCCCAAAAGAGGTGGTTTTTCAGAGTTTTTTCAAATACCTGACTTCCTGTCAATATTTCACTGCAATGCTTAGAGAATTCTTTAGGTCTTGGGAAGCCAAATGTGTGTAAGAAAAATCATCTGTCTAGGTGAAACTGCTGAGAAGGGCTAGATTTTAATAAACTGCAGGGGAACGCTAGTGAGCCAATTTGCCATACCCCTTACCAATAACAAGCCTCTTTCACCAGACCTGATGGACTTGTAAGTTTTGGGGACATTTAGAGCACACTTGGGCCCTCAAAAATGGGACAAATGATGGAAAACAGTAACTATAGTGAATCGCTGTAATGTGCTTGGGCCAAAAATTAATCATTTTGTTGTATTTATTCTTGGTTCTTATTTTCAAGGTTGAAATGACAGACATTTAAGTCTTATTGAATTGTAGCAGACTGTCTTTTAGAGTGTAAAAACAAGCAAAATAGAAGTAACACACTTGGCCACCTTCTGTACACAAATATTCATCTTAACTTTCTCTGTATTTCTAAAAATAGTTAAAATCATTCATCCTCTTTTCCTCTGCAGGATACAGGTTCATTTTTATTATCTATGGACAGTGCAGGAAACTCTGAAACACGTCATCCAAATACGAAGCAAGGAAAGAGCGGATTGGAGTGTGTGTATCACAGCTTTATGCTCCAGTGATGGTGTGGGTGGATTAACCAGGATCAGATAGGCCGGTTAATCCCTCTGAAAAGGACAGACCTCTGACCCCAACTCCAGGAAGTAAAATCCCCCAATCAGGTGTCTCTGCACTCAGACATATGTTTAACATGGGTTCTTCCAATATCAGTCAGAGATAGAGCCAATCAATTATTTATGTTGGTAGTGAGATGCAGAGTAAGCCACATGGGGCAGAGGACCAAATGAAACATTTAGCCACATCTTCTTAATTTCATGCTGTGTTCAATGTTTTTTACCTTGTCTGTAATTTATAGACGTTTCTAAACAATATTTGACTAGTCGTATTTGCTTTTTGTGTGTACAATATATTTTCAAAATTTTGACTATTGTCACACACAATATACCAAGGAATAAAAATACGTTTTGTCCGATCATTTTATTTGGACTCTTTTATGGTTAATAATTTTGACGTAAAATGTAAACAACAACAACATAAAAATTATTAGGCCTACTTTGTGGTTATACACCTGATATAAAGCAATTATTCTATCATTCATTTACTTATTTTATTTTTTTTCTTTGTCTAATGATACATTTATCAGATAAACACAATTTAAAGAGCCGGCTAAACCTTTTAGCACAGATGATATGATAATACGTATTTCCGACTGCACCCAAACGCATCAGTGGCGCTGGTAATCCATCAAAACGTCTAGACTGCGGGCAGATTCCCCTTCTCACACCGGTGTCACATCTCTGATTGGACAGTGAGTCTTGTCCCGCCTTGTGATATTTGATTGACGGATTATTGACGAATAGTAAAAGGCGACGAGGCTTCTACCTAACTTGTGATTGGTCGATCGTCCAGGACAATATGAATGGCTACATGTATTGTTCGACTTCTTCCCAAGACAGTCGCAACTTTGTGGCTCTCAACTACGGAGGAGTCCCGAAACTGTTTTCTTATGCGGTGTAACTTCGATGAAACCCGGTTAACAGTAGTCCCCATTAATACGTGCAGATGAAGAGGAGTTAACAGAAAACCGGATAGGACTACATCGAAGGAAGCTAACTGTTGAGCGTAAGTTAGCGGTGATATGTTCCTCTCAGCTGGGATTTAAATGGTTAACGCTAAACTCCGTTAGCTCAACCAGCTAACTTCTGTGAATTTACAATTCTCTTCCTTACTTTTTTGTAGTTTTTTATAGTAAGTTTTGTTGTTGTGACTTTTTAATAGTCCCCTGTAATGTTTATGATAGCAGGTGATACTTGTAATAGACCTTATTAGGCTCTGAATTAACCGTTATCTGTTGGGTGACGTCGGCTTTTGGTTCCCCTTTTTTACTCTCGGCTCGCTCCGACCAGACTACCTTGAAAATTCAACTTTTTTATTTAAGGAGCCACATTTTCAGGAATTTTGGTAACTTTAAACATCTGTTTGTGGTGTTTGGAATAAATTATTTAATTCGGCGTAAGTTTAGTATGGAAAAAAGGGTTAAATGTTGATTTTTACGTGATTTTTTTTAAACAACAGGTGCATTTTTTTTAAATAGAGGAAAATGTCATTTTTATAACTTTGCTCTAAAAGTAAACTTTATATAATCTTTTTTCATTTTTATTTTATTTTTTATTTAATCTTTATTTGCTTTTTGGTGATTTTTGACTCACGAAAAACAGAAATCTTCTTTCTGAAACTATTCCAATATTTTCAAAGATAAATGAAAATAAAGATTAAAAGTGCAAAAATGTCCGACTTGTGAAAAGTTGGTAATTTTTTTTGCACTCAGTATTTGGGTGAGGCTCCTTCATCACCACTCCCTGCATCACTGTGGTGTGGCGTGGAGGTGGTATTATTGAAGCCCAGGTTTCAGCTTGTCTGATTTTTCGGGTTGGGTATTTTTCGTCTTTCTCTTGGCATCACCCCACAGATAATCTACTGGGCCTACGTCAGATGAATTGACTGGACAAATTGCAGGAATATCATGTTGCGCTAGAGGGTTGTCACAATTTCATGACCAGTATTTCTTATTTTGATATAATACCAGGAAAATTCAATCCTGTTCAAGTAGTTCAAGCAATGAACTACTTACACAGAAAATTCAGACCTGGATGAAAATGTGTAAGTGATTTTTTTAAAAAGACATTGGTGCTTTTCAGATGCTGATGGATTAAAAAATGGATATTGAATCAATTTCATGAATAGAAAAGAATCAAAGTATTGAAACTTTGAGTACCTTACTCAGCAAAGCATTTGTTAGAAATGAAAATACAACCTATTTAGATTTCTTTTTGACTTTATTGATTTTTTCATGTTTTATAAGATTACTGTATGGCAAAACTCTGTCAGGGCAGAATATAATATGCAAAAAATGACTTTTTCTGAAGTTTTTTATTTTATCAAATCCTTCAGGAGTTTTTTCTAATGTTTTGTTTTTTTTGGGGAGACAGGAGAATCAGCTCTTACTCTGGGTTGGGCAGCGGTAGGCATAAGATGGGGGATCCAGAACCTCCAGAGTTTGGGTCCCTGGAGGAGGAGCTGGAGTACTGGAGGGAACAGGCTGCCAGACATCAACAGAGGTAAGTCTGAGTTTCACTGTAGTTTTTTTTCACATACCCGAGTCTCTTTTCATTTCTTCTCTGGAGCTCTCCAACAGTTTTTTTTAAATTGTAAGGAAACATTTTTTAGTAGTTTCCCTGGGGGGGGGGGGGGTTGTCTGTATTTCTTGAAGATGAAGATATTTTGCCACTTTAAAGCTCTCGTTAGTAACATGGATATTTTGCTGTAGGAAGGCCCACTTGTTTCTCCACTGTGCTTTGACTTCACTACATGTTCCTCTGCCTCATCCTCCAACCTGGCAACCTCAAGAATAAAGAAGTGAAAAAACCTGTGCATTTTCAGTGCTGTACCATGCCACTGGAAAGCACATCCATTTTTGCACTACTGTAGCATTTGATAAATCGTCCTTCTGCCCCCTTCATGATACCATGCATTGATTAATTCATGTGGTGTTTTGTGTTGGATATAAGTTTCAGTAACCCTAAAATGGAATTAAAACTAAGTTCATAAAAAAATTCATACACAGTTTGCAGAGTTGACAGATTTGATATTATTTTCACAGAAAAAGCTCCAGTCGGCTTGATGCTTTTAAATTTTCTGTTGTGCACTCATTGCATATCAATATTTCACTTACATGTAAGTTTTTTTAAGAATAAATGAGAATCTTTTGCCAACAAAATAATAACTTTCGGGGCTTCTGGACAATTTTTATGAATATATTTGAAGAAAATAATTAAAACTGTTTAAAGTAATGTGACTCTTAAGACTCTCCTGCAGGACAAATAATCTGAACTTCAAGGTGTTTTCCCACCAAACACATTTCTGTGATGTTTGGACTTTGCTGTTTAATCAATCAAGCCCCGAGCTTCCTCTGGTTTGATGGGAAATGTTCAGGTTGTGTTTTTTATCCAAACAGGTTTGGTTTAGAAACATTTAGCCAACCTTCCTCTGAGACAACACGTGATTGTTCTGCTCCGAACATCAGTGTGTTCAAAGAAAATCAAAACTAATAAATTGAAGAATAGTTCAAATGGTTTGGAGTGTCTGCATCCAAAGGTAACAAAAAATGTGGTTTATAATCTTTGTGCATGTGTGTGTGTTTGTGTGTGCAGTGCAGAGGAAGCCCAAGAGGAGCTGCAGGAGTTTCAGCAGATGAGTCGGGACTATGAGGTGGAGCTGGAGACAGAGCTGAAACAGTGTGAAGCACGAAACCGCGAGCTTATCGCTGCAAATAATCGTCTTCGTATGGAGCTGGAAAACTACAAGGTACCAGAGACGTTAGTGATTCAATATTCTGTAGACCTGTTTTTTATTCCAACTTCAAAACATTGCAAATCAAAAAAACCTCACTGAAGTCTGCAAACAGTTTTCAAAAATAGATTTGATGGGATACAGAGAGAAATTGTCCCTCTGGTCATTAGAGACAGCGCTCAGAAGTGAACAAACTTTCAAACAGTGGTGTGAGGCTGTTTGGTCCCAGTGCATCAGGATGGGTATAAGAGTTGTGCAACATATCCTCCTGACCCACCCTGAAGGTTTTGAGCCGCTTTGGAAACAGGAGTCATTGTCGCTAAATGGTTTTGTAGCCAAGTACTGGAGCATAAAACTTTTGTATCAGTGTTACACGGCTATTTTGATAACATTCACTAGCCTCAATAAGCATCTGGAGGTATTTGACTGGGAATTTCCATATTTATCAGCTGATGGAAAGTGTTTTTTTCATGGTTCCTGTTACCAGTGCTGAATAGGCTCTTCTGGCGCTCTCATCCAAGCACACACTCAAGAGGACACACAGTTTAACACTCACAGAGGATTGATTCAGGACGGAGAAAGGCAGCTGATGACTCTCGCTGGTCTGTGTCTGGAGGGGATGGCAGCACTCCCCATAAGACCTCTCAGAGTCACTTCTACATTTGTTTATCCCTTTGAAGAACAAAATAAAACAGAGTAGGAAAAACTGAATCTATATGAGGAAGTTGGATTATTTTAAAGGTGCCGTCATCCAAAATCACAAAAATGAAGAGAAGATAAATGAAGTTCTGATGAGAGGTTTGTGTAAACATGTAAATGTACACTCTACCCCCAAAGTCTTAATGTAGAGCCGTTAAAGAACAACATGGACCGAACAAGGAGTGATCTATCAAGTATTGCCTGTCTTGCTTCATATGAGAGAAATATAATCGATATATTGCAACCTTCAAGCATCCTTCAAACTATCATATGGGTCATCTTCGATTAATCTTCTTCAGGTTTTACCTTCTCCTGCTCTTTCCTGTCGCCCCTCTCACTGCAAACAACCACCTGTAAAACTCTTCCCGGTGCATGTGTGTTTTTTGGATGAGGAGATCAGGGAGGAGGGCGTGGAGAAAGCAAGCGAGCAAAACAATCATGGGCGAGTTCACCTGGACTCTGAGAGGCTGTACAAAGCTGTTCGTTATATTCATTGTTGAAGCTGTAGTGGGAGTTGGTGGTGTACTGGAGTGTACTTTTTTGGTGTGGACAAAAAACACCTTTTAATATAACACATGACCACCCACTCTGTCTTCAATGATAGATCTAAAAAACAGTTATCACTTGACAAAAACTGAAAATTCAGACACTTCCTTAAAGTTGAATTTGAGCTAGAGCTGTTGTATTGGGTTGGATTAGATTGCCCAGGAATTCATAATGATAGCCATTTATATAAATGCAGCACAAAAGCACTGAAATCACTGGAGCAAGAATAACAATCAAAAAGTCTGAGTGAGCAGAGTGAGTTTTGTGTTTTCGCTCCTCGGCTGGTTGGTCTTGGTTGGCTGCTGACTTCCAGAGGAAAAGGTGAAGAAGGAGGTTGTGCTGTGGGCAGTTTTCAGACTGTGTCGTGAGGTTTTGTCGCAGGTTTTTACCTCTGACAGCGTGTTTGACCAGTATGTCGAGCCTGTGAGGAATTTAGCTGAAGCATGCTGACGCTTGACACAGTGTCCTCTCTGTTTGTCAGTTTCTGCAGTGAGTCACTTGATGCAGCCTGGAGACACAGTAAAAAAGGATAATTTGCCATTTCAAACTTCTAAATGTGTTCAAGTATCCATCACTCAACAGATGATGAAAGAAATGTGATCTGAATGATTTCATATAAATGTCATAAAGAATAATCTGCAATACGCTGACTCTACAAAGGGTCCTCTCATGTTTCTAAACTTACAAGTTTGTTATGTACTTTGTTAACTGATATGTTGTAAACAGGACTTTTAAACGCATTATGACCGCTCCCTTATGAGTAAATGCTAGCTTTTATAAACTGAATTCATTTCACTTTAATGACATTTAAAGGGTTCCGATTTTTAACAGCCCCTATGGGAGATGTGCTTTTAAATTGCAGTTTATGGAGTCATGAGAAGGTTAAAAAAGTTAAAAGTATAAAAAAATTAAATTAGAAACAGAAATGTGTGACAAAACAATGCTGAAAAATAGAGAGAAAATAAAGTTTTAAGAACAAGGAAGTGTAGCCAGATGAAAGCTTAAATATTGAACTATTTTTATCTGCAGATCCATAAATCCTGTCCGTATATATTTGACCTGTACAGATACATATATCCTGTACTGCCCACAAGATGAGGCATTTATCATGTGCATGTAAAGGCAGCTCACTTTAAACAACAGGCTCCAACGTGTCAGTTTCACGGAAATATTTTGAAATGTCAGGAATTGGCGGGGAAAAAAAGTACATTTCAGTGCTTTTGAGGGACAGGTGAGGGGGAGCAAAACAGCACTTTTCGAACAGTGCCAGTTTCATTCTTTTCATTCAAAAGTTTCTGAAAAGAAGGGAAAAAAACTGCATCAGTGAAAGGAAGTCAGCAGCCTCCACTCCAGCTGAATGAATTCATCGCTTCAATAACCAGCCCGTCAGCGTGGAGGCAGATCTGGGCTTCCAGAGGCTCATGATGTCCTTCGAGTGTCTCCAGAAGCTTCTGTCGAATGCTGCTCATTTCAGCTCCACAACAGACATCTGGACATCAGGTTTAGGTCCTGAGAGTATGCTGAGCTTCACCCAGTAGGCTAAGAACAGTCTACAGGTTATTTCTTAAATGTCATTACTGAATGTCTCCGAAGAAGAAAAAAGAGTGTAAAGATGTCCAAACATGAAGTATTCATCCCTGAGGTGACATTTACTTATTCCTCAAATAATAGAACATATATATTATCAAACACTTTCAGGTCCAATCCAATCCAGGTTTATTTATAAAGCACATTTAAAAACAACAAAACGCTGACCAAAGTGCTGTACAGTAAAATTAAACAATAGAAACAGACAATGAACACGAACAATAAAACAAAGGCACAGGAGCACATTAAAAACAGGGGGGCATAGATGGTTCAGTAAAAACATGATTTAAAAGGCGAAGTTCTCAGGAGTTAAAAGCCAGGGAGTAAAAGAGCGTTTTCAAATGTGATTTCAAAACAGGCAGTGAGCGGGACAGTCGGACATATAGGGGAAGAGCACTCCAGAGCTTGGGAGCAGCAACGGAAAAAGCCGGTCACCCCTGAACTTTAATCTTGACCTTGGGACAGTCAGAAGGCACTGGTCAGAGGATCTGAGAGTCCGAGGTGAAATATATAAAAAGGAGCAAGCCTGTTTAAAGATTTATAAGTCAATAACAAAATTTTAAAATCAGTCCTAAAACGCACAGGAAGCCCGTGAAGAGAGGCTGAAATAGGGGAAATGTGGTCATCTTTACGGCACTTGACAGTAACAGATAGATTTGATCCTGTCATTTAATGTGTTATCATGAAAGAGGACATTGACATTGTTTGACAGCAGCTACATTCACAAAGCTGCCAGCAGTGTCTGTACACCTGATTTGTTTATTTTATTTCCATAGGCCCAATGAGCCAAGAGCCAAGATAACAGCTGATGCAATTTATTTCCAAATGTCATTTCTAGGCCTCCAGATTTAATCTCCAGATGACATCCTAAAAAGTTAATTATGATAGTGCCAGATATGAACATTTCTATTGATATTGATGGGCCAAAAAGGTGTCACATAATGACTGCTTACATATGCCAACATGTCAGCTGCAGGGACACAGTTTCAAATGTCAGCATATCGGAAAATCGCTTCAACATTTTGTGCATTTTGAATCTCTCCTAACCGTGTGTTTTGTCCCTCTGCAGGAGAAGTATGAGACGCAGCACTCAGAGGCATACCGTCAGATCTCCACCCTGGAGGGAGACCTCGCCGAAACCACGGCCATCAGAGACCAGCTTCACAAATACATCAGAGAGCTGGAGCAGGCAAATGATGATCTGGAGAGAACGAAGAGGTCAGAGGTCACTGAAACTAGTCAAAGTTCAGGCCTGACAATGTTTCCTGGGCCTCTTAAAAACAACTTTTCCCAATACAAGTTTTACAGTGTAATTTACGCAAGTAAAAATTAACTCTCAAGGTCTTCAGCCCCCTTTGTTGATTCTGTGAACTCCATCTAATGTCATATGGGATCATCCACAACATTCAATCCTTCATTAAAATGACATTAGAAGTTAAATTTCATGAGGAGAAAATACCATAACACCAAACTAAAAATCCACTTTAAGCTACTGTGAGAAGTTTTGAACAGGTAGTCAAACCGTTTGAAATTCCATGGAACAGGAACTTTTTGATTTAGACCAAAAGTTTTGAGTTCTTGTGTCTTATTGTACCCATCAAAGGTTAGGAAGTATAAAGGTATAATCACTAAAATGAACGTGACAGTAACAAGACTGCTAATTGATATGACTCGGTCTATTCCCTGATTCCCCTGGGTCCTAAAGCCCCCCCAACAATCTATCTTTTTTTTTGTGTCCAGGGCGACCATCATGTCTCTGGAGGACTTTGAGCAAAGGATGAACCAGGTCATCGAGAGGAACGCCTTCCTGGAGAGCGAGTTAGACGAGAAAGAGAATCTGCTGGAGTCAGTTCAGAGGCTGAAGGACGAGGCCAGAGGTAGAGCTTAACTCTGGAGTGTGTCGGTGTGATCTGGCTGAGTGGAAACGTGATGCTCGGTGGTAAAACTGGCTGTATTTGTTTTGTGTGTCAGATCTGAGACAGGAGCTGGCGGTGCGGCAGAAGCAGCAGGTCCAGGATAGGAAGCCGTCTCTAACCTCAGCAGTCAAAGAGCCCTCCCCCACCGCCGCCTCGTCCTCAGCTGGTTTACCCACCCCACCGCTCACCCCCCCAGACAAAAGACCGGAGGACAAAAACATGTCCTCGTCCTCTAACCAGCCTGCCCCCTCTGCCACCAACACACCGTCCAGACCTGCAGCCTCAGCAGAGTCCTTCACCACACCGCTGCCGTCCATCAGCAGAGGTCAGTTCATGGTCGATGTGATTGATATCTTTGAAAAAAACAAAAACTCACAAAAATATGTTTATAACAGTTTTTATCACAGAAGTCTTTTAGTACAAACAGGGCGAAATGTTCCAGATTTTCATCGTTACATCACAGTCACCTCGATTATTAGCGAATTAATCAGTTAATCATTTTCCCTGCAGCTGACAGCCTCTCAGGGACTCCTCTCACCACATCGGCGAGAATCTCAGCCCTGAACATCGTCGGGGAGCTGCTGAGAAAAGTCGGGGTAAACACCAACAGATTCCTCTCTTGTGTTTCAGCCCTCCGGGTTCCCATCAGCTGCTGCTCTTACATCATGTGTGGCTGCAGGGAGGTTCTGGTTTTTACTCTCAGAAGCGTACTATTCCTGCTCTGTTGCATAAGAGTTTATTCTTTTATTTTTAGTCAACTTCATGTCAAGACAACTTTGTATGCATAGCACATATAAAATAACCAAAGCTGACCAAAGTGCTGTGCAAAGTAGAAAAGGTACAACCCCAATTCTGTGAACATGATCGCTGGGTAAATTGTTGATTAAAAACAGGACTGTGTGGTTTGCCAATTTTTAAAAAAGTAGCAAAAAGACAATGAACTACATATTTAGTGATCGTGAGAACAAAACATGTCTTTACAGGGTTTTAGTGCAAACAGAGGAACTTACACATATAATTGAAACTGTTTTATTTTTCTAGAACTTAGAGTCCAAACTAGCATCCTGTCGGGAATACGTCCAAGAGCAGACGGTGAACCGCAGAGGACACACTGGCGCACCAGGGGTGACGCCGGGACAGAACAACTCAGAGACACATCCTACGAACGGCCTCTACAACAAAGGGTGAGGAGTCCTGCAGTGTTTGGAGTCATGCAGTGATGTTGTTCTGCCTGTTCACGGCTTGAAAATGAACTAATGATGAAAAATTTTCCCAGAATAATGAAAGCAAGAAGGTATCTGGTTGTTGATTTTGTTTGCCAATTTCTGGTCCCATCCTGACTTTGTGAACCTTTGAAGGTTTTCAGGCCTTAAAAGTCTAAAATGAGCCCTCTGACTGTGTTTTGTGTTTTTATTCTAAGGCTGGTGAAAAGGTTAGATTTCGGAGCAGGATCCAAACTGCTGTTGTGAAGAGCCTCAGACCTGCCCTCCTCCTCCATCCTTCTCTGAGCTGCTCGATGCTCCTTGTTCATCCAGCCCGGATGTGAAAAAACAGGAGCGACTGCACCATGAGTTTGCACATTAAAGGGACGCTCTGACTGCGAGCTGTGGAGATAAATCTGTTGGATGTGTTACGATGAAGACTGTCAGGATGTCCGATTCAGAGTTTCTGTTTGTTTGTGAGCAGGACTTCTTTCAGCACTCGCACTTAGCTTGAACTAACCTACTGAACTTCTTTGTGTTCGACCTTTCTTACCTTTTCTTTTTTTTGCTTGGGTAGGGTGGGGAGGGAATGTGAAGCAGATTTTAGAGACATACAGCCGGGGAAAAGGCTTCACCCCTTGATCTGCATGGTTTGATGTGATGATGGTGAGGAACTCAAGACTCTGAGTTCAGAGCCCTCTGCTGGAGCTTCTTGTGTAACATCCATCATACAGCTCTGTTATTAACAGTATTACTTGTCCTTGAACTCATCAGCTGTGATGCACTTCTGTCTGTCTCAATTTGAGATTCTTAGTTTGTTCCAAATTGTGGATGAGGTGAAAAAACACTTTCTCGATGATTTTACACAGTCACAGTGATGTTACGGAGATGACCGAACATAACCGCTTTTTCAAACTCCTCCAAATGTTGCTTCAAAGTAATTTGCAAAAGGATATAATAGCAAACATTCTGTTTTTCTCCTCGCCTGCACAGTCAGTACATTCACTACTCATTCTCCAACCTTACAACCCCCCAAATGTGGAAGTGAAGCAGCCTCTGTGTCATTTCTGCAGCCCTCCTACTAGACTAAAAAAGCTTCAGCATTGGAGTTTGCTCCTAATATGATGAATGGATGGGAGTGATTTGCATAGGCATGCATGTCAAACCTCTCCCTCTCCTTGAGCAATTTGTTTTCCTCCTGTGCTGCAGTGTTTTTTGCTGGAATGAAGATGTCAAAGGGTAGAGCCAGACACACCTACAGGTCTGTTTCTGGTTACAAAAACCAAAACGAATCTCTTATTCATTCTGCCTGGCCACTAAAACATTGAAGAAAAAAAGAGGATGATTTATATTTATCACAACGTACTACAGTTGGTGCAATATTGTTGTTTGCACCATCAGCAAGTCTTTAGCTGACAAAACATAATTTTAGGAATATATATATTTTTTGACATGTAGAGTCATATATTTAGTGTAAGTCTCAAAAATCGGTGACTTTCATCCTTCCCTCCTCATGATCAGATCACAGATAGAAACTGAGAGGCTGCAGATCCTCCAAAGAAACGGATCCTGTGATGATTTTTACAAATGAAATCAAAATCGTGATAAAACAAGACAAGGATTGTTTTTGGACATTTAACACAAAGTCAACCATGAACTCTGAGTAAAAGTTTGCCGGCTGTGTTCAAAGAGAGAGTTTACGGTCTTTATTTTGGACTGGGGTTGCATGAGGTCTTTATCACACATCTTAACACACCTGGAGGGTGTCTGACTCTGGTGGAGAGGGAAGGGTGATTGATTTAGAGTCTTTTATTCTCTCTTTCCTGTTCCCATTGTTTCAGTTCATGCTTGGCTCTTACACAATCTTATCCTGCAGTCACATCCACTTTAAGCTACTTCTAGCCAGAGTTGGGCCATCAACCATTTAAGAGTTTCCATTCAAAGCACTATTGTCACTGAAGTGTACACTGTGTTTGGGGAAACCTTCTAAGCTTTGCTGTCAGGAAGCCCATTCTGTTTTCACACTACTTTTGGATGCCACATGTACATCTTAGTCTGTCTGCACCAAATATACAACCCCACTCCAAAAAATCTGTGTGAACTTCTTAGACAAAATGAGAAATTGTGACAAAATCACTGCGATTCAGTGGTATTTAGATGCTTTGGGGTATCCATACTGGAAGAGAATCAACTCTTTTAACATCTTTATCTGGTTTCTGGATGAACATTTCTGGGTTATTTTGCCCTTAGATACTCTAAATTAAAACAACCCCTCTGCAAAGCACTGCTTCTGTCTTAATTTGGAATTAGATCATTTCATTAAACTGTTTTACTCATCTGTACTCTAAGTCTGCTCTGGTACTCAAACTGGAATAACTCTGAGAACAACCTGAAGGAACCATTTTCAGCTCTTCGACTAAAAGTTCCTGGTGATTTTGGTGGAAATGTGTTCTTTTACCTCTCAAATGAGACGTCTTTTTCTGCAGGGCTCGACTTCTGTCTTTGCAGGAGTGAAGCAGGAAAGGATTTGAAAACTTCAGTGAAGGCTTTTTGTGTTTTATGTTAAAAAAAAGTGTGTTATAGATGGAGTTGTAGTGTGTGTGTTTACGTTAAATTACTGTACCTTATGTAGGCTCACTAGGATGTAGGATGAGTTTGTAGGTTGTGCTTCAGCTGAATTTAGCTGCTCAGGGCGAGTTTAAAACAGAAACTGCAGGAAACGCGGGAAAAGAGTGGAACTTCTGTGTTTGCCTTTTTGCCTCAAGAGGAAGACTTACACGCTCACAAAGTATTAATGTTGTTGTTTTTTTTTGCTCTTTGTTTACTGTCAAGTGCTGCTTCTGTTTCTGAAAAGCAATAAAACTTGAAATGTTAAAAATAAGAGTCTATGATTTTATTCTTTAAGAAGGAACTGCGACGACACTTTAAAGGATGTATAAGTTTATTTAATGTCACTTCACAGGTTCATCACAGCATTCATTGTACTTCAACTCATTTTATTCTTACAGATTATATAAAATAGTGTATCTGTGAGGTTTAAATCACACCGCCTAATCTGGAGAATAAATATACAACAGCTGGGTTACAAATCAAAGTTTTACATTCTGTTTTAAAATGAATGGATATTTCTATATTTTTGAATCCTGTTTAAAGTGAAGAAGTGCAAAAAGGGAAAGAATAGCCTCAGATTGTACTTAAAAGGAGCAAAAATATTTCACTAAATTTTGGTTCATATGTTTTAATGTAAAAATATTGAATCTGCTGGACTTTGAATGTGACTTCTAGTTTCTACCACAAGGAGAGATATCAAGCGTCTTCTTCCTCATTTTTTCATCCTGAATAAAAAATATTGAATATCTCTATAACAATACAAACATTCATAGTGATTTTAAGCTCTCATCTTCAACATTGTCATAAAAAGAAAGCAAATACAGGTGACATTTAAACTTAAATTAGTTTGTTTATTGTTCATAGTGCAGCAGATCAAATATTTTCGTACCCAGATTCTTTAAAATATCCCGAATGATTGTGGAGTATAAATATATTTAAACTCTGTGACTCAGCTGTAACAAAACTTAGAGAAAATTAATGCAAAAAAAATAATAAAATTAAACCACCTAGAAGATTAATAAATATCTGTATATTAAATTAAAACACATATGTTATATTTATTGCAGAGGATTGACATATCTATTCTACTTTCCTTTTTCCTACATTAGCTTAACAAACTTGTTGAAGATTTGATTTTAGAAATTAAAATTGTAGATGTCCCTTTTGTAAATGTTTTGGTATCTTTATAAGTATTGTTATAAATTTTGAGCTGTCCTGATAGCGGCTACAGAGATTCATTAATGCGCTCAATTCTTGTTGAGTTACTCACAGCCACAGCTTGCTTTTGATTTCTATAGAGGTTAATATTTCATCTGCACCACCAGCTGAAAACTAAACTTCAAAGAATAAATACATAGGCATAAAACTTCCTTCTTTAACAGACAGCATGTTTCAGGAAATTATATATTTATATAATTTTAAATTATATATAATTATAATGTTCTGTCCCATTTGTTAACATGACAGAGGTAGACTGTAAGACCTGTACCACTGCCAGGCACCAGGGGGAGCAAGAGACGTTTTGGTTTCACCCTCTGGGAGCAGTTGTGCTGTCCATCCCATACTGTCTGATATGAACATTGCTGCCTTTTAAATCTGATTTAAAATATGTATTCAGTTTAAGATCACAGTGAAAACTTTCTGCATAACTTTTCAAAAATGTATCTTTAATATTTTTGCACTTTGAGAAGTTGAAACCAGCAGATGTTTTAAATTATTAATTGAGAAGTGTCTCTTTAAGGAGTAACAAATTAATAAATAAACTCTTTGAGGTAAAGAAATGTGGAAAAAATTTAAAGTTAATCATAATGAAACGATTTTAAAAGGATAGAAATATTGATTTTTTTTTTGTCATTGTCGGTTGATAAATCTATCGTCTCTGTTTAATCTAACATACTTTTGATATGTTTATGTGATTTTTAGGGTCAATTTGATGAAGAAGAACTCAGACAAAGAAAATCGCCAAAGAAAATAAACTGATGAATAAGTAATGATGGGAAAGTTAGGTATGATTTTGTCGAATTTATCAACAATTACTCTGAAGATTAAAATTGTTTTCAGTTAATTGGGTTCATATGACAAAAGGTGATTAATTCTTAATTTATAGATTTTTCCAGTATTTGCTCAAAAAATTGTTTTGCATCAATGGATAGTCTTTGTAAAATAAAAAAGATGTTAAAAATCGAAGAAATGAACCTGTTTAAAAAATTACAGAGATTGGTATACTTAAAAAGAAAATGTGGAAATGTCTCATAGTTGTGTTTTTATAATTTTTTGTGATTTTTCTTTCTTTTAACCCCAAAGTTGCTTTTACATTTTCTTTAAGAGACATTAAATTTTTCTGGTTAGTTTTTTCAGGGTGCCATGCTTTAGCGAAGGTTTACATAGATGAAAAGTGTTGAAGAATTTCTGTAACAGACCCTTGTCCCAGCTGAATCCTATTCTACATCCCTTGTCTCCCTCTACTCGTCCGGCAGGTACTCCTCTGTGCGGTTCTCCATTTGGGGGCTGTAGGCACGAGGAGATGGGGACCGCGGCTCCTCCTCATGTAGCTCCACTGAGTTCTCCTTGATGGTGCTCCTCCTGCTGATGCTCCCTCCCAGCCCCAGGCTTCTCATCCCTCCACCACTGCTCCGAGGGCTGGGGCTGCTGAAAGACACATCCCCGCCGCTGCCGCCACCACGCCTGGGAATACCCGAGGAGCAGCACCAGGAGGAAGAGAAAGAGAGGAGGAAGAGGAGGGTCAGAAGGAGGTGCAGGACAGAGGAAGAACAGAGAGCAGCTTGTTGCAAAAGTGAGATTGTTTTCAAAAGCCCCTGAATGCTGAAAAGCAGGTGTAAACTGGAGAGGTTTAAGGACAGTGATGAAGAAATGAGAGTAAAAAAGCTTGATGAGTAAGAGGAGAACATTCCCAGGAGGCTTTGAGGACAGTTTGCAGGTCAGAGGTGTCTGAGGAAAAAGTGTGAAGCAAGAAATAAAAAGAGGAAGAGGACATTTGAAATCATGAATACATACATTTTCAGTAATTTGACCAATCTCTCCATTACTGGGATTTAAACTAGAATTTCAAGAGCAAGTTTCTCAAAGACTTTGTTACTTACCAATGACTCTATTGAAAAATAAAAACAAATAAAAACCATCAACAATCCCCTAAAACATAAATCAAACAAAAGATTCTGAAACATTTCTATTATAAACCCCGTATATTCAAGTTTTCCCCAAAATGTGAAACTCCAGAATTCTTGTTTCCTGAAAAAAATCTTTAAACATGTATCCAGCTTGTTTGTTAAGTTCACATAACTCTGTATCGCAATGTTTTAATGATGTTTTCTAATTTTATTTCTGTGTCAGGTTGTATTGCAACTTTGTTCTCCAATAAAGATTACCAGAAGAGGGGATAAAAAAGAGAGAGAGAAAGAAAGAAAGAAAGAAAGAAAGAAAGAAAGAAAGAAAGAAAGAAAGAAAGAAAGAAAGAAAGAAAGAAAGAAAAAAATGTGTAAAAAAAAAAGGTAAAAAAGGTAGACAACACATCACATCAGAATGAAAACAGATTAGAAGATGAGGAGCTGTGAGGTACAAATAAACAAACAAAATTAAAAATAAATAAGTAAATAAAGTAAACGTGATAAAAGAAAGTATGTTAGGGGATCAAATGAAGACTTGCGAACAAATAACTCAAACAAAATCATTAGAATACAACTTTTTAAAGAAGTCAATACATTAAAGTTAAAAAGTAGCTAAAAGGTAAATTTACACAAAAGCAAGTCTGCTAAAGTGAGTTTTTCAGAAGTGATTAAAAAGATGACGAACGACCTGTCCTTACCTCAGTTTGCTCCTGAGTGAACTTATCTCCCTGTTCATGGTGTCGTTGGCCTCGCTCGCCTCCTCCAGCTCCCTCTGCAGTTTCCTTCGAGCTGCTGCCATGCGCTGAGCCTCCTCCTCGGCCTCCTCCAGCTGATGCTTCAGCTGCTTCACCCGAATATTGCCTTTCTCTGCCTGAATGGAGCAAACGGAGAGAAAAAGTAGGTGAAAAAAAAGCTCAGCGAATTCCCTTGTTGTGTTTGCATGTCAAACAGAATTACCTGGTCTTTGTACTGCTGCGCCTGCTTCCTCTCATCCTCCACTTGGATGCTCAAATCCTTCAGCTTCTTCTCTTTCTGGCGCAGATTCTTGCCGGTGACCTGACGCTCTCTGCCGAACATAAAAATCACAAAGTCACTTTTAGAGCTGCTCAGAGCTTTTTTCTTCCAGTTTATTATCCTCCGTCATGCAGTGTTACCTGCTCTCCATCTCCAGCTGCTCCTCCACCTCTCTCAGCTTGGCCTCCAGGGCAGCGATGGCGGATTTGAGTTTGGAGCGGCCCTGTCCTTCAATCTCCTGCAGTTTGACCTTCAACTCTCGGTTCTGTCTCTCCAGCTGCTGCCGGGATCCTTCTTTACTCTGAGAGGTGGACCTCTCTGTTGTGAGCTCTGCACCCAGCTGCTCCACCTGCACAAAGAGGTCAGGACCAGGTAACACTCAGAGAAGGAAATGCAACTACTATACTGGTAAAATAAAGCCCCTGTGACTTTCTCAAACACTAGTGGGGGCTTAGGTACCTTCTTTAGTCCTTGGTCTCTAAAAAATACAGATTTTTATGGATCTTTTCCGAGTCGTAGTTATGTGACTAACTCTAAAGGGTTTCTCCCCTTTAAGAAAGTTTGTGCAGAGGTTAAGAGGCTCATTATTTAACACTCTTGGCTCCTCCTTGTTTAAACCCTCTGTGGTGGATTTTAAACCCTCCATCTGGTCCACCCTGAACCTACCAGCTGCTGGCTCTTCCTCAGTCGGTCATTCAGGCTCTCCACATTAGCCTGCTCCTCCTCCAGCTCCTCCTCCAGCTGGTTGATCTTAGCATCTATGCGGCGTTTTTCATCAGAGGACATGGATCTGAACAGAGAGAAGATGAGGATGACATCTTTTTGCTTTTGTGGGTTGTCAAAGTGAATCGAAACCGATTTTAACTCTTTCATAATCGGTGAAAAACTCCTCTTTTAACTTGCTCAGATGTTTCTCCCGTTTGTCTTTTTGATAGCTAAAACATAAATGTTGATAATATACCACACTCACTTTCCAGAGGCGTTATTGGCGAGCTCTTCGGCCAGCTCGTCTCTTTCCGTCTCCGCCTGTTTACGAGCTCTCTCTGCTGCTGCTAACATCTGGATGGACAGAAAGAAGAAAGTTTAAGACGACCAAAAACACAGATGTAAAAGCAGTTATCAGAACAGATGCACCAAAAATAGACGATTAGATAGAGGTAATGATCGATAAACTGTATATATAGAATGGAGAAGCTGACTTTCTCATCTGGACTAAAAACAGATACTTTCAAAAACTACTGGAAAAACTGGGCTGATTTTGTGTCTCAGTTGAGAGCAGACTTTGGGCAGTAAGGGCACTGTGTATTGTAGATTATTGATTCCCTTAGTTCAGGCTACAAACTTATTTTACTTCACAGTTATTCTACAGTAACTTTACTTGAGAATTTATGTCTAACTCTGTCTCTGCTCCATGATGGAGGAGTATGCGAATATTCTATACAGTTGGAAATTTGTTCAATATATGTAAAATGAAATCAATAAAAAAGAAAAAAGAAAATTAATTTGAAAAAAAAGCAGTTTTCAGAGCAGAGCGAGACGGAAAACACCATCAGTAAGACAATAAAAAAAATGCAAATCTGCACTTTTTGTAGGCGAAACTGGGAGACTTTTTTACTACAATTGACAGAACTTCATAAAACAAAAACTGAAAAGAAAAATCTTGAAAAAGACCCAAAATGTTGTTTCTATCTTCTTTTACTGACTCTTCCTTTGCTGCTTAGATTAGCATGTAAAACAAAATAAGTTCAGTGAAAATCTGATCAAGATCTGCACCAAAGTTTAAGAAAAAACTAACAGATTCTCAAGTTCCTCTAAACAGCAGTCTTTCACTCACCTCTTGTAACTGGACAATATCAGCCTCTATAGCTTTGGACCTGCGCTCGGCCTCCCTGGCTGAGTTCTGGACCTCCTTATGGGTCGCACGTGAGTCCTCCAGCTCCCTCTGCAGGTCTTTCACCTGACCCTGTGAGGAGGAGCGCAGAGGACGTCAAGATGATTCAGCTTTACAGCTTTTACACTTGATGCATTACACAGGATATTTGTTCTCACCTGGATCTTGCGTAGCTGCTTGATGGCCTCGTCACGCCCCCTGCCGGTGGCCTCTAGCTGGTCCTCCATGTCCTTCAGTTCTCCCTCCAGTTTCTTCTTGCAGCCTGATGCCTGAGCCCGCTGCTTTTTCTCTTCCTCCAGTTCTGACTCCAGCTCACGCACCTGACAGAGACAGCATGAGGGACACGTAGCCTGGAAACTTTTCTCCAATCCTATTTAAATTTTTTTCATTTATTTTCTTTGATCTGGTGTTTATTCAGACAAAACCTGTAATGAGAAATATTATGTGACTCTGAATCTGTTGCTGCATTATTGCTGCCTCGTTTTAATCTAAAAATTTGTACAAATTTGTTTCAAAATTCTTGAAGGACAAGAGTTGTTGGTTGCATTCTACCTGTTTGAGAAGCTGCTTCCTCTTCTCCTCGCCCATCTCATCCCGAGCGTGCAGCTCCCTCTCGTGCTGAGCTCTCAGCGCCTGAGTGTTGACCTCCAGACGCAGCTTGGCGTCCTCGGCCACCTGCAGCTCATCCTCCAGCTCCTCCATCTGTATCCTCATCTCCTCCACCATGGCCTCAAGGCCTCGCTTGGCCTTCTCCAGGTCGTGGACCTATCGAGAGACGTTAACTCAGAGGTGATTTCATGCAGCCTTTTAAAAAAATTGATTGTACGTAATCAGAAGTTTGCTCTTACATTCTTTCCCACATCGTCCTTGGAGCTGATGAGGTCCTCCATCTCAGCTTTGAGGCTCTTCATGATCTTCTCTGCCTCCTCCAGAGCATCCTGGTTCTCCTCCAGCGCTCTGGACAGAGCGAGCACCTTTGTCTCCTTCTCCCTGGCTTCTGCTTCTGCTCGATCTCGCTCCTCTGCAGTTTTGCTGGAGACTGCGCGCTCCTCTGCCAACATCTGGCCATCACAGCAGATCACAGGAGAGAAGGGGTTAATGCAAGTTCAACAAGAAAGACAGGATGCTCTGCACACTTTTAGTTACGTATAAAGAGAGTGTCACCTGGTCGAACTTCTTCTGCTTCTTCTCCAAGTTGGACACCAGCTGCCTTTGGCCGTCCAGGTCCATGAGGACGTCCTCCAGCTCCTGCTGCATCCGACTCCGGCTCTTATCGAGCTTGTCGTAGGCTGAGGCCTTCTCCTCATACTCATTGTTTGATGCCTCCAGCTCCCTCTGCAGACGCTTCTTCCCCTCCTCCAACATCTCCACCATACCGGACATCTCATCCAGCTTCTTCTTGTAGTCCGACACCTGAGAGGATTTGAAACAGAGATTATGACTACTGTTTTCTGCATCGTTCTTTTGCTGAACTGTCAGATTTTGATTAGAGTTCAGGTTTCTTCATGTTTTTCACCTGCATGTTGAGGCTGGAGACCTGCCTTTCCACCCCGCGTTTGGACTCTGTCTCCTCTTCGAGCTGCTCGATCAGGCTGTTCCTTTCCTCCTCCATCTGTCGCAGGCGTCCAGACAGATTCAACTTCTGCCGGGTCTCCTCTGACAGCAGCTCCTGGAGGGAAAAAACATCAAACAAAATGACTTTGGTTTGGACTGAAATAACTAAAGATGAGCGAAATTTTGCACAGACAATCATCATCCTCTCTTGTGAGTGAACTACCTTGACAACAGTTGAGTTGTGTTAACATCTACAACTGATTTCTGATCTTCTTGCAGGATTTAAAGTTTCGGTTCAGGCAAGTAGTAAAGTTGGGTCTTCTATTGGATGAAATATTCAAGTGAGGTGTAAGAGGACTTTCTCACCTGTGTGTCTTGGAGCTGTGAGCTCAGAGTGGAGAGGTCTTTACTCAGCTTGATGTTCTTTCCTTCAGCTTCGTTTAGCACATTCGTCATGCTGTCCAGCTCCATCTGGAGAAAAATAGAACACAGATGTGCACTTCAGCACCAAAACTTCTGTTTTCTAGGCTTTTTTTTTATATTAAATGACAAATAACTGGAAAATATATTGAGTCCAGCAAAGATAAATGCTCACTGACACTTTTGTGAACAGTTTTTTAGTTATTATACAGAATATATTTACACAAAGTAGTTTGACTAATAAATAATACAATGATTAATGACCTTTTATCAAACAAAACAATTTTTCTTGCACCATTATAGTTTTATTTAGTGGTATAGTTCTTCCATGCTTTTCCAGGCTTGGAGAGCAGCAGCTGTAGAGTACAAGAGTACCAGAGTACCAGAGTACCCAAAGTACAAATCAGAGCAGGCATCAGTGACAATAGATATGACACTAGTGAAATCAGACAGTAAGAGGGAGGAGCTGGATTGGAGGCAGTGGGCCGAGCACAATTCCCCTCAATTTCATGTGCAACCATGAAAAGCCAGTGTGGGAAGAGCAGCAGAAAAGACCCCACAGGATACAGAATAGAGCAGATACATATAACAGTAGAGGAGCGAGGTTGTGAAGCATTTTGCAGAGGAAGCAGGGAGGTAATCAGTTGTGCTGTTAGCTGATATGGGCCAGTGTTGGGATCAGATGCAGGCTGAGCTTGAATTTATTGCCTGCCTAAACTAACACCCTGCTTAATTCAAAGACTCACCGTCATCTTGGAGACTTTTTCCCCCAGCTCTGTTTTCTGCCTCTCGCTATCCTGGAAGCGTGCGTGCAGTTCATTAAGCTGGCCCTCTACCTTCTTCTTCTTGTGCTCCACATCCTGTTTGGCGCTGGCAAGGGATCTCAGGTCAGCGCTCAGATCTGCAGACTCTTTCTCCAGAGCCTGCTTGGCTTTCTCCAAACCAGCTCTCACCTGCACAGGGAGACACGGTGATTCATCAACAATACAATATCTGTTTTGCTAATAATAAGTGCATAGATACTGATCTTTGAGGGTGTTTTACCCTCTTGCCCTGCTCCAGCTGCTCATTGAGCTCCTCCACCGCCTGGCTGTGTTTCTGTCTCAGGTCCTGGATTTGGGCCTCATGGCTCCGTCCTTCTTCCTCCATGGCTTTCTTCAGCATGGCCACCTCCTGCTCACGCTTTGCCCTACCCATTAGATGAAACATCACATCAAAACTCAACATATCCAACATTAATAGCAGCCTGAAACCTAAGCTAACAAACTGAAAAGTCAACCTGTATGCAGATGATAATGATGTTTACCATTCTACACTCTAAAAAGTCAAAGATTATGTTGGTAAGTTAAGGGTTTCCTCAAATGTTGGCTACATCGGGTTTACAGACCGTAGCTCCTGCTGGGCGGCAGTGGTGTCCAGACTGTCCTCAAGCTCGGTGCGCAGAGCGTTCAGCTCCTCTCCAAGGTCTCGTCGTGCCGCCTCCACCTTTGCTCTGGCAGTCCTCTCTGCCTCCAAGTCCTCCTGCAGCTCTGAGATCACGACCTCCATCTCCCGAACTTTCTTTACCGCTGCTCCACGCTGGTTACTCTCTTCCTCCAGGCTGACATAGAACAGAAAAGTTTCTATTATAGCTTTCTTTAATTTTCAGGAGTTACTTTCCAGAAGCAGTAATGAATTTAAGAGCCAGCACTGGCTAAATCGCTGGTGTGATATTTTTCTGTCCAGCTATAATGTATGATGAAAACAACCTGTCTGAGGCGTTCCTCTTACCGGCCCTGTGTAGCTGCGAGCTCGTCTTCCTGAGAGGCCAGCTTGGTTTGAAGATCGGCATTTTGAGCCTGAAGGTCGCCATGCTGCTCCTGGAGGTCGGCAAGCTCTGCATCCACCTTCCTCTTGGCTTTCTCCATGTCCTGACGACCCTTTTCCTCCTTCTTCATACGCACTGCAAACATGGAGGAGGAAGAAAGACTTTCATTTCAGGTTTCACTCTGCTTCACTAGGATACAAAGAAAAATATAATACACCTCAATTTATAATCTTGGATTTTCATAGAGAGCCTAATCAGGATAGTCTGTAGAGGAATCCTGATAATAAAGCAGTTGAGGTAGAGCCTGAGGAATGAGCGTCATTTGGCTGGAGGTCATCCATACCAGGTCAGGATGTACACTCTACATCCCCTATGCCCCCATTGCCATATGGAAAAGTGGAGAAAGAAGAGGGATCAAGGAGAAAAATGTCAGTAGAAAGATGTTAGAGGACTGAAAAGTCAAAGAATGGGTTCATTTCCACAAGGTAAGGATGAACGCTGTACCTCCCACATTTGTTGATAGATGAGGAAAGATGGAAAGACAAACAAGAAGGGGGATAAAGAGAGATGTTTAGAAGAGGATTGGACAAACAATGCGATGGCTAGATTTCTGTTTGGGCAAGACGTTACCCTCCTGATTTAGGATGTACGCTTTACCTCCCCCTCCCTTATTTGTGTAAGTCTGTAGAAGACAGAGAAGGCAGGGTGTTGATCTCTTGGGGCTAAGACTCACTCGCTCCTGTTAGGATCTACACTTCACCTTCCCTGGACACCCCCATTTACATTTGCTTTGGTAAGAACACACCTTTGTTGGGTAAGGATGTATACTCTACCTTCAACTACTCCTCAAACTAAATGAGGGAAGAGGGAAGCAAGAGAGCGAACAGAGGGAGGAATCTGTAAAGAAATGTAATATAAAAAGGACAAGGAAGGCGAAGCAGTGTCAAGAAGATTGGCCAGAACCCATTTGCATCAAGTATGGATGTACGCTGTAACTCCCACCACTCCCCCATTTTTCTAAACCATTAATTTTCTTTACCCATGATTTTATGACCTGCCCGTTTTATTCTTCAGCCTTTGTGAAGAACTTTGTTCATTGGGTTTTGAAAAAAGGGCTTCTTAATGAAAATGTAAATAAAATTATGCTGAAGAAATGAGCAGGATATTTTTCTTACACTCTAAATCAGAGATCATGGACTCATGTTTTGCTTTAAGTTTGGTCAGATTCTTCGACTTCTCCTCCTCTTCCGTCAAGTTAGAGCTCAAGTCAGCCATCCTCTCCTCCAGCAGCTGTCGCTCCTGCATAACGACACAAAATACAGTTTAAAAGCTGTACAGAGTACTAGCCGGGTAAAGTAAAACTGTTATTTTTTCTTTTACCTTGTGCAGTTTGTTATTCTGGTCCTCCATCAGAAGTGCATCTTCCTCCAGTTTCTTGACTTTTCCCTCCACAGCCACTTTCTCCAGCTGCAGCTTCTGCCTGGCGTCCTCTCCCTCTGCAATATGATTCTCCATCATCTGCAGGAAAACACCAGGTGAAGTCAAAGAAAATCAACAAAGCAAGGAAATGTCAGGGAGGCACCTTTTCTAATTGAAAAGAAAGGCTTTGCTTTTTCGAATTCATGATAATGTGCATCCACCTGTAACTGCTGCTCCATCTCCTTCCTCTCCTGCTGCACTGCGTTGCTGCGCTCCTCCTCCTCCTCTAGTCGGGCCTCCATCTCGTGCAGCACCTCCTCCAGTTCCTGCTTCTTCGCCTCCAGTCTCACCCTCATCTCTTCGGCCTCCACATACAGCTCAGTCTCAGCCTGAAGCTTCGTCTCCAGCTGGGTGCGCTCCTCTATCAGCTGTACATACAAATCTCTGTCGTTTCTGAAGCTTTACCTTTAGGATAAGTAATGAGGTTTAAAAATAAAAACAGGTTTCGCTCACCTGGGTGTGCTTCTGGGAGATATCTTTCAGCGCGGCCTCGCTCTTGGCTGCCACCTCTTTGGCTTCCTTAAGCTCTGCATCTTTCTGACCCATCTCCTCTTCCTGTCTTGTTACCTGCAGCAGGGGCTTCACCTGGATCGCAGGAATATATATCACACATCTCAGAATTTTTAAGGTGAAAGAAATTTCGTTTCATATAAGGAAACATTACTTGGGCTAACTTTTTTATTGTGTGTGAAAAACCAATACCATAACCGTATACTGTAGAAAATAAAAATAAAACTAGCATGCTGTTTTTATGCTGTTTTTTTTAACTGGTTTGAATCACAGGTTTTAAAGGATTTACTAACTATGAAATTCTACATTGAGTTTGTATGATGGTTTATTCTGAAGACCTTTTAATTGTATGGATATTAATGTTTATAGGTGCAGGTATGAGTCTGTGTAACCTTAGTAAAGAGTCTCCACCACTGCCAGTTTTTGAGTTTAAGGTAACAGGCAGCATTCCTCTGGATGACCTTCATGGCGCTGAGCTGCTGCTGACGTTTACTAAAAGCTCTAAAAACATGAAGAAAGAGAGATGTTAGCTTGTGTGAAACCTCATGTGAATCTCATGAGGCCAGGGGATGACTCATTTTTAACAGTTGGTCGTACTTTCGGGCAAGGAAGCCTCGAGCTTGTGCCTGAAAGGCGATGATGACGACGGTGAGTTTAAGGTCTCTCTCCTCCTCCAGCTGAGCCAGGACTCCAGTCCTGAAGAACATCTTACTCTGACCGATACGATACAGGTTCGTGTCCAGGTCCAGGTGCTTCACCTGAGGAAGACAGGACAAGCAGAAGTAAACAAGAGGAGGAAGACAAGAAACTGGTTAACAGTGTCATCAAAATCATTTTGAGTATTTCTGTGGACACAATATCCTGAAACTAATCCAGACTATTTTGGATAAAACTCACCATCAGACAGCACGCCTGCTTTCCATCCATGAAGCCCTTCGGGATGGCGTTTGCAGCTAGAATCTCGTATCTACCAAAAGAAAAAAAAAAACAGATAAACATTATATACAAGGCTACGTTTTTGTACCATCCTCTAGTGAACAAAGTGAGGAACTGCAACACTACATCTAATTTAATGAGAACTGTAGACTGTTAATTAAATGGACTCCATAAGTGTTCACTGACTGTGAAGCCCAAACAGTCAGAGCTCCTCCTGGTGACTGCCACTAATTTTTTCTCAAACATGGTGTCTGCTTGTCTACATAGAAGTGTTCATTTTTCTGAGAAGTTTAATTTCAGCTAGGTGTTTTATTTTGAAAATATCGATTGACAGCTCTGTTGCCAAATGCTGATTATTACAGATACTTTGGTTGGGTAACAGATACGTTTGTAAACTTATTGTTTCTGCCCCAGTTAAACTCTTTGTATTGCAAGTTTTCGCATCTTCATACTAAATCTACCTTATTGTATTAAAAAAAGGAAAACTTCAATAACTTACTTTTTCATGCATTGAGTATACTAATAGTTTGCATCATACTTATGAGTTATACTGATTTGTCTTCTTGTGTTGTTAAGTTTGAATCAGGTAAGCAGTTTTTTTTATATAATGTGCAACAAGGAGGTGTTTAAAAGGTCAAATTTTAATGTATGTTGTAAGATTTCCTCTCTTAAAATTCAAATATCTATTCATAAAGAGTGAAAATCATTCTGAATATGTTAAATTTGTGTTTTTACAGCTCCCTCACCTCTGTCTGAACTCCTGGAACACGATACGATTGGGGAATCCCTGTCTGCAGATCCTGATTCCCTCCAGCACACCGTTACACCTCAGCTGCTCCAGAACCAGGTTGGCGTCCATCTTTCCAGACTGTGACACAGCGACGGACCAACAAACACTGAATGCATGCACAAAACATTTCCTCTGCACTAAACTTTGACTCACAGCAGGTTTTAAAAGCTCTGCAGGTGACCCACCCTCTTCTCATGGTTGGGGATGATGCAGCGGACAAAGTTTGGCTGAGTGTTGTGCAGCGTGGTCATCAGTTTGCCCAGAGACTCTTTGTACAGCTGGCCCACGGTGCGAAACATGCCTTTCTTTGACTTGGTGGCTTGGGAACTCTCAGACATCTTCGTTATCGTTTCCAGACCCACCACTCGATCCGCTGATAAAAAAGAAAGGATTTATGAAGCACAAATTACTTAATTTTTACCAGATAAGAAGTCTGGAGAAACATGTGTTGACAGGTGATAGAGGACTGACCATCTTTCCACAGGTCCTGGATGAAGTTACTGGAGGAGTTGTTGAGCAGAGCAGTCACGTTGTCATTCAGAGGATCCATGTTTTTAGTCAGCCAGCTAGCCGCATTATAGTCCACCTGTATACACAGGAGTCAAATTATTTCTTTTCTTTTTTTTACTGAATAAGGTAGGGTACAACAGTTAAAACAACAGCAACAAAAATGCTGACACAGGCCAATAAACATAAACAAAGTGTTAAAACATACAGATGTTTCTTTCTTTCTTTCCTTAATTCTGTCTTTTTCCTGTTTCATTCTTTTTTCTTTATAAAGAAGACTTCATAAATACTTCATAAATAAATTTACTTTTGGAAAAAAAGCCCCAGTTATTCTCCAAAACCATTTTTTTAATCAAACAATAAAAAATAAAAAAAAACATTAATTCGATTGTTCAGCCGTTCAGGTTTCTGTGATGCTCACACTCAGACAAAAAGAGTTAATCTCACCTTCCCGGCGTAGTGTAAGACACTGAACATGAGTTTGTCTTTGTGTTGTTTGGGTTTGGAGAATTTCACATGGCCGGTGTGAGTGTTCAGCAGCTTATCCACAAAGGAGACGTCAGTGGCTTTGGGGAACCAGCACTCCTCATCCAGCAGGGCCAAGATACCAGGAGGGTTGTTCTGTGGAGGAGGACGATGGAGAACAAAAAGAATATAAAAATATGTTTGAATTTCTAACTTTGAGGGTTATAGCAAGGCCTAATTTTTAGGCACAAGTATTTCTTTAATTCTATGTTTGATGATCGAATCTACAAATTCGATATTGGATTGGTTTGATGGATTTGTCTGCTGGTTCTGACCGGCCTCTCGATGAGCTCAATGCAGGGCTGCAGGTCCAGGCCGAAGTCGATGAAGTTCCACTCGATGCCCTCCCTTTTGTACTCCTCCTGCTCCAGGATGAACATGGTGTGGTTGAAGAGCTGCTGCAGACGCTCGTTGGTGTAGTTAATGCAGAGCTGCTCAAAGGAATTATCCTGAGGCGCAGAAACATCCCAAAGATTAAAAAAAAAACACAAACTCCACCAAAAATCTTCAATTTATGTAGTAAGTGAGAGTTAACCTCAAAAATCTCAAAGCCGGCAATGTCCAGGATACCAAGGAAGGATGAAGACTGCCTCTTACTTTTGTCCAGCGTCCTGTTCACTCTGGCCAAAATCCAGCGAAACAGGCGCTCATACATCGCCTTAGCAAGAGCCTCGATCGCAAAATCAGCCTGAAGGAGGGTGAAGATGCAGTAAATATAAGGATTGTTTAACCTCACCACACACAACAAATATTTTGGGGTTCATAGGCGGGAGGACAAAGTAAAGTAAAGAATCATTAAATGGATTTGCTGAGGTACACTGCTGCAGAAGGCTGCCATAAAACAGACTTCAATGACTGCAATCACTGAGGGGACATTATAAAAGATGATCTGCTTTTCCTTATTTACATTTTGGAAGAATTCTTTTAGAAAGCCTTTATGTAATCTGTTGATGATGTTTTTTTTTCTTGTTACCTGCTGCTTAGTCTGTGCTTTCTGCACCACCTCTCTGCCCACTTTGATTCGAGGGGTGAGGATGGCACGGGTGAAGTCGGTGACGTTGATGCCCTGCAGGTGACACACCTTCTGAGCAGCTGGGGTTTACAGGTATCAGAAAGCAGTAGAAAGACAAGGTTAAGGGGAGTTTTTTTTTATTTTTTTAAAGTGCCTAAGTTGGAGGTATTTTAAATATTTACCTGTGTTGTCAGGCATGGTTGCCTGCTCACTGTTTCTCTCCTTCTCAAACTTGACGTTGCCAAGCTGGAGCACAGTGGACACCACCTTTAACATCCCTGCAGCAAGAAAAGGAATGCAATCAGATTAAAAACTGTGTTAATGCATGAATGGATGTTCAACAATATGGGATCTGTGTTACTTTTTAGAGCATATCAATATACTAGAACTAAAAAGCAAGAAAATGGTAGAACTTGAAATACAACAGATGTCACACTGAATTTATTTTCTTAAATTAAACCTTCATATTATACAGCATTTCTAATAAAGATTGTAGTAGTTCATTTTCACTGTGCCAAAAATGTCCCAAACTGAGACTCCAAAACTGAAAACTACCCGTGAGTATATTTTCAAGATAGTGTTTAAACAAAAGTGTGAGCTTTGAGAAGCTCCAAGCGGTTTGTACCCATTCTCTCCTCCTCAGTGAAGCCCATGATCTCCATGGCCTCCAAAGTCTCTAAAAACAGCTCGTTATCCTCTTGACCAGGGATCTCAACATGACCGGCCACTAGAAAGCGATAAGCGCTGAAGTCCTCCAGCAGGAGTTCCTCTGAACATACGCACAAAGAAACATGGTAAAATTTCTGATGATATGTTGAGAGAAAACAACCTGGAGAATCAGAAGAGGGTCAAGAGCAAAATATAATAGCTAAAACTGTGAATGTACTTTTACGACAAACAGTGTCTCTAAGCTTGGCTACTAGATGGAGCTTTTGGTTTAGTCCTCAAATTCAATTTGCGCACTCTAAATACGCACATCCTTACCTAAAACATCACTTGCTGTTTGCTTTGTTGGTAACAGATGAGCTATCACCCTCAAATTTAAAGTGTTGTGCCCTCTGAATTAACTTTACACTAAAAATATCCTCCACATAGTCTACCCATTAAAAAATTAATTGAAAACCACACTTTTGTCAAAGTGGTTTGTGTAAAATTTGGCGCCCCCTATGGACAAAGTAATTATTACATATCTCACTGCAGGTTAACGTTGACCCAATCAAAATACTGGCAAACTCCCATGGTATAAGATGCCATCTACCATCTGTGCTTGTTGACATCTAGCTTTAATGTGTTATGGCAGATGCCATTAAACAGAACTACAGACCCAGCTTGCATCTGGTGGCTTAGACACAGCGCATGATCAGCATTTAAGGCCTACAGCAACAATAAAATATCGGTTATTCCAGTACACAAAATTTCTAGTTCAAAGATTTGTCGTACTGGCTTCAATATAACTTTAGGTTTAAAAAAAGGAATTGGGATTTGGGAGTTTCTCACCTTTCATCTTGTCTTGGGCTCCAGCCACCATGTAATAAAAGATGTGAAAGGCTCTCTCTGTGTTAGCCTGTCGAATACAGCGAGACTTCTCCAGCAGGTCTGATGGGGTCAGGAGAGGGTTAAGAAGATAACTAAGTCTGGTTTCAGTTGCTATTTCAAGCATAGTGGGACATATTTACACCATCGTAGTTTAACAATCAATCTTAAAAATGGATACAGGTGTCAATATTGGCACCAACGATGAAACCAGTCACATCAAAGTTGAGCTTGATGAATTTTCCCTGTGGAGGGGTAAAAACAGTGTAAATCAATGGAATATTTGCAGAGTTGAAATGGTTTTGAGTAAGGTGTAAAAACGTACAAATCGAGAGGAGTTGTCGTTCTTGATGGTTTTGGCGTTTCCAAAGGCCTCCAGGATGGGGTTAGCCTGCAACAGCTGCTTCTCTAGCTCCCCCTTCAGTCAAAATTAAGGTTAAACAGCTGTTTTATACCCACTGTAGGTATCTTTTATTAAAGTATGTGCATTTAAACTTCATTTATCCAATTAGGGTTATTTTTAAACTTATCTTGGACAAATGCCAATAAAAATAAGTTTATACATTTCAATAACTACAGATCAAGTCTCTTCACTAGTAGAGATAACAAACTGTTTTACAAGTTGACCTCAGACTAAGAATGGGAACTGAAACCATGTACTGGTACCAACTAATTCAAGCCATTGACGTCATTTGCCTCCATGCTTAATGGTTCCTGTACTGATGCTTTTCACTTAGTTGGATTGACAGTTGGAGTGACAAAAAAACCCAACTTTTTAATCACTCAGAAATGTAAGCAAAATTTTGACCATTCAGATTCATGATAAGAGATATTTATACTTACGTAGGCCAGTTGCTGCTGCTGCTGCTGCTGTGTCTGCTGCCCTGCCTGCAGATAGAAACATGAACACAAACTCTCGGAAAACTGAACACATCAAACTCAACTTCTCTGACTCTCTTTAATAATTCCCAAAATCGGCTCCTTGCGTGACAGCTTTAAATGCAGCGGAGCGGCGGGGCCAGAGGTCAGGCATCAACAAATCTTAGCAAAACAAACCACGGATAGTTCTCCACTGGATTATTTTCACCTGATTTCACAGCTGCTGTGCCTTTTAATCTGTGTTATGAGGGATTTGTGAAGGAGATGAGAAGACTTTGCACAATGATCTCCTGTACTTGGAATATTTTCCATCAAAGCATGCTTTATTGATGCTACATCATCCACACAGCAACTGAAATTAAACTCTGTCAGTGCATTTATGATGAAATTATCTAACAATGCAAATCAACACTGTAATTAAACAACAGTACACAAGTCCATGATTAAATTACTTCATCATCTACTTATTCTTACCCATGAAAACCCTTTAATAACTTTCCAAAGTAATGATGTTTTTATCATAATTGATACTGTTTGTGCCTCCAGATCATCAATTTTAAGATTTTGATATTTTGCGGCATCTTAATCCAGATTGTTATGTGCTTAGAGTCTTATCTTAGTCTATGTCTGATCTGACTTTGATGCAGAACAGGAGGCCATAACCTTTATAGTTGAAAGTCATCCACTTAAATTTGCTTAAAAAAAAACAAAACATGCTGCATATATAATTAAGTCAAAATAAAAAAAAAAACAAAACCTGTGCTAGTGACATCTTTTGAGATTTAAAGTTATAAGTTATGATCAAATGTTTGAACTTTTTTCACTCACTGGAGCTGCTGCGTCCTTCTTGCCCTTGTGTGAGGAGGCGACAACAGCCAGGTACTGAATCACCTTCTTGGTGTTTTCTGTCTTTCCTGCTCCAGACTCACCTCTAAAACACAGAGGTGAGGAGACCGTGGAAAAATATGAGGAAAAATGTCAGTGAGAGAAGAGACACGGAGATGACAGACCAAAGTTTTATTCAAGGTAGATGAAAAAACTACTTTTATGTTTAGACCATCTGAGTACACAAGAAGATGTTTTCAGTTTTGAGAACCCAGACATTTCTGTTGTGTTATCTTTTAATTTTACAAACAAAAAGATTCATAATTTCAAAATGTGTTATCAGGGTTTTATCAGGGTTGTAAACTGTGTGTGTGCATGTGCGCGTGAATGCACAAAAGCCTGCTGAGGCGTTATGGAAAATGGTGAAATACTGTATGTTTTGACTCACGTGCAGAGGATGGACTGATCCTCACGATCTGGGGAGAGAAAGAGAGAAAGAGAGAAAGAGAGAATAAGAGAGGTTTAAATGGATGTGAAAGCTAAGTGGGCTGAACTCTTTAGCTGAATCAGACCAAACATGAACTCTGAGGTGGTGCTGCTCTTCACTCAGGCACGAGAGCAAAAACAGCTCAGAAATCTCGTTCAGAGGAAGATTAGCTTCCATCAGTCATATCGTCTAAAAATAGCAGGTGGATGCAGAACTCCATCTCTGTAATCTTGTCTCCTTGCTCCATGTATGGCCATCCTGGGACTGAATGGAAAGTGTGGAGTTGGTCTGAGGTCACTGGTAGACTGTCCAGGGAGCAGACGGCACGCTCCAAGGCTTAAAACATGGTGTCTTTCTGATACTGTTTTCCTCTTATTCAGTAACTTAGTGAGTGGTTGTGAGCTTGCTGCTTTAGTGAACATTAGATTTATTTACCATGAACCTCCTGATGAAAAACACCGAGCTTTGCCTCATGTTATGGAGATCTGATGTGCTTTTAATCAGCCTCTTAAAATATGTCTCTGTTCTCCAAGTTATGTATAGAATAAAAGTAGCCACTTTTAATGTTTATCTTAAGAGATATAATGCCACAAATGCACCAGATCCAACTTCTCAATTCTAAACATTTGCTTTTTTTAACACTATGACAGCAAAAAAAGCGTTTTTGTGGCATTTTCAACTTTTTTTCTGAGTTTAAACAAATAAAAAACATGCAAAAAACAACAAGTACCTCAAAACAGCGAGAAAACAGCAACTTTTAAATGCTAATTTTTTTAATCAAACCAACCTCTACTCCAATATCCACTACCAGCTGGTTAGATAATATAATTATTTCAAATAGACTGACAATAACTCCAAATGAGTGAATTACCTTGCATCATATTCCTGTAGGCGTTATCTGTGATGGAGTAGATGTGTGGTGGCACCTCATGACGCTTCTTTCCCTTGTACATCTCAATGATCTTTTCAGAGTAGATGGGCAGCATCTTGTAGGGGTTCACCACCACACAGAACAGACCAGAGTACGTCTGAAATAAACACAATATTTACATCCATAGTGTCAGAGCAAACAACAACACTAAAGCTTTTGATACAAGAAATTTTAATAATCCATTTTAATTGAAATTGCAGGACTGTATCATCCTCCTCAGGGTCACAGCTCATATTCAGCCTTAGTCATGTTTTTTATGCTGCTCAGACACCGTCTGCTCATATAAGGACTGGAGGGACTGAAGGTCTTAACCTCCTGTGATCCTCATGGCAGTCAGCATTAGATGCACCAGCTCGGTTTTTAATTTAACATCCCCAACCTTATTAGACTTTGTAGGACTGACTGAAAAAATAAAAACATAAGCTGTTGATCCTGCCATCTTGTCCAGAATCCACATAAAGTGCACAGTATCTGTACAGAGAGATTAGACAAGGACCCAACCATCTGAACTTCATAAGGAGATGTAAGACACTACATTCCACCTGCTGACCGTGATAGGACATAACGTACTTCTGCTAATGTTTAGGTTTGCACAAGTGTCGAAAAGTGCTTTAGGGCATCTGTTCAGAATTCAGGCATAATCAGCATTTAAGTTCATCATCTTATTTTCTATTTTGTATAAAGAGATGTATTCCATGTTTAATTTCAGTGTAAACTTCCTTTAATAATCTGAATTATTTTACAACTGGATCATCTAAAGCCTTGAGTATAAGACAGAAAAGTTACTTTACAAATGAAGAAATTCTGTTTGATAACTAAAAATATCCCTCTTGTATTTTAGGGTGATATAAAGCTGAAGGTTAATGTAAGTTAAGACTCTTATCACAGTAGAAAACTTGACTTTTTGCATGTAACTTATCTCATTAAACTGAAACTAGGTCTGATATCTGATCTGAGTGCTCACCCTTTTGTGTTTTATTTTTCTCAATCAAATGATCAGTGTTCACCTGCAGTAGCTTCATCTGGCTTTAACCTGACTTGGATTGACAGCGCACACCCATAAACTGTTTACAGAATTCACAGTGTCACTTCATTTCTGTTCTGTGGTAAATGGCATGTTGATCTGGTGCAGCAAAGGCATATGCATAAGTGACCCAGCAAGTAGGCCTAAAAGAAGAGGTCACATCCTGTCTTTAAACCAAAACACACATTAAACTTGCTGGTAAAATAAGAACTGACAGAGAATATGTTTGAGAAAAATTTATTTGACATGCATCTTAAGTTTATGGAGTGACCCATGTCCCATTTGTTAACATGAAGGAGGCGGGGTTAATGATCTTTACTGCAGCCTCTTAATAAGGAGAGCTCTAAATGTTTTCATTCTGTTGGCGGTAAACAATCACTTTAATATTCTGTAAAGGCTCAAATTGATTGTCAAATTAAATGTCATATAGCAGTTCTTCACTTGTCCACAGGGGGGCAGCATTAAATATCAAAAGTTAAGTTTAACAACCTAACTTATCAACTGAAACAATTAGCTATGATCATTATGACATTGATTTAAAAATTAATCATTGCAGAGATTCTGAGCTCCCCCCATGCTGTGACCTGTCAGTAGCGATGGTTTTATGTGAAATCAAATAGTGTTTTTTGTTTGGTTGAACGGGCATGATATTAGTCCCTGCTGGCTCCACCCACAGATTATTTTTGTCTTGGCTTCAATATGTGTAATCAGCACAGTATGTCAGCACTGTTGTGGAAATACTTTGACCCAACTCAACTGTAAAAACTGAAGCCAGTCCGACACTGTAGCATCTTGTAGTTAATGCCCAGTACCTCCTCTTCCTAAAATAAATAGCATCTCAGTCTTTCTCTCTCTCTCTCATTCACCTTGTGTTTGTTTGTGTATTTGTGTGTGACTCACATAGATGAGGCTGGAGAAGTATCTATCTTTCAGGTTGTGCAGTACGGAGGCTTCGTTGAGGAAGGTGAGAGCGGCCATGTCTTCCACCTTGCTGAACTTGGGCGGGTTCATCTTCTGGATGTCGTCTTTGTTCACCGTCACCTTTTGACCGTTTGAGAGCTCCACCAGCACCTGGAGCAGAAAATCTGCTTTACCATGAGGCTTTGTGTATAAGACTTTAAGTTTCTCATGAGTTAAAATAAAGACTCTTTGTATTTACATTATTTTGTTTAAAATGAGCTGAAATGTTATTCAATGGGGTAACTATAGCCTTTGACAAGCCAAGATTGATTGAGTGTCTATAAACATAAAAGAAAGATTCCTCAAAGACTCAGTTTTTTCTTTTTCAAACAGTAAGATTTTGAAACCAGAAGCAACCATTGCAGTTCTCTTTTTGAAGCTACCAGCCAGTGATTTAACATTACTATGTCATTTGTCCATTACAATTACAATGTGTGCATATGCAGCAGCCACACTGCAGGAGGTGCAATGTCATTCTTGAGACTTAAAACATGTCATGCTGTCACCATTTTTTTGTTTTCTGAAATGAATCTGCAATAAAGATCTCTCTGATTTCACATCAGTGCTGCCCCTCAACTTGACCACATTAAAAACCGACAACGCTGTGTGCAGTATCTGTGCATCATATGAACATAAAATGTAAGCTTCAAAGCCACTCATACAGTCAGATAGGTGTTTTTTCAGTGCACTGAGTTCAGTTGTCAAAGTATAAAGATACAAAATGTTTAAGTCATGTGACCAGAGCAGCATGCGCTGATAGGAAGCACACTCCAGCATCATCTATGACTGACATCAACAGGCGGTTCATTACCTCATCACCTTTCTCCTCCTTCACACTGGCCGCCTCAAACCCCTCCCTCTCTGATGGTATCCACACCATCTTCTTGGCCGACCAATCCGCCTGCGCCACCCCGCTATTACGGAAATCATTTTCCAGGAAGAGGTACTTGTCCTCCTCAGCCATGTTAGAAGTGTCGCCGTCGGCAGTTAAATCGATCTCAGGAGCGCTGTCTGTGTCTGAGTTGGTCTCTGGTACCTCAGAGGTGATGGAGCTGTGATCCTGGGTGTCAGCAGTGACTTGGTCGACCTCTGAGGGGTTGAAGGGAGTTGGGTTGACCTCTGACCTCTGTTCTACCTCTGGCCTGTGGACAAAACAGACAACAGAACGAGACACCCAGTTACCAATAACCGGGTTAAACCCACAAATAAAATGGCAAGTCTCTCATCAACATTAACAGTTTCTTCAGTCGTTGATAACATTGTCACCTCAATAGTGAACAACTTTTTTTCACGTAGCAGATTTTCTAAGACATGACAGCTCTAGTTAACATCTACTGAATTTCAAACCCTGACAATTATATCACTTTTCAGACTCTGATTTCTTCGTGGTCAAATTCTTTGGAAACAAAAACAAACAACCCACAACTGCCACAACTTTGATCCAATTATTAACCTTCAAAGTTCATGCTGTAAATTCATGAGCATCACTTATTTGTAACAACCTTTCCTGAAGCAGCTCTTGTCACACAGAACATTGTCTGGAAAAACTTGTCCTGCTATTAGCTCAGTTTCTGTCATACTACTTTTTTTTTACATGCATGGATTGAAAAATTTCCAATATTTACATCGCTGAGCTGGATTTTCCGATTATTACAATTTTCTTTCGTCCATCTTTAGAGTCAGAGAAAACTTTAAGACACAGATTTAATAGCAAGCGACTGATTTACTCAAATTCCTTTGTAAACACAATAAATAAGATCTTGAACTAAATTTGGATGCATGGTAAACAACTGATACTATCTGGCACTAAGTGGAGGAGAAAAAAATATCAGACCCAACTCCATCAAAGTGATTGTGAAAGTGTTTTAACAGCTAACCACAATAAAACCCACACATTTGCTCATGTTTTGTCGTTGTTTCTTCCCCCTTATCTTTCTTCCACCTTAGCATCACCGTGATCATTTACATTTAATGAGTGAACTGCCTGATTAACTACAGCTGATAACGACCTCGACAGACTTTGCAAAGAGCTACTTACTGACTTATCCTTGTCTCTGCCTCTTCATACGGGTCACAAAGCTGCTTTGACCTCCTATTGAGCAGCATGCAATAAAACATGAAAAGCAGCACACAGATAACCCCTATAATCAAACAACTGAGCTGCCATGCTGGAATGCCCATGTTTGGCTAACCCTTTTTGCTCCTGGTAAGCCTGGGAGCCCAAAGAGGGATGCTAGGGACTTAGCGGGCATACTACCTTATAAGGTTCAGCTCCTGTGTCCAGCCAAGCTTACCGTTTACACCAAAATTGTGACATGTCACAAGGTGCATCCATGTGTGGCCTTTGGCACACAGGCTAAACAGAACAGGTATGTAAGCAAGAATTAAAATCCTGCAGCTCAAATGAGGATTTCTGACATATTAACTGAGATGAGTCATGTCTTAAGTCAGCCAGAAACCTGCAAAAATAGTTAGAATGCCATTCGGGGTTCTTTAAAGCTTCCCCCATCACCTGCATTCAGGATAAACCAGGATACTGGTTTTAATGTACACTTAAAACTGTTTCAAAAAATTCTCTTTTTACCTCTTAAGGAGAAAATATTTAAATTCTAGGTCATAAAGACGCAGACACACGATTTATAGTTATTAACAAACTTCTTAGAGGTTGTTCTCTAAAGTTATTTTGCATATTTAAGTGAAAGAAATAGACTTTGTGACTGGTTTAACTGGTTGTTTCTGCAGAATTTCTTGCATTAAACTAATCTAACTCTCTACCTACTTCTGTATTAAAGGTTTTGTTTACTTTAGGTGCAATTAGAGTTATCAGAAGTCTTTTTACTTACTGTGCAGTGCGTTAGCCCTCAGTGCAGGATGGAGGCTCAACTCCAGGGAAGTAAGACTATCATGTCAGGTGGTTGAAGTGATGGAGATGATGAGGTTGAGGTCCTTCCTCCTGTCGCACTATTTAAACTTCTCGGCAACACCTGGGGGTGGAGCAGCTCATGCAGAACCGCCTCATTTCCATAGTTGGCAGCTGCCATGGGCAACTTTCATCCAGCCTGATACAAAGAGAGGAGAGGTTTAGTTGTCCTGCCTTCAAATTAAGAGCTTTGACTTTGACAGATGAAGTTAAACAAAAATATCCAATATTTCTTCAGTTATGTTTGACCAGACACGCTGCTGCGCTCTGGATCATTTGCAGAGGTTTAAATGTGCATGTAGGGAGGCCTGCCAATAATAAGTTGCAGTAGTCAATGCATGATATTAAAAGAGCCTGTACCAAGAGCTGTGTTGCATGCTCTGTTAGGTAGGGTCTGATCCTCTTGATGTTATAGAGGGTAAATCGGCAGGACCGCACAATCGAGGCCACTTGAACCTTTAAGGTAAGCTGATCATCAATCATCACACCCAGATTTGGACAGACTCAGTAGGCATTAGTTCATTTGATCCAAACTGGATATTGATCTGTGGTTCCACAGCAGGAGGCTGGAATGATAATAAGCTTAGTTCTGGACTGGCTGAGCTGAAAGTGAGGTTCCCTCATCCATTTAGAAATATCAGCAATGCAGGATGACATCTGAGTTAAGAGAGTTTTGTCGTCTGGTGGCAAAGGATAGGAAAAACGGTGTGTCATTAACATAGCAGTGATAAGAAAAGCCATGGGAGCAGATGATTGCATCAAGTGAGGTTGAGAAAAGGAGGGGACCAGTCACTTTAGACACCAGGGGGCAGAGTTTGTCCAAAGAGAAGGTCAGTGAGGAGCAGAATTTTACATGAAGCCATTGCAGCTGAGACCTTGTCAGACAGCTGTGTTGGGTGACCAAATGTTTCTGTGGTATGGTATTAAGCCAGGAGGACACCTCTTCACCTTCTCAGAAAGGTGAAGAGGTGTCATACTCAGCTGTGGAGCAATTGCAAATCAATATTAGATCCAGTGTATTGCCACCTTTGTGTGTTGGAGATGTTGGAATCTGTTTTAGGTGAAAGAAGGACAGTACAGAAATTAAAATCAGTTGCCTCAGCTCTAACTTTGTGGATTTTCATGTCTCCCATAACAACCAGCGGTGTGCCATCACCAGGTGTGTCTGAGAGTGACATATCCACTTCCACAATTAAGCTATCCAAGTGACCCCCTGGTGGGCGATACACAACAACCATGTAGGCTACTTGTGCAGGTAGACTTGCAGGTCTTGACCTAATGTGGGCTGAGGCTTAGTGCAGCCTGTGTGCTTATACAGCCAGAAATGCCACAGCTGTGCACAACTTAGGTAGACGGTGCGAAACAACTGCCTCTCCTATTATTGTAGCTAGAGTGATACTTAAAGCATTTCCACTTACCAACCAAGATCACAGCTTGTTCTGATCTTTATATATTATCTAATTACTAGTTTGACAAAGTTTTTTTTTTTACATTAAGTGAAATGCTTTTTGCAGTCATAAAATGTTTTGCAGTTGCCCTTCAGGACCACCGTACATTCGGTCTACGAATGAATGGTACACTGAGGCAATGTCGAAACCCCAGAATGATTCTTGGTTATATTGGCTTGCCGTAGCAGTCCCGTTTCCATGGTGACCATTCCAAACTTCGCCTTTGAATTGCTGTTTTTCCTTTATGACAAAGGATTATGTTTGACCAGGAAGAGTTTGATCAATCCCTTATCGTGTTTGAAGAGTCGTCTCCGGAGGATGTGTCTCACGCCAAGCACTTTTGGAGCTCTCACTCGCTCCTGCCTCCGCTGGAGTCCCGCCTGGTGTCCGCAGATATCCGTCAGAGACTGCCTGTGTCCCGGCCGCGGGACAGCAGCACCGCCGGTCCCAGACCCTTCACCCCGGAGCAGCTGCTGAGTGTCCCCGATCTCCGGCAGAGGCAGGAGGAGAGGCGGCGGATTGAGGCCATGGCGGACCAGAGGAAGGAGATCCTGGCACTGCTGAGGAGACAGAGGGAGCAGAGGATTCAGAGGGAACTCGTGTCTCTGGACTTTAAACCCAAGGTCAAAGAGGGTCGAGAAAAACCGTCAAATTTGCAGGAACAATTAGACTCTGAGGTGGAGAAGGAGCTGGTGAAGCAGCTCCAATAAGCTCGATTATGTGTATGTCTTAATAGGCTTCATGTGATTACTATTGTTTACAGAAGAGTAAATGGCAATTGAAAGAAACCAAAATTAAATTTATCATTGGTATCTCATTACTTACTAATGTAAAGGATTTGGGTTTTGCAGATGTCACTTGGTTGACAGCAATGTAGGACTACTGTGCAATAAAAACAGCTTTAAATGGATGGTGGTAACCGGCATATTTAGTGTATTTAAACCTTAATACGTTACTCTTTCCTTAAATCCATTTAAAGCGTGACAAAGAACTCTGATATTTATGGATGAGATAATATAAGTGTTTGACAGTGTGAGCTACAGCTGCTAGTACACAGCGGTTCACTTCAAACAGCCTTACATAAGGTGAAGTGAAGCCTGTGTGGATATTCAAATTCCAAATATCCAGTGGAGAAGGCCCAACCATAATAGGATAAGAAGAGGCCAGCTGGCTGTTGACTTTAGCTAATTTGGTTAAAGATTTCAAAGAATATAGAGCTCACAGAAGCTCCCAGTCTTTAAAAGCTCTTACCTTGAGGGCCCTTAACTTTCCATTGATCCTCCATATCTAAAATTTAATGAAAAACAATAATCCACCTCTGGTCCTCTACATTTGTAATGATAATTTGGTAACATATTTTAGAACATGTAGCTAAAAAACCAACAGCCTTACAAAGAATGATAGTTCTGCATTCTAGAGGAACTCAAGTGTTTGGCCTCTATAAACTGGAAATAGCTGGCCCTGTAGATATGAGTACCTAGACCTGGAACATTTCTGTAACCTCTATAGTAGACAAAAGCACTGAACTGTTTGTGTAATTCTTCAAAAGTTGTCTTGTTACATCTTAAACTGCAGTGGTAAATTATGTCAAGTCAAAACAAAACCAGTAGGGAATACAATGCTATTTTACCTATTTACCTGATGTACAAAGTCAATAAAATATTTGCACAAGAAAATCTTTTATGCAGACAAAAAATTAGCATGCCCACAACAAGATTATAATGGTTAATACAAGATATTACCATGCACATTTGTGGAATTTAAGGCCTCTTTAGAACATTATCTTTGTAATATCTGAATTAGTTTCTTTCTATCTTTTTTTAGGAAATCAAAATGATTTTACAATTGAATACATCACAGTTCAATTGACTTATGGGTTAATACGAGTTATGTTTGCTAGTTAGCATAGAAAGCAACCCAAAACTTTGCGCTAGCTAGCTACATATCTTATAAGTATGACAAGAATTAGAAGTTTCTAGACAACAACAATGTGTACAACTATTATTATTAAACACTGTTAATTTTCAGAGGGGAAAACACAAACAAACAGACAAAAAGTCTACTTTTTAAATGCATAAACATATGTATATTTTTATTTACGTAATGACGTTTCAATGACGTAAGCGACGCTGGCAAAAGCTCAGGCTGTGCCATTTGTTGATTGGTAGGTTTTGAACGTTTCAATATGGTTCGAAAATTAAATTCCGTTAGTTACATTTTTAGGCACTTAAAGTTATGAAGCACCCTAGTTAGCCGAGATAACTGTGTTTATCAGCAGCTTGTGGACTGTGTTGCGTTGATAAACATTGAGACAGCAATTGGAAGTTGAACGAACGTTGGTGGCGACAATAACTGACGGAAAATTCCAGGTGTGGGGATGTTGAACGCTAACCTTGGAGAGACAGACCGTGTGAATGCTGAAGAGGACGACCAAAACACTGCTGCGGTAAGAAAAAGTCTTGAACTAACAGCTAGCCTAAACTCTGTGTAGGCCGTGTACTTACCTTTGTGCCCATTTAGCTACAGCGGAAACAAAGGCCGCTGTTAGCAAACCAAAAATGTCAGGTGGCGCTGCGTTTTCAGGTGCTACCCTGGTGTTGGTTTAGAGCTAAAGTTTAGTAAACCTGCAAATACGCGCAACCCGTAAAGTCCAAACCAGTAGGGGAAAGTGGGGTAAGTGGAGCCAGAGGGTAAGCTGAGCCACCCCCTGCTTGGAAATGGTAAAAGAAATTGATCATGTGACCAAATATTTAGGAGATGGGCATCAATTCATGGAGTCTGAGAAGGTTAGAATTTAGGCTGTTATAAGTTTTATTAGAAATGTGTTTAGACCAAAAAAAGATCATTTTATATTTGTTTTATACAATAATTGTGGTATCTATGAGCTACAACATGAGGTCAAAAACCTAGCATTAAAGTCCACCATTTTAGCTTAGAGGACTAATAAAGTCATAATAGTAGCTCTGGGGTAAGTTGAGCCAGTGACTCAACTGAGAAAGTAAAAGAGTAAAAGAGTCCAAAAATATTACCTTGTGTGTTTAAAAAAAAAAAAAAATTAGGATATCAAGGGCTCAGCACATGCCATCTCTTGTTGTTTAGAGTTTGAATTGCACAGAAGGTCTTACCTTACAAAAAAAAGTTGATGACCAAAGGGCTGATGAGGCTGAGGGTATTAAAAGTCATATCGACCTGATGATGGTGCTACCATGCAGGGAAAATCATGTCACTAACGTAACGCAATTTAAAGTTGTACTGATTAGCTTCCGCTCGGCTGATTAATGGCATTTTCAAAAATTTGCATTAATGTCTACACTCAAAGACATGATGAAAAAAAAAAAAAAAAACGAGAACAGATGTAGAGACTGCAGGCAGCTTTGTATGGTTTTTATGGCAGTGTATATATCCCTCTGGATGATAACATGTTTCTGACATCCTAAATAACAACAAATCAAATCTAAATCTGTTAGAGGCTAGTGTTTAACATGAATTCTGTTACACTCAAGCATGATGCAGTTTAATATCACTTCCAATGTAAATATCATTAATTTTCTGAAATCTTAAGTATAATCTGACATAAAGTAATTAACAACAAAAAAGTATAATTTCAATATTAATCTGTCAAAAGAGGCAGAGGCACTTCGCAGAATCACTTAAAATGAGGGGAAAGCTGTCAAGACACTGTTGTCCAAGTATATTTATCAATATAACGACTTAAATTTGAAACATTTGAGCTCATTAAATGCTGGTCTCGCTTATCGATTGAACCGATCCAGGTATTGAGAGGTTTTTTCAGGAGGGTGTAATAAAAATAATCGCCCGCTAGATGTCAGTAGGGGCTCATTCATGAACTCCACTTGTTACACAGACGCCCCAGAGATTGAATGGATGTAGAGAAAAGATAATCAAATATTCCACAAACAAAACAGTTTATCTCTGTTTGAGTTGTTTGTATCCCAGTCAAGTTAGTGGCTACCTGTGTTCTCTTGAGTTGAACTATGTCTGTTTCCACCCAGATAAATCAGTGTGAAATCTAGCGTCCCTGAGGATGAGTGGGTGTCCGGTATCTCAGCACATCAGTCTGTGTTTTCAGGGTGGAAACTGATCACTTTAATATCTGTATGCCAGCTGTTGCTTGCTCACTTTGCTGAGCTTCAACACTGCTTATATGAGAGGCAGGGCTCAGAGGGAGTATTATGGTCAGTGGGAACTGATGTTCGTGATATTTAACTGACATTTCATACTGAGCCCCAGGAGACTGTACAGTCGGATACAGAGCTGATCAGATAAAGGTTCAACCCAGCAACATTTACAGCATAATGCTTGGGTTCAGCAGTTTATCTCCCTAGCTGTCCGTCCTCCTCTTTGAGAAGCTGGGACTGTCTTAAACAACAAATCAAAGTTACTTGAAGTTTGTTGCAAACAGGTTGAATATATATATATTTTGTTTTTCGAAAATAAGGTTTAATGATATGTTTTCTGTCTATTTTCATGCTGCTGTAGCCTCCAGTTCTCACAAAGGGTGTAAAAACAAGCTGTCATATCTTAAAGAAATCTACTCTCACTTTTATTCTATGGGCGGGATGTTAAGAAACTAATTGAGAAGAGTAATATCACAGTCAGCTAAATATTAAAATATTTGGTATGAGTTTTGGTGTTGAAGGTAGGTGCTAAGTCTGACTGTGAAAGGATATGAGCAGCTCCATAAAGCTCATAAGCATGAAGTGATCCAAAATCTGCTGGTAGACGGCTGTGTTCATAAAACACAGTGGACCTCAAGTCATAAAAGACTGCTAAAACTTAGAAGCCCCCTCAAATGAGACCATTTGCAAACAGTATCAGCCAGATTTACAACATCTGCGCTTGATTGTAATCAGATCTGAATGCTGACCAGTGTAAACTTGATTATTATTTGCCAAAAGAGAAGAATGATCCATCTAATCAAACCTCTTTTCATTTAATCACCATAATCACCTGTTTTTGACATCTTCAGCCGTTATGTTCAGAGTAACAAAGACCTGTTGATCACAAACACTTATTCCCAAACCATCACCACATGAATCACATTGACTTTTCCTTCGGGGATCAATAAAGTTCTTCTTATCTCACAAACATGTTGTTTAAATGGACAGTGTTTATGTAAGCATGTAACAGTGTTTATTGACTAAACTTTACAAATGTCACGTAAATCCAATGGAGACAAGTGGAGAAGCTTACACACTCACACATCCACACACTATGTATTCAGACAGCCACCTGAGAGGCTCAACACAATCAGCTGGTTTTGTTTATAAATGACAGTCAAGCAGTTAGACTACGAACACACTTAAATGTCTATACATGTGAGGACCCTGCCTTACAGAATGCATTCTTCTTATCACTGTGAAATATAGGTGAAATGAAATATCGTCACCAATCCGAAATGTTCTGACTCTCAAGGTTTGATTCTCATGTTGAAAGGGTACACACACACACACAAACACTCAGACACGCTAGGCTAACAGTCATTCCCCTTGGTTTGTGCTCAATCGATTCATTTGGCTCTGAAGGGAGTGTTTGTTATTTGTTAATGTCACAGACAGACAGAGCAGTCTGACTAACAAACTGCTGTTTTTCTTCATTTACACAGATGAGAGAGATAAAGGACAGGCATTCAGATACACCAGTGAGCCTCTGAAGGTGGGTAAATATTGACTTTTTACACCCTGTGGCA